GCTTGCTTTGAAACACTTTCTTCTTGATTATTTTGTTTTCTCCTTCAGTTGGTGGTTTGATGAATTCAAAAGGACTGCCAATAGCCAATTTAATCAATTTTTTTTCTTTTTATCCCTTTTATTAGATTCAATGTAGTTGACCACGAAGTACATATTATGAGTAGCCTCTTTCCACATGTTAAACACATCGTACCATTAGTGCAAGATCTTTTCCAAAGAAAGACCATTTCCAGACCCGTTCGTAGTCTGACTATTTGGCTGTTGTTGAGATGGCGGTGGACCGTTTACAGCCGATAGTTGCTGCTGCGGTGGATTTGCTGGCCCTTTAGTTTCTGATGGTTGGTGATTTTCACCATGGTTTATTGGAGGCAATACAACCTGAGATTGAGGTGCACCATGTGGTAATTGAATTGGAGAGAAGTGAGATGGAGGTTGGTGGAAATGTTGTTGCTGAATTTGCTGTGGCTGCTGTTGCTCGGGTGGTGGTTGAAATTGAGGTTGTTGTTGTTGTTGCTGTTGTACACGAGCCGGTGATCCCTGAATAGGTCCTTGAGGTTGGGATGGGAAGAATTGAGATGGCGATTGATGGTTTGGTAAACCTTGCAGAGAATCAGTAGAAGAATGATGGTATTGAGGAGGACTCGTTTGGAAGGTCCCCATAGTCGGGCCATTGTGTAGAATTGATGGTGGTTGGTTCACAACGGGAGTGGAAACTTCGCTTCTTTGTGTAGAAAAAGCAACCTGTGAGAGTAACTCTACAGAATCTTCCCTTTGAGGTGTCACACTTCTAGATCCATAATCAGCTGGCGTAGTTGAAGCTCTAGATCTCTCTTGGGATCTTCTTTCACGCTCACGTTCTAACTCTTCTTTTCTCTTTTTCTCCTCCTCTTCTAATCTAAGTCTTTCCTCTATAAGTTTCTGTTTCTGGAGCTCTCTTTGTCTGGCCTTTTCTGCAGCTTCTTTCTCCTTCTGAAGCTTCTCCTCCTCTAATTTCTTTGCAACTTGTAATTCAATCTCTTCACGACACCACAAGCAGATGAATACCTCATCAGAATTTTTAACCAAATCCTGTCTCACTGCACGATCTTGACATTTGAGATGTTGCCATCTGTTGCATCTCTCACATTTGATCAGCTTGACACCATCATCGTAGTTCTTTTGTCTAGTACCACAATAGCAATCGAATAACCAGTCACCTTCTTCCAATTCTATTTCTTCATTCGATGATGGTTTATATTCTTCCAGCAATGCGGCTCTTCTACTTGTTGTTTGTCTTCTCAAACGTTCCTCTGCTTCGTGTTCCAAGAGTTTAACCTTCTGTTTATACCTTTTCAACAGTTTGGCTTTTGCCAATGCTTCCTGTTGACGAGCTTCCTCTTCTTGTTTCTTTTGCTTCTCGATCAACATCTGTTCCTCCTTTTCTTGCAATCTTGACGAGCGTTTTCTATGGCTAACGAGTTCATTCAATTGTTGTTCTCTCTTCCTCTTCAGGATCTTTTTTCTGTTATTTAAATCCTCATTTGCTAGATCATCGATGTGTTCTTTAATGTTCTTGAACAACGGTTTCAAATGAGAATTGTTCTTTATGGATTCCAAAAAGTCATGCAATTGATAGATTCCAATAGCAACACATTCCCATTCAAATTTTGGTTCAATGTCTTCAAAATCAACTTCTGGGTTCAGCATCTTGGCATACTTATACTTCTTCGGTATCTTGATCTCTGGGATCGACACCAAAGTGCGCTTATAAACCCTATTGTCACTCAAGAGGAAATAGCTCGTTTCACCATCGTCGAAGATCGGGTCGAATCTGAGTTCAATTGCACGATCATACTTGTCAACTTGTTTTCTAAATGCATCGTTATACTCAATGATCGATATGAGCTGGTAAATCACCTCAAATCTGTCCACAAGAGACAGGGTGTTGTACTCAACCGGTTCGTCCTCTGTACCCAGTAACAGCGTCAAGTCACCCAACAGGAATCTAGCCCTAAAGCTGAAGTCGTCCATGGTGACTTTAGTACCCAATAGCAAGGCAGCCATATTTGTAACCATCTTAGTGGTCACTGAAGGTTCAGTCAAGCCCACCAATTCTTCCTCGACGATCTATTCAAAGTTAGTACTTATTACACTGATCACGATGGGAAAAGCACTCACGTCGATTGTGAAGGGATCATTAGCCATTTTGATCGCACCACGGAAGAAAGTGATCCACTGAATGCAGTAGGCATAACGCCAGTCATTACGGAGATCCTTCAACTGTGCTTGATATGTTTCCTGCTCCAAGGCCAAATGCGTTGGAGTCTTCAACAACTGCGACTTGATCTCCTCACTCACAAACCTCAGCTTGTGAGCTGGGTGGTTCTCAGCAGCAGGCGTTGAGGTTCTCGATCTCGATTTCGCCATTCTCCGTCTTGTCTTCTCCAGCTGCTCAACCCTTATTTATGACTGAGAGCAGATGATCCTGAGCCGCTGTGTTGTTGTTGTAGCTCTTTTCGTTGTTGATGTTTTTGCTTCGAACTTTGCAAAGGAGAACTTTGCGGACGAAAACACAGCGCAAAAAGTAGACCAGAAGCGCCAAAGAAGAAACAAAACCGACATTTTAGCGAAAACGCGCTCCAAGAAAACACAAAAAGGGCAGCGGCGGTGGCGCGTGCGCGCGCGCGCGCTCGCTCTCGCACGGGGGAAAAATTTCGTTTGCTTAATAAGTGCTTACATAATCAGGGGTAGCTGTGGGAGTGCCCCTACCAAGTGGTTTATCGGATAGAACGACACCACGATTTTTGCCCACAGGCTGTGTGGGAGAGGGAAAGCGAGGAGCCTAACTGCAGCGACAGTTGCCCCATCCCTCTATTCCCATTGGAAAAGAACAACAACAACAGCAGCTAAGAACAGATCAATTGGACTGTTCTCTATTCTGTTTCTTTTTTCTTGCTTGCGCTGACGCATATCCCCATTTTCACTGCTAATTGGAAACACATAGGCTTATCCGATTGCTAAAATTAGTGACAATTGATTCGTTCTGCCGTTCCATTGACACTGTCCCTTTTTTGCTTTTCCACTGCCTGGTGTTTTTGGGCCTGTTTGCCGCTTGCTTTGAATTCTCACCGCCCACTGAGATTTAGAAAACACACACAAAAACGATCCTTTGAACGGGAGCGTTGGACAGAAAGAAAACAAACAAACAAGCAAACAAACACACAAAAGCGTCCTTTGGCGTCTCCTTTCCCCTTTGTTGAGTGTAATTGGCTGGATATTAAGGTACTCAGAACTACAAAATGGAGGGAAACTTTGGCGTAGATCCGCAAGACCAGGTGTTTCAACAGTCCGGTGTGCTGCCAAAGGTTCGTTCCGCCACGAACAGATCCTCGTCTTCTGTTTCAAAGAGAAGCCAGCAGACAATGGCGGTTCCCGCTACACCAAGGATGTTGAGGAACACTAGCGCGGCAAGCGCTCAACAGCAGCCGCAAGTACAACAACAGGGCTCTTTATCGAGCCATGCGATGGGTCAGCACGAAGAGGTTGCTCAGCAGCAACAGGGCCATCTCAGGTCGAACTCTGAGGTTGACAGCGTCAAGGCTCAACAGCAGCAGCAGTACACGGGAGCACCGAACGTTCCTTCTCCATTGGCAACAAATGGGCACCAGAAGAGTGCGTTCCGTTCGCCTACGAGGTTACAACCCATAGATACAATGTCGCATCATAGACAGAACTCACAGTCTGCAACGACCCCAACTAGGCTGTTGCCGCCAGCGAGTGTTGAACAACAACAGCAGCAACAACAACAACAACAGCAGCAGCAGCAGCAGCAGCAGCAAACACCTTCACGGTCCGTCAGTCAGAGAAAGAAACACACTGGTACTCAACAGCCTGTGCAATTCCATCGTCGCTCCATAGGTGAATGGGACTTCATCAAAACCGTAGGTGCAGGCTCAATGGGAAAGGTCAAGTTGGCCAAGCATAGACGAACCAACGAGGTTTGCGCAATCAAAATTGTGACAAGAGCTTCGAAGCTGTACGAGAGAAACCACATGAATGATTTACCCCCAAATTCGTCTCAGGAGAGGCTACAGAGACAAAAAGAGTATAAAAAGGAGTTGGAGAGGGATCGCAGAACAATCAGAGAATCTTCATTGGGTAAGATCCTATACCATCCTTTTATCTGCCGTTTGTTTGAGGTTAAAGTAATGTCAAATCATTTCTACATGCTATTTGAATACGTCTCTGGTGGTCAGATGTTGGATTACATTGTTTCACATGGTTCTTTGAAAGAACGCCACGCTAGAAAATTTGCCAGAGGTATTGGATCCGCATTAGATTACCTCCACAAGAATAACGTTGTGCATAGAGATTTAAAGATTGAAAACATTATGATTTCAAAAAGTGGAGATATCAAACTCATCGATTTTGGATTGTCAAATATGTACTCAAATGATTCTCTCTTGAAGACTTATTGTGGTTCTCTATACTTTGCGGCACCAGAATTATTATCTGCCCACCCTTATATCGGTCCAGAGATTGACGTTTGGTCATTTGGTATTGTCTTGTACGTTTTGGTCTGTGGTAAGGTACCATTCGATGATCAAAGCGTTTCCGTGTTGCATGAGATGATTAAGAAGGGTAAGGTAGAGTATCCTTCATTTCTCTCCTCGGAAGTGATATCGTTATTATCGAGAATGCTCGTTGTCAATCCTAACAAAAGAGCTCATCTTTCAGAAGTTCTTTCACATCCTTGGATGACAAAGGGTTTTGAAGGACCACCGGCATCTTTTGTTCCGCACAGAGTACCACTTACCTTGCCGTTGGACCAAGATGTTGTAGATGAGATAGTACGTCTTGAGTTTGGACAAAATGGAGAACAAGTGATGGATGATTTGACACGGATAATATCCTCAAGATATTATCAAGACTCTGTATTGAATTGGAGATCGAATTCTCAACATTTAGATTCCCAGGAGGGCATGAACATTAACCCAACGATGGGATTCCACCCACTGATTTCTATTTATTACCTTGTTGATGAAATGTTACAGAGGAAGAAGACAAGAGATTCTGTACTGGATATCCCAACTGCAAACGTTCAACAAAGTGAAGAGCAGAAGGAGTATGTTACCCCACAGATTACTCAACAAGCTACCTTTTCTGGCGATAAAGCAGAAGGTGAATTATCAACACCAACTCCACTTCCTGAACTCACATTCCCTGAGGCTGCTCATACAACCCCAACACATACCACTTCTCCAATGACATTGCGTGATGACCATATAGAGGATGAAGATGTATTTGTCCAACAGCAGGTTAAGAAGGATGAATCAGGAAAGGGATTGAACTCTCTATTGCGAAAGTTCAGTCAACGCAGAGCCCACTCCATGAAACGTCCACAAGGTTACCAACAGTCCAATTCACACTCGCAATCAAATTCTATCAGTATGAATGATGCACCTTCTTATCATACTAAACAGTTCCTGGAACCAGAATATGGTAATCCTCGCCGTGTTGGAAGTGTAAAAATCTCTAAGACCTCACTGAAAGGTGAGGATGATACCAAACCGAAGAATCCAAAGACCCATACTAGAGCAGTGTCTGCATACGCGGGTCCATCATCTTTGGTTGATAATGAAATTCCTCCACTTCCAAAGCAATCAATTGTTGGTACATCTACCGAAAAGAAGTACCATCCAACTGCTAGGGCGAAATCTGTTGGTCATGCTCGTCGTGAGGATTACAAATTTGGCGGGGATGAAGAAGAGAAGACCCCATTGCCTACCGATATTAATGACGACGCATTCTTTGATGATATTACCCTCGATGATTTCAATGGAGATACACCAAATGTTCGGAAAACACAAACGACTCAGAGCAATCACGTTCCAGATCACGAATTGACGGAGAAGGAGATCATGGACCAAGCTTCGAAAGCTCCACCAGGATCGATGCCTTCTATTGAGCACCCAAGGTCCTTGTTCTTGAAGGGATTCTTTTCTGTCCAAACGACTTCAACCAAGCCACTTCCAGTTATCCGTGCTGATATCATCTCGGTGTTGACTAAACTCGGTGTTCAATTTACCGAAGTGCGCGGTGGATTCGTCTGCGTACACACTCCTTCTATTGGTGGACCTATGAATCTATCACCAGCTTCTGATGTTACTCCTGCAATCACTATTACTCATAGTAATGAAGATGATATTGTGGAAGAGCAGGATAATGGTCTGATGAGACAGCAATCATCTGGCGGTGCTTCCACAGAACAGAGAACTATAACGCACGACAGTGGATCCGCTGGTGAGAGTGACCAAAACTCAAACTCTGGATCGTACAAGAATCACAGACGTAAGTTTTCCATCGGAGGTTCCATCTTGGGTTACAAACGCAAGCAATCCATTGGTGGTCCAGCAATCCCACCTACACCTGTTGCTACGATCAAGTATCAAAATGTTGCCTCACCAACTGCACACCATGGACAAGGCGATTTTGACTCCTCTGCGTCTCTAAACTCTAGCAGTGGTGGAAACCCTGATAGTATGATATTCTCAAGTGGAATTGAGCAAACCCCAAGATCTCGCACCGTTTCAAACGCTGTGAAATCCGAGTTGAATGATGAACCAACGACACAAAGATCGACACAACATAGTTCCTCAGTACAAGGTCGTACGCCGTTGAAATTTGAAATTCATCTAGTGAAGGTTCCATTGGTTGGTCTATTTGGTGTACATTTCAAGAAAGTTTCTGGTAACACATGGATGTACAAGGCACTCGCTGGTCAGATATTAAACGAGTTGAATTTGTAAAGGAAACAAGGAGGTTTCTACGATAAAAGAACTTGAACTCAGTTTTCGTTTATAGCTTGATGCTTGTAATAAGAAGTTTTGACAATTGTATAGTATTTATTTATAAACTATGTATTATTCTCAAGACTATCTCAACGCCTTGGCTATCACCACCTATAAAAGTTCAAGCAAATCCAAAAAAAAAGATAAGCTGAATGCCCCACGTGGGGCTCGAACCCACAACCGTACGATTAAGAGTCGTAAGCGCTACCGATTGCGCCAGCGAGGCAATTGCTTGAAAACGAAGATCTCGGTGTTTGGTATTTTCTGCAGCGCTGTTACGAGCACTTGTGTAAGTTTGGTAGGCACCACATTAATTAGATCTTTCTAGAAAGATTTCGAAAACGTCTTCAACATTATAAATGTTTTCAACACTTTTCCAACCGTTGTTGTTTGTGATTTACTCTTACAAGTAGCCAAGATGGTTGTCAATAATCCTAACAACTGGCACTGGGTCGATAAGAACTGCATTGGGTGGGCCCGTGAATACTTCAGGGAAAACATTGTCGGGTTGAAAGGTGAATCAGACGACAATTCCACCGTGGCAACTGTTACAAGTGTTACGTCAGTTGAAGGAGATGTAGTTGTTTCCCAGCGTAAAGGAAAGATCATTAGTTTGTTTGATGTGAAGCTGGTGTTGAGCTATGAGGGAAAAGTTGATGACGTTGATGCTAAGGGGACCATTACAGTCCCAGAAGTTGCATATGACACCGAAGAAGATGAGTACCAATTTGACATCTCTGTGTTTTCTGAATCGAGCTCCAACATAAAGATCAGGGACGTTGTCAGACAAAAGATTGTTCCACAGTTGAGAAAGGTCCTTGTGCAATTTGGCAAGGATTTGATGATTACACATGGGTCTGATATCCAGGTATCGTCTGATAAAGTCACATCTCAATTCACCAAGGCAAACCAAGAGGAGAGTCTTCAGTTCGAATCTGCCAAGAAGACTGAGATTGAAAAACCAACGATAGCCACAGCTAAAACAACTATAGCTTCTGCTACAACCACACCGACTGGCTCATCTCATGTTCCACAATACAATACATCAACTTTACACTTTGAGCCAGTTTTCAACACAACTGCAGAACAGATCTACCTCACATTCTTGGAGAAGAACAGAATTGGTGCGTGGACCCGTTCCAACCCAGAATTCGAAGGCGACATGCTAAAGGAAGGCTCCGAGTTCCAACTGTTCGGAGGCGGTGTCTCTGGTAAAATCACAAAGCTGGTACCTAATGAAAAGATTGAACAGGAATGGAGATTGAGAGATTGGAAAACAGGTCACCATGCAACCCTCACAATCGACTTCCACCAAGGTGATTCAGATACAAAACTCGATGTCTTGTTCAAAGGAATTCCCGTTGGCGAGGAGGATGCTGTCCAAGGGAACTTCGAGGACTACTACGTCAGATCAATCAAGATCACATTTGGATTTGGTGCAGTTCTATAAGATTAGCTCTCCATAGAAGTATATCGCTGTATTGAAAACATACATCCGTACACCCAAACATCCGTACACTAATACATCCGTACACCGCTATTCATCGATCCCGTTTACGCCTAATTTTTCTTTCGGAACTTTCTCGAAAGTGTTAAAATTTGCATGTGATTTTCCACAATGCGTCTCTCTCGCTTCAAAACCTTTTCCCGAGACAGGCCAGAAGGGAACTCACTAGAAATCTACAAACTACGCCAACAAGATCCTCAGAGTGTTGATCCACTGTGTCATTGTCTCTGTTCTCCGTATATTTGGTACTTTTCCCCCTTCCACATTGTGTTGGAATATACTCTTGTTTGGTTGTAAGGCAAGCTGCGCGGGGCTCCCACGTTGACACATTTTTCAACATTGGAATCCAACACTAGGTCTATTGCACTTTCTCAGCATCAGATTCAGTCTGTTCAAGAATACATGTACCCAAGAATATGGACCAAAGACCAGAGTCACCACGTACTCCACCACCGTTCTTCAACTTTTCCCCGGATTTGAAGAACTATAGGGCATTTCTTAAGTCCCCCAATGCTGTGGTGGATAGCGATGCTAGCAAGTTTGCCCTCTCAGAGATGGACTTCGAGTCAGCATACGCTTTACTGACAACCACACCTGACTTTCAAATACCCACAACCCCAGGTGCGAATCAGCTTCCTCCACTGGGTCAGGAGATGGACTTCAAAGAGACCTTTCTCCCAAATAAGCCACCCAGTCCAAATGTTCTACCTTCAGTGGTACCCAATTGGCAATTTGATATCGGCCAACCTTCACCTAAATACCATGAGCTTTTGTCAGTCAACGAGACAAATGCGCTGGAAACTTCTTGGATAGTATCATTGACGTTCCAGCCAGGAATAAGCAGAATGGTGAGGCCGCAACAGGCAATAAAAGGCTTTTCCAAACAGCATTTCCATCGATCTCGGAGGAAGAATCGTTGGCACAGCAGGATAACGTTGGACTTGGACTGGCACTTCAGCAACCTTTGGAAACATCTGATGATACAACCAATGTTTCTTCTGCATACATCAATCCTTATGGTAGCGAATACGTTGAAACACAGCCATCATCGGTATCTGGGACTCCACAGCCCGTTGTTAAGAAGCAGAGGAAGAAGAGGAAAAACTTGTTAACAGAAGATCAGAAGAAGTTACACCACACAACGAGTGAAAAGAGACGTAGAGGACAGATCAAAGAAAGCTTTGATCAACTTGTGAGTTTATTACCTTTGATAGATTCCACCGAGAAGAAATCAAAAAGTAAAAGTGTTGTACTGGAGACAGCAGGTAATGAAATCGACAAATTGATAAGGATAAACCAAGAGCTCAAGAAACTATTGAATGGTTCCGCTACAACGTCCTGAATTCACTAATAGATTAATATGCATTGGTATTAGTGTTTTAACTGTTTTAATATTGATGAAGTCATGCATACAATGTGCAATAACGATCCCAAAGTAGTATCATAGAAAGCAATTAGGATGGGAGCGTAACACGAAACACAGCCAAGTGTGTAGTGAAATATATATATAAATAGCGGGGCCCTTCTAAGATCAAGGGTTCATAAAATGGTCATTTATGTCAATGTTGAGACCAGACGCAAGGTTTGTTGTGGTCATTGAAGGCAATCCACCACCGAGGAAGTCCAGCATCATATGCATACCACCACCTCCGCTATAGTCATCAACATCTGCTGGTAACACCTTCGAAACACCTTCCAAGAACCATACTTTATCCTTCATCTCTGTGGTGAATCCTCTGAGAAGAGAATAATAACTTCTCATGATTCTCATTGCTGATAGATCTCCAGACATTAAAAGAACCAGAAAGGTTTTATCCAGTAGTGCTGGAAATGCAAAGATCCGTAGAATGAAGTCTGATTTGTATTTCTCGTGGTTTAACTTATCCAAATAAGCCAACGTAATCAGATAAGGCGAGTCGTACTCCACGGGGTACAAATCAGCAATGGAGTCGTCAAAGCATACCAGATCAGATATCGACCCATTCTTATCGTTTATGATGTCACCCAAATCGCTCAAGTCCACGCTGATGAATTTATAGAAACGAGACGTTACCGGCAAGGGCCAGACAGCGGTGAGAATAGTAGCAGCGCCCTTGACGTGGAAGATCCAGGCCGAGGCCGGAAGAGACGTCGGTGATAATGAAGATGGTAACGATGCATTAGCCAACGAGTCCATAATCAAAATGAGAGCTGATGCAACTAGTGCATCTGTGTTGTTACCAGAGATTTCTAACACTGCTTCACGAAGCAACCGAAGTGCTTCGCCCCTGTGATGTGTGACATGTTTTTCAAAATGCTTCTCAGTCCTTGAAAGATGAGTAGCAGAGAATGCCAATATCGAATGCATCAAAAAGGGGAATTCAAATGCAAGATTTGGAATATCTTCAATCCATATCCTTTCTTCAGATATCCCTGCCGTGGTGATCGTTGGTGCAACAACTCGTGTGTAGTGGTACATCAACCTCAAGTCAACAATGTTCAGCCCAGTGGACGATGCATATGGTATACCAGAGGAAGATGGCAGACTAGTGGTGAAGTCCTGGCCACTGGTCATTGGTTGATGCATTGATAGAGGTGAAGGAGCTGAAGTCGGTGACATCGTTGGTTGCGGTGAAATTGTAGGGTTGTTGGTGATTGAATCCAGATTTACCGACAGAGTATTGTCATTAGCTGGCTCGTTAGCTGAAGTTGATGAGAGTGCATTTGTTGCGCTTAAAAGCTGGCTCAGCTGACCACCATTGATAAGTTGTCCTAGTTGACCTCCGAGTTGGCCTAATTGGCTCAATTGACCCAACTGGCCTAGCTGCCCGAGATGGCCAAGTTGTTCAAGATTTCCCAGCTGGCCTATTTGGCCTATTTGGCCCAGCTGGCCCAACATTGATGATATTCCAGGCGGTGGTGGCACCGCAGAGGGCGATTTCACGCTGAAAGTAGGTAGCCCGTTCTGTTCCATCAGCCGCTCTAACTTAGCAGTGCCTTGCTCCATGAAGCTCTTGGTGATTGGAGCACCGGGGCTCTCCGTCACAATGTCCGGAGGCTTTGGCGTAGAATCTGTAGCCGCTGCGGTGATGGATGACGCTGACTGCTTTCTGGGTATCGATGATTTGCGGGAAGGCGGCGACTGCGAGCTCTTTGGCGGTTGATGTTGAATCTTCTCTGCCAAAAGATACGTACATTCAATGCCCATATTCTTGCACTTCACACAGATCGGCTTCCCTTCGTCGCACTTCACACGTCTTCTCTTACACGTATCGCATCCCAGCTTGGACTTGTTGTGGAATTTCCTCTTCCCAGTGGATGTTCTGCTCACCTTCTTGCCGTCTTTTTCAATCAGGTCCGGCCTCGAGCCGCTGCTTCGGCGCCTCTCCAGGCCATCGCCATTGGCATCCATCTCCATCATCACTGTGTCTTTCATAGTACAAAACAATAGTGCCCACACTCACTCTCCCAACCTGAAAGAAAACACACAACTTTCAAACACCGGAAAAGAACAGCAGACAGCTATCTTCACCAACTTGTTCCTCGGAACCGCACTTGTGGATCAAAACCTCACCAGATGGCGCTCTTGAACCGTCTCCAAGCGTGTCACCAAACGTAGCTGCGAAACTACAACAACAGGCCTCCCAGTACAGAAAAAAAGAAACCAAAACAGAAGATGGTGCGATGTTTTCGGTCACGTGGTTGGACTCTCCGCTGGCTCTCTCCAAACAACAACACAATTACAACGTTCAATGAGGATCCGTCCAGTTGAATCGACGTTTCCCTTTGGGCTGCTGAGGAGCTTGTTGATTTGTTTGGGTTCGCAAACCGTTTGGGGGTTGTTTATAGGGGAAACGATGCTGAAGAGAAAGCGGATGAGTCTTAAACGAGCGAGTTTTCCCGCGTTCAGCCCCTAAACGAATTGCGCGTTTCTGTTTTCGCAGTTTCGCAGTTTCGCAGTTTTGCGCTGGTTGCGGCTGCGTGTTCGTTTAGCGGAGCGAGATTTGCACAAGGCAAACAGCTAAACGACGCGAGATGCCCTTGGGCACACCCGGACACCAGCGGTGATTGCGAGCAGTGCATCTACACTGTTTTACAGATATGAATACGCCTTTTATGTACTATAAAGATAGTCTCGAGGTTAGTGGTCGTGTGGGTCCTCCTTGACAGGCTCAGGATCGACTGTGATCATCGTGTCAATTCTGAGGATCGCAATGCACGCCTCCAAGGCCGACTTCAAGGACTTGATCTTGGACATTGTTGGCTCAAGGACACCGGCTTTGGCCTCGTCGACAACTTTGCCCTTGATGAGATCCAACCCGTAGTTTCTGTAGTTCTTTCTCTTGACATCCGTTGGCAGAGCAGACTGGCTAGCACTGTGGTACGATCTCAACTTGGCGATCAAATCGGATGCATCTTTGGCTGCGTTCGAAGCCAATGTCTTTGGAATGGTCAAGAGCGCACTCGCAAACTCTGCAATTGGTAATTGCTCACGAGAGCCCACTGTAGTGGCAAAGTTCTCCAAATAGATGTTCAGGGCAACTTCAACAGCACCACCACCTGGTACAACATTGCCAGACTCCAACGTTCTCTTGATCACACAAAGCGAATCGTGCAATGATCTCTCCATCTCATCCAACGTGTAGTCGTTTGGACCTCTGAGGATGATCGACGAGGATGAGTGAGCTTTGGTTCCCTTGATAAGGATACACTCATCGTCAGAAATTCTCTCCTGTACAACTTCTTCTGCATAACCCAGGTAACTGGATTCGAAAGTTTCATCACCTTCCAAATTCGACAAGTTACTCAAGAAAGTGGCGCCTGTAGCTCTTGCGATTCTTCTCAAATCTTCCTTCTTACAACGTCTTACAGCCATGACCCCTGCTTCGACAAACTCCTTCAAACACAAATCGTCAATACCCTTCGTCGTCAAAACAACGTTTGCACCTGCAGCTATTATCTTTTTAATTCTCTCCAATACAATCCCATATTCTCTCTTACGAATTTCCTCCAATTGCTCTGGATCATCAATGTTTATCTGAACTCCCAAAGCCATCTTGGCCTTCTGTAAGTTGATATCCAAGCATGCAATCTTTGCATTTGAGATTTTCTTCAACATGGCTTGGGAAGCAACAGTACAGTTCAGCGCATAGCCAGCAACGAGTTGAGATTCAGTGGACGACTTACCATGTGCTTTAAGGATGTTGACTGCCTTGACAGGGTACTTCACCTCACCTTTACCATTTTGGGTCTTCACTGCCAACATGGAGTCAACTGCCAATTTGGAAAAGAAATCCGAGTCGGCACCAATGATCTTTGACGACATCGAGGTCTTTGCGATGTTGATGATGGTTTCTTTACCCAAACTACTAACAGGCTGTGACAAAACGTCATTGATGTACTTTGTAGCCTCTCTCAGTGCAACTCTATAACCTGTGATGATCGTTGTAGGATGAATCTGATTCTTGACAAGTTCATTGGCTCTCTTCAACAGTTCTGCCGCAATGATCACAACAGATGTTGTTCCGTCTCCAACTTCTCTATCTTGTTGTTGTGCTAGGTCAACGAGAATCTTACCAGCTGGATGCTGTACATCAAGCAAACTCAAGATTGTAGCACCGTCATTCGTGACAACGACATCACCAATGTCATCCACAAGCATCTTATCAAGACCAACTGGACCCAATGAAGATTTGACAACATTGGCCACGGCCTGTGCCGCCAATACGTTTTGGTTACGGATATCCTCACCGCTCACCTTTTCACCACCAAGAACTAGACTAGATGTTAGTAACGTGAAATCTTTCAGAGAAATGCATCAACAAAGATGATTCAATACATACACAGCGTGTCTGAACGAGAAGGGCCGAATACCTGAGCCATTTTCTTTGAACAATTTGGTTACTTAGTGCTGATGGGCCTTAACAGGTTGAGCTCGATGGATGAGTTTTCTGTGTTTGTGTATTTTTTTTCGTTGTTTTTCTCGCCATCGAGCACAACAACACGCCCGTGAGTTTGAATTAGTTAGTGCTGAAATTTACGCTCAAGGTATTTGGCTGAGCCACATAGTTAAGCTAGGCAGGGCGGTCTGAAATTTACGCTGCTACTTCCGAGCTCAAAGGAGAAAAACAAGGAGGAAAAGTGTTCATTTTTTGTACTGGTGTTATATTGAAGGCACTCTCTATTTGTTTGAGATACCATCCACTTATAGAGGCATATTGAGCGAAGCTAAGCAACGAGAAGCGTATAGAAACGGAACCTGGATTGGAAGACTGATGGGGAATGGAATTGGACGGCAGAAATTTGGGTAATTGGGTTGGTGGTGACATCACAGAGAAACCAACATCACTGGTAGTAAAACTGTAGTATTAGCAGTAATCGTCGTTGCAATAGCACTGCTGTGCCCCTGTGAATAATGTTAGAGAAAGGGTTGCGTAGTAGTAATAGTTAAAAAGAGAGAAGGTTCTAAATTATGACGTTGAAATTGTTCAAAGGATTACACACTTCTTCTTTCTCTTTGTCTGGACAGCTTCTGGCTCTAGGGCCGCCACTATGGCCTCATCAAAGACATTCTTCAAGCCTCTTTGCGTCAGTGCAGAGCACTCCACGTATTTCACTGCGCCAAGCTGTCTTGCGAGTTTCTCACCTTCCTCTGGTCTTATTGGAGCAGCGTTTTGTCTCTTCAATCTTTCAATGATGATTGGATCGTCTCTCAAATCAACTTGGGTTCCAACAATGATGGCAGGGACACCTGGCGCGTGGTGGTGGATCTCTGGGAACCACTTCTCCTTCACGTTTTCAAAAGACGAAGGTGACGTGACGGAAAAGCACACCAAGAATACATCTGTTGACGGATAACTCAATGGACGCAAACGGTCATAGTCCTCCTGTCCGGCGGTATCAAACAATCCAAACGTATAAGGCTCATCTCCAATCATCACAGTGACCGCATAGTTGTCAAACACCGTTGGCACGTAATCAGCAGGGAACTTGTTTGTGGTGTACGATATAAGAAGACATGTCTGGTGGTTTTTGTTGGTCAGTTTCATGCTCAGCCAAAGGGGGAGGGGGTTGGAGCCAAAGATTAGAAATCCCAAACAAATGGATCCAATTCGTTCACATATAAAAGAAAAGAACTCACCTTTCCGACAGCACCATCACCCACGACAACACACTTGATCGTTTGCATTTTTTATAACCTTCTTAGCTTATATTTATGTGTGTGTATGTGTGTGTTTCACTGCTTTTATTGTTTTCAGTACTTTGAGATTGAGAGCTGTTCTTTTTTTGTCGTTCTCTGTAATCAGCGGGCGAGAAAAACCACAAAAGCGAGACGAAAAACAAACGGAAAACGAAAAAAATTAAAACGAAAACAGCTGTTTTTGCCTTACCCTTTATGAAATTTCGCGGTGAATTTGCACGAGAAGAGTTTCCCCCTTTGGCGAAATTAATTTTGTGGTTTAATTATTTTCGCAACGCCGACGTGTTTTTGGTGATATTTTATAAGTCCGATTTTTCTTTGTTTGTTTATTTATTTTCGTCCCTTTGTTTGTATTGAGCACATTCTCAACGCCTTAAGCTGTAAGAGTTTAGTTGAATCAGCTCCTTTTTCGCTTAGCTACGCCATTCCAACTGTATCTATCGGCATGTGAATTCCGCATAGATGCTATACCAAACTAATTCCTTTGGGAACAGAGAGATCCTCCTACATAAAACGCACGTCTTATCCTCGGTCTGGGTGCGTGTCGCTTTCGAAAGACAAGAGCGCTTCTCAAACCTCTGCTGTGCAGTGACATCCACACCCGGTGGCACAGAGATCGGATTGTTTCCACCAATCGCACGCACATCTCATGTGAAGAGAATGGCCACATTTTGGGCATATGTACACGCCTCTGGTCATCTTCATTCCGCAGTAAACACAGTTCTTCGCAATGTACTGGTATAACTTATCGGTGATAAGCCCATGGCTCCCCGCTGCTGTCGTGTCCTCCCAGCTGATCTTTCCCCTGTGTGAGTCCGTAACAGGTATTGATAACGTATAGTTGAATTTTAGGAGCTCAGTACGGCGCAAGACATGGCCCCAAGTGTACAGAATGTTCGCGTACTCGTCACGATACCTGTTGTACCTCCCATCCTCCGGATCTATGAGGGATATCCCAAACGTCTCTTCAGAATACCCCATCTCGATTTCGTTGAACATTTCAACTTTTACATTGAGATGAGGAGCACCCCGAATATCGGTGCAAACACTGGGGCTTCTAGAAAATGGGAAACGATAGTGTGAATCAGAATAGTTTGAGCCTGTGCCAGTATCGCTCATCGACGCCAGACGATAGTTTCTAAAAGATCCGATTTCCACACTAGGCGACTGGGTGTTCTCGTCTTGTTTGGAGAACAGAGAAGGGTACAGAATGCAGCTCATCATTGCAAGCATTTGCACGTTTTGAAGCTTCTCGTAGTACTCCATCATCTCCTGTATCAACCAAGTCCGACCAAATGGATGTACTCCCCAGTAGAAATTCTTGTTCAAAATGAATGATAACACCATCCAGGAATCGTATAAGTCAGTGTATCCATATCTGGCACACACATTAGCATTGTGCAATGCCAATTCATCTGGGGGTGCTCCGGTGATGGAATACTCCTCTGCTAGCTCCATCTTTGCGGGTATAAGATCTTGGAAATCGAAGATTGCAACAATGTTCTTGTCAATAACGTTCGACGTGTTGTTTGACTTCTCAGTCGGTAATGAATCATGGTATTGATAATTTTGGATCTTGAAAACTCCAGGCAATCTGTTCCTCGTGTCCTTTTGTAAAATGTCGTTCCAATCATCGTTTAAACTGTCATCACTTAACTGGTCATCGTCGTATATAACTTTGTTGCTGAATCCACCCTGATCAAATTTAAGGGTCTTCTGTGACTTATTCTGTTGCTTTGGTATGAAAAAACATACGAGTTGTCCAGTTTTAGTCCATGATGCTCCACATCCTTTAGGAATTGGAGTACTGTCAAAAGTTGTCGCCTTGCCCAATATAGATGATCTCATTGGGATTAATTCGTCTTCTTCATCCTCATCACTCGATTCAACACTTGACTGTAAAGACTCAAATCCGTCATCCATCTTGAGATCGTCATCTGAAACATCCCCGGTGTCAATGTCATACAAGTTATCCAAATCGATCTTTTCACCCATCAGGAATCTCAAACATGGTTCTAATGAGAATCTGTTCACCTCTGAATATTTAGAAGAGATTTCCGTTAAATGAGCTAAAATTTCTTGCCTTTTATCGTTGGAAAGCTCTCGATTCTCTTCAATGCTGAAAATTGGAGGTTTGCTAGGATACTCTCTTGGAAATTTGAACTCTACTCTCATGAAAACCAGGCTATCATTGTCACCACTAGACCATGGTCCATTCAACGAAAACACTAGAGTACCAGTGGAGACTGAAATCTTTTCAAACTTAACCTTGGGGAACTTATGTCCAACAACACTTACTTCCTCCCCGAGATTTCCAGGTGAGCTGTCAACTATTAAACTGTTTGGATTCTGGGTTTGCAAAGGTGGTGCAAAGGCTGATCTTCCAATTCTCACACCAGATATCCAATTGAGGTGATCGTCAGTACTTCTTCCCCCGCTTACACCACGACTGGATACGAATGTATCCTTTGTCTTGTTCAACGTGAGTTCACTCTCTTTAACCCCTGGCTCCTCGCTATAAGTTCTATAGTCATAAGGTTCCAGGTCCATCGCACCACCTCGGTGGAAGTCCAATTTGTCGTACAGTTCGTTGTCCAAGCTCCAAAGCCTTAAATCGCAGTCTTTTGACCAAGTCACAAGTTGATATTCCCTATCGTCAATTCCATTACTAGAGTACCTCTTTCTCCAAAGAAAGTCCGTCACTCTGTCTGAATGGCCTTTAAACACTTGGCAAGCATCTAAATTGGACTCTCCTTCCAACTCTGAGTGATTGGTGAGGTAAATTGCGTTCGATCCTCCTCTCAACGGCATGATAGCACAGCCATGTCCAAAGGGTAAATGTCTAGCTCTCCAAACCGGGAACCCCGTATGAATGACGCTCTTTGCAGTGGTCAAATCTTCTGACAAGTCCCAGAACTTTACAGTTCCATCGTTAGAAGAACTGACAATCTTGTTCTCGTGTGTCCTGCTGAAATCAACACTGTTTATCTTTCTATGGTGGGCATCAATTTTATGTAGCGGTTTGATGTTGTTTCTCAAATCCCATACGTAGAAGTAATGGTCATGTGATGAAGATAGTATGTTTGGATTCTGGAAGTTCCACTTCACTTGGGAAGCACCTGCCCTCCAGTCTGCCACTGAGTAGAAAGGTCTCTTTGGCTGACGGGTATCCCAACCAAGGACAAACGTATCAACAGAGCAGGTAGCTAAAAGATCAGGATGGTTAGGATGGAAGTTGATGTCAGTTATGGCACGAGTATGGCCGTGCAGCACGTGCTCTATAGCGTTATCGGCTTTTCTAGCCAAGTTCCACACTGTAGCTTTCTGATTTGATGTTGAGATAACCCACGCAGGTTTTGAAGCATGTGGCGACCATTGAACGTCAGCAACTTCCCACGAGGTCAAGTGGTGCAGCCATCTTGGTGGTTTAAAGGGGTCGTCGAGGTCGACAACGTATAATCCTCGGCGCCTGGTGGTTGTTAGTACTTCATTCAATCTCATCCTATGGAAGACTCACCCTGCTAGAACAACATCTCGACCGCTCGGGCTAATAGAAACAGCGCCAACGCCGCCATCGACCCTCAGCGATAGGGAGTTCCCAAAGGTTATGGAATCATATGGGTTGGCCTTATCCTTATTTGCCATTGTATAATGCCGCCATGAAACTATCACTGTCTCGTTGTTTATAGCTGCTCTATATGGGAACCTATGGAAAAAACTGAAAATTAGGGATGGAGCGCAATGGTCACAACATCGCCAGTTTACGAAGCGTGTATCAGATACAGAGATATCATCAATTATTCAATAGATGGTTCAATATAGCGAGAAATAAATAGTATGTCGTATAGAGCATAACAACCTGTATATAGTAATCCGAATTAAAATAAAACCCCATAAGTTCCCTGCAAAATGGGAACAAAGCAAAAAAAAATCAAAGAGAATTAAAAATCTAATGTCATTAGCAGTTTCGTCAATGGACATTTCTGGTCCATGGTATTTGTCTTGGTTTTGCTCTTCTGTCATGTTGGATAGCATTTCATTGACTGGCGAGCCATCTTGAGTTGCACCATCCCTTGACAACAAATTGTGTTCCTTTGCCCAACACGCCACGGGGACCCAAGTCCCCATTACGTTCGTCTTCAAACTTGACCCATGGTTTCTTAGCATTTGTCGCCTTCAACGACGTCATAGAGCCCGTGCAGTTCTTATCCACTTGGATGTACTCCGGCGCATGTTCAAAGGCTGGGTCTTCACGTGGGGGTAGGACCACACAGCTCCACAAGCGCTGGCGAACAACAAGAGCAAATTCACGGTCTGAGCCTCTGAAATATGCTGGGTCCTCCAGGAAGCGATTCTCCTCGTCCTGTGAGATTTCTGGTAGCAAGTTGTTCTCCCTTGCGGATGCCTCATGCGCATAAAGTCTCAAGAACTTGGAGTTGATTCTGGCCTCACGGGCCCTATGCACAGTGATACTGTCGCTTGAGGACGACGGCTGAGAGGTCACATTGTACGTCTCCAGTTCCTGTGTGAAATTGTCCTCAAGGAGACGTAGTGGATGTCTGTCATCTGTTAAGCGCGGTTGGATTCCAAACAGCAAATCGTTACTCTTGTGTGTGACCGTTGATGTTGAGTTCGTCAAGGACTTGATGGAGCGTGTGAGGTTGGACACAAACGACGCCCTCTTCGTTAGCGAAGGCTCCGCTTCCCTGGTGCTCAACGGCATTATGAGCTGCACTTTCGACGAGACGAAGAACTCCTCCTCGACATCGTCCATGCAGCTAATGGGGCATTCCAAAGGGTGCGACTCACACGACTCCATCTCGGAGCTGGAAACTGTGAACAGTGAGCTCGAGCAGCTTATGGCCGACGAGTTCACAGTGTCATTTGAAGACACGCTGTGGTCTCTTAGGCATAGCTGTGAACATTTCCGCTGGTCTAATATGCTCTGTAGCGACGGCGTCGTTGAGCTTGTTGTATTGGCTGCTGTGATGCCAGCGCCTTGGCTCTTCGCGGGAATCGGTATCGCAAAGGGCTCGGTAGAGCTATCCTCTAAGAGTATCGTGGATACCTGAACAACCATCTCTCCTCGTTTCTAATTCCGTTATGATGTTAACAAGCACCAAGTATTCATACACTTGCTGACTGTGATAATAAAGACAGAGACTTTAAAGGAGATTCCAAACTTCTCCTTCAACAACAAATCTCCCACTTCTTGGGGAGCCGCAAGAGACAAGCGTTTGCTCTTATAAAATAAACCCGTATCGTGTTAAGCTTCCTGTTCTGTGTCGATGACCTGAACTGGCAACCGCACAGGTGGTTTGCGCAGCAGTGCCGATCCATATTTCTTTTTCCTTCTCGTTTCAGAAATAGTTTCCAGTAAGCCGCCGGCCAGGAATCAACGAAGTTTGTGCGTGGCGGATTTCGATATCCGTGGCACATTTGGCGGTGTTGGACCTCCTATGTTTTAAAGCGGGAAATGTGTTGTAGGATGGAGGAGTAGCAGCTGAAGTGGTGGATGACTTGTTTTTACAGTGGGAATTGTTGCTGTCCTTGTAAAGAGGGCGAGAAGTTCTTTGCCACCAATCATAGACCAGTTAAAGAGAGCCGATCGAGCAATGGGCTATGCTTGGAGCCGTTGGGGCTGCTTACACAGAGCGTTGGCATGCTCAGCGTGCCACTGTGTTTAGCACAACGTATTCAGGAATGTGTGTTGGCCTACGGAGCATAGACGTGCCGTATGTGTAACTCATTACATGTTCCGAAGTTGTGCACTTTCAACGGAGAACTCACTTCTCGAAGACGGCTGAGCGCGCCTCAGCTGCTTATGCGCGGAATATGTTTCCCTTCCTATTTAACCTCCACCAACTTTCCGAGATCTCTGGGCTGGTGATTTCGATACACACACGCACAGAGCGTCTGAGCACTGGCCTGGCCTGCCCGGAGTTCTCAAGTTGAGAACTCCGTGTCTGTGTTGTGTGTGTTTTTGGTGGGCCAGGGGGGAAACACGGCAAGGGGGTTGTTGCCTTTAGGGGGAAGGTTAAAGCCATGTACAAAGATTCTCGTGGCATGCACCTTCCAGGTTAAGTACAGACCTTACAAGGACTCTGTGCAAATCGATTAAACGTCGCAGCAGGTCTAAAAACCAAAGAAGCTCTGCGCATCTGTCACATTAATATTGGGTGATATTACCAGTGTCAAATATATGGGTTTGCATCATCTCAGGAGATGACAGTGTGAATTATGAAATGGTTTTGAGTTTACTCGACACTCGGTGTTCTCCACAGTGATACAGACACCTGTCCAGATTGCCGCCTCTAAATTTCAAACGACTGCCTTTCGGATTCGTGTGGCGCTTACCTACTAAAAGGCACAGAACTACTGGCTTTGGTTTCTTGGTGGCTCACCGGAACCACAGCTTCCATTGGAGAATTTACCCCAGCCCTCATTGGTTTTAATTACCTCACGTTATGTCCATGAAGATACTGGTCACAACACTTGTCCATCAATTGAGATCAAACTGTGACAGAGGTCTGTGATGATTACACTAAAAGTCTGTGATTGCAATATATCATTCTTCATGCGACGTACAACACAGTAGCGCTAAAGTATGATTTGTTGCACTTCAATCATAAGGGGGTGTCTAGGTGTGGTTTTACCTTTCAGGCATTTGGCAATCTTTCCATTTGGAGTAATTCGAATCTTTCCGTTTTGGGTAGTTCTCAGTCTTTTTTTTTTCGAAATTTCGGATCACTTTGCTCTAAGGTCATTCAAATTTGCTAGGCATTAGCTAGAATGTCCAACTTAGTGACATACACATCAGTATCCTACATGCTTCTTTCATGTATCCTTTTCAATTGAAATCACAATTCTTAGATCGAGCCTGGAGACTACAAAAAGAGCTTACACAGGTCTTACTGATTTGGGTAACATTTAGGGGAAAATCACTTGAATTCCGAAAATTTCATCCCCTTCACCCCTCACACCCGGACACCTTACTTTCTAAAGCGGCCGTTTGGACTTTTTTGCAGGAAACACCCCGCCTGAATGATCTAGGCTCTTTCAATTGGCCACAACATCCATTTGCGTTGGGGAATCATGTAGCTGATAGCGCCAAAAGTAAGGGATTCTGCATAGGGGCTTATCAGACAACATAGCAATCAATTTCGGTTATTCCCCTGATAAGAGCGCAAACAAACACATATATAATCTCTCCTTCAGATCCAAAGGCTCAGAACACGATAACATGACGTCGGCAAGCAATCACAATTCAACCAAGCGGTTGTGGCCGAAGTAGTATCTCCATGGATTCATGACGATAAACTCATATCCAAATAGTACGAAAAGCAACATTGTATCAATCCACATGGTCTCCTTTATTGACTTATCCTTAAGACCCCATGTGAGTCCGAATATCAGCGCACCAATAGGGACTCTGAAGCCTATTCGCCAAAATTTGGACACCTGGTGGAAGCCTGGATCAGTCCTGTCAAGATCCATTGCTGCTATCACTGTTAGTGCGCACAGCGCAACGAAAATGCCCACATGGTAGTAGAATAAGACGCCGTATTCCTCCGGTTCCAGATAGTTCACATGTATCTTTGACAGATCAGCTCCAGCATCTCCAACAATAAGCAAGGCCCCAATGACAAAGAAGTGCGAATAGATATAAACCATCGATGTGGTTGGTGAATTGCGCAATGCGTGAGTTGCTTTTCTTGAACCATCCTTGTGAGAATAGAGAGCCATGAATAAAACGGCATTGATCAACAAGCTGATACCCTTTGATAACCTGTCGTTCCATCCAACGGACAGGGGAGACTCGGCGTTTATCGAGTACACAAACTCACCAATGGCAATGACGTAGAACGAGTGGAAACGTTCATCCTCATGTTCGATGTTCAAAGCTGTTGAATACTCCAGTTTTAACAACCGCTTAAACCATGGATGTACGCTAATTCCATACTGTAGCTGTTCCACAAGAAGCCAGATCAGCGCAAATACGCCTCTGTACCCAAACGTTGGAATGAGAAAGATGAAGTACCAGCATCCACTAGTAAACAGTACACAGCAAGCGTAGATTCTCATCTGTGTTCGGTGTTCTTTGACCCATATTGAATAAAACAACAGTATCAGCGCAAATGAAAATCCAGCACTTGTATAGCTGATAACAACAGCTAACCATGCGCTTGTGTTGTTGACGTCATCCAAAGCTTCGCAATTGTTGTCGTAGATGAGCAACAGCACCAGCTCCCATACGACAAAGACCATTTGTAACAAGTCTTCGTTGTAATAATAGTTCATGAACTCCTTCAATGATGACCAAATCATCCAAGCAGGTGCAAACAACAATATGTACTTAGCAGCTGAGGCCCATGAGTGTGATGCAACTGCACTCGATGCTAGATTTGCAGCAACACCAACATACACCAAGTCGATAAACAACTCCATGATACTTGAAGACCGTTCATGTTTTGTTCTGTACAACACACCGTTGTAGAAGAAATTCAAGGCATAAGGTGTTGTGAAGTATGGATTCCTCTCAGGAGGTTCAATGAACTTGACCGAGACGTCTCCATACTTTGAGATGAACTCTGCCACTTCGGCGTTATCTTTGAAAATTCCCTGCGGATCCAACCCCTCGGAGTCAACCTCAACGTTTGCGGGCTCACCAGCGCTGCGCTGTTCCTGTGAGAATGGATAGGGCACGCTACTTGAAGTCATAGTGTACGCTTCTTTTCTCAATTGACTGGTTTCCCAAGTGGGCTCGCCGGTCCTTTTATATACTTGCACATTGCTACATCGTGGGCTTCAAACTTTGATCATCGTCACAATTCTAACCCACTATGCGTCAAAGTGTGCATACACCTTGCTGGGTTATGCACATGCTTCACAATTCCACAAAACGCATTGCAATGTATCTATACTACTCAAAACTGCTTTTAAAAATATACGAGAATTGCAATTAAAACCTCCTGCTCGCTTGACGATACTAATCAATGAGCCGTAAAGCCACCAGAAGCGTAGATTGTTTGACCAGTGATCCAGTGACCCTCAGTAACCAAGAATCTCACAATTGGAACAATGTCCTCAACCTCTGTCAAACGGCCACCTAGACCCATGGTCTTAAAGAAAGCCACGGATTCATCAGTCTCTTGACCGTAGAGAAATGGTGTGTCCATTGGACCTGGTGCAACACAGTTGACGTTCACGCCCTTTGAGTGCAACTCCTTTGACGATGTTTTGGTAAAGTACTCAACAGGTGCCTTTGCACCTTGGTAAATACCATAACCATCGCAGTAAGCAGCCAAGAGGGATGTCACCAACATAACGATTGAGCCTCCATCGTTGATATACTGGGACGCAAACTTCAAGAACTGGAATGAAGCCTTTGAATTGATGTCAAACATGGTGTCGTACTCTGCCGTAGTGACTTTTGCAATTGGCTTCTTCAAAACCATACCAGCATTGTTAATGGCAATATCAACGCCGCCAAATTTGGCCTTGGCCTCCTCAAACAGCTTTTTAGCATCCTCCTCCTTAGCCAAATCACCTTGAACGGCAATTGAGTCAACGCCGTACTCTGACTTCAAACTCTCGATCAGGCTTGAGGCTTGAGACTGTTCAGAATCAGAGTGGAAGGCAATCACAATGTTTGCACCGAGCCTTGCCAGCTCCTTAACAGTCTCAGCACCGAGGTTCTTCGTACCACCAGTGACAATTGCAGTTTTTCCTTCAAGAGAAATGTTCAATGGAGCCATGATTGTAGATATTATAGTGTTTTTCGTTATCGGTACCAAATACTTTCAATTCAATTCCATCGTCAATGGAAGATGTTTGATCCCCTTTTATAATTTTTCTCACACCCATGAACTGCACTCATTATCAAAATCCACAGCTTCCGCTAATGCAAAGGAGTCCATAATAGGACAGTGGCCACCCGTCTATGACAACCCAAATGTTAACCCCTTTGTTTTGCGTTTCCTTCACCTATAAAACTCCACAAACTTCAACCTCAAATGGAAGCAATTTTGGGTCTATGCATGAATGTGCATCCGCGATTCTTCCCCTTTTCAGCTTCCAACAGTCCGCAAAAACCGGGGGCCCTCTTCTTATGTAATAGACATTGTGTTTGGGTGTTGTGCTCCTACCGAGCACTATCACCCTTTTTTAAACCCTTTTGCCACAAACGAAGAACCCAACAAAGGCAGTCACAGCGGTGAAATAACATCTACTTCTCAGCATAAATCGACGGCTAAAGACATGTCATATCAACCAGCAAGCAATCCACCTGCGTACACAGATGATCCAAATGCGCCTCCGTTACACGATCCATTGGCGGATGATTTCAAGTATGATACCGTGGTTTCCGGCTGTGAGTTGAGCATTCGTCAACAGTTCATCAGAAAGGTGTATACATTGCTCTTCTTGCAATTGCTTCTGACGACAGGCCTTGGAGCGCTCATCTCGATGAATGATACTGCAAAGAGCTTTGCCCTGAACAACACTTGGTTATTCTTTGTGAGTATCTTTGGTTCATTTGCCTGCTTAATCGGAGCCTTTATTCAAAGCAAGAAGTACCCTGTAAACTTGGTCCTATTAGGACTCTTTACTCTATTTGAAGGGTACACAATCGGTGTCGCGACGAGTCTCTATGACAGCGGGATCGTTATCGAGGCGCTAGTTATAACTTTGGTGATCTTTGTCGGGTTGACGGCATTCGCATTCCAATCCAAGTACGACTTCACATCTTGGGCAGGCGTGTTGAACTCCTGTCTCTTTGCACTTATCGGTATTGGCTTCATCCAAATCTTCTTCACCCCTTCAAACACCATGGAATTGGTATACAGCGGTATTGGAGCCATCGTCTTCTCCGGTTACATCTTGGTTGATACTCAACTCATAATGAGAAAGTTCAACATTGAAGAAGAAATACCAGCCGCAATCACGTTGTACTTGGACATCATCAACTTGTTCTTGAACATCTTGAGGATCCTTTCTTCCAGTAGCAACGATAACTAATCACGCGAGAACATTATGTCTGTAACGCAATCATTAATCCCAAAGATGTGTGAAAACCACTCGTGTTTTGTAGTTGACGAGAAGCGATGAGAGCTCCACGGCGGGTTGTGTCACAAAAATTCTCGGAAGGAGGAGAAAAAAAAACAACACTCAACAAGGTGTATACCACGTTCTACAGAAGGAACACTTCTATACATAGCGAATCGAAAGTATACCATGTCAGATGCCTCCAGCTCATCTCAGAGTACATGTAAGTGTCTGTAAATGGCTGGTTTCGAAACATGTTTTACTGACATGCCATGGGAAGTGCTCTATACAACCCTTACAGTCAACTCCACAACACTGTTTACCCTTGAATCACCTTCACTGGCGCAGTTGGGACTCTTTTCGCTCCCTGAAAGGATTTCATCGCAGATGTCACTGATAAACTCGTCCTCCACTCCAATGGGTGAGATTCCAATGGAAATCGGGTCTACAACTGTCACTGTTATGTACGTCAAAGAGATTGTACAAGATGATATTGTGACGGTGGTTACCGCTGTGGATTCTAACATGAGTAAGGTCTTACCGATCACAACTCTTCAAAGACTACTGCAGGAATGGAAGCTTTTCAAGGAGGATGAACATAACAGAACGATAGCCTTCAAAGTTACATTCAACCACGTCATTAAGCATCTCGAAAATGAGTTCTCGAGGAGTGGGTTGCGCAATACAAGGGATGAGCTCGAGAGAACAAGACAGGTTATGGAGGATAACATCGAACGAGTTGTGGAGCGCAACGAAAGGATCGGATTGCTGGTTGATAAGACGGATAGATTAACTGAACTGAGTAATGGGTTCAGGGGTTCCGCCACTAGGGTAAAGCGGGCTATGTGGTGGCACAATTTCAAATTTTGGGTTGCTATCGTCATAGTTGTCATTTTACTTTTGTTCATTTGTCTAAAGGCCATTTAGGATTGGTTATGGTAAACAATGAGCTCTCTGGCATTGTTGAAAGTCCAGTGAGTGTTTTCCGTTCTATGAGCCATGTATATCACCACTTTGTCCTCGTTTTGTGTAGTTGCTACGTCTGTACTCTTTTGACAATTGGTATCTATTTCATTCTTGTTGACTTTCAGTTTCAGCATCACTTACGGTATCTTCCCTCGAGTCTGACTTGAGCTTCTTTGAAACTGGTCCTCTGGTTTCCTCGATCTGCGTTTCCTCATTATCAAGAGTCTCCATGCTATCAACTTCTTCTACTGTTTCATTACCATTATCTTCTTGTTCGTCAATCGTCTCCTCGCTCGCCTCTTTCATCTTTTGATCAGGCACAACATCAGACTGTGCTGTTACTTGAGTTTGAGACTGGGCCAGTGCCTGTGCCAATTTTTCCTCTCTTTTCTTCTTCTTTTGAGCATCCTTACGAGCTTGGAAAGAATCCAGCTCTTCACTCACCGAAGGGATGAATGAAGAAAATTCAGCCTTTTCAAGTGCGTTGATTATATCCTGTGGTCCAATGGTCTTTCTATCAAACTGTTTGGCATGTTGTCTAGCACTGTAGGAGAAGTCGTTAGTACTTCTAATCACCACTTCTGAAGACTAATAGCCATACGTACTGCACTAAGAGGTAGCTCACAAAGACTGTGGAGCTCCGCTGTAGGGCTGTTGAACTGTCTTTGGAAATCAATCCTCCCTCTGGTAAAATGGCCCTTGCCAATTTGTTCACAGTCGCCTTGGGAAAAAGGATATCCTCAATGGAGATCATATCCCTCTCCTTGGTGGAAACAGGATAGCTTCCATCTGAATTCTTTCTCCATCCCTTTGGTGGCATCTCTGTCGAGTTGGTATCGGTATTGAATGTGGAAAAGGGAAAGTATCTTGAGACATATAGTTGTTGGTGGTGGTGATGTTGTTGTTCAAGTACGCGTTTTCGCGTTGCGGTGTTTCGATGCTTCTGTTTCGCAACTTTTGCGCAAATGTTTTACGCAATAGTCCGCCATATTCCTGTTTAGGAAACTTCGGCGCCATTACCCGAAAATTTGGGAAAAAAAGCGTCGACGGAGAAAACCAGCTAATCGGACGGGGAGTAAACATAATCACACACATCGCAAACAAATTGCTCGGAGATCCATCTTTGAAGAGAGGGAACATATTAAAGAAGTTGAGAGATTAAAGGCTTTGAACGTACATTTACTCTTTCAAATTGTAGAGCTCTCTCATTGGTTGAACTGGACCCTGGTGTTTTGTCTGCTTATCTTTTGTTCTTGTTTTCCTGGTCGTATAATTCTGTCTAGTTTCATCACAAAGAGGAAGAAGAGCGGGTCATACTGTGGTGGATTCAATATTGCTGGCTGTATAGAAGAGATATACGATATATATTAAAGGCTTTGTGACGAGATGTCTACGCATGAATTGGAATCTATTGGTGTTGACCACTTGATTGCCGAGCCTGAAGACATTAATATGGAGCATGTGAACGGGCTCTACGATCACGATGGTGATGCTCAAAGGGTGGGGGATGATGAAAATTCTGCTCTAGAAGACAACACCGCGGCCTCTGCTGCTGCCGCCGCTGCCGCTGCCGCCGCTGCTGAGAAGCAACAGGAGAAGCATGATAGAGAAGTTGAATTAAGAGAACAAGATAGATGGCTACCTATTGCAAACGTTGCCAGGTTGATGAAGAACACTCTACCGTCCACTGCCAAGGTGTCCAAGGATGCTAAAGAGTGCATGCAAGAATGTGTATCGGAGTTCATATCGTTCATTACAAGTGAGGCAAGTGATAAGTGCTTATCTGAAAAGAGAAAAACCATCAACGGTGAAGATATTCTCTTTGCCATGGCCAGTCTCGGGTTTGAAAACTATGCTGAAGTGTTGAAGATCTACTTGGCCAAGTACAGAGAGCAACAAGCGTTGAAACAGGAGCGTGGAGAGAATAAAAGAACGAAAAAACAACAACTCCAAGATCACGAACAACAGCAGCAACAACAACAACTTTACGATCAGCAGCAACAGCTGGAAAGAGAGATGACCAACATCCCCGATGATGAGATAGACATTGAGAATCCCATCCCTAATGACTTAATGAATATAAAAGCCGAAGAAGACGAAATGCTCAACCTCGATGGTGATGACGCTGACGATGGACAAGATCAACACGGCACGAGTCAGAGAAACAATAGGCCTTCGAATAGCGCACATTCCCGAGACCCAGACGTACACAAGGGTCCCACTACTGCTCAAAGCCACGATTATAGTCGAGCTACGAAAGGTGATGAGGTACTATACGATTACACCTCTGGCTACTAGAAGCGAAGGAAACTGCCGACTGCCCTTCTTATTTATATCTGTATAAACTCTTGATGTATATCTGTGTATTCTACATGACTGCGGTTTGTTTCACATCACTTGTCGTTGTATGTGTTTAATGCCAAATTGGTGAAGCCGAAGTAACTCCGTGGACTCCAGGGGGGAAAGAGAAATGTCTGGATGTTTTTCGCCCACGTCCGACTCTCAAAGTGTCGGGACGAATTGGTCTCTTCAAAGAACACACACCTTTTCCAGATCATAAGGAATAACAACGCTCAATTTCAAGACTATCGAGGCCACAACTCACCGTTATAAGAGGTTGAAATATGCTATCTGCTAGACGGTCTTCAGTATCAGCAGCGCGCGCTGCTGCCCGTCGTGTGCTGAATGGTGTAAACACAAGTGTCACAATCAGTCCGGTGGCGTCACAGCTAAGATTCGCTTCCTTTGTGCCAGTCAACAAGAAGCCAGTGCACCGTCTTGATGATGCTATTCTACATCAGGACATTCCTATGGTCAATCTGTTGGAACAGCTCAATGGGCTCAAACCGTTGAGTCTCAAGGACGAATCTAAGCCTGATCAAGGCAAGGACGATAGCGTTGGGGAATCTGACAAATCTGACAGCACGGAGAAGCCAGAGAAATCTGATAAACCTGAAAAGCCCTTGAAGAAAGAGAGAAAGAGAAAAACACCAGATGCTACTGAAGACTCTAAGGTGAAGAATGAGACTGCTGCTGCTGCCACGTCTGCCTCAGCGTCCGGTGAAGCATCCTCTGGTGGTGCCGGTGACGATGGCTCAGGTGACAAGAAGAAATCTTCAGCACTACCAGTTCCCGAAGTTTATCCACAGGTTCTTGCCCTGCCAATGTCCCGCCGTCCATTGTTCCCTGGATTTTACAGACCTGTTGCCATTACTGATCCGCAGGTTATCAAGGCTATCAATGAACTTTGTGACAAGAAGAAACCATACATTGGTATTTTCCTCTTCAAGGATGAGAACGCCGATGGTGATGTGATTACAGATCGAGACCAGGTCCATGAGGTTGGTGTTTTTGCACAAGTCACCTCGAGCTTTGTATCCAACGACGAGATGACTGGTGTCGATACAATGACTATCATTGCATATCCACACACAAGAATCAGAATCGATGAACTCCTACCACCTAAGACTCCGCAGGAGATTGAACAAGAATTGGCTGATAATACTTTATCCATTGAAACGGAAGTTGAAACTGAACTTACAAATGAAGGTAAAGATCTGTCTTTGGCAAAGACTCAAGAGGAGAAAGAGGAGCGTGTCTTGAGTAAACTCGATGAGGAGAACGAATACAACCCTACGGAATTTATCAAGAAATACGAGGTCACTAGGGTCAACATTACACCATTGGAGGATGAAGCATACGATAAAAAATCACCTGTCATTAATGCACTAACCTCTGAAATTCTCAAAGTCTTTAAAGATATTTCCCAGGTCAACAGCATGTTTAGAGAACAAATTGCAACATTCAGTGCTACTATGCATGGATCTACAAATATCTTTGAACAGCCTTCAAAGCTTGCTGACTTCTGTGCCGCTATCTGTGCTGGTGAGCCTCAGGAATTGCAAGATGTGCTCGATTCTTTGAACATCGAGGATAGGTTGGAAAAGGCATTGGTTGTTCTGAAGAAGGAAGTTATGAATGCTGAATTGCAAAATAAGATTACTAAGGAGGTTGAGAGTAAGATCCAAAAGAGACAACGTGAATACTATTTGATGGAACAACTTAAAGGTATCAAGAGAGAGTTGGGAATCGACGATGGACGTCAAAAGCTCATTGACACATTCAAAGAGAGAGCAGAGAAGTTGAAATTACCACCAGCAGTTCAAAAGGTATTTGATGAGGAAATTTCTAAGCTGTCCACTTTGGAGACTGCAATGTCTGAATTTAGCGTTACAAGAAACTACTTGGATTGGATAACGCAATTGCCTTGGGGTAAGTACACTAAGGAGAGTTTTGATATCATCAACGCTAAAAAGATCCTGGATGAAGATCATTATGGTTTGGCTGATATCAAAGATCGTATCTTGGAATTCATTGCCGTCGGTAATTTGCTCGGTGCCGTTGATGGTAAGATCATTTGCTTTGTTGGTCCACCAGGTGTTGGTAAGACTTCTATCGGTAAGTCTATTGCGCGTGCATTGAACAGAAACTTCTTTAGATTCTCTGTTGGTGGTATCTCAGATGTTTCTGAGATCAAAGGTCATAGAAGAACGTACATCGGTGCTCTGCCTGGTCGTATAATCCAAGGTTTGAAGAAGACACAGTCTCAAAACCCATTGTTCTTGATCGATGAAATTGACAAAGTCACGCATGGAGGTTCTCAAGGTGATCCTTCTGCCGCTTTATTGGAATTACTGGATCCAGAACAAAACTCTGAGTTTTTGGATCAATATCTGGATATCCCAGTTGATCTATCCAAGGTTTTGTTTGTGTGTACTGCAAACACCTTGGACACTATTCCAAGACCTTTGTTGGATCGTATGGAGGTTATCGAACTTCCAGGTTACGTTGCAGAGGAGAAGGTTAAAATTGCAGAGAATTATCTGATTCCATTGGCCAAGAAGGGCTCTGGTTTGGAGGATGCCAATGTCAAACTAACCACGGAAGGTGTTGAGTATATTGTGAAACACTATGCTAAGGAGAATGGTGTCAGAAGATTGAAACAACTCACTGAAAAGGTTTTCAGAAAGGCTGCCTTCAAAGTTGTCAAGCAGGTAACGGAATCAACTGAACTTGCTAAGGAACAGAAGGAAACTGCTAAAGAGACTGCTGAAGAGAGCAGTGTCACGAATGAGTCCCACAAGGAAACTGAGAAGCAGGAGATTGTTCCTAATCTTGAGCATAATAAGCCTTTGGAGACCAAAGAGACCGTTCTCGAGGAGAATGCTGAGGTTCAAAGACTACAAGTTCCTGAAGATTTCGAACTTGAAATTACACCGCAAAATCTGAAAGAATTTATTGGGCCTCCAATCTACCTCACAGATCGTTTGTACGAGACCACACCTCCAGGTGTTGTCATGGGTCTTGCCTGGACTTCGATTGGTGGTACGTCCATGTACGTTGAGGTCACTGCTGAGAAGGCTGTCGATGAATCTGGCAAACCACAAGGTGGACACCTATCGGCGACTGGCCAATTGGGAGACGTGATGAAGGAGTCGTCCAAGATTTCGTTCTCCGTGGCAAAGCAGTACGTTGAAGACGACTTCTTCAAGACACACAACATCAACTTGCACTGTCCTGAAGGTGCAGTTCCGAAGGACGGTCCAAGTGCCGGTATCACGTTAACCACGGCGTTGATATCCCTGGCCAAGAACGTTCCCCTTCCTTCGATCGCCATGACCGGTGAGATCACGCTGACTGGTAAGGTGCTCAGAATCGGAGGCCTGAAGGAGAAGCTGATTGCGGCAAAGCGCAACGGCGTCACAACGCTGTTCCTTCCAAAGGACAACCAAGGTGACTACGACGACCTTGCTGAAAACTTGAGACAAGGGTTTGATGTGACGTTCGTCGACAACTACAGCCAGATCTACAACAAGCTCTTCAAGTAACTCGTTTAGCACATGAATATACTAACCCATGTGTCTGCTCACCAGAGGCTTAACTATGGATTCATCGCCCTCTGTACGCAACTCACTGCCTCAGCCACCTGTACATAGAGACTGTAATTGCGCAACCATTCCACGGGCTCCTTTTTGTATACAGTGATTAGTAGTGGAGAACTCACCGACGATCCCATCCAGCGCCCGTTACATCTGGTATAAAAGCACTGGTTATGTCAGATTGGTGAATATTAAACTGATGTCCTCGGCCAATCAGCGTGTCCCTCCCTGCCTCGCCATGGAAAACGTTGGACAGAAAGCACGGACAAATCACGAGCAAAGCGCACTGCTTATCGGGAAACTACGACACGACCGCTGACGTCATGGACACGCCCAAACACCAGTGGCGCAAAAGCAGGCACTGGGAATGGCGCGAAAAGTGGTGCGAAAAATGGCGGAAACAGTGGCGCAGCGGAGAAACACAAACAGACAACAAATAATCTCCGCACAGCCAAAAAACGCACAGAGAAAACCACAAACGTGGCCCAAGCACCCGATACCGTTTTGTGCAAAAATGTCACCAGCAGCGAAATTTGGCAACTGGAAACACGCGCAGGTCCCCGGTGCATTTTCCCTGGCTTTATCACAAGATTTGAAACTGTATCAGAGGACCAATTTCTTTTCTGTTGCTTCCTTCTTCTTCTTCTTCTTCTTCTTCTTCTTCTTCTTCTTCTTGGTCTTCATCACTACATTTCTGTCTTCTCTGTTGACCATTAGCTCTACTCAAAGCGTTTGATGATTGGAGAAGTACTTTCATTCGGAGAAGTTGCCTTTTTGACCTTCCAAGCGGTCGTGGAGGTGATCATCGTCTGTTTGCTGGGATTCTGGGCTGCGAAGGTTGGCTTGTTGAACAAGACTGCACAGAAGCAGATCAGTGCGCTCAATGTCGACTTGTTCACGCCTGCGATGATCTTCAGCAAGTTGGCTCCTTCTCTGAGCCTGAAGAAGCTGTTTGAGATCTTCATCATCCCGGTTTTCTACGCGGTTTCCACGGGTATCTCGTACCTCGTTTCGAGGGCCGTGTCCGCCTACTTGAACTTGGACGAGTACGAGTCGAACTTCGTCACCGCGATGAGCGTGTTTGGTAACTCGAACTCGCTCCCTGTCTCGCTCACCCTTGCCTTGTCGTATACGTTGCCCAATTTGGAATGGGACAACGTGGAGAATGATACGCCAGAACAGGTTGCCTCCCGTGGAATTCTATATCTATTGATCTTCCAGCAGATTGGACAGGTTTTGAGATGGTCCTGGGGCTATAACACATTGTTGAAGAGAATACCCACGCAGCCTATTAATTACACGGAGGAGAATCAGATTGGCGACGCCCACGTGACTGACGGGTACAACAACAAGGGCAGCACTGTTACCTTGGGCGACGAAGTTGCTGATGCTTCAGAATCTTCATCGATAAAGCGTCCAGGCTCTGCTGTCTCTGCAACTACTCCTTTGCTTGCTTCTAGTCCCGCAGGATCGACAGATGCTCTCCAATTCTCCGCTACACCATCATCAGAGATTGCTAGCGGAGATGCCTATGCAGGGAACATCTTCACCAAAATTTACAACAGATTTATGGGCGCAATGAATCCACCATTGTGGGCAATGCTTGCGTCTGTAATCGTTGCTGTGATTCATCCACTCCAGCATTTGTTCTTCAAAGACAACGGTTTTGTCCAGAATACAGTCTCAAAGGCAATTAGCGAACTGGGTGCGGTCTGTATCCCGTTGATCTTGGTTGTCCTTGGTTCCAACTTGTACCCAAGTGACGACATCTTACCGGCAACTCCACACTATACCCGTATCGTTGTTGGTTCCTTGGTGTCAAGAATGGTGATCCCTCCTTTGATCCTTCTTCCGTTGATTGCTGTCTGCGTCAAGATATTCCCGGTCTCTATCCTCGATGATCCTATTTTCCTCGTTGTCGCTTTCATCTTGACCATCTCTCCGCCTGCTATCCAACTATCCCAGATATGTCAGTTGAATGAACTCTTTGAGATGGAGATGGCTGGAGTGTTGTTCTGGGGTTATGCAATCTTGACACTACCTGCAACTATTGGTATCGTTGCTGCTGCTCTCTCGGTTCTTCAATGGGCAAGTCCACCACCAGTGGCCAGTGGTTAACATTATATATATATGAGATACAATACATATCAGATGCTGCTATATGCTAATGTTGATACTCTCTCGTCTTGCTCACTGCCAAACAGTGGAGCTGGTGCTGTTGGTGTCCGGGTGTATGTGTTGATGATAGCTGTGTCTTCAGTTGAAAATTTCTTCCTTTATTAAACACACATGAGCTTTTGCCTTCACGTGCACTCAAGTTGTAACACAGCGGTGCAATTGAACTGTTAAGACTATGGTGGATCAAGGTATGTTGTATGTTTCATTTGAGTGTTATGATCAGGCACTAACAACTGTACAAAAGGGACACAATTAGAGCAAGCGGTCAAAGATCTGTTCACGACTTTGGATAAACAATATACCCAGAACTTTCCCCTGGATCAATACAAGGCCTCCTTGCTGCCTCAGTTGAAGCCTGCATCGCCAGTGATACTTAACGGTAACCCAATAGGTGGTAAAGCGTCATTTCAGGAAGTTTGGATGAAGTTTCCATCGACGCAGCACAGTATCACCTCGGTTGATTACCACATCATAGTTGGCACCGGTACGGTGATAGTAAACATCTCCGGCAAGGTACGATTCGACGAATCCGGCAAGACAAGGCTCGGTGAAACGGCAGATCTACAGATACAGGGCCTGCCAACGGGGCCAAGTGCCACTACTGGTAACAGCGCAAGGGCATTTTGGGGGTCCTGGGTTGGATTTAACGCTAATCTCATAGTTGATGAGACCATTTTCCAGGGAATCAACAATGAGTTGATCAATTCGTTGAACTGGAAAGTTATCTACACTCCAGATGATTCTGCAATCAAGATTTAAATAAGCACCATGAATAATAAAAAGAATGAACCAACTATATATTCTCATAAACCCTCGCGTAAACGTCCCATCCCAAATGTTGAACTACCACTTATGGCAGCTTATGATTTCTCAACATACTGCATCATTGGAACTTCCTCTGCACTTCTGTATCTAACAGATCTGGTTCTACAGCAACAGATACCAAACAGGTTGAACACTGCAGTAATTACAGCACAACCTGCGGCTGCCCATATCAGCCCATAGAAGAGATAATTCTCCAGTGTACCTTCAACACCGTACGTACTCACTTCGTTGTTCAGGTTGTTTCTCAGAATGGTGAACGTACCTGTAGCAGCTCCTGCACAGATTATAAGGGCCAATGCAGAGATCACTCCTACGATCATTGCAACGCAAGAAACGAAATGTGAACAGAAGGAGAAGAGGGTGAATAGGCCAGTGAGGAAGGCCGTACACACACCAATGATCGCAGTGATGAAGATCAACTTCACAACAGTTCTGGCCGTGCTGATGTAATCTGTGAAGTCGGATGGAAGTTCCACGGAGTACTCGTTCTCCAGGGTAGACGTGACCGCATCAATTGGGTCAAACATGTACATTGGTTCGGGATCAGAGCACCACGTAACGTTGTAGTTGTTGTTGTCGTCCGTGGTACCTCTGCAATAGCCCCATAGTCCGAAGCTATACACCGTACTTATGTTCCATGTGTCTGTGTTTGATGATAGCAGCGAGTTCACCGCACTGGTGGCATCTGTGATGTTCAGCTTGAATAGGTAGATCTGATTGATAGGTGCTGAGTTGGTGGTTTGACCAGCAACTGCCAGTGCACCCAGAATGATGGTTGCAATGGATAACACCAACGGGATTAACACATAGCAGAATCTGAATATCGATACCATGTCGTTCTTGTTGCCAATTGGACGCTCTGTAGTCTTTACACCTGTCCCAGTTGTATCAGAAGAGAGCTCTTTGACTTGGAAAGTGTGAATGAGGCCAGATCAGATCAGATCAAAGGAAATTGGCTAAATGTTGGATCAAACGCCAGAGTTTATATATGGATTTGTCTACCAAGACATGCCGGTTGTTTCGAAAAGAACCCGTTTTCGTGTTGATGGTTGGTGCATTACGAGTTTACGCATAAGAACGTTGCTAAATTTAGTTAAAGCCAGCCCAAAAAGCAAAACCGGGCTGTGGGAAAATAACTTCGTCTGCGGCAAGTTATGCGAGGACAAACTCTAATCTGTCCCGTTGGGAGGGACTGGAGACATGTCAAACGTCCGCAGTGGTGTTTTCGGACAGATACGAGGACTCAGACAAACAAGACAGAGGTTTCAAATTCTGGGACAAATTTGGGGTGGTGATCGGACAAATCGCCATGCTTTGGTTTTAGATGGGCTTAGTGCACCTTACATGTCCCATGCTCTCAATTAAGGCTAAGAGGTGTAGGAATCAGGGCTGTGACATTGCCGTGATAATGACTGTTTGGTGCGAGTCCTACATAACGTCACACGTTCCAGAAGAGCAATGGGTGGGCACAGAGAGCCTGGAACAGTGATCATTCCGTCTGTCAATGCCAATGGGAACAGCATTGCCTGGGGATCGCATCGGTCATACAAAGGCGGTGCTTTGGGCAGCAGCAACGACAACAACAACGCGAGACCTGCTTAACTTCGGCTTCTTACGAGGCTTCTGTGCGTGAATCTACCTGAGCTCCCCGTTCTTTGCACGTTCCTCGTGAAGAAGTCAGATGTTCCGTAGTTTAGGAGACAGATATAGGATGTAGATCTTGGCCAATTGCAGAGTGTGTTGGTCATTCTGGCTTGCCAGATAGCTCCTCAAGCCGGTTAGGAGTCTCTCTCCACCGCCAACATGCCAATGACCTGTACGAATGACTCCAGAAGGAATAGCAAACTACGATGGGGTGTAAGAAACCAATCGAGGTCAAAGCATCTTCTTTCTAAATAAGTTAGCCAAGTAAATCACAATTATGCACGCAATAACGTCAGCCAGTAGATTCGTCCAGATCATGGTATAGCCTGTGTCTATTGAAACCATTGCGATTCCTGCACTGGTGGCCAAGTCCGTTATCTTCACCACGTACTGATACGTTAAAGAGCACACCAAGAACCCAGTGAATACGCTAAGAAAGGACGCAGTTAACAAGGATATTACACTAAGCTTCTTCCACCTCTTGGTCTGTCCTCCAGAATCTGCTCCTCCCATCATGAACATAATGGTCAAGGCCATAAAACTGACCAACTGGAAATCCTCAAAGGCATGGTGCAAGGCAGTAAGGCATGCGATTCCCTTGCTGAACTTTTGGAGTAAGATAGCATAGTCGAGAACAGAAGCAGTATCCGACTCGTCTTCCACACCAAGCAATTTATTGAAACTGGATATTGCCAATTCGTAAGTTAAAGCGAAGCTATCACCCATTATCTCAACGTTTGTCCCGGTTAAAGCAGCAAGTTGTACACCAGCATCCCTAATAAGAACAGCCAAAAGATCAAATCCATAGCTGTTCATACAGAAGTAAGAATAATCGCTAGGTGCTAATCGACAATATCCCCAGTAGTTTAGCCTATACACGGTATCCTCATTGAAAGTTTCAATGGCATTGACTCTGTAGTAATCGTCGATCTGTGTGTTGATGAGGTCAATCTCAGCTGTTGTAGCTCCAAAATCCATCAGGAAGTAGGACAACACTTTAAACAGCTCTCTGACGGTTGATAGCACAGATTTGGACGCAGGAGCAGAATCTGCTAGTTGAATTGAGACTTGAGGTATGCAAACACCACTAGGCGCATTCGTAGTGCAAGTCAGAAAGGGTACGCATGAGAGTAACACTGAAGTAGCCAAAATTAGAAACATGACAACAAATACAAACGACAACCATAACGACGGCTTGCCTTTTCCCTTATTTGTTTGTCCACGTGACGATGTTTTGTCATATAAGGCAGATACAACCTCATCAAGGCTCTGCTCTACCGGTGTTTCTTCCTCGTTGTTCTTGTCGCTAGAGCACCGCTGGTCCACTAAAGTCTTGAAGATGTTACTATCATTCTCCTTATCCAAGTTTGTCGTTGTCTCGTTATCGAAGGCCCCGTTCAACTCTTCCTCAAAGCTCTGTCTTCTAGAAGAGCTCAAAGTGGACCCTAATAAGCTCGGACTCATCCTTGCAGTCTTATAAGGAGTAGCATGTCCAGACACTGTGAATGGCGAGAGCTCCTTCTGTAAATGCCACGGGATCTCCCTCTTCGTTAGCGAATCCTGTTCCTGTGCTGACGACTCCTGAGAGTCTGCAACCAATGACAGGTCTGTCGATCCTGAACTTGCAAAGCTCTGCACGAGTGAATTCCTAAACGGAGTTCTACTTTTACGACACGTTCCAAGCTTCTCTGGAGTCGTTAGGAAGGACTGTTCGTTACCATAGGGGAATGCCAGCATCTTTTGATGACCAAATATGACAGTGTTGAGTCCATCTGAGATCAACTACTCCAGAAGTATCAAAATATAAGTACTTTCAGCTAATAAACATTGACACAAAACACCATAAAACACACAAGGCAACACCACAAAAGGGGCCCGTGCTCTCTCAGCGCTTAAATTATGATTCGACCAACTGAAGAGCCATTCTTGACGTTAACTGAAGAGGATGATTGGCTGAAAGAGGGCTTCCTCAGCATGTGCTCCACAGTGTGGTCCCTCTCTAAGCGTCCAAGCTTAAAGTCGAGGTCGTCGTCATCGTCAAGCACTGTGTCGAACCGTTCTAGTTCGTAGCCTTCGTCGGAATCGTAGGCGCTGCCGGCGTCATCATCATCGGTATCGTCATGTTCTGGTGCAGAACACCACATAGGGCCAACCCAAACTGCCATTGTAAAGAAGGAAATGGCAAATACAGTCCACATGACACCGAAGAAATTGGTACACAGCTTGACCTTGACTCCGAACGATGCAAAGTCATCCTCTGCCATGGAGCGTAAGGACAACAGGTTCACCGTCATGGTGAGACACGCCACCAATGCCACGATGAACGTGATCAAGGTCCATATCGACAGCGCATGGCCAAGAACCAGCAACGTGGTATTGGCCCTGGCGATGATGTGTCTTCTGGTATTCCAGATGTAGAACGACACCAGCAGAGTAACAAACTGCGACACCAGTACAAACACCAACAGTGACGGTACTCGGTTTATAGCATCGCTCTTTGCGTCTATGCTCGTCTGGTAGTCGTGGTACGAGCTATCGTCTGCTTTGCTTGTCTCCGTCAATGCCAGCATGTACGAATACCCCCAATTGTCCAGCAACGTTCTGTAGTCGAAGAGCCTGGTGTCTTCACAGTACGCCGCCAAAGAAGCTGACGAATTCAGCACCGTGCCTCCTAGCACGTGCAGTTCTGATGAATCATCCACCTCTGATCTGTCAAAGAGGAAGCAAGATTTCTTAAACGTGGAGTACACCTTGTTGGGCGTTGACTCCAGCAATGCCGTTGACAGGTTTGCAATCAACAACACCGTGGAGGTTGTCACCGTCTCCACAGTGTTGTCACTTGACATGTCCGAATATCCCTGTTGCAACAAGCTGTACATTCCATTGTATAAGTCCAACCTCGACGAGTCGATCTGTACCACTGGCATGAAGCTCAACCCGTCTGTATGCTGAGCTGCAAACATCACCACCAGGAGGACTATCGATATGAACGGGAAGATGAACACCAGCGTTATATGAACAACGTCCTTGACGTGCACTATATCCTTGAGCTTGCCACCGCTGAGCACACCTGCCATTGTGTACGGAGTGTGTGAACAGGCAGAGACACCGTGGGAGTTTGAGCTGGGATTATGAGCTGGGATTATGAGGCTAGGGCCTGCCTTGTGCTACATAGCCCTGTTTAGAGCTCCGGTGTGCGCAGTGCGCGTTACGGACACTGTGCCAACGGACGGCGTGCCCTGGTGCTTCACTAACGAGGATGTGTGCTGAGGATGGAGGGCCTGCTGGTGGACTGGCTGTCTGTGTGTTTTCTCAGTGGCACTGTTGGGCTCAGTCTCCCAGTGCTTGTTCTCCCAGTGCTTGCTCTCCCAGTGCTTGTGTTGTGTGAGGTACCTCTGTCTGCGCTGAAGCCAACGCCTCTGCCTGTCTACACCTCTGCCCGTCTAATCTAAGCTCTTCAGCCCAGCTCCTGCCCAGCTCCTGCCCAGCTCCTGCCCAGCTCCTGCCCTCCAGCCCAACTCCTCCAGCCCAGCCCACGCGCTATCTGCCCTCCTGGCCCTGGCGCCCGGCCTGCGGCGCGTACCGGCGGACCGTGGGCCTAACAACTCTCGTGCGGCCGGGCAGAAAGAAAATTTTTCCCTCTGCCTGCAGCGGTTGCGTGCAGTATAAAAAAGATTTGATGAGCTCTTTTCACTCATCTTCTACCCAACTTGAGGAGGTTGGAGTTGGGTTCTTCTTTCCTGGCAATCTGGCAACTGTCCCCATTTCAGTACCCAACCAACTCTCCGTGATACATATACAACACGCACTACACGATGGCTTTCAAAGACTGCACCAAGGCTCTTGAGGAGTTGAAGGCTTACAAGGCCAAGGACGGGTTGTCCGTCAGCGAGTTGATGGACTCTCACGTTAGAGGAGGGTTGACATACAACGATTTCCTCGTTTTGCCAGGAAAGATCGACTTCCCATCTTCTGCCGTCTCCTTGGAGTCCAAACTCACCAAGAACATCACGCTGAAGACCCCATTTGTCTCGTCTCCTATGGATACCGTCACTGAGGCTGAGATGGCCATCCACATGGCGTTGCTCGGTGGTATTGGTATCATCCACCACAACTCGTCTGCTGAGGACCAGGCGGAGATGGTGAAGAGAGTCAAGAGATACGAGAACGGTTTCATCAACGAGCCGGTCGTGTTGTCTCCAGAGGCAACCATTGGCGAGGCAAAGGCCTTGAAGCAAGAGTTGGGATTTGCTGGTTTCCCAGTTACTGGTGAGTACTCTTCTTTGTATATTCTACAGATGAAGTAAACCGTGATGACTGTCTACTCAAAGAAGCAATGACATTCATATATGATGATCCATTTTTTCAATTTATAACTTTCGTTCTACCGATTACGATCAAACGATCTTGGGGAGAAATACCTTCTCTGACTTGCTGTTCAATGTCATTGTCGCTTTGAGTCGCCTTCATCATTCTTCTTTTGTCCTTTGGACCAACGATACTAACTGATTGCAAATAGAGGATGGTAAGTTCCCAGGTAAGCTCATTGGTATCGTCACCTCTCGTGATATCCAGTTTGTTGAAGACGTCACTGCTAAGGTCTCCGAGGTTATGACTACCGAATTGGTCACTGCCCACAAGGGTATCAACTTGACTGATGCCAATGAAATCTTGAGAAAGTCCAAGAAGGGTAAACTCCCAATCGTTGATGACAACGGCACCTTGGTTTCTCTCTTGTCAAGAACTGACTTGCAGAAGAACTTGAACTATCCAAACGCTTCCAAGTCTGCCACCACCAAGCAATTGCTCTGTGGTGCTGCTATTGGTACTTTGGATGCTGACAGAGAACGTTTGGCCTTGCTTGTCCAGGCTGGTTTGGACGTTGTTGTCTTGGACTCATCCCAAGGTAACTCTGTCTTCCAGTTGAACATGATCAAGTGGATCAAGGAGACTTACCCACAATTGGATGTCATTGCAGGTAACGTTGTTACCCGTGAACAAGCTGCCTCTTTGATCGCTGCTGGTGCCGATGGTTTGAGAATCGGTATGGGTTCTGGTTCCATCTGTATCACTCAAGAGGTTATGGCTTGTGGTAGACCACAAGGTACTGCCGTGTACAACGTTACCCAATTCGCCAACCAATTCGGTGTTCCATGTATCGCTGATGGTGGTGTCCAAAACATTGGTCACATCACCAAGGCCATCACCTTGGGTGCTTCCTGTGTCATGATGGGCTCCATGCTTGCTGGTACCACCGAATCCCCAGGTGACTACTTCTACCGTGACGGTAAGCGTCTCAAGACCTACAGAGGTATGGGTTCTATTGATGCTATGCAAAAGACCGATGTCAAGGGGAATGCATCCACTTCTAGATACTTTTCTGAATCTGATGCTGTCTTTGTTGCTCAAGGTGTCTCTGGTTCCGTCGTTGACAAGGGTTCCATCAAGAAGTACATTCCATACTTGTACAACGGTTTGCAACACTCTTGTCAAGACATTGGTGTCAAGTCCGTCTTGGAGTTGAGAGAGAAGTCCGACTCCGGTGAAGTTAGATTCGAGTATAGAACTCCTTCTGCCCAATTGGAAGGTGGTGTCCACAACTTGCACTCTTATGAAAAGCGTTTGTTCAACTAAGCTTAGGTTGTTGGAAAAGTCCCTTGTGTGTCATTGGAGATGTCCTCTTTAATGATGTACGATTTTTAATTTAATTGCATGCTGATTTCTATACGGATTCTAAAAGCAGTTGTAGATAGTTTGAGACTGTAGAAGCATGTGTCTCATCTCTCACATACACCGTGTGTTCTAGTTTTAAGCCACCTGATCCTGAGTAGACGACACATGCCTTCTTGAGGCTGGAAGTATCACTACATGGCGTACTTGAGAAATTACAGATATGTGAGCATTTTTTATTTAAGAGGAACCTTAAACAGTCTCCAAGATCTCATCCTTGAAACCAGAAGCAACCTTCTTACCCTTCTCCTCAGAAGAAGCCTCACCGTGGAGAGACAACAAAGCACCCAAGTCGAATTTTGGTTGTTTCAACAACTTGACCTTTCTGATGTGAACGTTTTGCAATGGGAAGATGTTCTTTGTAGTCTTCTCAATTTCACGGCCAATAACCTCTGGGATCAACTTGGAGGTGAGTTGAGCCAAGGTGGCGTTCTGAACCTCTCTGTTGATGATCTCGGTCATTTGCTTTCTGATGGCTCTGATGTGAGAAGATTGAGCGTAGGTGGTCTTCTTGATTTGGTTAGCTTGACGCTTGGTGAATGCAATAGCAAAGACTCTGACGATGTAATCGTCGGAGGTCTTAGCAGTGACGTTGCACTCAATCAAAGATTGCCACTTTCTAACCATGGATCTGAGCTTGTCAGAGGTCATGTCCATACCGTGGAAGTTGGTGAGCAAGTTGTTACCTTGAACCTCGTCAACTCTCAACTTGATGTTTCTGAAGGAGTAGTCCTCAGAACCTTGCAAGTCAGCAAGAGAGACCTCGACAACACGGCCCTTCAAAGCATCGGCAGCGTTCTTCAAACCGGTGGACTTGTTGACCAAAGTCTTACCAACGTTTCTGTTCTCGAAAGTGGATGGGGCCTTGATGTCAAACCACTCCTTTCTTTGGAATGGGTCGATGACTTTCTTCTTCAAACCCTTCTTACCTTTGGACAATCTTTTGTTCTTACCAACAGCCATCTTTGCAAGTTTTGTTGTCTAGTGGTTATCCCCCTTTTCCTAACACTTCGAAGGTCATTGAGAGAGTGTGAAATTTTACAAGTTTCCCTTCCCAGCGTGTGCGACAGTGCCATCGCACACAGTGCGCGAGCAGTAATTTTCGGTAGGGACCCGCTCTGCAGAGTCCCTCCGTCCATTTTTTGCGTCTTTCCACCTGGACATCTCCAGATTCACATTGCCTGTGCGTGTGTCGCGGACCGTTCATAGAGCAGTCACAAAACTGGACACCTGGACACCACCAGAATGGAGGGTTTCGGCCAAATGTCTCAAAGGGGAAGTAGTCCGGATTGGGTAAAAGATAAACATATGGTGATACTTGGGACGATGTGTCTATGAGCCCTACTGTTGTGTACTCTCATCTATGGCGACCAATTACATTGAGTATACGCCGTGATGAATACTCCACCTCCAGTGCCACTTCACCAGCAGCAACTACGGAACTCGTAAGGATCTCTCGCTATGACAGACATTTATGTCCTATGTATTAACGCTTTTCGGCTATATAAAGGGTCTCTATCAAGATTGCATTCTTAGGAGATGAGAACGTTGGGAAGACGTCTCTGATGATGAAATATGTGAACAACACGTATGATCCAACGTACAAGAAGACACTGGGAGTCAACTTCATGGAGAAAAGCATCGAATTGGGAACCACAGACATAAGGGTGTCGATCTACGATGTAGGTGGGTCTCCAGAGTTTAGAAATATGTCAGCATTGGCGACGAAGGATGCCTTGGGCATCGTTTACGTGTTTGATCTCACTTCGGAAGATACATTGCGAGATATCAAAGAGTGGTTTAAGCTCGCCAACTCGTCCAACACAAGTGCGATCCCAATCTTGGTTGGTACAAAGTACGACAAACTCCTGGAGATGGATAAAGAGTATCAAGAGTTTATACACAGATTGGCTCTGAAGTTTGCGAAAGCACTCAAGGCAAGTGTTGTGTTCACCTCTGCCAGTGATTCCATCAATGTGCAGAAAGTTGTCAAAATCTTAATATCGAAAGCGTTTGATCTACAAATTGGTATACAAGAGATCAAAAACGTTGGTGAGCCACTGCTGCTCCATCAGCCTATCTTATAAGAATTGACCTATGACCGTTAATCAGCTACGTAGATGATTCGCCTATGATATCAGAAAAGGGCTTCAGGGATTTATCCCTTCTGAAAACGGACGTAATCTCGTCATCTGCAATGTCTAACTTCACCATTGTGTTTCGAATAGTATCATTCTTCTTCACCAAGATCACTCCACCTTCCACCAGTTCGTTTAGAACGTATTCAATTCCACGGGGCCTGATTATGAAATCCTTGTACAAGACCTCTGATACAGAGGCTTCCCCGTTTGTGATATCGTTCTTGTCCTTAAGTGTATGTATTGATAGGAGCTGTTTCATTTCATCAATCACTTCACCCAGTACGTTTTCAGCTAACCCACTCTTACGCTTCTTAGAAAGCAGTGCAACGAGAAAGAGTTTTCCCACAAGTGACATATCTGAGAGGTATACATGAATGGATGACGTTGTGGATTCCAATGCTGCTTTGTTTATATGAGCAGCTTGTACAATCACTGGGCCCTCATGATTCAAAACAGCATTCTCCTTTGCGATCTCAACTGCACGATGACAAATCTTCAAGGCTCTTCTAGCATCACCAGAAACGGATGCAACTTTTCTAGCTGCAAACTCAACAGCATCGTCTTTCATGATCACATTATCCGGAAGATGATGGAATCTTGACTTTATAATCTCCACTAATTCTTCGTGCTTGTATGAAGGAAACTGAAATCTTTCAAGACCCAGTCTCGATATAGCCTTGTTTGTAAGGGCCCTTTCAGGTAAGTCCATAGTGTTAGCAACGGCAATAACAATCAACTTTGATTTGGAAAGAGTAGGCCAGTTGAAAAAGTTATACATCACGGCTTGTGATTTAACGGCTAATTGATCCAATTCGTCCATTAGCAAGACAAATGGCCTCTTTGCATTTCCAGATGCGAAGTGTTTCTCGAGTACACCAGCCAATCCTGATATTGGAACCTTTTTCTTATCGTCAATCTTGTTGTATAAAATCTCGTAGGCAGACTGCGGTGTAAGAAGCTTCATCCCGTTAATTTCAACATAATCGAACTTGTTCAACTCACCATCCTCCGACATTTTGTGTAGTTCCTTAATAGTTGCACGCACAGTGGCTGTCTTTCCAGTTCCAGGGACACCGCTGATGTAGACACAAGCACCGCTTTCTGTCTGAATAGCACCTTCGAGGGTTAAAAATAGGTCTGTGAATTGCTGCTCACGGCACGGCAGCTCGGCCATTGATTCAATTGCGCTCTGGGTAAGTTCATTCTTATCAACTTTCTTTATGGCCAGTGTTTTAGGGCCGAGCAGGTACGGGTTCTTGTAGTAATCTCTCTTGCCATCTTTCTTTATGGGACTATATTCCTCTTGGCTCTTTCTCGGGCGTCCTCTTCCTCGTTTGACTGGTGTTTTGCCTTTTCTATACTTGCCATCATCTTCTTCTTCCTCATCGTCTTCGTCTTCTTCATTATCTTCTTCCTCATCGTCGCCAGTATTTACTTTAACTTCCTTTCTAGGCCTACCTCTTGGACGACCTGTTGAGATATAACCAGTGGTTCTCGTCCCTGGACCGCTTTTCCTTGGCCTGCCTCTTGGACGGCCTGTAGGAATATACGATGGCCTGAAATCAGCATCATCTGCAGATGGGCTTCCGCCTTCATCTGATTCATCGGTCATTTCTTCACCCTCTTCATATACTGCTTCTGATCCATCTTGTGAATCATCCTCTCCACTTTCATTTATTGGAACCTCTTCAAGTTTAATCCGTTTGCTCTTTAAACGCCATTTATCGCTTGACCCGTTCTTTCGTATCTTCCCCTTTGGGTCTTGGGCAGTTTGAACTTCAGAATCCGGCTCAGGTGTGAGTGAAAGGTTCGTGGGACCACAACGACGCTTCGTTGCTGAGCTCAATGTCTTAACGATAATACTCTTGATCAACTCGAATCCCTTATCGTGATCTTCAGCTAAACACTGGCAGGCCCGGTCGATATCAAAACACTCGCTGAACCAGCCATAGTAGTGGTCGTAGCCTCTTCTGCAAATGAACGTTCTATCCCTGTTGGAGTCATCGATGACGATCTTTGCAAAGTTGGCCTCGTTCAACACCGTCGCATTCTCGATGATGTCCTCGCAGCGGATGCTGTACAGAGTAGCTGTCAGGAACAGCTCCTGGCTTTGCACCTCAAATGAAGGCTCCTCAACCTCATCCGGCGTGAGAAATCCCAACGCAATCACCTCAATATAACCTTCAATACCAAAGTCAACAGACCTTACCAGCATAACAGAACGCTCGCCATCGGCGGGATCATTAACAACAAGCGATTGACCGGGCCTCACCTCCAGGCCATCGGCCTCTCGCCTCAGAAACATCCGATCTTCAGACACTCCACGACGCCGACGACCACGTTTTCCTGACACCCGTGCCGTACCTTCTGATTCATCAAAGTGAAACGACCATCCCTTGAACTTCGACTGCGTTGATGCCATCGCTATCACCCCGCTACGCTATCCTTGTAGTGGTGGTGTATCAAACAATGTTGTTCTTTGCTGATATAAGCAGATGCCCGTTTTCGCTGTTGATCTTCTCGGCCTGAGCCGCGGCGCGCGCGCGTTGGTGAGCTTTGTTTACTTTTTTTGTACCGCTCACCTTTTCGCTTTTGTGGTTGTGTAGGTGTGACCCGCCAAGCTGAGAAAACATCAACAACACACAGCCATTGCCGGGCAGGTTGGTCTATTATTCGTTTGCCAGAGAACAGAGACAAATGAGCCACCATAACCAGGCTCCGTATCCACCGGATGGATTGCAATGGGACCCTGTGGAGTCGCTGGAAGAGCTGAACAAGCTGCGTCAGACGTATATTCGTGATAATCCCCACCGTAAGGAGCCGCCCTTGCCTGAAAGGCCACCACAGTACATAGTGGACCAGCACATTCCGCCGTCTGCTCAGCAGCGGCAACAGCAGCAGCAACAGCAGCAGCCCGGGTCACCTCACTCTGTGCGGTCAAGTCGGTCTCAGAGTCGGTTGCACGGGCCTAGAGAGCTGCCGCCCAGGATGCTATCGAGTCCAGTGGTGTCATCGCCATACAGCTACGACGCCACGCTGGCTGGTGGGAGGAACTCTGCTGACTACATTGATCAGGTGCAGTCTTCGCCAGTGTCACCGTACCCACAGGGAGACTATTTTACGAAATTCACCTCGTCTCCCTTCACGACGCCAACCAAGGTCAATGGGCCGAGACCTCACCCGGGCTCATCGACATCGCTGAGCGCTGCATCGTCGCCCATGTACCAACCTCCTTCGACCCACACTTCTCCAACGAAGTATCCTCTTTCGTTGAGCGTCAATCAGCAGCCAATTCCTGATCCGAACTACATGGACTCGCCGATCAGAGCGTTGCCAGATATTCCAGTTCTGACGCCAGAGGTACGACAAAGCTACGATGCAACTCCCATCGAAAAGAGGGCTTCGATATCTATCGACTCTCCAAGTCTGGGTCGCAACTCGATCCAGGGCCCAAGATTGATGCCGAACAACGGCTCAACTAGAAGCAGAAGAAGTTCTCCTTCTACGTCACCGGCTAGAAATGGGTACTACGACCATAGGACGAGTTGGAAATCTGAATACTCTGTTAACGTTATGGATGACGAAGATGACCCGAACGCTTTATTGATGGAAGAGATAGATATACCACTCATCAATGTGGAACACGATATGAGGCAGCCAATTATTGAGCGTCCTAGTCAAATGGAGCTCAACTTACAGGCCATTGACCTTCCAGAGATCACAATTTCACCACATAGTACTTTAAGAAAAGAGGTGTCGAAGGACTTGCCCGAAGTTCCTGCAACGTTGACCCTACCGTCACTGCCATTTTCATCAAGATCTCTAACAGTGATCCAGTTCTCTCAGTGTAACAGCATTTATTTGTTATCAGACGTGTTCCGTTGGTCAGTGAAACTATCGCAAGAATGGTCTGACGGGTTGCTCGTTTCAAAGGATGAATACATGAAGGCTCTGAAGTTCCTCTTCAAGCACAGTGCACCAAGGATGAACAACTATGTGATGGACAATAATATACAGGCAATAATGGCCTCATTTGAAAAGCAAAATGCAATCTATGTGAACCCTCAAGGCATCATCCACTTTTTTGATAATGTGAAAGTTGCTGGGGTTTTCCCTCAACTCACAGGTTGTTACTCGAAAAGTCATGGAACCATGGACAATAAGTATCAGTGCTACTCATCAAGGTGTTCACTCACCATTTATCAGCCCCCGATCCCGATTATAAGTTCCGACATCTATTCCAATAAAAGATTGGGAGAATGGGCTACACATTGGAATCTAACGAAAAACGACATTGATGACTTAGATGAGGATGAGGTCAAAAAGCAAAGTCACATTTTTGAACTCATTAGACAACAGCAAAACATCATCAGATTGGGTGAAATTCAGGTTAAAGAATATGGTCAATCATTCAAGACCGCAAATCCTCAGCTGCTCCCTGATGTGTCCAAGTTTTACAATGACGCATTCAACTCTGTTAAGCCTCTTATCGAGCTTCACAGAAAGCACTTGTTCGAACCTTTACTTGCAAAGTTGAATACGCAAGGCAAATACATCTCAGATGTAGGTGGCATCTTCTTGGAATGGGCTTCTAGAGCCACCGTTCCTTATCTGAAGTACACTGAATCATTGGCATCTGTGAGAGAGCTGATCAAGTACGAGAAGAGTCGCCATTCAATATTTGCTGAGTGGTTGTACAAAATTGATGAGCACCCGCAAGTCGTTGCAGCTTCCTTAGATCACAACAGAATCTTCTTTAGTGGATTTATTGGTCACACACAATTGTTATCGTTAGCTTTGATGAGCGTTCGGAAAAAGACTCGAACTTCAGATGTCGACTATACCGTTCTTGGTAAAGCCATAGATGAAGTTGATAAACTCAATCGGAAGATTGATGAAATGCAGGAATATGCTTTACAAAGTCGTCACTTGAGAGTTCTTGCTAGCCAGCTGGTATGGAAGAGCAATGTATTAGAGAGGGACCTCAAGCTCAGAGAATCGATGAGACGTTTGATTAAAAGAGGGGAGGTGACCAGAAAGGACAAATGGACCAGCTCCTTGAATTATCTGATACTTCTGGACAATTATCTATTGATCACTGAGGAGCAAAAAGATGGGCATTACAAAATATGCGAGAAACCAATACCTGTCGAGTTTCTACAAGTTGAGTCAAAGGATTTTTCAAATGCAGAGATATCTTCCAATGAAAATGAGAGTTTCCCTTTCAAAATCCGCTATACTGGTCAACACTTATCCTTCACATTCTGTACCGAGACCATGGCAGGGCGTGATGCCTGGTTTGCAGCCTATAATCAGGTCAAATCGAAGAAATCAAAAGCTTCTGACTTTGAACCTTTCAAAATATCTGTGCTATCGGATCAATTTGCATATGAAGATGGAACACAACCTCAAAAACTTCCGGTATGTGTATCCGGCTCAAACATTGACCGCATGTTGGCTGACTATCAAAAGTCCATCGCAATGGAATTCGATGATTCATCTATTTCAAGACCGATCATGGTTAGCGGAGTGCTTTCTGGGACTAGTTTCACATTTGAGGGTAAGAGCTACCATGCTCTTGGTCTCAATTTTGGATTGTTCATAACAGAAGCTGGAACAAGAAGAGGGTGGAGACGGGTTTTGGATGTGGCCAATGTTACACAGATTGAGAAGCTCGATACGCTTCTTGTGGTGCTTTCCGATAAAGGGCTTTTCTACTTCAATTTGGTTTCTCTGTTGCTGAATTATTATGGTACAAATATTGATGGTAAAACTGTTGGAGAACGTTTATCCAAACGAGATGTGGAATTCTTCAAAATTGGTTCATATTACAACACCAAATTACTATTTCTCATGAAGAAACCTATCCAGAGTTTGGGTGGTCCAAGATTCAAGGTCTTTACTCCAATCTTCGACAGCTTTGGTAGCTTCCAATATTTCCAGCTCTACAGACGTTTTCAGCACTCATCAGAGTGCTATGATTTATCAATTTTCAACTCAATGTTTGTTCTTCATGCTGTTAAGGGGTTTGAGATCTTGTCATTCCAAGTGATGTACGAATCTCAACACATTCCAAAGTTCCTTGCAAATATGAAGAAACCGAAAAGCGAACTAGAAATGATCAAAAAGACCTTGAAATCAGGCTCGTCCAAACCTTTACTGATGTCAAAGGTTTTACACAAATCTCAATTTTATCTTGTCTATGACTCTTTTGCTATTGTCATTGATACAATTGGACAGCTGATCAACGACAGTTTCATTTTCCCTTTCAAGTTCAAGTGTAAATCTGCTACTCTGCAGGACAATTTTCTAATTTGCATCGGAGAAGACATTGTTGAAGTCTTTGACCTGAGCTATGACGATGTGGTGGGGTTCCAAAAACTTGACCCTGTACAGATTATCAATGGTAAAGATATTCACCTTATCGACCCTATCAATGCCAAACTTGTCATGGCTCACCCACAATATATAGGAAGACAATTGATTGTAAGCCTGGAGAAACTACAAGACGAAGTTACATAATTATGACATTTAATACATCATGATCTATATATAATGGACTAAAATGCACCAGTTTAAAGGTTTTGGAATGAACTTTGTCTACTAAGATTCAGATGAACTGAATCTCTGTGAGATACGGAGTTTCTTGGTGTTGCAAAAGACTGGCGAGAGTTGATTGGTGTCAGCTGGTTTGGAGATTGCCCATTAAGCCTTGGTGAGCTTATTGAAGTTTTCGACTCTGCAGTAGCAATCGATGATGTACTGTTCAGTCTGAATCTCTTCATTAAGCTTGTCATGTCAACAAGCGGTTTCTCAACCACCGGTTTCTTGATTTTGAAGAGTTTAATTGCAGTACCATTCCATATCCCCAACTGGAGTATGGTCACATCAAGTTCAAATAGAGGTTCTGATTTTTCTGGTGATGGAGATTTCCAATTGAAACCCCAGCTCGAGGCAACACCCTTCAAAGAAATCGTGGAGCTTCTTTTATTGAACCATGAGGAGGAAGTTGCCTCTCTATAAGAGCTGACATTCTCGTAGAATATGATACCCCAAATAGTACTCTCATACCATCCTAAAGAAATGCTAGACCAAGTAAATCTCAAATTGTCAAACTTGGTCTTCGGGAGAAACTCAGAAGTGGCAAATCTTGCAACTTTTTCCTCAAAGTTGTTGATATTCTCAATTTTCAGTAGAACTTCGATAATCTCAGTCTTTGGAATATCATCAAACCGTGGGATCTCTTTTCTAACGAGATTAATTGACCTCAAGATAATAAGTAAAGCTCTGTGGCCAGCCCAAGTTGTCGACAATGGCGCATCCACAGGTAGTTTCGATTTTGCTTTTAAAGACATACCGATTAATGGATTTGGCCTCAAACTCTTCTGGAACTCATCCACTTCTTCCTCATCCTTTAGTTTCTCATCGGCATCAGTAACATGTTCGCTCTGATCTAAATTATCCAGTTGTGGGGAGTTTCTATTAGATACAACACGTTCCATTGATGGTGGATCCTCCGATGAATTTGCCTCTTGTTCCTCGTTATCCAAAGTTGTAGATTGTATTGAGTTCATGAGGTTGAGTAATACTCTTTCGTGTTTGACAATCAAAAACAGTAAGGTTCTTGACTCCTTATGGCAACGACAAATTGCGTGTGCTATGGATCTAATAAGAAGGGCAAGCAAGTCCAGTCTCAAAGGATCCTTCAATGCACCAGGCTTTGACATCATGTTAATAACGTTCAAAACTGCTAGTCCAGCATGGTAGGACAAATATGTTTTGCCCTTTGTAGTTGGATCTGGTGTCTTCACCGGAATGATATTGTAAAGGAACTCATATAAATTAGGTGATATCATGATGTCAAATTCATCCTGTACGATCATATTTGATATTTGAATGACGAAAAAGTCTCTATATGTCAAATTCGATGGCACCGTCTGGTTGCTCAACTTGTAGAAATTTGGAATTTTGTGTGAATAGTAATTTGTGCTGAAAGGTGCCAACAACTTCGATGTAACAGTACCATCCGATGTGAGGTATAGCATGAAGAAACACGAAATTCTGATCAAACTGGGCCTCCAAAGTTCATTGTGTCTATAATATTTGATGTAGTATAACAAAGTCACCATCAATTCGTGTGCTTTTTTAGAGTAAACAAAAGCCTTGAAATGTTTGTTACATTGAATGAGATCCCATAGCAACGCTACAAGTTCAGTGGACCATGAGGACAATGCTGGGAATGAATTGTTTTGAGTTCCGTGGACGGCTGTTGAGGTTGGAGAAGTAACAAAATTGGTTTTGATAACATTGAAAGGATTTGTCTCTTTTTCAACTGCCTCTTCAATGGGTCTTGTTAGCAGTGACATAATGGATGTGTAAATCATAGTCAACTCAGACTCTTTATGAAGTCTTCCCAAGTAAAGCCGAACCATGTTGTGAGGCCGTTCATCTGTAGGAAGCATGTTTAGCTTGTGCAAAAATGAAAGGTCATTAGGAGGCAATGGATAGACCAACATCACGGTTAACAATTGTAGAGTGTATGTGACAAAAGTTCTTCTCAGTACGAAGAAATTCGTTGAAGAATAATTCGAGTTTGAAGCTGTTGCATAGCTCAATCCGTTGTTCTGATCGTCTGTTTTGCATGAACGGCACACAACGTTCAATAGCGAACAAATGAATGTCAATGCCTTCATCCTTGGAAGCGTGGTGACGAGCGTTGTCATAAACCTGGATCCTCCTGAAACTGCATTTTTAGGAGTGCAGTATAGCGTTTGTGAGGTCAAGGCCAATAGCAATCTGAGAATTTCCAATCTATTGGAATCCAATTGGGGTGACGTTTTTTCGTATTTGGCATTGTAGCCAATTCCAGCCTCCCATATCTTATATTCTGAGCCTCTTACTCCATTTCTTTCCAATGTGAACTCACGAGTAAACAGTAGGTCAACCAACGTTGTAATCAAAGTATGGCCTAATGGCAACGTCGCAGTGCCTTGTCCCACGTTCGCCCTTGTGGAGCTTGGGGATGCATTCAGTCGCTGTCCAATGTTGGCCTTCACACTGGAGCTCTCCAATGACACGTTCCTCGACTCTGACGAAGAGAAAGAGCCAACTGTCGCAGATGTAGTTGTCCCGGTAAACGGAGACTCGTCGCTCGGGGCATTCAACCCAACGCTCCAAAAGAGGTTATTCACGTCCTTTTCCCACAACGACCCCATTTCAAACAGAAATGGCACAATCCGTGTCAACACCCGCACACAGTTCAACAGCTCCTTCTTACTCTTTTCATCCTCCGCAAACGTCTTCGACCTGGATATGGACACCAACTTGAACGTCACGATCCGTATCCAGTTTAGGAAATTCGCCTTGTTGCTATCCCTGATCTCCTTTATGTCTGAGTACGTCAAGATGGCAAACACCTCTTCCGCGCTTGTGGGTACCTCCCAAAACATCCGCCAGTATGGGTCCTGCGATCCTATTTCGAGTTTGATATCATCAACACCCTCTTCTTCTGAGTAAGCCACTCCCGCAAGACGGAACAGTCTATTCTTATACGCGAGCTTCGACTCTGCGTTACCCATCCTGTCTCACGTTGTATCTAGCGCTCTATCCGCGTTGTCTATGCTCTGTTAAACGAAAGGAAACGAATGGCTGGTCTTTCTCTCTCTCTCTCTCTCTCTTCTCCCTGGCGAGACACAAAGAGACAAGCTTGTAAAATGCAGTGAAGATGGTAGGGCGCTTGGTTTCCAAAGAGAAGCTATGAATACCGCAACTGACGTTCTCTGTGCCTGGTGCTAACCGCCGTGGATACCTGTTGAGTTGAGTCTAACCGCCGCGTACACTGGGAAGAGGGTATGTTCTCAATGGATTTCTACCTTCCTGCGATTAATTCTCGCAGTTATCGTTGTTGCGGTCGCTCCAGCTGTGTCTCGGTTTTTTCTGTTGGCGCTGCTCCTTCTCCGCCTCTGAGGCTGTTTGGCTGTGAGTGCAGAAGCGTGTGGGCTTTTTCTTTGGTTTTTGTGTGCGTTACCAAGGAAGCAGCCCACCGAGCTGCGCTGCCCGCGGGAAAATCAAGATTGTTAAGCGTAGGGGGAAGCTTCTGTGCGTAGCGGTGCGGTTCATATTGAAGTGTCTACAGCGATGTTCAAACATTCAGGTATCGAATTACAAGTATTGAGAGTCGGTTCTTCTTGTAGACTAACTGCTCTGGTGGACTTGTATATAATAATAAAAAAAATGAAAAAATAATGACTAAAATGTGTGGGCCTGGTACTGTGCCCCTTTGCTCGCCAGGGGGGGAGCCCAGAGTGGCGGAGACGATCACCAGTCGCTATCCACGGAGTCAAATCTTCTTTTGCTTAGACTCTCCTTGTTGTTCATCAGTATGTTGTCGATGGTCTTGAGCCTGTTATCCAGGTTGTTTTCCCACTCTTGGAAACTTGATCCGAAGGCGGATGATGTGGCATTGCTCAACATTGGTGGGACAACAACGTTTCCTGGGAGAGGAACACGCTCAATATTGACAGTGTTTGAATACTCCGACTCTTGGGTGTTGCGACTGGCACTGTACATGTTGTCACCAACTTGGTACCCTTCACTAACCGCTTTACGTATTCTCATCCCTATCGTCTGGAGAGCATGCTGGTTGTTGTATTGCTCTGCTGATGCGTCGTTGATGTTGTAGTTCAGTTGTCTCTTCACTTGTGGCATTGTTAATGGTGGTCTTCAATTTGCGATCGAACGTTGGACACTGGGTGTTGATATTTATCCGTCTTGATCTGTTATAAATCTGAAGTTTTTTGTTGCTTTATTGGTCACCCAGGTGATGTCTGTTTTTTTTTTTTTTTTCAAATCTGTTGATGGTAAGAACACGCACGCGTGATTGCGTACGGTTACCGCATTCAGTAAATTTTACAAAAAGTATCCAAAAAGGGAACTTTTCCGCATATTCTATCCTACCGACTCAAAACAAAGCCGGGTAACACAGCTCATCCCTCTCTCCCCGGAAACAGTGTTGGCCCTTAACCAAATTTCTCCCAATCTCGCTCCGTTTATCACTTAACTGCAATCTGCAGCAATTTCAACCATTTCTGACCTACTTACTTCCTCTATGCACTGGTAATAGCGAACGAGACAAAACTATTTAAACCCACGTTGTCCACCCTGAATATTCCAAGCCAGAGACGTGTGTATACACAAGCAACCGACTATAAAGACGCTAGCAACAATGGTTAACTTTAACATCTCTTCAAAGGAGGCTCAAACGCTCGAGGAGGAATACTCTGCTCATAACTATCACCCATTGCCAGTGGTGTTCCACAAGGCTCAGGGTGCACACGTTTGGGACCCAGAAGGCAAAGAGTACTTGGATTTCCTCTCTGCTTACTCCGCTGTCAACCAAGGTCACTGCCATCCAAAGATCATTGGCGCTTTGATCGAGCAAGCCCAGACTTTGACTTTGTCTTCAAGAGCATTTTCCTCTGACGTGTTTGGAGTCTTTGCCAAATACATCACCGAATTCTTCAACTATGAAATGGTTTTGCCAATGAACACCGGTGCAGAGGCTGTTGAAACTGGTCTCAAACTCGCTAGAAGATGGGGTTACGTGAAAAAGGGCATTCCAGCCGATGAGGCTATCATCCTTGCTGCTGAGAATAACTTCCACGGAAGAACACTCGGTGTCATTTCAATGTCCACTGATCCAGATGCCACCACCAAGTTTGGTCCATTCTTGAAGAATGTCGGTCCAAGCATTCCAGGTGCCGAGGGTAAGGTGTTGCGTTACGGTCACATTGAAGACATTGAGCTCGCTTTGAACAACGCTGGTGACAAAGTTGCCGCCATCTTGTTGGAACCAATCCAAGGTGAGGCTGGTATCGTTGTTCCCCCAGCAGATTACTTGACAAAGGTTTCAGAGTTGTGTAAGAAGCACAATGTCTTGTTGATCTGTGATGAAATTCAAACTGGTATTGCCAGAACCGGTAAGCTGTTGTGCTACGAACACTCACCAAATGTCAAGCCAGATATCGTTCTCTTGGGTAAGGCCATCTCCGGTGGTGTCTTGCCTGTCTCCGCTGTGCTCTCCTCCAAGGAGATCATGCTCACCTTGGAGCCAGGTTCTCACGGCTCCACCTACGGTGGTAACCCATTGTCCTCTCGTGTTGCCATCGCTGCTCTTGAGGTTGTGAGAGAGGAGAACCTCGTTGAGAGATCTGCCGAATTGGGTGAGTTCTTGAAGCAAGAGTTGCTGAAGCTACAGCAAGAGTCCAACGGCATCATCTCCGAGGTGCGCGGTAAAGGTCTGTTGTCTGCCATCGTCATCGACTCCTCAAAGGCCAATGGCAGAAGCGCTTGGGACTTGTGTCTCCTCATGAAGGACCAAGGTGTCTTGGCCAAACCAACACACGATCACATCATCAGATTGGCCCCACCATTAGTGATCTCCAAGGAGGACTTGTTGAAGGGTGTCGATGCCATCAGAAAGTCTTTGAAGCTGTTGCCAACCGTCGAGAAGACTGAACATTAAGTATTGAAGTTGTCTGTATATAGTTGCTGATTCAATTACAAAGTGTGAAGAATGCAGTAGGTAAAAAAATGTGTGTATTCTTGGTTATTTTAATATTCTCTTCCTCGATGTACGTTTGCGAAGTTTGAAGCAGATTTTAGCGTTCTGCCGTTGCATTGGCGGCGTAAGTTGACGTTGCGCGCTTGCCGCTTGATCTGGATCAACGGGATTAACCACACCACCCGGCATTGCACTGTGGTACGTAAGCACTTTTGATGGGTTCACTCCAGCACTTGAGCTATGAGGAATACGTGGATGGAATGAGCATTTTCATCCGTGTTGGGCAATGATATCCGTCTTGTTGTCGTGGAGTCCAAAGCTCCAGTTTGAAGCGATCTTCCGAGCATGAGAAGGTATGGATGTGTAGTCGCAGCCCACGAGGAAGGGTGCGTAGTCATCGCATGAATTGATCGAAACAGCCAGAGCTGGTGGATTGTCTCCTATGACATACCTCTTTGTTCCAACAGAGTCCCAATATCCGTACACTTGGTGGTCAATCCGGCTTCTTTGGCTCAGCTCGAGAACACCGACACAACATTAGAGTTCATGTTTTGGACCTTGAAGTTGTACGATACAGCTGTATGTCGAAGAAACAAAGGGGTGGCAGAACAATCAAAGCGGTGGGCTACGGGACCATCCTGACACAACCGTGGTACCAATGCTGGAGGCCTGTCTGTGCTGATAACGGTAATATACAAAGCTCGCCGGTTCAGCGTCCAAGTGTTGGGAACAACGCCCATCAATTAGGTTGTAAGCTTACAGCGAGCACTCAAATCTGCCCTCCGAGCCCTCCGGCCCTCTCTTCAACAAACTCGCGCTGCACTTCGTCGTCAGTGGTGCCAATCACCCAACGTGGAGGTATCAAGAGGTGCTCCAGCCCAGAAAGCGACATCAAAGACAACAACCCTGCCGGCCTACTTCCTACACACCCTGGTGATCGCAGACATTGTACAAGGTGCCACGCAATAACCTACAGGCACCGCACATGACGATGGCCTTGGTTGTGCAACCAGTGACTTCCACGGTCCACGCAGCAACATGAACCACACCACCCAGAATCGATGCGCGCAACAACAGTTGTTCCGGTTCACTCAGCCCCACAGCGAGTCGCTGGCAGAACACGAGCATGAGGGCGGAAAGAGGGTAGAGGAAAGCTCAAACACAGGCCACAACCTGGCCCAATTGATGTCATATAAACCCTCTCGATCAATTGAGCACACTCATCCGCCAATTGACCCCTGTTCGCAGCTACACGCCCCATGTTCCTCGTCCCTGGTGTAGCTTCTCCCCCTAAATTCCAGCGCTTGGTTCCGCCCTCCCTGTCTCCCGGGTTTAACGAACGTGTGTACCATCTGATGGTAATCCGCTCCCGTCCGCGCAACACAACTCACAAGCAGATCACACCTGTACACGCCGCTGCTGATGCGCCCAATTTAATTTTTTTTCTCTCAATGTAGGGGAGAAGCCTTGGGAGCTCCCGACTCCCAGTTGGGCACAGCTGCCACCTCATGACTTTTCCTGTGTGTGCCTGTCTGACGTTACGTGTGATGTAGTGGCCCCCGTCCGGTGTGTTTTCGCCTGTTGCGCTGTGCCCCCCTTAAAAGTATAAAAGGAAGTGCAATTGCTGTTTGTGTTGATTGTTGATCCTTGTTTCCTCTGTTTTCTCCTCATCACACAAGAAAGGTTTCTTCTTTCCAACAGATACAAAACACACTTACAAACAACACAATGGCTATCAACATCGGTATTAACGGTTTCGGTCGTATTGGTCGTCTCGTCCTCAGAGTTGCTCTTGGTAGAAAGGACATCAACGTTGTTGCTGTCAACGATCCATTCATTGCTGCTGAGTACGCTGCTTACATGTTCAAGTACGACTCCACCCACGGTAAGTACGCCGGTGAGGTTACCTCTGACGGTAAGAACTTGATCATTGACGGTAAGGTTATCAACATCTTCCAAGAGCGTGACCCTGTCAACATCCCATGGGGTGCTGAGAAGGTTGACTACGTCATTGACTCCACCGGTATCTACAAGGACTTGGCTGGTTGTCAAAAGCATCTTGACGCTGGTGCCAAGAAGGTTATCATCACCGCTCCATCCAGTGACGCCCCAATGTTCGTTGTTGGTGTCAACGAGGACAAGTACACTCCAGACTTGAAGATCATCTCCAACGCTTCCTGTACCACCAACTGTTTGGCTCCATTGGCCAAGGTTATCAACGACACCTTCGGAATTGAGGAGGGTTTGATGACCACTGTCCACTCTATCACCGCCACCCAAAAGACCGTTGACGGTCCATCCCACAAGGACTGGAGAGGTGGTCGTACCGCTTCCGGTAACATCATCCCATCCTCCACCGGTGCTGCTAAGGCTGTCGGTAAGGTTATCCCAGAGCTTGCTGGTAAGTTGACTGGTATGTCCTTGAGAGTTCCAACCACCGATGTTTCTGTCGTTGATTTGACTGTTAAGTTGGTCAAGGGTGCCACTTACGATGAGATCAAGGCTGCTGTCAAGGCTGCTGCTGAGGGTCCACTCAAGGGTGTTTTGGGTTACACTGAGGATGCTGTTGTCTCCAGTGACTTCTTGACTGACTCCAGATCTTCCATCTTCGATGCCAACGCTGGTATCTGGTTGTCTCCAAAGTTCGTCAAGTTGATCTCTTGGTACGATAACGAGTACGGTTACTCCACCAGAGTTGTTGACTTGTTGGAGTACGTTGCTTCCAAGGAGTAAATTGTATGACTTTTATTTATGGGATTACGTTATAAATTATGATCCTCATGGATTATCTTATTAAGTCTCCATCTTGTAGCTTGTAATATGATGAACACTCGTGAGTTTTCCAGGTAATTCACCGTGCCTCGTCCATGCACTTTTATCAGCCTCGACGTCATACATTGCATGGTGAGTAACTGGAAAACGGCTTTTTACGTTCTGTTGTATATGGCTAAACGCTTCTATGGCACGGCGCTATTAACCTGTCTGACATTTCAACCTGGTGTTGATGGCTTAAACGATAATACGGTGAGATATATAGCTAACAGAATGGGGGTGACGCACTGATTCCACTGTATATATAGGCGATATGTGTTGTTGGATGAACATTTCTTTGTCTCCTGATCGACAATAGTAGCTCAGCTCCGTGCCAACTGGTTCACTGGTTCAATAGAGAGGGGTGAATGAAGCCATTTCGTGTTCTCCTGCGCTTCCATGGAGCTGTGTACATTTCTTTCGTGAGTGGCGACTTAAGCCACGAGTGGGCTCCACATCTGACGGTGTAATTCCAGAGTCAAAAGTCTGGATATGATGGGAACTTCAAAGACTTCCCGGTGGTATATCAAAGGATTCATAGAGATAGAAGCGGATCTTGAAGGCCAGGCTCCGGGTTAAAACCAGCGTATATCAGTTTTCTTTCCCAGAGAGGACTTTTGGATTATTCTTCAGCTTTAACCCTGGATTGTGTCAGATGAAACATCAACAAAGCTGGCTGGTGATTGTAAGTACTTGCCCACTGGTTCCTGAGGTATTACACGTTTAGTGTGAAAAGTGGCAAACTACAGCGCTATCTGCAGTTTGACAACACCACTGCTCATACAAGTAATATGAACAGGTGGAAACATTACCTGGAGAGTATTGTTCCTATTTATGAGTGTAGGAACAATTTTGAATTCCAATTGCTGGTCTGAGTATTTAATTGGCATGATTATCCTTTACATTAATTTATCTGATAAATAATCGACATAATTAAAATTCTTAATTTCATGGACACTTCTCTTTAGAAAAAGAAAACAAAACCCATATACTTCTATCCAATTTTGACTAAACTAGAGGAATAATACTAGTAAAACAGTGGTTATTATCAACATCAGATAACAAGCACTAAATATCGAGAAGAAACCCCTCTGAGAAGTCGAGACACTCACAACTTACCTCGGGTAATTATGCACCGTACATAGAAACATCCAAACACCAGTAAAAGCAGGCCTTCTGCTATAAGTACCATGTATTGATCGCCGTGTGTTAGAGAAAAACGGTTAAAGGACTAGCAAACAAACGACTACATCATCGCACCATTCTCCCTCTCAATTGGTTCATCTTCCAAGACAATTCTGTAAAACCAACTTGGAAGAGTCGTCTTATTGAGAAACCTGTGACTAAATAGTGATAGGAACCACACAACGCAGGAACATATATTGCTGATGCAACAAACTTGAAACGGATTCGGTATGAACGAACAGAGGTTTCAGAGATGCAACGAGTCTCGTATGTTTACATTGCAAAAGAGACACACCATGGTGTTTTATCAGAAGATTCGAGAAGGACACAGAAGAGCCGTAAATGTATATAAGCAGGTCTATATGATCCATCCTTTCTATAGAGAGACGTAAAAACCGAACCTTTGTAAAACTCAGTATCCAAAGAAGCCACTCTATGTTCACAATGTTTATCATCAAAACAATATGGTCATTGATGAAGAAGATGCCTAGAGTCATCTCACTAGTCCTGTTGTTCATCAACATCTTTCTTCTGGCGTTCTTGCTTCTGGGCTGCACAAACATTGGGGATATATACTCATCGACGTATCTCATCGAATACACCTTCAACAAATCATCACCAATCTATCCATTGATTCGGGACTCGTATGCTTCTAAGAATCTTTCTGGGTATGAAACCTTGTCAGTCCGTGCCTCTTACCTGTCCCTCTGTATATATATTGAGGGGTACGACATGCAATGTACATCACGGTCAGATCTAGACACCTTTGCAAGAACAACAGCAGTGGAGATTTACCAAGTCAATTCAAATGCCAGTGCAGTATCACTCGATATAGTGGAGCTGGCATCCACTTTTTCCAATGACATTGTCCACCCATATATTCTCATTGTTAGTGTGATATTCACCATTATTCTGTTCCTCATGTTGTTCTATATCGTTATCCCAGAGCTACCCGGTAAAACAATGCTAACGAGAGTTGTCCTGTTACTATCTTGCATAGTGACATTGCTTTGGTCCATTGGCTCAATCTGGGCACACGTTGCAGTTGATGCCGGCAAGAACTTAACTCAAGAAGCCAGTATGGGGATCATCAAAGCTGAGGTCGGGAGCAAGGCAGAGTCGATGACATGGGTCCCATTTTCATTTAACCTGGTTGTGGTTGTTACCTTGTTCTATTTATACTTCAGGGATTTGAAGCAGAACCAAAAAGAGAATAGCAGCCAACTCAACGTTGACTATAAAGTCTAGCACCGCCAATTCATATCCTTCTCAAGACCCAAGATGTGATCTGTTCACAAGTTCTTGACGGAAGATCACCAATCTTCATAGGACTATAGTCACCGGCAATTGCAAATCCGTGTGGTGTATCATTGTGAAACTTGAGCTGGACAAATTTAAAGGCCTTTTTATCCTTTTTTGAAGCCAAATCCTTTTCAAACTTCTCCAAATCGTGTAAAGAATAGAACGAATCCTCTCTTCCCACTATGAAGAGTGTGGGAATCTTGATCGTCTCACATACTTCTTGAGGCATGAAGATTGGATGCACTATTGCCGTAGCCTTTATCCGTGGGTCTTCAGACTCGATTGCGATCCTTGCAACAGCGTTTGCCCCGTACGAGAACCCGATGAGGATCGCATTCTGGGTCTTGAGCGTTGTAAGTAGCTCATCAATACAACCTTGTAGCTTGAGCCAGTTTGAAGTCGTTTGGAACTTCCCATCGTTATAAGCACCAAACACGTTATGGCACTGGAGCCAGTAGTTCAGCTTGACGTTCACCGCCACCCCCACAGTCAAGCTCTTGACCTTTGAGATGAACGAGCTATCATGGGCGTCTTCCGCTGGCGTCTCCAAGTTCAAGGGGTCGTCGAAGTAGATATCCACAACCGCCGTGACACACCCTGTTCTTATGGCATACGCGTCAGCCAACTTCTTGTTGTTGACGCTGAGCCCCTTGGAGTTGGGCAGGATCACCACCATGCTGTTCTCCTTGGTCTTCAGCTCGTACTCCACCCTTCCATACGTGTCAATCTCCACGGAGTTCGACGGATACGTCAGATAGACGTTGCACTTGGAGCTCTTCAGCCTGAACTCGTATCCTCTTGGTCTCGGCGACGGCACCTCTTTGAACATCTGCGTTGAGGAGCCATTCACGGGCGTATCATCGCCAAACACAGACCCCCGTCTCGCTGCGCTGGGGTCCAGCATGTCGTCAAACGAGCTGTCATCTTCAGCGTCCAGGCCCTCCCCGTCATACTGCCCGTGGCCCACGGCGTCCACCCGCAGCGAGATGTCTCCCTCAACATCGTCGATGTTCTGGAACGACGAGTCAAACTCCCTGAACATCCGTGGATACGCCGATTGAGGCACCTCGAGGTCTTTGTCTGGCTCCATGGTTCCCCTTTTCGCTGTGATCGCCTTCTGCTTACGCTGGTAGCTGTGCCTTGTGTGCCGATCAACTGGTCGTCCGTGCGGGTTTGTTAACGAGAGCGCCTTCTCCGTGCTGGTGCTGGTGCTTTTCTGTGTGTATTTTGTGTGTTTTTCGAGTGTTTCTGGCTACATTTCCTCCTGAAGCAACACACACAGTTGAAGACAGGCTTCTGGTAGCAAGAGACGGCTCTGTTAAAACAGCAGGAGACAGTAGAGCAGATGAGATTTACGCATTCTTTGGCGACGCTTGTGCTTGGATCTTTGGCGTCGTGCGGTAGTGTCAAGTTGTTAGCGCAGGACATCAATAGCCATGAGTCTCTGGCGATTGGGACCTTGAACTACGACGAGGACACGCTGCGTGCTGAGATGGTTGACTCCATTGACGAGCTGCCGCAAGGGTGCTACCGTCTTGGTGTGCAGCATGGCATGTTCTTCAAGGGGTACGGGTACGATGAGGTGAGTACAGGTGTTTCTGTTGTGTTGTTTGGGAGAGAGCGCGTGGACATGGACTAACAAGGAGCACAGCTGGAGAGCCCATCAGGGTATGACGTTACACTCACCACCACGATGGATGGCGAGATATTTGATATTTCGTTCACGAAGAGCTCAAAGAGGGGGCTGACGCCTCATGTCAAGCAGGTCACGCCGGGCCCATGGCCCTTGATCACGTACCAGAAGGAGACTGCAACCGCCCAGCAGGAAAACACCGAGGAACCTGAGGAAGCCGTGGGTATACTCTGAATTACTGTTGACCAGTCGACCTACTAACACCAACCGCAGGCCCCACAAACGTTTATGCAAAAGTACTGGATGTACATCCTACCAGTGGGGATCTTTTTGCTCTTATCGATGGGAGACCCACCGGCAAAGAACAACCAGCAGAGGAGCGAGATTGAAAGATTGAACAACTGATATGTACAGAGGCAAATGAATATGGGCCCTGGTGGATCACCACGATACATTATTTGCAGAAGGATGTGTCTCTCTTCACTGGTGCTCTTTTCCTCTCAGCAAGTCCCAAGTCCTCCCAACTCAATAGGCCAGTTTTCTGTTGATGCTCGGCTGTTTCTTGGTCAACCTTGGACGAGGTGGACTGAAACGGCACCCACTCTCACGACAAATGTATACCAAATCCTTGATTGCACTCCAACTGGAGGACGATTGTATTTGGACGCTGGAGAGATTGTCCAAACCGTGTAATGTGCCGTAAGCTCAATGTGTCAACATACATCCATACACCACGCACCCACCACCCAAACGTCCTTATAACATCAACATCGTCCTCCTTCTGTAGCGTGTCCTCTCTCGCTTCACTCTAGAGCCCATGTCATCCCCAGCAATGGCTATTAACCATACACACCACGGCCAGAAAATCAGCTCGAGAGCACATCGTCGTTCAATTGACGAACATCCAAGCACTGAACCGATGTTACCGACGTGTAGCTATACAGAACGCCATGGCATCCATACAATTGGAGCAACGGCGAGCCCACAACCAACAATTGCGCAAGAGTCTCCACACTACAGTAGCATAGGCCCCATACAAGAGTAATATAACACGATTCACAGCCATACAAGTGACTAAAACAGGTAGCAAGCCATGTTCACAGGGGAAAACATCCAAACACCCCGCCTAGCCCCGGTTGGACGAAAAACGGGCCAGCGCCGGTTCCCAGCTTCACGGAGAGAGACACATCAGCCACCAAACAAAGCTCGGGTTCAGCGAGTGACAAGCGCGTGTTTGATTGGAACCCCGTATAGAAACTTCAAGTATCATGGATAAACTGTTCAACAGAGGGGGAAATCTGATGAATAAGCTGCCTATAACGCATAACAGGGCTCCGCCGGCCCAATTGGGGCCTCCAAAGACCATGGCCGCTGCGAACTGTCCGGATAACGTGCTTGCCTTGATGAACGTTGCTGCTGTGAACCCCGTGGACTTCCCAGACGGTGTCACGATCTCTATAAACGACTTCTACGTCTTCACGACAAAGCAGTCGAACGATGTTGCGCCTGGATCGGTTGGCTTGAACGGTACGCAGAGATTATGGGCTGGGTTGTCCCTGAGCGAGCCTATCCAGGTTAGAAAGTACGATATCATGGCGGCCACTGGTAAACAGACGTATATCGGCACCTGTAACTTGCAAATTTCATTCAGAACCAAGAACAGTGTGACTGATAAGCCGTTTGACCAGGATGAGCTGTCAAAGGCCTTGATCTCGAAGTTTGAGAACCAAATATTCACACCTTCGCAGCTGTTCTTGTTTGACTTCAAAAGCATCATCTTCGAGGTTAGAGTGGAGAGCTTACAGGTTGTTGACCTCGTGGACATCGAGAACAACGGCCCTGTGAGTACTTCTATAGAGACCAAGGGACTGTTGTTACCACAGTCCATCGTCAACTTCTTCAAAGGACGCGATGGATTAGTCAACCTGAAGTCGAGTTCGATAAGACCAAGATCGGATGCTGTGATCAGACCAGACTTCAAGTTCGAAGAGTTGGGTGTTGGTGGTTTGGATAAAGAATTCGCCAACATCTTTAGACGTGCATTCGCATCCAGAGTCTTCCCACCTGCCTTTATTGAAAAGCTGGGTATCACCCACGTTAAGGGTCTTCTGCTCTATGGTCCACCTGGTACAGGTAAGACCTTGATCGCTAGAAAGATTGGTAAGATGCTTAACGCCAGAGAACCTAAGATCGTCAACGGTCCTGAAATTCTGAGTAAATATGTGGGTTCCTCTGAGGAAAACATTCGTAATTTGTTCAAAGATGCTGAGGCAGAGTTCAAGGCTAAAGGTGAGGATTCCTCGTTACATATCATCATCTTTGACGAATTGGATTCCGTCTTCAAACAAAGAGGCTCTAGAGGTGATGGTACCGGTGTGGGTGACAACGTTGTTAATCAGTTATTGGCGAAGATGGATGGTGTTGACCAATTGAACAACATCTTGGTCATTGGTATGACCAATCGTCGTGATCTGATCGATGTTGCCTTGCTACGTCCTGGTAGATTCGAAGTTCAGGTTGAGATCCATTTGCCAGATGAGGCTGGTCGTTACCAAATCTTTGAAATCCATACAAAGAAGATGAGAGAAAATAAAGCTCTAGCTTCAGATGTTGATCTCCATGAGTTGGCTGCGTTGACAAAGAATTTCTCCGGTGCTGAGATCGAGGGTTTAGTAAAGAGTGCTTCGTCTTTTGCCATTGATGGTGTGATCAACATTGGTAAGGGTAAGACTAATATCAACCAAAAGACCATTGCCAACATGAAGGTGACGAGAAAGAACTTTTTGGATGCCCTGGCAGAAGTCACACCTGCCTTCGGTGTGAGTGAGGGTGATTTGAAGATGTGCTTGAAAGAGGGTCTTGTTAACTACTCACCTAAGGTCCATGATATTTTGACTATTGGCCATCGTTATGTTCGTCAAACTAAGGAGAAGACCAGTTTGATTTCGCTCTTGATGCACGGACCTTCAGGATCTGGTAAGACTGCTTTGGCTGCAAAGATTGCTCTAGATTCTGGGTTCCCATTCGTTCGTTTATTATCTCCAGATAACATGGCTGCGATGTCGGAAAGTGCAAAGATTGCATACATTGATAACCTGTTTAGAGACGCTTATAAATCTCCGCTGAACATCGTTGTGATTGATGACCTTGAAAAGATCATTGAATGGGTCCCAATTGGCCCAAGATTTTCAAACGCTATCTTGCAGGTGGTGACCACTTACTTGAAGCGTCATCCACCAGATGACCGTCGTTTGTTGATCATCACAACCACCTCTTCTTACTCCGTTCTGCAACAGTTGGATCTGCTGAGCTGTTTTAACAACGATATAGCAGTTCCAAACTTGAGCACTCTTGATGAGTTCAACAACGTGATGGTTGAGAAACAGTTCTTGGACGACAAGGGACGTGCAGAGGTGTTGCACAAGCTGGGCTCCATTACACCAAGACTCGATGTTGGTATCAAGAACGCCATGATCAACATTGACAGCGCAACGTTCGGCGAGAACCCAGTCGACGAGCTTGTTGAGCTCATGGCTAAGTAAGTAAAGGTATAAGTTACAGTCTTAAAGATAAACAAGGCTCAGTCCTCTTGGTGATGGTTGTAGAGAAGAACCTTTGCTGTAGCAACAAATGCAGGGCGTCTGAGTGTACGGATGTTCTGGTTTTTCCGATCACCCCCACCCCCACACGGAAAAACCTGCGAGAGTTGTTGCGATATGCGCAATGCCAAAGGAATATGACTTGGACATAAAAGTAGCACACTCTTCTTCAAACTGTTCAATTAGTTGAGGAAACCATTGGCTTTAGAAGAAAATGGCTCAGAGATTCAGCAAGGATCCAGAGCTCATTGATTTTGCCTACAGTAACCTCAATGGTGTTCCAAAGGGCTCGGACGACTATGAAAAGATGATTTCAGGAATGCACTACGACTGTTGGGCACCTGAGCTGAGAATAGCACGTGTGAAACGCCATGAGATGGCCAGGCTTTACGGTGATATTCACCTCAAAGACAAGAGCGAGGAGGAGTTCACCAAGGAAAGGTATGACTACATCTGTAAAGTGTTTGGTAAAGTAGGCAAGGACGTGTATATGGAGCCACCGTTCAACGTTGACTATGGGTTCAATATTAGCATAGGGGACTACTTCTATGCAAATTTCAACATGACCATATTGGACTGCTCCATTGTTAAGATTGGGAACTACGTGCAATTCGGACCCAACTGTGTGTTAACATGCGCCACTCATCATTTGGATCCCGTGGAGCGGTGTCATAAGAGTAACGAATGGGCTCGTGAGATTACCATTGGCGATTACGTATGGCTAGGCTCGAATGTCACCATCTTACAGGGCGCAGTGATTGGAGAAGGCGCAGTGATTGGAGCCAACACTGTCGTGAAAGCTGGACAAATCATCCCTCCGTTCTCGGTATGTGTTGGACAACCGGCACGGGTTGTGAGAACCATTGAGGGCTACGAAGGTAGGGACAAAGTTGGCTTTAGAGATCTCCAGAGTAGTTAGAGATTCTTCACCAGAAAGGTATAAAAGCTCTGAAACGTCCTGTAGTCTCTTCCATAGAGAAAATGTATTTGGTCTGTAGATATCACAAAGGTGGCCTTCGAAGGTATTAGCTTGTGAGTTCTTCGATACTGTCGAGACCATATAATTCCCGGCACATTGACCTGTAATCGAGAGTTCGTACACACAACTTCAAACTGGGAGTCTGTCAAAAGAGCCTGTACTCTCTCCAAGTCGAAACTGCCCTCAAAGACCGTTGTCTTAACGTTGTTGAACACGGAGTGTACGATTTGCGGTCTGAAATGGCCAAATGACCAAAACAGAATCCATCTTTTGGTCTTTCCAAGATGGTACTCCTGAACGTTGAAGTTGTCTGTGTTTTTCGTCAATAGGTGGTGTATCAGATGGCTTACAGACGATTTTAAACCGATAAGAGAGCTGAACCACACTGCCTGGCGTTGAACGCTTTGGTCGATCAGCCTCTTGACGAATCCTACCTCACCACCGTCTTCGTAAACGAGCTCAGCTGTGGTTCCCACAACTGAGTCCCTCCTCAACCCTCCCTTTTGCACTGACACACCTGATTTGTCGTAGAACGGGGGGTTGCAAACCATGAAATCGTACTCTGAGCCAACAACACCATCCCCTTCAGCAACCTCGACACCGCTCAGTTTGTTCGCTTCCACGATCCCCTGAGCATGGCGGATGCTCTGCGGATCAACGTCTATCCCCGTCATTTGCCACCCGAACAGCCTATTGGCCAAGATGGCGTATATCGCGTACGCGCCGGTACCAACGTCCAAACCATGGACATGGCGCTTCAGCGTCAGCGACTCATCCAGTATCCTCTTCACAATCCTCAGGTACACCACCCTGGACGGCACGCTCGGTACGAGATGGCCATCAAGGATTGCTACACTCAAGTCGAAGTACTCCTTCAGCAGCACCTTGGTCAAAGCACACTGTCCACCATAGGAATACTCGTACACACCGCCGTGCCAGTACCGGCCAAGCTCGTCTGGATACTTGCCTACGAGCTCGTTGTAGTCGACGCTGAACACCCGATTCATGGGCTTTGAGGCATCAGCTGTTACCGCCCTCACCACCCGTCACCACCCTCTTACGTAACCTGCGGTGCCATCACCGCGCCCGTTTGTTTTTCCTTCACCGGGTGATGCCACTGATGTTGTTCATGTGGTTTTTCCGGTCCAGCCTCGCTCTGCAGCAGAGGGAAAAACCGTGGCCTGGAGTTAAGAACATGGGAAGGTCTATGGGAGGTTAGAAGGGTCAGAGAGAGCGTGTAGTGGTGTCTTTCACGTGGAGGTGGAAGGAGAGCGACTTGGGGATCACAATGAGCATAATATCTGTGGATGTTCACGCCCGATTGCGTGGCGAATGGCGGATAGTTGTGTCCAATTCTCGGAGTCTCGTGGTTTGGACTTATCAATGCGTGTTGCTCATCTTGCAGGTTGGATCTGTTGATGTTGTTTCCAGGGGGGAGTGAGGAGGCACGGAGTTGAAACCACACCACCAAAGTCCCAGTGACAGTTATAAAAGGCGACAGCTGCTCTCTCCATCTCTAAGTCAATTCTGTGAGGTTTACTTTCCTCCTCACACATACAAACAAACAAACATTAATCAATAATGTCAATTCCAAAAACACAGAAGGGTGTTATCTTCTACGAGAACGGTGGTCCATTGGAGTACAAGGACATTCCAGTCCCAACTCCAAAGCCAAACGAGATCTTGGTCAACGTGAAGTACTCTGGTGTGTGCCACACCGATTTGCACGCCTGGAAGGGTGACTGGCCATTGCCAGTGAAGTTGCCACTTGTCGGTGGTCACGAAGGTGCCGGTGTCGTCGTCGCCAAGGGTTCTGAGGTCAAGAACTTTGAAATTGGTGACTACGCCGGTATCAAGTGGTTGAACGGATCGTGTATGTCCTGTGAGTTCTGTGAGAAGTCCTTCGAGGCCAACTGTCCAAAGGCCGACTTGTCTGGTTACACCCATGATGGTTCTTTCCAACAGTACGCCACTGCTGATGCCGTCCAAGCTGCAAAGATCTCCAAGGGCACTGACTTGGCTGAAATTGCTCCAATCTTGTGTGCTGGTGTCACCGTCTACAAGGCATTGAAGACAGCTGACTTGGAGCCAGGTGAGTGGGTTGCTATCTCCGGTGCTGGTGGTGGTTTGGGTTCCCTTGCCATCCAATTCGCTAAGGCCATGGGTCTTAGAGTCTTGGCCATCGATGGTGGTGATGACAAGAAGCAACTTTGTCAGGAGCTTGGTGCTGAAGTCTTCATTGATTTCACCAAGACCAAGGACATTGTCAAGTCCATCCAAGATGCTACAAACGGTGGTCCACACGGTGTGATCAACGTGTCTGTCTCCGAGAAGGCCATTGAGCAATCTACCGAGTACGTCAGAAACTGTGGTACCGTTGTTCTTGTCGGTTTGCCAGCTGGTGCCGTTGCACGTGCTCAAGTGTTTGCTGCTGTCGTCAAGTCCATCTCTGTCAAGGGTTCCTACGTCGGTAACAGAGCAGACACCCGTGAGGCCATTGACTTCTTTGAGAGAGGTTTGGTCAAGGCTCCAATCAAAATTGTCGGTTTGTCTGAGCTTCCAGAGGTTTACAAGTTGATGGAGGAGGGTAAGATCTTGGGACGTTACGTTGTTGACACTTCCAAATGAGTAATGACTATATAGAGGCTATCGGAATTGTACGAAGCTGTGCTACGAAAAAAACAGGATTTAAGAACATGTTTCACACGAGTGTAGATCCCAGAGTCTGGACTCTGGACCGTATGGCTAGCTATATGGAAGAGAACAATCAACCGAGGCTGTTTTAGCTAGATGGCCCTTAAACGAGGCAGCTCAAGTGAGTTGCAGTGCCGGCTGAAACTGACATAGACCTTGACAGAGTGAGGCTTCTTTAGCTCCTACTCTTTATAGTAATGTCCAAAACGTCCTCCTCCTTGACGCATTTGCTTCTACTAATCAGCACGAAGGTGACGGGCAGTACAGGTATGATATACCATTTGAAGTGAGCCAATCTCTTGACTTATAGCATGCCCCCACACACACAGCTGTAACAATTAACCTGGCCACTGTAGGGCACAGATATGCTGTCATTCATGTAACTGGAATTGGCGAGAAGGTTGGTCCGTTTATCTCTTTCTTGACCAGGATTCAGCCTCAACGGTCCAGATCGGAATGGAGAAGCGTATCAACTCCGACCAGAAGCACATAGATGAACAGCAAAAATCCCATGGGTGTATGCACCAGTCCCGCACAAGCGACATATGTAGACATATCTGTGCATAAAACAATGCCACCTTTATATTCAAGTCGAGATTTAGTAGCATGTCTCAACCCTCTACGACCTTGTACGGCCTGACTTACTGAAGTTGTCCCCAAGGATTGCGTAGTTTGAGGTTCTTGGGCTCTATAACACCTACAAAGCAAATGAGCGAAGCCCGTAGGGACTTGAACCGGATAATCATGGACATATCCGATATATCAAAGTCGCTAGGAGGGAGTCCATTGTAAAGCTTCCCAGCCTTTCTTTAAGGAAGTGCATCCGTGTGCGTTTACCCACAGTAGAAGTGACCAATGGGGTTGTGGCGAGGCAATGAAGGCTTCCACGGCCGCAGCTGCCCGCGTCACGGTAGTTTTTTCCCTTTTCTTTTGATTGGCTTTTTACGGCATTGACACATGTAGCGGCCTGTGATATGAGCTGGAGCTCTTGAAAGCTTGTAAGAGGAGCTTTTGATTCCGTTTGGTTCCATCAATCGGCCGGCGTTTTTGCTTCACAAGATAAAGACAAGAGGCTGTATGTATGCAGCTTGTAGTTTACGACCTATTTTGATGACGCTGTCGTGAATCAAATAACGGAAAGGGAGACGGTGTGCTGTACACTCAGTGTGTATGTGGTGTCTGAGAAACGTCCCATCGACATTGTCACTGTTCTGTTCTGTAACCTTTGTGACGATGACAGCTCTAGATGGTGCACTGTCGACAGAGTCACTACCAATGGTGGTGCATCAGACATACCAACTGTTCTCGCATATAAAGTTGCATTGTGGCCACAGCAACTGGAATGCCATTAAGAGTTAATGTATCCATTGCTGATCGTCTGAGACTGTAGAATGCAAACACTTTTAAAGCCCTAGTAACTTGTAGCATACAGATGTGCATATAGCGTTTATCTGGGCCTGTAACGGGAGCTCTACATCCACCAGCTGCGCTGATCAAGGGTTACGTTTTGTGAAGTTTGGAGCGAGCGAGGACAAGGTTCCCAGTCGGGGTGCGTATAAGCTCAGGGGGGAGTGGAAACGCACAGGCAACAACGGGTTGTGGTCTCCAGACAAACGTTTCGGACAGGCCAGTTGGGCATTGAGGTTGACCACCCTTCGAATACGTATCAAGCTTGAAGTTACCAGGTAGTGCCTACGTGCCAATTCCATCCGCTGAAACTCTGTCCTCATGTTTCCCGTATAGCCATGCCGCAACTGACTCGCTCGGGATGAAATAAAGGTGAGGCTTAAGCCATTCAGCCAGGCATCGCGTTGGCCATTGCCCAGGTCCAAACTGTGGATGCGGAAAGCATCGATGGCTCAAAAGGCTACAGTGACGATGGTTTAGTGGAGATCTGATTCCATAAGCGGCCTGTGGCGGGACGCCAAAGTTCGTTTCAAGTCATCTGCAACTGACTATGTGGGCAAAATGCTCTAGCTGTGTAGATATGTGCGCTCCAAATACTCTGAGATATGGGAGCAAGGCACAACGTCAAGGCGTATTTAACAATCACGAGCCTCTCGATCTCTCGGAATACGGACAGAACTTGGGCAAGTCCAGCTGGCAGGCAAACAAGGAAGAAGTGGAAAAAAACGGCGCGTGCTTCATTGACCAGTCAGCTCTTTCCGTGGTGATCAAGTTTATAGAGCTGGCCGGCCACCGTTGTTCATTCCTCGGAATCGCTTATACACTTTTAATACTACCCACCAATGCCAGATGGGCTAAACTGTACGACTATTAAGTGTGCGTAATGGGAGCAAAAGGGCAGCATGAGGGGGATCATAGGCCATGATGATCGCTGATTGTAGTGTAGCACATACAGAGCTTCCAAGCTACTTTACGCACTCCTACAGAGACGGTGTGACCGAGGGCAGTCGGGGACTCAAGCCCTCTGAAACCAAAACACGCACGCAACAACGGTCATAGTACCACACGCACCTGTCGTCCTCTCAACCCGCTTGTATCCCTTGTCCCTTTAACTAATTACACAGGAACAGCCTCCCAGTTCAAAAACCCATGATGCAGTGATGGAAAAACGCAGGCGAAACCAGCATCCAAAGCTTCGTATATGTGCTAGAACAGTGTAGAAGGTGTACATAAGAAAAAATTATATATAAAGTACCGGCCGCAAAATTTGCGAAAGTCCCCGGGTATCCTTTTAGCTTTTTCGTTTTTCGAAAGCGTCAAGCGGGAAAAAGAAAAAGAAATTGTGGTGCTGCAGAGCGACAGAACCAAAAAAAACTTTATATTCACCTATAAGCGCCAAATTTTGATAAAAAAAAAGACAAAAGGTCCCGAACAGACAAAAAAAAGAAGGGGGACAAATACCGAACTCTGGACAAAAAAAAGGAAGTTGAAGATTGAAGTCCTTTAATACTCGTCCATATCTGGTGCTTTTTTTACCCTTTCTCCTTGTTATAACGTCGAGAGAGACCAGACAAACGGAAGACCTCTTCTATAAGCATAGCAGGTGTTGCTTGTGTTCGTCTGAGAATATCCATCGACTCGTTGGAAGCGGAACTTGATTTTTTTTGTGTGTGTGCTTGTGTGTCTCCTTGTTCTTTAGACCAGATACACTGCTGAAACAGAGTGGCCTAGTGAGTGGATTCGGGAAGCAATGTCGTACTCCTTCGAAGACACGGAGGCCCTTCTGGCGTCGTTGTCGGGCTCCTCAGGGACGCCGACTCTTTCGCCGTCTGAGTTCTCTCCACAGCAAGCCATGTCGCCGACGCAGAACATGTTTGGCGGTGATGACATGGCCTGGAATGGAGAGAGCAACGCTGAGCTGGGCGAAGGTGCCGCCATCATGACCAATACCACGAGCGAGTACAACAGCGACGACTTCACCGGGATGAACGTTGATTTTGTTGGTGCCAGTGGGAAAACTGGCGAGGCAAAGCTGGACGAGTACATCTCATCGCTGGAGAACTCCCCGGCAGACGTGCTATCAGAGATCATTCCTGAGCTGGGGCCTGCTGACGATGGCGTGAACCCTGGCCTGCTGACGATGGCGTGAACCCTGGCCTGCTGACATCGCCAACGGCGACTGTGAAGAAGGAGCCGTCGACGAGCCCTGGGAGCAGCTCTGAGAGCTCAAAGGAGCACGAATTAAGGCTACACGGCAAACCAGGCTCCAAAGTCACCAAACCAAAGAAGGATAGATCCAGTCACAACATCATCGAGAAGAAGTATAGAACGAACATCAACGCTAAGATCACAGCTCTCCGGGATGCGGTACCGTCCTTGAGAATGGCAGCGGGCGACACGGATATGACCATAAACGACCTGGATGGACTGTCGCCAGCTTCAAAGGTCAACAAGGCCTCCGTGCTAACAAAGGCCACCGAGTACATCAAGCACTTGGAGAAGAAGAATGCACAGCTCATGGCGGAGAATCAACATCTGAGACAGATTGCCGCCGGCAACATGTCTCCTCAACAACAACAGATGTTGATGGCGCCACAACAACAGCAACAGCAGCCTCCACCACAGCAGCAGCCACTGTATTCACACCAGCCAGCACCACCGCAGAGCATGGCACAGTTCCAGCCAGCGCTGGACTTCAACGGACAACCAATCAACGTTGTTTCTCAACAGCCAACACAACCACAGTACCAGATGAACGTTCCAGGTAAAGTCATCATGGGCGGCTTGGCCACAATGGTTGGCCAAAACCTGTTCAATGGCGATGGATACGAATACCGTGGGCTTTCAGCGTTCCCAATCTTTGCGACGCCGTATGGCCAGCTGTTCTTGTCAGTGCTGCAGTACTTCACCGTTGCAATGGCTGTCATGTACATCTTCTTGCCACATTTGTTCTCCACCAGTGGTACTGAGGATGTGAAGATGAGAAGAAGAAACAGCTCGACGGTATCTGCAAACGAATGGTACGAATTGATGAAAGAATTGGTGTTTATTAGCGTTGGTCAACAGCTCAAGCATGAGGTTTCTGAGTTTGAAGTGAATGCCCTTTTGAACGCATCGTTGATCAATGGAGACTCCATCCCAAGCTTTTCGAGTTTGCTGTACAGCTTGTTCAAATTGCAGACGTATGAGTCCAATTTTGAAGTTGAATTTGGGAAATTGGTGTTGGGCAAGTTGTTGAAGGAACACTCTGATATGACTGCGATCTTCAACCTGAATACCGTTGTGAAGAAGAGCATTGCAAAGATTGCCAATTTGAAAGTTCCCTCCCACTCGTTGAGATATTTCTTCAAAGAGTTGCAGAACCCAAGTGGTGAATACACTACAGAGAGTTTCACGAGGTTGCTTAACGTGATTTGTAACTTGCCACTGGACCTGAACTGCTCAAGAGGGTTGGACTATGAAGGTTTCAAAGTGATCTTGAACGATGACCGTGTTTGTCACGATTATAAGACTTTACTTGTCAGCTTTAGAGCGATGGAGTTATTCCGTGAAGTGATGCTGAACTACATCGACTTGACTTTCAACGTTAGTGTTTCAGAGCTGGATAGTGACGAGTTGAAAGAACGTAAGAAGGACCTATGGGATATGCTCAACTTGGCCGATAACTTGGCTCCAGAGAGATCCATTTGTCAAATCCGTATCAAGCTGTTCAAGTCCATCCTCAACGAAAAGTATCTCGATTCAACTCTGCAGCTGATCCAGGAGGAGGCTCAGCCAAGCTCATCTGAGACGTTGGTTGATATCGTCAGAGAAGCTGAGACCAGATCTGCATCTTCTTCACAGGAGACGTTGAGCGTTGACGTTGACGAACAAGAGCACGAGATCTTCACATCTGATGAAGAAGCTGGGGACTCGGACGTGGAACAGGAGCACAGCGAAGAGGAGGAGGATATTCCTGCGTCCAGATCATCGACTCATGAGAGTCTGGAATCTTCACAATCGTCAGTTGGTGTTGTTGACGACCGTTTCAAGACACTCGTAACAAAGGACCTCTTCAACGCTTTAACGTCTGCTTCTATCTTGAAGTATGCCCGTTCTCACAAGCACAAGGAAGCCAAACAGTTGTTGAAGTATCTTGCTCTTTCCAAGACTGACATTTCACTCTTGTCATTTATCTGCCTCTTCAAACTTGCCCAGAAGTATCCTAAAGAATGGTGCGCCGACGATAGCCTTGAAGGTGAAGCCCTAGAACAAGTCGTTGGTACATTGAGACTGTGGGTTGGTGATTCCTCAAACAGAAGCTTTGACGATGCCAAAGAAGTTAGCATCCAATTGAAGAGGGAGATTAGTGACAAGCTCGTTGAAGTGAGCAAGAGTTTCAACGAAGTTGAAGCTTAGGAGGAAAATGCATCCCTTTTAAGGGAACATTGATACACAATTTGTTTTTGATGTGTTTGTTACATAGATGGGTTGTCGGTTAGGTTTTCGACATCATGCCACTCTCCCCCTTGTTGAAGCGGAGTTGATTCGGTGGGCTTATTATTATTTTATTGGTGTTTTGGTTTTGTTACAGTTCGTTTTACTTATCACTGTCTTGATCCTTGGTTATTCATTCCTGAATGGAACGTTAGTGCCCATCCGTGGTTCATCGTTGCTCAACCAAGGTCACTATGAACGAGGTTACTGGTACTGCTCTATACACTATTTGGTTTCCTCAACAGACGGTTCTTAATATTATACCTGTGTTTTCGTTTGATATTCTAGAGCCTTGTAAGTTCAAAGTTCATCGTGGATGACGTTGTTAGCATCCTCATTGGAGCCTGTTTCCACCTGTTCTTCCTCTGTTTCTTGGTTGTCTATCTGTAGTGCTTGGTCTGGATTCCTTCCTTGTTCACCCAGCTCTTCTCTCAACAACTTACTAACCACATCAAATATCACCTTTTCCATGTCCTGATCGTCAGGAATCTCAACCTCGATGTCCAATTGACGAATCGTGTCTGCTAGCTGTTCCTTCTGTGCCGAGCCTTGCTTGAAATGCGACTCGTGTTGATCTATGCTCTCCAGGCCTTCAAGTTGCCAGGAGTTCTCAAATGACAGGTATTGAGGATTTAGCTTTATAACCAAACGTGGCTCTCCATCAACGACCCGGCACTGACAGAGCACTGACGTTTGGAACTCTCCATGTGTGTTGTAAACATGGGACTGGAAGTTGAATCCATTGGCATAGTCCTTCACGTTTGGTTTAGAGCCAACCATCACCTGGAAGAATCTGGATCCAATCCTTTCTATCAGGTCTGAATTGTCATCTTTCAAAGTGACAAGCTCAACCATCCCTGTTTCATGATGTGTGGCGATGAAGATATCAGACGAGAACCTAGACAGCTGGTAGTCCTCAGTGATGCCAATCCTGTATGGGCTGACGAGTTGCTCCTCACCATTTGAAACACGTTGACACGTGATTTGGTTGTTAGCATCCCCCTTCACACTGAGAATTGGGTCATCACACAGCTTGGACATGCCAATCTGTGCCAAGTAGTGGCACGTTCTGTACTCCCTAACGGACATCAACTCAGGAACCTTTGAATCAGGGTTGCACATGAATTGAACTTCAACAGTACGTGGCTTGCCAGTAACATCACATATTGCACCGTTTTCCATTGTGTACGAGAGCACTGTACGTCCAGCCTCTCGCTTCTGTAGCAAAGACCAGGTCTCATTGAATCTGGGCGTGGTGCCCAGAACGAACACGTTCAGCTTATCCCTGTTGTTGATGTATTGCATTGGATCACCATTAAACTGGCCAAACTCGGTAGATGGACAGTACGAATAGGTCCAATACCCCAAAGGGAAGAAGTAACAGGCGTGTGGTTGCAAAATGGACTTGATCAGCTCGCTATATCCTTGTAGTCTGAGCTCTTGACTGTGGAGAGAGTCGTCATCTTCATTGGCGTCGCCTGGTCCTGATTCATCGTCATCAAGAGGCGAGGGAACATGGCACACGTACACGTCATCGTGTGTGTGTAGTCTGTAGTACGTATCGTTTGGGTATGACGCTGACAGTAGCGTCTCTGCCCATTGTGCGTTGATATCTGGCGCCGTTTTAAAGACGTACTTTGATGATGATGATGTGGTCAGTATGGCACAATTGGCAACAAGAATCAATAGTCGAGACATACCTTTGGTGAAGAGAATTCATCATCGAACAAGTTGAAGACAGCTGAGACCACTGCTACGAGGGTGGCTAGCACTATACTTGAGCCGAGCTTCATTTTCTGGTGTCCGTGTGTTATGTTCGCCTGTCTTGGTCTCAAATGTGTTGATGAGTTAGAAAAAGCACACTCCTCCAATTTCAGCCTTTACACGCTACAAAACCTGTGAGAATTCATATATAATCATTTGCATTGGTGCAAGAGAGAACAAGACACCGTTTAGAATCCCATGAGAATACACAACATCCTCAACAATTGGAATTACATACACATCAACGACTCCGTATGGTGATTGAGCCTCTCTTGCTTTCAAGTGTTTTAAAATCGTGTTGTCATTTTAGTTTTATAGTATAAAGAGAGAATATAATGCGTTCTACACCTCATTTGTTTAATCCAAAGAAGAAGCACCAGTGATGATATCAACAAGTTCGTTGGTGATGACAGCTTGTCTGGTTCTGTTGTACAAGATGGAGTACTTGCTGATCATGTCACCAGCGTTGTTGGAAGCGTTATCCATGGCGTTTCTTCTGGCAGACACCTCGGAGGCGTAACCATCAGCAAGAGCAGCGTAGATACCGTTGGCAAGGGAGAACTCACTCAAGGTCTCTGGGACGTTAGCGTCTTGGTCCACTTCGTACTGTGAGAGCGCTGGGGATTGTTCGATGGAGCCAGCGTCAAACAATGGGGTCTTTGTTGGCTCGAAGGAGACACCAGAGACAAACTTGTTGTAGAAGATCTCAATGTTGGTGTACTTCTTACCCAATTGGTAGATCTCGTCGGCAATGAGTGCAGAGTCACCAAAGGTTGGGGTCTCCTTACCAATACCGTTGAAGGCCAAGATGAGCTTGTCACCGTGGGTTCTGGTCAATTGGGTTCTGGTCTTATCACCAATGGCAACAATGTCGACTTTACCGTCCAACTCACTGATTCTGGCTCTAGCAGCCTTTGCAATCTGGGAGTGGATGGAACCACACAAACCCTTGTCGGAGGAGCAGACAATCAAGAGGGTGTTAGCTTCAGAGTCCTCAGAAGCAACTGGGGCGGTCTCAGCATGGGTGTAAACCTCTTGGTCAGCAGCACCGTAGATTCTAGCACTGTTCTTAGCACGCTCGGCCTTACCCAATCTGGTGGAAGCGACAATCTTCATGGTGTTGGTGATCTTCTCAATGTTCTTGATAGATTTCAAACGGGTCTCAATGTCACGCAAAGTGGCATAGTTTCTAGATATCCTTGTTAGTAATCTGTAAGCGTGAGCGTGTCTTGAGCTGAAGTCATTGCCATTGTAGCAGTTGGCCAGCATTCCTGGCCACCTCAATTGGCCATGACTATTGGTCACGACTAGCCAGAAACTCCTTTGATCATCTTGATTGGTCACGTCTTCTGATCATCTGTGTTGATCACCTGTGTTGACCATCTCTGTTGACCACTTCCGTTGACTACCTCCATTGACCACCTCCATTGACTCCAATCCACACCCTGTGGGACATAACTTCTCCTCCACCGACTGCCTCCATGGACTCCCTCCTCAAGGACACAACCACACCCTGTGCAGTGAAAAACAGCTCAAACAACACGCCAAAACAATCGACTCACCTTGATTGAGAAACAGCAGAACGAACAGCAGATCTAGCGAACATCTTCTTCCTTTTTTCTTTCCTTTCCTGGCTTTGGGGGCTAAAGATTTAGGAGTTGTGATTGCAAACCTCCCCGGTTCGTTGACTTTTGTGGGTTTTTTTTCCTCGCCCTTCCTTAGCGCGCGAAAAGGGGTGAGCGGTCCGGGACGCTTACAACAAAACACAGGCAGAGGGAAAAAATTTCACGGTGCGCAACACGGAGCGATTTGGTTGGCTGGAACGAGAATGCGTGTGTGTTTGGGTGTTTGGGTGTTTGGGTGTGCGGATGTTTAAATGTCTGGGTGTGGCGGTTGCTACGGTTTCTTCCACTCTGTTTACGCCTTTATACAGCTTGTTTATTCCTTATACGTCTGTTTATTCCTTAAATGCTATACGAGTACCCTCTCCAGACGCTTATTCCCTGTAGTACTTTGGTGCGATGAACGGCTGCTTAGCGATCACACCTTCCCTCTTCTTGTTTCTAATCTCAATCAACACCTTGGTGCCGGACTTGTGATAACCTCTGTCGATGTAAGCCTGGCCGATGTTGATACGGCCCTCGAGAGATGGCGACGCACTGCCACTGGTGACAACCCCGATCTGCTTCTCTGGGGAATCGACGTCAAAGATCTTACAGCCCTCTCTGGCAGCAGGTCCCTTCAACTGGAATCCAACTCTTTGCTGCTTCACGAGAGATCTGTCAGCGAGCTGCGCCAGGATCTTTGAAGAACCGTTGAACTTAGCGGTTGCTGGGTCTCTCTTGGTCTTTGAGATCACCCAGGAGAGGGAGCCCTCCACAGGTGTGATGGTGTCGTTCAAATCATGGCCGTAGAGACACATACCAGCCTCCAAACGAAGGGAGTCTCTTGCAGCAAGCCCTACAGGTTTCAACTCTGGATCCTCTAGAAGTGCCTTCGCCAAATCCTCGGCAATATCATTTGGAATGGACACTTCAAACCCATCTTCTCCAGTGTAGCCTCCTCTGGCAAGGTGCAGTTCCGCGTTGTTGAAGCCTGGAACGATGATGTACTTCGAATTACCGAAATAGATCTTAGACAGGTCCTCATTGGTGAACTTCTGTAACACCTTTTGAGCACTTGGGCCTTGAATTGCCAAGAGCGTACTGTCAATGACCTCGAATTTGACATCGAGCCCCTCAGCATACTTCTTAAAGAAGGCCTGGTCTTTAGCACGAGTTCCAGCGTTGGTGACAACGTAGAAATGCTCATCATCGTCGTGCTTGGTGATGATGGTGTCGTCCACGATACCACCTTCCTCGTTCAACAACACGCTCAGTTGGTTGTGCCATGGCTTCAAAGGCTTGAAGTCAGTAGGGGTAATCTTATCGAACAACGGGATGACATCTTTTCCAGAGATCTTTTGCTGCAGCATATGGGAAACGTCAAACAGGCCGGCATGCTCACGCGTCCAGCGATGAGAATCGATGTGTGAGAAGCCTTTGTACAACACTGGCATCGCATAGCCTGCAAATTCAACCATATCACCCCCTAGCGAGATGTGCAGGTTGTACAACGGGGTCTTAAGCAATGGCGTAGAAGAAGCTGTGGAATAGGCACGTCTAAACATTCTTTCTTGATTCTTGAATATACTCTGATTCCCAAACTGTGAAAGTGACCAACAGAGAGACCTCGTAGCTGAAATCAGTGTGGAAATTGGAAGGGGAACTCGAAAGGATTTTATACACACCATGTGAAAGATGAGCAGAGTTCATTTAAAAAGCTGAATTATGCCACTATGCGTTGACTCCGGGTTCGATAATATGGGCTGCGCCCGGAGTCAGACTTGGAGCTCAGGAAGTGCGGAAAAGAGCAAAATCCGGGGTAGCTGGCCGGAGTCAAAACTACAAGCTCGAAAGTACAATTATACAGCTGAATGAACGAACCAACAACAGAGAAGAGTATTGTCCCAGCTATAGTCTTTCCAGAGCTCTCTTTATAGCCGGAGCGACTTGTTTTCTGCTAGCTGCGACGTTCAATTGCCTATAAACGTTGTGTGTGTTGTCAATAGGGTCAAGCTCCAATTCCGCTCTGAGGTTTTGATCCAGTGCAAGCCTCATCAGCGTGTTGCTGGCTTCGTCTTTGGTGACATAGCCCAGTTCCCTGTTGAACTCACCATCCTTCTCAAATGAAGTCATAAAGACAAAGATATCGAGTCCTTGCTGCTTCAGATAAGCGTCCATTTGGTCCTTGAAATCGCTGTAGTTCTCAACTAACCATTTGTAAGGCTTCACTATAGAGCTTATACCAACGAGTTTCAACACATTATCGGTGCCTACACCGAATTCAAACAGTTTGTAGTCCTTTGCAAAGATTTGGTGCATTGACAACCCGGTGATGTCAAATTTTGCCGATTGGAGCTCTTCGAACCAAGAGTTGATCTCCAGGGGATCAATGAACTTCTGATACTCTTTGAACATGACAAAGTCGGGCTCCTCAGCTCTGTGCTTCAGGCACGAGGTGTCAATTATCAATGGCGCCAATAGGAACTTCACAAGCTCATTGGTCAGAAGTACACCTTGTGAGGTCCAGTATTGTGCAACCAACGTTGAGCAGCTTCCACATCTCTGGATGATTCTTGGATTGGCGTCTGGTGCTAGATGCTCATCCTCATGGTGATCTATGATGCCAGTGATCTGGAATTCGTTGAAGTTGCTTGTCGGTTTGTTATGGTCCACGAGCACCAAACCCTGAACCCCGCTGGATATTGAAGGCAGGTCATCCAGATACAAAAGCGAATCCCTGTGTATCTCAAACTGTGACAGCACCAGTAGAAGATCCTTGCGAGATGAGATATCGCTCTTGTAGAAGTTCAAAACGGGAATGTGATGGTTCAACGGATCATGGATGTCAGCGAACAAGGCGTAGGAGATGGATGAGATCACAGAGTCCAAGTCGCCCGATTGATTACCACAGATCAGCTGGTACGACTTCACCTTCTTAGCTGTCTCTCTGATGGATTGCACAAATGCTTTCAACTTCATTGCGCAGATGGTGAAGGTTCCGCCGCGTAGTACAACAATAAACAACGGTTGCGAAGTATGGGATCCTATGGAACAACTTCACGGTTTTGGAACGTCCCAAAAACCGGACATATCACTCCAGAAACACAATCCCCGAACGCCAGAGAAACCATAAAGTAGCGGGCGGAATTATCGCTGCTTCACCAAATGGGGGGATTAATCAAATTCGATTTGAATACTTATCACTCCACTTTTATCTTCTTTCCCTTCTTCACTTGCACTCTTTGTATCGTCAAAGTCGTCCAACAATGCTTCTTCCAACAGTTCACCTCTTCTCATGGGCCTTCATGTAGGTATTCTCTCCGTGGTTTCAGCCCTGAACTGAACTTCAATACTAATAGCCCGGGAACAGCTGGGGAGGCTCAGGTTACTACTCGTATGTCGCCTCACCAATTGCCTTCAAGACCCTTCCACGTAAGGAGTTTGGCGCTTTGCAAAACAAGGTGTTCCCACACTTCTTCCTTGCCCAGACGCTGGCTCCCGTTGTCGTGGGCCTGACTGCTCCATATACGTTGTCCACCGGGGCGATCATTGCCCTTGCGAGTGCCGTTGTTGGTGGTGCTGCCAACAAGTGGTGGTTACTGCCTTTGACCAAGGGGTTGAAGGAGAAGAGAAACCAACTTGAGGCGGAGGGCCAGCAGGACTCCGAAGAGTTCAAGCAGGCAACACAGCAGTTTGGCAAGTTCCACGGTGTTTCTCTTGGATTCAACCTCTTGAACTTCCTCGCGTTGACCTCGTACGGGTTCATCTTGGTGAGAGGCCTCGTCCGTTACGCTCCAAAATGAGCTCTACCGTAAATATTTGTAAATAAACGCACACGCTCAGAGCGAGAGAAGGAGATGTATTCTTTGTTTCGTATTTATTATGTACAGTGCTAATGGATAAAAAGACATGTTTTGATCTACTCTGCTTCTTCACCGAGGAAAGAGGCAACAGACAGCGGCGGGTTCAGCGCCATCATCATGATGATGTACTCGTAGATGTGCTTTGGCACAGAGGTCTGGTACACGTTCAGAATATCAGTAGGGTTTGGGTAGACCGCAAGAGCCCTGTAGAAGGCCAGAGCACTGTCAATCTCCTTGCCTGGAACAGCAGCCAACTGCTCGGCGGTGGTGACCTGGGTCATGAAGTACGACTCCTTCTGAGCAGGCTCCGTTGGAATTGGCTCGTTGGCAAGAGACTCCATCAGCTTCTTCTGAACAACCTCGATCTGCGCAGTCTTCACCTTGTGCGCAGCGGCCTCCTTGGCCTTTGCGTACTTCTCGTTGTTCTTCTGGATTCTCTTTCTGAACTCTGGATCGTGGCGGCGAGCATAGTCAAAATAGACAGCGTAGCCGAGTGCAAGCGCACCAAAGGTAGCAACAGCAGCAGTGAACTTGGACATCTTCGCCTTGGAGTACTGAGTGGGTTTGTTGCCTCGTTCGTAGGTGCTTCTTGCCGTCTTTGGCTAAGAGCAAAGTGAAAAATGCGCAGGTTCGACGATAATTTTGCGGCCGTGATTATGTCATCCGCGTCGGAAATGGAAAACTTTGCATCGAGGAGCGAAGGCCCTTTCCGACACTGCGATGAGATGAGCTTGGAAGGGCATCACAGCAGGCGCTAAGGGCGGGTGTTGAAGCGGTTGATTAGATATTCAGGGCGGCAGCGATGGCGAAGAGAACACAGCTGAGAACGAAAGCGGCGAGATCGAGCAGCCGGGCCGTTAAGCAGAGTGGCGAGTCGTTGCCTGAGGATCCACAGGCCTTCCTACACCAGTACAAGGAGACAAAGCAACAGAAGCTGCTGAACAAGAGACAGACACTGCTGTCCAAGCTGGGCACAGAGTCGTCTATTTCCAAGTCGTCGCTGAGAAGACGGAAGCGGAAGGAGAAGCAGGAGCTGAAGCCCAAGATGGAGGAGCTGCTGACGTCTCTGGAAGAGTCCATGGGAGATGCGATAAACGTTGTGGACAGTAAGCAGTATGTCCAGGCGAAGAAGAAGAGTGCCAACGCTCCAAGCACACGGACCAAGAAGGGACTGCAGAAGGTGGAGCAACAAGAGAGAAAGCTCTTTGGGATGATTTTGAAAGACCAGCAGTTTAAGAAGTCACCATTCGAGGCACTCAGAGAGAGTATATCGAACAGGCTCAAACAAGAGTCTACAGCAAAGTAATTATGATGGTTCTATAGTAATAACAATAAAGGTGATGTAATGATAACGAAAGGACAAGGGCACGATTCAACTGGAATAGTTTGGTTTAGAGATGGACCACTTGTTCTCCAACATGTAAGGTAGAATGCCAATACGCACTCCGTGGAAAAGAATCTGGTAGGTGGTTTCGAATAATGGGAACTCTTCTTCACACCCTTTGTTCTTGATCAGCTCGTGGATCTCCTTCGCAGTGATTAAACCTTGCGCACTCTGACCGTTAAGAATCTCCTTTTCAACCTCATGAGCCGACTTACCGGTCTGAGCCATGATCTTGGCCAGCTTGAAGTTACGACCACCGGTACATGTTGTGAAGAGATCAGCGACACCTGCACTTTCCTCTGTGAACGAACTGACAAGACAACCAGGGAAGAACTTACGACCGAATTTGATCATTTCTAACAATCCACGTCTCAGCATCGCAGCCTTCGCATTATCACCCCACTCCAAACCTTCGACGAATCCGACAGAGATGGCAATGATGTTCTTCAAGGCCCCCGCGCAAGAGATACCGGCAATATCCTCAATGACATGGACATGGAAGTAAGGTCTGTGAAACAGCGTATAGAGAACGGTATGGTCAACATCACCAGGCTTATAATCTGCCGGCAATGGATATCCAACGGTGGTCTCACTGAATCTCTGTTCTGCCACCTCTTGTGCCAAGTTGGCTCCGGCAAGAACACCACAGTGGATACCCAGTGCATCTTGGATGATATCTGGTAGTAGCTCAACGCCATCTAAATTGACACGAAGCCCCTTAAGACAGGAGATCGCACGTGCTCGTGGATCAATGTTACCACGAAGCTGGCTCAGGATCTTCTCCAGATGCTGGTGTGGGATGTTGAAGATCAGGATGTTGGAGTACTGGACAGCCTCCAACAGGTCAGGCACCGCAACCAAGTTATCCGGCAACTTGATACCAGGAAGGTACTTCTTGTTCACGTGCTCAGTGTTGATGATGTCGGAAAGGTTGGAGCCTTCGAACTCCTCCTCGTACACCCACATTCTCACCTTCTGCTCAAACAGCAACGGGTTCTCCCTTGTGTTCTCGGCAATGATCTTGGCCACTGTGGTACCCCAGTTACCAGACCCAATGACCGAGACAACAAACGGAGGCTTCTGAATCGACGTGTATGACACACTATGGCTAAGCATTGGTAATGCGGAAACGTCTGTTGATACGTCACTCTCGGATTCTGCCATATCAGTCATGGCTTTATCGTATCAGGGAAGCGATGATGGGTTCTATATATAATGATTTGATGGTGAACGACTCACACGCAAATAATATGTCCTGCTGCAATGAATAATGTCTAGTGAAGCACACACACTGTACGAGCCCACAGAAATTAATTTCCCTCTTTATATGACGGTAGCAAGGGAACGGGAGGGAAAGTACTCCCATCTCCTGGTTCTGAATTATTTTCTATTGGGGGTGTAAGTGCACGCGCACTGCGTAGGCAGACGAGTTGCACGCAGGTGATGGCCTCTCTCCCAGGGAAGGGGCCCTCTCCCTAAGGAGGCCGACCAAAAAAAGAAACAATGGGACTGCGCACACAGTCCAGGAGCGTGAAGCCACTTGCCTAAATCAGTCACACGCAGAGCTGAGGTGGTGCGATCACGTGTGTATGTGTGCTGGTGGTGCTCGTAAGGAGACGGTCCGTTTCCGTGACAGGTTCTACATTCGAGTCCAAACTATAATGTGCGTGAGCATTTTAGTCGGAATCCTACAGGCGAGGTGGAACCTACAGGTGACAATGCCGTGGGTGAAGCACGTAGGCCAATGACGGTAAGGAATTGTAGACATATCATTCAGCCTTTGTAGCCTTGATATGTGGCTTAACATGTGCAGTGGTAATGTATGGGCGTCCGAAAGACCAACGGTATGCGATAAGGATCAGCTTTAACAGTTGAAGAAGGAGGAAGACGAAGGTGACTGCGAGTATCCCGAGGATGAGCATTTCGTTTTCATAGATGACTTCATGGTCGAGTAGATGCGAGCATTGGAACGCTGTCAAGTTAAGCAGTTTTGTTCTCTTGCTTGGGAACGGCCTGTCGACTTCCATCACATGTTCGTTCCTCTCAAATTCCACTGACCTGGACGCATCCTCGGACAGATCAGGGAAGATGGTCTTGGTGGCCCACCGCGTCTCGTCATTCACGTTGAGCAACCCCATCGTCGAGCTCGTGTACACCACGAGATGGTACGGAGATGGGAGTTTTCTCAACGTCTTACGCAGGGACAGGTCTGCAAGTTCCAATGCCTCACGGCGTGCTTCTGGTTCGTCTGGCAATTCAGGCAAGTTGATTCTGATGACTCTCTTGTGTGAGTCGATGTAGGTGTCGATTTCGTCCAGTCCGTTGGCTTCGATGTATTTACCGCCACATTTCCTCAAGGCATATGAAGATAGGCCATCAAGGTTGACAGGACGGGTCACACGAGGAATGGCACCCAGCGTCGAGCTCATGAAGCTATAAGATCTCAGGACGATGAACGATTGGTAGTCTTCAAGATCGTCTAGCGTTATTCCAGGCTGGTTGACGAGGACAACGGCATCTGCATTGCACGAATCGATTGCACGCTGAATGACCTCAGTAACGCGCTGCAGCGGCATTTCAAGCTTGTTATATTGACGAACGTACTCTTGGATCTTGGGTACTCTAATGTCAGACACGTTAGTATATTCACCGCCATCGTCGAGAGCGTAAAGCTCGTTATATGCTTACAGCTTGTGAGAATACAACAGTAGTGGGACAGTCGCCCATACGTTCATAATTAAGAAGGCACATAGTATTCCATGCCATAAAACTTTCATATCGCTTGATAAAATGGACAATTTGAATCCAATCACGGTTTATAAAAAGATGAAAAGGCTCAGCCCAAAGAGGTTTGGCCTCATCAACCATAGCCGTTATAATTATTTTCAGGTAGGGGACACAGCGAAACAGAAAATCAAAGCAAAAAAAATACGACCTCGGTCAGGATTGAACTGACGATCTCACGATTAACAGTCGTGCGCCTTAACCAACTTGGCCACGAAGTCTTTTCTTGAAAAAGTTTTTTCCAGTGCAAACGTGCCAGTGCTGTGACAATCAACGCTCACAACCTTTGAATAACTGTAGATCTGCTTCCTGACGTCTCTCATTCAAGTACAACGTGAATGTATAAGATTTTGTTTTCATTTACATAATTAACCAATGCATGCAACTTTTCAAATAATCAATTTCCAATGGTGGTAAAGCCTTAGCCCGTCTAGAACTTGGTAGTAATCGATCAATTTCACATTATCACCAACTTTCATCTGATGAATTCTGTTATAGTTGGGTATACTTTGACAGTAGTTGAGCAATAGAACGTCTTGATTTTCCATGTAGCCATCTAGGTTTACCGAGAGTAAGAAATCACTTATATGAGAAACACCAGTAACTGGGTATATCTGATCTGTGTCGCTGGTCGATCTTTTAGTAACGATCGTATGGTTCTCATGGAGCCCAAACCAGCTGTTCAATTGGATCAAAGGAAGCTGTGAAGTCTTCAACAAAGACGGCGTTTCGATAGCCATAGGAGTCAACTTACGCCTTGGTATGTGATCCCTAGTGGTGAATGAGGCATTTGCAACTTCATTGGATATACTCCTCAGTTTGGAAGGATCATCGTGCGGCCTTGCCTCGGGCGATTTGAGATGCAACGACGATAACGTTATTGATGTCTTTGTAGGAGTATCAGAAAATATCTCCGGCGTGGGTACTGGATTCAGTACTGTATTTAACGGCGTGCTGTTCCTTATAATCTGTGAAATGGTGGCACGTGTGGTGGGTGTTGTTGTTTGAAGCTGTGCTTTAGTTCTCTTCACAGACAACAACGTGCGTTTCCCTGTTGTACAACTCTTTGAACATCTGTTTAAATCTTTCAATGAAAGTGGGCGTGATAGAGGTTGGTACTTTTTAGAGCTCTTCAGTTTAACGTTATGGCCCATCCCAACAGCGTTTGAGGAAACAGTTCAAGAGTATTGTTGACAATCAACAAAGATCTTCAAAATGTAAACAAAGGTTGCAATTGTTGCCCCAAAAAGGTGCCCTTTTGTAGACTTTTGCGCCAAACGTGAAACTGCCGTCTGGGCACGAAAAGGCACAGCAAAATGGCAGCAAAGCTGATTTGTGACAGGAAAAGTGTCCGATATGGCCAATTCAAGCCTAAAAAATTAAAGCCTTTCCCTGTGGGAAAGTTTCACGAAGCATACAACGGACATCTGACAAGCTCCTTATCTCGCTCGTATTGTCTACCATCCGATAGGGACCAGACGTTCTCCTCATCATAGGCCCAGTGAAGACCATCCACTCACCACGCGTCGTTCACGCAGCGGGAAGGCGTGTGCCTTTACCACTTTGTTATGACATTGGACCTTCGGACTGGATTTCCGGATTTATCACTGAATTATAGCAACTGTGATTTAATGTAACACTTCACAGTTATCACATCCCTTTTGGGATATGAAAACAACAAGAGCTATGAATCCTCAAGATTCCAGTGGTTTCTCTACAATGGTTTAAAAGGCGCTCCATGAACCATAATTCTTCTTCTTTATAAAGTTCCTAGAACTTAAGCCTTTCTCTCTTGTATTTCTGAATTATATTATTATCAAGATTATTCTTATTGCCATTATCATATCTTATACTTTACTAACCACACCCTGCGAATGGAACACTATACATCCTACTGTTAGTGAAAGATATATTGTGACGTCGATATAACTGGAAGCATTCAGCTGAACCCCGAAGAGCACAACCACGACATCAACGGTGTGTGCAACATCCTCATAAAATGGCTTACCACGTCTCAATAGACACAAACAAGGAGTGCGTTCCTGCTCCTCTAAAGAAATCACCACCTTTCTGCTGTCTCCTGGACTTTCTAAGGGGCTCTAAATAGCACATTTTCATGAATGATGTCATGATTTGGATTTTTTTGACAACGTATTAGATCACCAACAATACATAAGTTAACAATGTACTTTGTATGTAAAGCCCATAAAATCGACAAACAAAAACTAGAGACTTCGTAAATATCATTATAACCCTGTTGGTGTGGTGAACCTTGGTTTGCTCCTAGCACAATTGTACAACAGGTTGGCCTGGCAACCTAACAGCAACCAAGATCGAATATTTTGTGCTTGAACCTGTAAGTTTTATGGCGGGGCTGTCGTGGTTAGATGAGAGTACGTCACTGAGCAGGCTGTAACAGTACGTACAGTTTAGACGAAACAAGTGAGACACATTGATCTTATGCTTGTAAATAATGGCTCGATAAAGCACTGCTGCTGTGGCCCAAACATTTGCTGTTAAGAATCGCTCAACTTGTAGAATAGCGACAGAGAAGACCTCAAGGCCTGAACATATGGAGTTTTCTACTGCGTCCCTAGTGAGCTGTGAACACACTGCCTTCACCGGTCTCTGCACCCCTGAAAATCAGACCAAAAGATCAGCATTAACTCATGTGAATTACGAATACTCTCTTTCATGTCGACACCGGGAGGCCCGGTTTGTAAAACTGATCAATTGCTAGTTCATTAGATCAACGTCACGCATGAATTATAGATGTTTCCCATTTGGTACTATGTAGTCATATGTCTTATGGACTTTTATTGTGCCATGCCTGCTTATTGTGCAGGAAACTTAGTACCGTCCACACGGGTATTCCCACCAATCCATTCCCGATTTAACACGTGACTTATATACTACTTTTGATGGTGTTCGACACTTCATGCTTCAGCTGTTCAACATATGATCTGGGATATTAAGCACTAGTTGTTGTCCTCCAATGAGTGGCATGTTCCTGGGCAGTCTCTCATTGAATAGTATTAATTACAGTGCATGTATGATTTAGCGACCTGAGAATGCCGATAAACTTTATTACCCGCCTGAGGTGCAAGAATAATCACGCATTAACTCACTTCTACACTAATGTGTTTGCCTCGAGCAGTGTAGTTAGGTGGCTACGTTCTCTGGGGGATCATCAACGGTGTGAAAATCAACTACCTGGAAGTAGCTACAGTTTAGATAATCAGACACGCTACTTGTTCCAGCCCTAATTCGCGTATGTGGTGATTAGTCACAATGTTGTGGCATCATCTCTTCTAACATTAGCGTTTCAACTTTGGCACTCACCAGGAGCGCCGGGTCACTACAGATAACGAGTGCCTTCCAGAACCCAGAGACTTTGGATGTAGATTGTAGCTTTAGTCTTCATGGCATAATGCACAGTGTATCACCCCGACTACCGCATACAATGAACTCAAATAACGAGTTCTCATTTATGATTCAACGTTAACAGGCGGAGACAGTTTCCCATCGTAGCTATTGCTTGTTCCACAACTATTATCATCTGAGCAGTCGTAACTTACGGCTCCACCATCATCAGCGCCGGTACCAGAGAGAGACAGCGACCACTCACGGGATCACCGTCTACCCACTCCTGCAGTGTACAGCGCTGTGGTGTAGATTTAGCGCTCACGAAACACTTACGCCATGCAACGCATGATAATATCTGATAACCCCGTTTATGTGAGACTTTGTTGAACTCCTAACTTCCAGTACAGAGACTTTGTGAGGAGTGAAACGCCACGGTATTGGCTTTAACTAGAGCTCGCGTTAATTTCAGCACATGCTCGTATCACACTGCTGTGCCCACAGCTCGTACTTTCCTCTTGCCTCTGTATCCTCAAGCTGTAAGTGTGTTCAGCCGTCACCGTTCGTGCAGACCAGGCTATAACTTACAAACTATAACGACAATCCCCTGCGTTCAAAAGAGGATCTTACAAGTTGCAACTTGGAATTTAGCTGATTCCACATGTAAATTCGAGAATTCCGGAATGAAGCAAGTGCGCACCCTACGAATCATTCTTAAATTCATTGATCAGCTTCCAAGGACTCACAACTAGGGCTACACGTGAGGCCAAAACGCAACTTGCCCCATATTGTATGGAGTTTGATCCGCCTCCCCAATCTCGACTCTAACCTCGCCCTATTCAGTAAAGCTAAGCACCACACGGTTGCTGATGAGCGATGCACACATGCATGCGTCGTGCTGATGCGCACATTAAAGGAGAGTTTGGGTATCGGTTACCAGCTTGGGAGCTGCTCTATCAAAACCTATCTTTGCTCAACCACCAACCTTCAACAATTGGACTATGAGTACCTCATAACCACATCACCAGATGGGACCAGGTCCTTGCTAATTGTTGTCATCTCAAGTCCTAGGTATAGACCCGTGGCTCCTTGATTCGGTCAAAGGCGGAGTCAAAGTGGACAAACCGTTTCAGATACTGCGATGAGACGTGGATTTGCGCAAAGCAACTGAAAGATCCCAAAGAGGAAACCTGTGCTGCATTCTAATTTGGCGAAAGTTTCCAACGGCGGCGACAAGAGAAAATTTCGTCAAGCTGGGGCCCAAAAGCTGCCAGATGTGGTAAGAACGAAATTCTAAAAGGTAGAAACCGATTGAAATAAATCTTTGTCTCTTGTCCATTAAACCCCATTCACGCAGTAAGAGTAGCATTTCTGTATACTAAATCGTCAAAAGGGGTTTTTTGTTACTTGGCCTTTTCCATCAGTCCTCTCAGGAAGTGCTTGGGCTTTTCAACATCGATACACTTTGCCTATTGTATGACATCATCTGCTGAATTAGGTGTTGGAATACCACACCATGACAAACTTCTTGCCAGCACTGCCACTGATAACGCTCATATGAAAGCTCAAGCCGACGTTGAGGAGAGCGGTGGACGCTCCGTCTCCACCGAGCTACCGCAACACCACAACCGGTCATCATCAATAGGGGAAGCAGTATCGGGCACAGTATCGCAAGGTACTAATGTCTCGCAGAAACCATCGCAGACTGGTCAGGCTGAAAAGCATTCCAGCAAAGAACAAGTCAAGGCACGTAAGGACTCGTCCTCATCGTCGACCTCAATACTTCCACCAACGACGAAGGGCTTGCACACTGTCTTCATACACAAACTGTACAACATGCTTGAAGATGACGACCTGAAGCACCTTATATGGTGGTCAGGATCGAACGAATCGTTCATAATTGTGCCCAGCGAGGAGTTCAGCAAGGCCTTGTCACAGTATTTCAAGCACACCAACGTCGCATCTTTTGTACGTCAGTTGAATATGTATGGGTTCCATAAAGTTGGCGATGGGAACTCTGGGAACAACAATGATCAGAATATCAACCCCGACATCACAACGTGGGAGTTCAAACACAGCTCAGGATGCTTTAGAAAAGGAGATATTGATGGATTGAAAAGCATCAAGAGACGCTCGTCTAAGAACCCGTCTACAAAGGGATATCAACAGACCTCACAGGCCTTGGAAGCCGGGACAGGCTCAGATTCAGAGATTACGTCTTCTGAACGCTCAAACTCCGCTGTGGAGTTACAGGACTCCTATGTGGATCCAATGCTCAACGTGAGACTGGCAGAGTTGGGCCATAACTTGGCTGCCTTGAGACACGAACACGCCAGGTTACAACTGAGGTACAACACAACAATGGAGGACTTGAAAACTTCGAATATGGATCTCGTTAACCTGTTGGACTTGACACAGAGACTGGTGACTGTGCAAATGAATCATCCTAGCCATAATGGAGCTTCTCTCAAGCAGGAAGAGAGCGAATCACCAAGAAAAGGAAGGCTAAGCAATGACCTTGAAGGTATTCAGAATGGCCTTTCACAGTTAAGGGCTTCTATATTACAACGGGCTGCTGCAAAAGAGCAGTTCGAGCACTTCTCCACTGTATCGTTTGCACCGCCGGCTCCACATCCACCTGCGCCTTCAGTAGCGGTGCATCAACAAGCTGGCCATCAACAAAACCCGCCATATCCAGCTCAGTTCAATGCTTACCCATATCCTTATCCAGGACCGCAGTACCAGGTGGTACAAGTACCTCCACCACAGGTCAATGAGGCTGAACATATTGTTCACGATCCATTCAGTTCGGAGCGTAAGGCATCAAGAACATCGAACCGCTCTAGGAACATGTCTGTGTTTTGCGATCCACTCCAAGCGCCTCCGCCTGCCTCACCAACGGGGTCAATTGTGCACCGCTCTTCAGCATCTGGTCATGAGATTGGTGTGCATTCCCCTGGTGTGTCCTCTGTGCCTCACTTTCAGCTACCTTTTGGTCATCGTCCAGGCTCGCCAGATCAGTATGGTCAACCGCCACTTCAACAGCAGCATCAGCAACAACCACAACAACAGCCTCATCATCTTCAACAACATCAGCAGTACCAGCACCAGCACCAGCAAGCGCTATTGGCATCACCGAGGGCTCCATACTCAAGGGACCAAAGGCCAGGTTCGTTACCAGGCCACAGCACCTCCTTGAGAAATGAAATAGTCACTCGCAAGAGACACTCGTCAAACGACGCTAGTGATTTCCGGACTGACATGTTGAATCCTCCAAGGAGTGTTCCATCACAGGGGGAAGGTGGCCAAATTCTGGGGCCAAAGAGGTCAAGCAGTGGCTCAAGCCTTAACTTGTACGGTAAACCGGTTGTTGACTATGTGTCTAGCCAACAACACTCACAAAAGGACCCAAATACGAATCCGTATGGCGTACACTCTCTTCTAAATCCAGAGAGACGGGATAGTGTATCGGTTAACGATCAGCCTCCGTTACAGAAGAAAGCTCGGAATCTTTAGAGGTGAACTACAACGTTGAGGTGCTTCCTCAGCTAATACACCAAACTCCTATCCCACAGTGCACCAAGCTTATGTTTATTGTAGTCCAACTATATTGAAAGCATAGTGTAATCCACTAGTGTCAAAGTGTTTGATCAAAACCTTCTTTCCTCTTGGATTTGGAATCGATACGATCACACCGTCAACGCAGGTAAAGGTCCTGTCCTCATTGTCCTCCATAATTTCAATAACAGCTGTGCTTCCCTGGTCTACTGGCTTGTACTCTGTCAACGTGTTTTCAATATGAGCACCGTTGAAGTAAGGTTGCGTAACCACTTTTGTCAATTCATCCTTTGTCTGATCCGCAAAGCTCACATAGTACAATTCTGGGCTTGCCAATTGCGACCTTGGGGAAATACGGTAAGCCTTCTCCAAATATGGTGTAGCGACGAAATCGATATAAGCATGTTGCTCACGAGCTGTGAAAGGCTCGACTTCACCATTTGGCCTCTTTAATGATACTTTCAGTTTGAAACCCTGTGGTTCTTCAAGAGCTTTGGCGAATGCCATCTTGAACCGTTCTGCACCAAGTGGTTTCCATTCAGGCTTTTCAGAGTAGTGAACTATCTTTGCATGTATTGCAAACGAAACGACAATACAAAAAGTCATCTCCTTTACTGGTGAGCCTGTAGATGCCACCTTGGAGCCTTCTGGGAAGACCACCTTATACAGTGGTAGAGGCGACTTAACTATTGCTGTGAGCAGATTGACAATTGACTCAAACTCATCATTCAGACCTTGTGACACTGCTAGAGCATTCCCCGTTCCCATTGGGACTATACAGACGTCAATGTCATGGCGCTCCCCATTGTACCCTGCGTTTAATCCATTGAACAGTTCATAGATCGATGTGTCACCTCCTAATACCACAATGGTATGATCCCTTGATAAGTCCAGCTGGCTGGCCAAAGTTGGAATGGAATGTTCATCCACAGTCTTAGAATAGGAGTGCTCGATGCCCAGTAGATCAAATAGGGGCTTTATCACAGATATGTATAGCTCCCTTTCTCCTCTTCCAACCCCAGATTTTACAGAGTCAACAACCTTGATATCTCTTCCTGGCTTGAGGTGTGCTGGCAATGTACTCTTAGAGATTGATGGGACATCTGTTCCATCTAACCCGTGTTCCATTAGCTTGTGCTCCACTAGCTCGTAGTTCATGTGCGCCTTTGAAGCGCCTTCATCCTCGGTATATCTCACAAAGTACGTCTTATCGTCAATCGATAAAAGAGCCTTCTGGAGCTCTGTGTGATGCACTTTCCCCATCATCTGTTGCGATTGGCCTAGTAATCGATGTCTCGGTTGCAATTGGTTTAGACTGATCTATGGAGAGTGCTTATTTGTTGTTTACTGTGGCATCGGCTAGGAATCGCACAGCACACTGGCGTAAATTTAACACTGGAGGGAAACGCAGAGAGGAGATAACTACCGCAAGACGGTAAAGTGTGGTATCCATGTAGAATGAGGCCGTGGTGGGCTCGGGAGTCCACGTTCTATAGCTTTTATTCCGGGATGAGCGATCTCCTTGACCAAACCCTAGAGACTTGCCATCGGCTTCCTACGTTACTTATTGCAATGTGACATTGTCTGTTGAGAGTACTGAACATCTTCCTCGCCGTATAAGGCCATCGCAGTTACGGCCACTTTCGCTGGACGCTTAGGCTGGGCTGAAAAAAACATTTCAGCTGGGCCGCACCGGTGCGTATACACCAGGGGGAAGAAGAGGGAAGCTGGTGGTGAGATCACGGCAACTGGAGACGTATTTATGACAGCCAAGAGACAGAAGATGTCGTTCAGTTGTATACTGTGCGTTTTGATGGGTCAGCATTTTCTCCAGGAGCGAAGTACTAACCGTAAACAGAGACATCGGAGTGCCGTTTGAAACAGAGAAGCAGGCCACCATAGCGAAGAGAACACTCGAACAGGACCCCATCCTCAAACCGGACGACCTCGTTGTGAGGTATGAAGTCAACACGTCATCGCTGGACATGCACTTTGAAGCGATAAGTGACCGTGTCTTGAGGGTTGCCGTGTCGAGTGTCCTGGAATCGTTGAAGACCGTCATCGAGGTGATTGATGAGTTTGAATAAACGGAGAGTGCCAGTACACAACATGGCTACGCTTCAGAAGGGGTCATCAGCCTGCTGTGATATCACGCGTGGAGGCACCCTCGCGTCCTCGTCCTTCTCCCCACCAAGTGTGGTATAGGCTCAACTAATTAATATACAAATCAGACGACGTATAGCCTATAGCCTATAGCCCGTAGCCCTTAGTAGTTGGCCAATCGATTCCTCTCGCCTTGAGGGCGTCTGTGGAAAGAGAAGCCTCGCTACACCCACACCTTTTCAGGCCCGCCGCTGGGGAGACCACCGCTGGAGAGACCACCTTGGCAGTAAAGTCTGTAGCCCCCCCCTCCCCTCCCGGCCTGCTGCCTAGGCTTCGGGGCTCTACCCGCTGCGCAATCTCTCCTCAACGGAGGCCTCCCCTGGGTCTCAGACCGCGCCCCTTCCCGTCGTTCCAGCCCGCGCAGGGATGGCAAGGCCACGAACGCACGAAAAACAAACCAACAAGCCTGATGCCACAGTCAGAAAAAGAAACACACACAACCGAAAGAAGCAAAATGAAAGCAGTGAAAACCCCTCTCTCCCTCGCGCTCGGGGGGCCTTTGTTGTGGAGCCCTTTCGCGCTGCCCATCTGAGCTGCCCTTCTGAGCTGCCCTTCCGCGCCGCCAACTGCCCACTGCCTACTTCGCTAGCGGGAAGGGTCAAGTCCAACGCCAAAGGGCAGCGAAATCACACCCACACAGGCAGACAGAAGCAAAAAAGGCAGCTGATTTGAAATATTAGAAGAAAAACTTTAAAAAGCACAAATCACTATACGAAAGAGAGAGGCAAGGAAACTTGCTATCAAAATTTTGAGCTTCTTGAGGGGAGAAGTTATAAGCGAATTTAGAAAGAGTAGCTCCAAGTCACAGTGAGCCTCGTTGTACTTGCAAACCTTTCCCTTCTGTGCGTGTGTCTGTGTTTGTTTTTGGTTTGGTTTGAGCTCTCTTCAGCGTAGGGAAAAATGGTTGATCCCAACCATCAGGTTCCATTCCCCGGAGCGCCAGCAGCAGGGTCACGGGCTATTGGCATGATGCCATCAACACAGGAATCGACGTCGGGGTCGACGAACCAGCAGAAGAGACAGCATTCGAGCTCGTATAACATCCCTGTGGCCACGAAGAGGTCTGTTACGCAGCCCTCGATGGTGTCGTCAGCACAGTTCTCCCAGGAGACGCAGCCGACGATGATTGCACCTCAAATGGCCACTATGTCCTCTTCACAGCAGGCGGCGTTCCTGCTACAGCAACAGCAGCAACAGCAGTTACACGCGGTGGCTCCTTCTAATGGTGTTCAGTTCGAACAGCAAATGTTATCACAAGTTCCACAGTTTAAACCGCAGTTCACGATGTCTGTTTCTCCAGGCCCACAGTTCAAACAGCAGCCAATGCCACCGCAGTCGTTTCAGCAGCAGCAACAGCAACTACAGCAGCAGCAACTACAGCAACAACAACAACAACAACTACAGCAACAACAACTACAGCAACAGCAACTACAGCATCAGCATCAGCATCAGCATCAACAGCAGCATCAACAACAGCAGCAGAGCCTCAAGGCGAAGAAGTTCAGCCAAACGTTTGTCAATTCCACCTATCAAAAGATGTCACAGACGCCTGATCTGATGAAATACGATTCGTCGAGCTTTGTCAACGAGGATAGAACTGATGTTAACGACTACGATTCGAATTCAGTAGCTTATACGCAACCAACAGTGCTGGCCACTCCACAGTTGAACTATTCCCAACCAGCAATGTCACGTTTAATACAACAGCAACAGCAACAATCTCAGACGAATCAGCCAGTTCAACGACAGTTGCACAATCAGATTGGCTTAACTTCACAGCAATCAGCAAGACCGGTATCTACGGTAATCTTGACTAAAGACGTGCTAAATGCAGAATCACCGGGATCCACTATCAGCGATGCTCCCAATATTGTGCCTCCACAGTCTGTTGAACAGCAGCAAGGACAGCAACAGTCTAAGCTTTCTCAAGAGGAACAGTCCCTCATTGCCAAATTGCAGGACACCTATAAGGTGATCATAAGATTAGAGAATACACTACAACAGAGGTGTTCAACGCTGAATGTTCCTCAAAAATTGGATATGATGAATGAACTTTGGGATGTATACAACATCAACATCCAACTGCTAAACTCATATTATGACTTCTTGTTGTATTCAATGGGCTCAGGCAAATCTGGTAAACAGATAGTGCAAGTCTACAGAATCCCAAGACGACTATGGGTCTATGGTGTCGTGACGTTCTTGGATGTCATCAAGAATGTTGTGTCAATCTTCATAGAGCATGACATATGCTCAAGCTTCATTGGGTATGCATTCAACATTCTAAGTGGATTAACAGAGCTGGAGATGGATGGGTGGATGTATGAAAAGCTCGGTGATTTGTCCAGAATGGCGATTGCGCTTTATCCTTCTCGCTACATCGATTGGAAGATAAGTTCAGAATACTGGTATACACAGGCGATGAAGAATCAATACGGGTACGGTAAAATTTACTACCACATTGCAACTGTCCAACAGGACAGTCTTGATGCCCTTGTAAACATCGGTAAGAGTGTGTTTTGCCGTGATACGTTCGTTCCTACTCCACAGTACATGAGAATGGTGATTGATAATATCAACCAAAGAAGCTATATCGATTTACCGGTTCTAGATTTCACAAAAGTTTACAAGTTATTGCTGACTGGTGAAATTAACGACATGTTTGAACTGAATAAACTCATCACTTACTACACACAGAACTTGGGTGTTGATAACAACAACGTTGATTTCTTTAAGAGGGTACCAGGAACAATCTCTGAGGTGATCACCTCACCGAATTACTCACCGGATAATGACTTTGAAGGTAAATTCCAATTTTGGTTGCAGAGATCATCCTCTTTTGCCCTGGCAAACATCTCTCTTATGGTTGGTTTCGGCGTTCCAATGAATCCATTTGCTAGACTCTTTGGCTTGCTGGAGGCCTTAAAGGAACGTAAGGAGAAGAAGGAGAAGAAGGAAAAAAGCAAATCAACCAATGGTGATGGCACCAATGGAGGAGTCTTACCACACATTGAGGCCACTGAACCTGTTCAGAATGATGACATCAAAGAACTCTCCATACAAGAATGGTTCAGCACCCATGGTGCTCTGGATAAAGTTGTTGTCAAGCTAACAATGAAAATGTTTGACACTTATCTGAGAGGTCCAATCATTGCAGCCATGCCACACGTTATAACCTTCTTGTACTTCATCGTGGCTGTTGGTGAAGCCACCAAGAGTAAACCAAATAGCAGGTTGTTCTTTGAGACCATCATCAACATGCTCTTGCCTACGAATTCGTTGATCAACTACCTGAATGATGTATTGACATTTGTGAGAAGCAAACCCGAGTACTTATCTATCTTGGCTCAGCATCAAGCAAGGGACCCAGAATTCCTCAAAGGTGGGTTCTTAAAGTACTACAGTGATAATGAAACCCTGATTGAGGTTTGGAAATGCTGGGGTACATTGTGGTTTGATGTCATTTCGTTGAAAGAGGAATATAACAGTCCTAGAGAAAGTGGTATTTCCAAGGGTGATCTATTAGATGTTCCAATTGGCGGTGCTCGTTATGATCCAAAGATGAACCCAGATAGGTTTATCCGTATTGTTCTTTTGGCGACTTATATTTCCGATAATTTCAACTTTGGTATCAAAAGAGGCTCCAATTATATCTTCTACAACTCTGTTGACACCATTATGGAGAGAGACAGCTTTTCTCCAGAGGAAAATGCTTATTTGAAATCAACATACATGGAACTTGCACAGCAGGCTAAAGCCCTGGGATTGATTGAAAATCCATTCACGGATAACGCTGGTGTGAAATCCACTCGTATGGATCCATTGAGTTGGATTCAAGGCAGTGGAGACAAAAACACTTTACATAATTCGTCTATCATCGATTATACTGATGATGCGGACAACGAGAACAGTGAGGACGAGCTTGAGCACTCTGAATTTGGAGATGAGGTTGAACTTGATGCCCTGAACCACGATACTCTTGGAGACACTTCATCGCTTAGACCGTCTCCAAGTTTCTACACTGTGGATTCTGGGGTGCTTATGAGTAAATCCACAACTTTTTTCATTTTGGATACAAACATGTGGTTGAAGCACTGTGGGAAGTTATACAAGTCATTGCGTAGTGGCATATTCAAACTCGCTGTACCACTTGTTGTTTTCCAGGAGCTGAGATCTTTAAGATGCTCACCAGATGCCACTGTTTCCGACTCTGCCACCCGTGCTGTGATCACTTTAAGACAGTTGGCAACAGATGGGTTAGTTGTCCCATTGAAGATGGATGGCACTGAATCTCATTCCTTGAACGATGTTTCTGATTTCGAAAACAACTCCATGTGGGCTCATAAAATTGATCAAACGATTATTCAATCGGCAAAACTTATGGCCAACCGTCTACAATCAAGTGTTGTAGGCAGTACACCTGACGGCAATTCCATCTGTCTCACAATTGTTGTCTCTGAAGATAGAGGGATGAGATTACAAGCGAGAGTGGAGAAGGTTCCTGCATTCCAAGGGAAATGGTTCTTCCAAGTTGTTCAAAAGCTATCTGAAGGTAAATGTTGTGATTGATTACTACAAGGCTTAGAAACCATCTCCGCAGCCCATTGGGTTTATGAATTATAAGGATACAATCTAATGCATTTTTTTCTCTCTGAGTTTTTAACGTATCAAACAACAACTACCTCGTTGTATTTGGTTTCTTTGTTGGTGGATGATAACCATCCGAGTCTGAATCCGATTCTGAGTCGTCTAGCGTTATCATCCTTGTTGATGTGCTTTCATTAGTTGACGTCTCAGCTGATGGTGAAGGAGTATGCTCTTTCATCTTTTCCAACATTTTATCCGTTTCATGCCTCATCTTACGACGTCTAGCAACCTCTTCTTTCCATAAAGAAAAGTTAGCCTTCTTATTCTTTGTAATGTCCCTGAGTTCATCGAGTGTGCTCGTGGCTTGTGCCCTTTGATCATCGTCTATCTTTGAGAGTAAGCCTTTCGATGCACCTTTTGCAGTTGGATCAAACCCCAATTTGGATAGTCCCTTCCCACCATACGCATACTTTAGCAGTGCCTTCTTCTCTTCCAGTGATGTTTCACTATCTTCTGGTTCGCCGTGAATTGAATGGTATTTCTTCAAGTTCTTTCCACCTTCAAGTGATTCCTTGAGCTTTTGCTGAAGATCAATGTCCTTCCTCAAACTTCTATACTTTTCCTGGCGTATCTGTTTCCTCTTTATGTCGCCAAAGTCAGATATTTCACTGTTGAAGAACTTTTCATGTTTGTTCGTACTGCTGAAGAACTTCTTCGCCTTTTCCACGTGCGTTGGACCCTGCTGTTGCTGATTGGCATCAAACACTTTGACGATCTTGTTGTTTGAAACCATCATGTGCTGCTTCCTTCCTCCCTTGGAGGGTGAACGCTGTCCAACAGTGGTTTGAAACTCCATTCTTTTTCCAGCTGTTCTTCGTAGTCTAAGTTCCTCATGGTAAAGGCAGCTGCTCTGCAAGGATTTGTTAATGGGAGTCCCACATACAGTTCCATCTCTCCTTAGCGCAGGACAGAAGCCAAGATCTCTTGATTTACCAATCTCCAGCACACTGTCACCTGTATGCCTGATTGAGAGGCCAAATGTCTTCACCCCATTGGCAGTATAATCAGATTTGATGTAAATATCAGGATTCAAAATGGCAATAACATCACCAATCCTCAACCTATCGTACTTCTCCACTGTAGTATTAAAGAAAGATACGCTGACGCTCAGATTGAAGTCGGTCAGGGTAATCGTCATGAACCGTCCTCGTCCATTGCTAGTAACTTTTGGCCTACCCTTTTCACTTATTATGCCAATGACGAGCCAGTTTGGATATTTGGGCTCTTCAAAATCTGGAGGACTCACTTTTGCGTAGAGCTTTGGTAATCTCATAACCTTCTTGTCTTTGAAGAATTCGGTAAGTTGCTGTTGATCAACATATCTTCGCTTAATCAATTGGCCTGAGAAGTACTCCTTTTCATCAACATCGACCGGCTGGCTATCCATGATACTGTCAAATGTATAAATCCTTGATTTGAACATGGTCTTCTTCTGCTCTCTATTGTCGATCTCCTTCTTCCGTGTTTCTTCCAGCTTTTGTAAGAAGTACGGCACTGAAGGCTTCCTCTCTTCATTGCTGTCATCCAATGTTGATCGCTCGCTTTGTAACGCGTCCGTCAAGTTCCTTGACACGTTCTTAACCTCATTGCCGTCCTCTCGCGATGGTGATGGTAGAGGTTGTGCTTCTACTCTCTTCGGCGAGGGAGTTTTTTCTATTTGCACAGTACTTTTCAGCTTGTTAGCTTGTTTACGACGTTTGAGTTCTTCTAACCTCCTCCTAAGCTCCTCTTGCCTTTTTGTAGTCTCGAGGAGCTGCCTCTCTAACTCCTTCACTAACGCTATATTGAGAGGTTAGTACAAAATCTCAATCAATGATGATCAAGGGAACTCACACTCATCAGGTTCTTCCACTTCTTCTTCTCCATACTCTTCATCCGTGAGCCTCTCCAGCTCGCTGTCCTGTTCGTCTGTAACCTCTCTAGGGTCTTTATCCATTGTGCTCCCGAAATGTGCTACAGGGTATATGGTGTTTTGGTAGTGCGAAGACTTCTCAAACAAGCCACCAATGACACACGATTGCTACACGCTACAGACAACATCTTTACAGAAAACAAAATATGATTAGAATTCTATCTATTCAAACGGCCTAAAATGATGTATCGATATTTATACACGAAGATAATCAAGCCAGTTTGAACAGCAATAGCATAATAGAAAACTTGTGGGCGAAATTAATCATTTAAGTTTCTTCTTTGGACGCAATTGGTTGGTGTGACCACACTTTCTCTTACGACAGTTTGTAGCTCTTGGTGGCAATCTAGCGTAACACTTTCTGCAGATAGACTTGTCACAGTTGTACTTAGAAGCAAGGGCCTTCAAGGATGGCTCGATGATACCACCTCTCAATCTGAGAACCAAGTGAAGAGTGGACTCCTTTTGGATGTTGTAGTCAGACAAGGTTCTGCCATCCTCCAATTGCTTACCAGCAAAGATCAATCTTTGTTGGTCTGGTGGAATACCCTCCTTGTCTTGGATCTTGGACTTGACATTGTCAATGGTGTCAGAGGACTCAACCTCCAAGGTAATGGTCTTACCGGTCAAGGTCTTAACGAAGCTATATGATGGTGTTAGTGTCATGGACTCTTTGGTAAAACGTAGACGAGGAGATGGAGTCATGTGCGTGGACGATTCGTTCCCCTTGGCGTCAGCGGTAGTTACTCTCTGTGCTTATAGTCCTTCACGTAGTAGTCTGGCAAAGTTTAACTAACGGCGCTCACAAAAGTCTCGGATCCACACCTGCGACTTTTGACAATCCTATGGTGATAACCAGCGCTCAGTAGAGGAATATCTTCTCTCAAAACATGTTCGCTGCATCCCACTTCCCTCAATCAGCACTCTTCAATCCATGGCTTCTCCCTATTCAACACATCTCCAGAGCAATATCCACCACCCGGTATATCCAAAGAACGTTTCTGTGATGAGCACGTCGCTTGCTGGCTCATTTCCTCCGTCTTTTTCCTGTTCATTTACTTACATTTGCATTGCGACTAAACCGATGTTCTTCTTAGAAAAGTTATAGAAAGAAGTGTTGATACCTTTGGTTTTTCACTTTTGTTTTCAGAGTCCCGCGGGCGTTACAAAAACTTTGTCACAGTGAGTTTGCCGTTGTGTGTCCCGTACCGATCCTGGTTGAGGACACACCTCGCCATAGTAAAAATCGCAAACACAGCGTGGGTTGTTTTCCTGCTTTCGGTTCGGGCAGCAGTCTGGGTGGTGTTCAGGTGTGCAGGTCCCATTTTCCTTTGTGCGCAAACCAGTCACGCCCTAGGTGACACTCACGTGCACAGTGGAACTAGGGCTCTGTCTTCTCGCAGAGGCCATAGACTATTACCCTACCGATCACGTCTCGAGGGAAAGCCGCCCATCAAAAGAGAAAAACTCATCCAGAAGGGGATTAAAATGTAAACATTGGACAAGCTTCTTTGTTTACATCTCAGTCTCTCTGTAATATCAAAGGTTTTGTTTCGGTACTAGGTCTATTTTCAGCTGTTCTGTGGTTCGTTGTGCTTGAAACATCTGAAGGGTTGCTAAGTATGGAGAAGGAAGAACGTGAAGGTCCACTCCCGGTGGATGCTACTGCTGGTTCACCTTCCGCTGAAGTTGTTGAAGAATCACAGGGAATTGATAGCAAAAGTGATGAAGAGGACGTTGATGGTAGCATTCACATCGATGACTTGCCTACTGCCGAGCCGATTGTCGAGAGTCCCGAGGAACCAGCTGGCGTGGCAGAAGACGATGATGACGCCCCATTGGAGGTCCACGAGTTTAGTACGGGAGAAACGATCAATTTAGACGACATTGCTTCTTTTCTAGACGTTGCAGTTGATTCTTTGGAGTCCATTGATGTGCTTCTGTTGCAAAAGTTGTCCTTGAAATCCACAGAGTTTGCTAATCTCCAGTCTGATAAGCTAGTACTCGAGGTCAACTTGGAACAGGCCAGTCATCTCAATAACAAGAAAGTTGATATGTTTAAAAATCAATTGACCAAGACGAAGGCCCAGAATAAAGAATTGATCGAAAGAAACTCATTGTTAGAGTCTACAAACCAAGAGCTGTACGATAAAGTCTCGAATTCAGAGGCAAACGTTCGTGCAACTTCCTCATTGACCGATCAGTTGAAGGCTAAAGTTGAAGAATTGACTACAGACCAAAGACGCAACTTGGAAATCATAGAGAAGAAGAACAAGGAAATCGATTCAATTAGAAGCCAATACAATGGCTTACAAGATTCAAATAGTGATCTTAGAAAAAGACTTATTGAAGTTGAAACGTCCTCGCAATCTGTGTTGTCTAATCTGAATCATGGAAAGGTTAAGATCCAATCTTTGGAGAATCAATTGGAACTTGTTAACAAGAACTATGAATGGTCGAATAACGAATTGCAGAGGATTACACAGGAATTCTCGTCCTATAGAAAGGACAAGTCCATAGAGATCACTAAACTACAATCGGAGTCAGATAAGGCACAGACTGATCTTAGTGGGTTAACCTTGAGGTACAACAACTTGAATACCAGATATGATGAGCTGAGAAAGAAATTAGACGATTCGCTAGTTGAAGTGAAGACTCTTTCAGATGCAAAGACAATCAACGAGGAAGAGTTCTTAAAGGAAATGTCCGTAAAGGACCGTCTGGTAAATCTGTTACAAAAGGCTAATGAAGATTCAAAGACTAAAATTGAACACTTGGAGAGTCGCTTACATCTTTCGAGATCCGACGTTGCTGGTGAATCTGCTGTGCTGCAGACAACAATTGACAGTTATAAACAGAAGTTGGCCGAGAGCGAACAGAAGATTGACCAATTGGAGAAGACCATCGATGAGTTGTCAAAGGTTTCTTCGTCACTCGATTCAAATTCGTCTGTGGCATCGATTCCAGCCCTATCACCATCTGCACATGCTACTTCCAAATCTGCTGGTTTATCACTTTCCCAACTCTACGCTGATTTCACTTTAGTCAAAAGACAATTGATACAAGAACGTCGTGCGAAGGAACGTATGCAACAACAGATGGACGATTTTGTCCTTGAATTAGAACAGAAGGCACCAATCATTACTGCTACTAGAGAAAGAGCCTCCCTCTTAGAGAATGAATTGACGGAACTTTCTGTCATCTTGGAGAACACGAGTAAAGAAAAGGATGCATTGCAAAAGAATGAAAAAGATTTGAGAAACTCTTTGAAAGAATCCCAGGTGCATATCAACGTATTGAACAAACAAAGAATTGATTTGGCTCGTCAAGTCCAGCAGTTGCTCATCCAAGTAACAATCAGAAACGATTCTGGTGGTCCACTGACCCCTGCTGAACAAGATGCTATTGAACGTATTTCTAAAGGTGAAAAGGTCATAAACGATACTGACACCGATAAACTAATCTCACAAAGACTGGTAACTTTCAAGAATGTTGTGGAATTGCAAACGAAGAACGAGGAGCTGTTGCGTATCATTAGAGAACTAGGCTCGAAATTGGAACAGGAAGAACAAACCTCAAAGTCTAAACTGGAGAACTTGGAAAGTGTGGCAATTAACGAGGCAAAGGAGGCAATCTTAACTCTACAAGACGAGATTGGATCACTTGATGCTAAGTTGAATGCTGTTACAAGAGAAAGGGATATCTTCAGATCGTTGCTTTCAAATAAGAGCACATCAAACAACATCTTGGGTAGTGATTTGACTGGTGCAAATGACGAACAAGTTGCTGAGTTGACCAAGAAGTACCAGGAATTAGAAAAGGAGCTTAAGCATACAACTGATCAACTCAATACCGTAAAGATTGAAAGTGAAGCAATGGTTAACATGTTGAATAAGCAAATTGCGTCGCTTTCCGAAAAGAGATCAAGCCTTGCTGTTGAATTGGCTCGTGAGAAATCATCTAATACGCTTGTTGAAGAGAGGTATAAATCCCTGCAAGAGAACTTCAATTATGCGAAATCCGAAATTGAAGAGCTACGCCGTACATCTCAATTCCTTCAGGATAATTTGGCAAAGCAAGATTTAAGAACTCAAAATGTTGCAGAAGAACTTGTTCAAGCTAAATACTCTGTTGAATCTCTTCGTTCTGAAACATCCAATTTGAAAGCGGAGAAACAGCTGTGGAAGAATGTTGAGAAGCGTCTCTCCGATGAAAATGCAAGCTTGATTGAAGAAAAGACCAAGCTTAACTCACTACTCATCAGTCTTCAGTCAATTGATAAGGAGCGTGAAGCAACCTCTGCCGAATCTCAAAAGCGTCTCGTGGTTCAAAGCGAATCATTAGAACGTGAACTCAGAGACGTGCGCTCTAAATTAACGGAAACTTCAGCTGAATTGAAGGACACATTGACCCGTAAAGAAGCTGATGGTCAAGCTTACCAGGAACGTATTGATTCATTGAGAACACAAATCAGCTCCACTAAGGAGGAACTCATTACTAAATCTGCTTCTGTTGAACAGCTGAACCACAAGGTGAACACTCTATCAGTGAAATTGGCAGCTGCCGAAGCTCATTTGAAGGAGTATCAGTCACTCACAGAAGGATCGTCCAGTACTGAATCGGAAGCTTTGAAATTGAGAATAGAGCTTGATGAAACAAAAGCGGAGTTAGATGCTGCTCTAACGTCCATTGAGGAATTCAAGAATATTGCCAATGCGTCTGAGGAAGCCCTCAAGAACATGAACATCAGCTTTGATGGTTATAAGGAGAGCATGACTTCAGAGACTAATAAACTTAAAAAGGAGAATGATGATTTGAATGAACGAGCAATATTGTTGAATGAGCAAATCGAAACATTGAATACTGAACTCTCGTCTCAGAAGTCATCTTTGCAAAAGGAGATCGAGGATGCTCAAAAGGAGGTTGAATTACTGCGTTTGCAAGTTACTGAAAGTGACAAACTGAAGAGCGACTATGACGCCAAGGTTGCGTTAATTGATAGTTCGTATCAACAACAAGTCGACCTTGCTAACCAAGCACAACAGAACTATCTGAAGGAACTACAGAAACACGCCGAGGCTTCTAAGGCCTTCTCCGCTTTGAGGGAAGAAACCAATGCTTTTAAACAGCAAATCTCTGAACTCTCATCTGAGCTCAAGCAGGCACAGGAACATCTAAGTAAGTCAGAGGAAAGTTGGGAAACTCAGAAATCTCAACTGGAAGAAGAATTGAAAATTTCAACTGCCAGAGCACAGGACCTGGCTTCGCAGAATCATATTCTCTTTAACGAAATTGAAAAGTTGACAAAGAGAAAAGATTCGGGTGCTGTTTCTGAGTCCGGCCTTGAAGGTGCCACCGAAGAACTGAGAGAACTAGTAAACTTGTTGCGCCATGAGAAGGAAATTTCTGATATGCAACTTGATGTTTCAACAAGAGATCTGAAACGTGTTCGTCAGCAGTTGGAATTAGTAACCGCAGAATTGGATAAATCGAGACTTGAACTGGTGAACTACCAATCGCGCCAAACCGATTTGAACCGACTCTCAAGTGAACATCAAAAGCTTCTTGATGAGATCCAACAGTTGAACCTTTTACGCGAAAGTAACACAACTTTGAGAAACGAACTCCACAGCAAGATGGATCGCGTGAAGGAACTGGAGGATAAACTGACTGAATGTGAGAGTAAGTTGCAGCCTCTAGAAGGAAATGTGAGCCAACTTCAAACAGATATCAAACACAAAGAACAAGAGGTTAAACTTGTGACTGAAGAGAGAGATCGTTGGAGACAAAAATCCATGGATATTATTAACAAGTATGATCGTATTGATCCTGAGGAGTATGGTAAACTCAAAGAAAGTGTCCAAACTTTGGAAAAAGAAAAGGAGCAAATTCAGAAAGCACTTGAAGAGAGTACAAATACCGTTAATGAGTTGACGCCTAAATTTGATCGTGTGAGAAAAGAGGCTGTTGAAAAGTTGAAAAAGAAGGATGTTGAGATCAAAACTGCTCATGAACAGGTCACTGCTGCCCAACAACAACTTGAAAATCTCAAAACACAGACTCATAAGGAAATTGAAGCTTTAAAAACCAAGGTGAAGGAACTGGAGAGCAAGGCTCAACATGCGGCTTCAAACGACCAAGGTGATTTAAAGAAAGAACTCGAATCTGTTAAAGCTGAATTAGCTAAGAAAGCCAGTGCAGTATCCAGGGTCCAAGAGCTTGAGTCCTCCCTAAAGTCAGCTGATGAAGTGAAACGTGTATTGGAATCCCAAGTTTCTGAGTTGGAGTCTCAAGTGACACTGTTAAAGAAAACTTCAAAGGTTACACCTGATACATCTAAGTTGGAGGAGACTGCTGAAAAGTTACAAAATGATATATCTGACCTTCAATCTAAGAAGGCTGATCTTGAATCCGCTATCTCTAAGGAAAGTGCCGTTGTTACGACAATTGATGAAAAATCTCTGGAAGAAGCATTAAAGAAACAGGAAGAGGAGCTTAAGGCAAAATTCGAAGTGGAGACCAAGGCCAGAGTTGAAAAGGCTCTTGAAAACTTGAAAGCTAGAATTCGTGCTCCATCGGAAGCTAAACTTCAGGAACTTGCTAAAAATAAGACCAAATCGTTGGAAGACGACTACAACAAGAGAGTACAACTATTGAAAACTGACTATGAAGCTAAGCTTGCCGCTAGTACTTCAGGATCCTCGGAAAATGCAAACGTTGTTTCTGATTACGAATCAAAGCTCGCTAATTTAAGAGAGGAGTTGAAGGCAAAGGAGGCCCAAGCTTTGGAAGAAGGTCGTAAGCTTGGTCGTGAGGCTACATTGAAGGAGACCAATATGCGTTCCAAGTTACTTCAAAACAAACTTGATAAGCTGTTGACTCAGAATAAAGATCTCAAGGCCAAACTCGAATCATCTGCATCTAACCCTGCTAAACCTGTCGAGATTGGTCAAAAACGCCCAGCTGAAGAGGGTGGTGATCAACCACAAGACAAGAAAAGTAAAAACAGTTCATAAAGTTTATCGATTAATGTATCATGAATAATAACATAGTTTTATCTGCTGTTCGTATACCGTGTAGATTCGTAAGGCATTTGTAACTCTCACACTCAACCCAAGCAGTTCCTGTGAATCCCATGCCTGGCCTCAACTGTGAGTCACATGACAACGCCATCATACTCAATGTTTCATATGTAGTCTCTGAGTGATTTCCCACACATTTCTTTACTGTTAGTTTCCGGTATTATAGTTGCAGTCTTTCTACATCGGTATCAACTTGATGTTCGGATTAAAATTGACACAATATACTAGCTTCATCAATCTGTACCTTTTTCAATTGAATGTTCGTATTCTCCTTAAATAGAGCTATGGTTCATTGTCAGTTACATATATAGTGAACCAAACTTGTTTCTATCCCACCATAATAATCTATATTCAGGTTGTTATAGGTTCGAAATTTTGGTTATTTCACATTTGCAACTTTTTATAAAAAATGGAACTTGACAGATATAATTTCGGAAAATGAAATCATTATAGACAACCTAATAATTAAACAAAACAAATAATAATAGTTTCTTTACAATCAAAACTGGTGAAAATAGGCATCAACTATAACTATAACATTTCACACTGGCTGCTAATAAGTGTTCGTCAGCCAAGGCGATGCAACGTATACACACATTAATGTTCCATAATGATGTTATTATCCATCAAACTTGATCTCAATAATTCATACAAAACACACGGCGAAGGCATAAGATCATATCTCAACGGATACCGCTTTTGGGCATGAATTGAGCTCTCTGAAACATATCCATGTATTATAAGCTTCATGGGTTAGGAAATCAGTCGTTAAATCATTGCAGTTACGAAAAAAAACACATCTCATTAGTTTTGGATATCATTAAAAATGTTATACCCTGCTTCATGTCATTATTTATCAGGCTTTTCATCATCCCCCGATTCCTTTTCGGAAGGGTTCTTGGTAGTGACGTGGTCGTCCGTTGGTGTTGCAACCATCTCTTTGTGCGACACTCCACAAAACTTTTCCAAGACCTTTCTCAGTTGTGTACGTCTGATTGGCTTGGAGAGGAAACCTGTCATACCACAATCCAAACATTCCTTAACGTTACTCTCATCGGCGAACGCAGTTAGCGCAACGATTGGCCCGTCAAACTCCAGAGCAGATCTGATGGTTTTCGTAGCCATAAGACCGTCAACCTTTGGCATTTGAACATCCATGAATATGATATCGATTGGACTACCCCCATTTTCAATATTCTTCTTGACCAAATTAATCGCTTCTTCACCATCTCTAGCCATTTCAAGATCAGTGAAACCTTCCAGGTTAAGCATCCGCTTAATAACTTCTTGATTGACACCATTATCTTCTGCAACTAGTATCTTGAGCTTTTTCAAAGATGTCTTATCTTCCGTTTTAGACGATTGAGACGAACTTGACTTTGCAGTTCCTGTAGAGTTCCAATAAGATTTGTCAAAGTACGAGGTCTTCTCTGATGTAGGGGTATACATCTCTGGCTCAGAATGTGCAGATTCTTTGAAAGAGCCAGATTTGCTTGGCTCAACGATCTTAACTCTTCTGTTTTTTTTGCTGTGGATGTTGAACTCATCTTCGTACATACCATCCTCGTCTTCAATAACAAGTTCTTTGTGTTGCACCAATGGGACTCTAAAAATAAACTTAGATCCAACACCAACAGTGGATTCCAGCTCCATAACACCATGCATCATTGTCGCAAGTTGACGACAAATAGACAGACCAAGACCTGTTCCACCGTATTGTCTGGAGAGAGTTTGGTCACCTTGGACGAATGGCTCAAAAACGGCATTTTGAAGATCCTGGGCAATACCGGGCCCAGTGTCTTCGACGACAAATTCAAATACCCAAGTTCTATTATCAGGAAGAGGAACTGTCTTAATTTGCTCCTCCTCATCTTCTGGTGTTGACAATTTGAACTGTGTTTTGAAAAAGTTATCATCAAATGAGGAGGTAGAAACTGTTACAACGCTTCTTGTCTCCAACTCGTCATCCTCGTCATCGTCACTAGTGGTTGTTTCATTTGAAGTGGAAAGCTCATGGTCACTTAATGGATGCTCCATTTTTTCCAAACACGTTGCTTGGGGCAAAGAGTTTGGACGGATGTAAACATGTTTGTAGTCATCCTCACGGGATTTTTCTTCATCATACTCACCCAGATTTCTTATGGTCACAGTAACTTTTCCATCAACAGGGGTAAATTTTAAGGAGTTGCTCACCAAGTTCATCACAACTTGAATAATCCTGTTGGAGTCACCATACAATACCATCTTTCTAATTTCATTCGGCGTCAAAGTAATTGCAAGTTTGACATTCTGATCTTTTGCCAATTTACCAAAAATAGATTTTATTTGCAATGCAACCTCCATAATACAAAAATCAGCATTCTCCAATTTTGATCTCTTCAAGGAATTCTTCGAGAAGGTTAAAAGTTCTGTCAAAATATGCAACAAAAGTTCACCGGATCTAAAGATCAACTTCAAAGATTGGTGTACTTTTGAAGTATCAGTCTCAGCCATTGCAATTGCAGTCATACCAAGGATACCATTGAGAGGAGTTCTCAGTTCGTGAGAGATATTTGCAATGAAGACTGTCTTTGCATCATTAGCAGCTTCAGCTTGGATCTTGGCAGCTTCCAATTGTTTTGTTCTAGCTTTAACTCTATCTTCCAAATGCGTATATTGGCGGTCCAATTCATCTGTCATAGCATTAAAGGTCTCTGTCAATTGGGTCAGTTCATCTTCAAAAAACCTTGAATAATAAGGGATACGAGCATTGTGAAGATACGAAGCACTAATGCCTGGATCCCCGCTACTCGATATTGAACCAGCCTCACTCAATCCATGATCTGTATGTACAGAGTCTCTAGCCATTGGTGAAGGAGATGGTGTATAAGGAGGGGCAGGTCCTGGTCCCAACCCACTAGCGACAGAAGAACTATTTAAGCTTCCCATACCATCCGGATCCCGTTTGTTACTCTTTGAAGGTATATGTAGACCTCTTCCAGCAGCAATGGATTCTGCCGCTTGTTGCAACCTCAGGATAGGTTTAACTGCCCAATGAGTCAACGGTAGTGTGACTAATGCCATAAACACTGCGATACCAAAACAAACACCGATCAAAATTTTAACCAGTTTTGTTGAAGGTTGATCAAAAGTTGACCGTTTCTGTTGGACAATTGCAGCCCAATCTGCAAGGTCGAAACTCACAGGACAATAACCTGCAACAACATTTTCTCCTGCATAACTTTTTATTCTAGTTGTTCCAGTTTTTTGCAATCGCAAAGCTTGGTTTGCAATAAATGAGCTTCCAATTCTTCGTGACACATTTGTTGGAACGTAACCTTCCACCGGGAAGGCAGCTCTAAACGTACTATTCACTGTGAGAGTTCCATTATTAGGATCTGCGGTTAATACAACGACATCTGAATCCACAAGAGTTGTATTGTCGTCCAGTGCAGATTTGAACGAAGATGCGGACATTATAGTTGTGACGTATCCAACGAGGTCACTTGTATCGAATAAAATGGATGCTGCATAGAAAATAGGAACCGTCATGGATAGAACCATGGTGGATGAATCATTCGAAATTGGACCCGTAAGCATACCAACAGTGTCTAAAGTATCACGGACGGTGAAATTTTCCTGGTCCAGGGGGAACAGTTGATCCTGAACGTCATCTGGCACAAAACTATTTGACCAATTAGCCTCTGATGCAACCACCATATTAAACCTCGCATCGTACATCCTTACAGATGCAAATGTCAAGGACGACTGTAAGAACTGCTCAATGGTGTAGTTCGCCTGCGCCCAGTTTGAGTCTGACGTGTTACCAGCTCTATATGAGGCCAAGGAAGATTGTATAGATTCCCTGATTGTGAGCCAATACACCTGATAGTACAAAAAGTTCAACGTCTGCTCCATTTGAGACGCCTTGAGCTGGGCCACCGTCTCGAGTCTATCCTCTCTTGTAGATCTATAGTTCGTCGTGAAGTAGACACCCGTCGTTATGGCCAGTGTCAGCAGAGAACCAAGGGCAACACAAATCACCAGTGTCAACAGCTGCAGTCGTATACCGATTTTGAATACCCTGTGTTTACCATTGTGCTTCCAAGGCTTCGAAAAGTGTGGTTTAGAGAGCCCCTTCGGTAGTATCTTCATCAGTATGATTATTAAACGTGCTCCCTGGTATGTGATATACCTCAGAAGGCCTCTTCGTAGACACTTTCAATGTACGTGACTAACAAGAACGCCTGTGTAGCTGCTACAATCACCTGTTGGACTCTTAGAACACACGTAGTGGTGATTTGGAGGCACTGCAAACGTAGAATGGAGAACAACCTCTGCACGAATGGACGCAGATCAACAGGGCGGTTTGGTCTAAAGTGACTTTGCAGTGTCAAATTATCGAGAAGCAGTCAAGTGAAAGTGAACCGCCTTGGTCTGAACCGTCGATAATGTAGCGTTTAGAGTGTTGTTTATGTCTTGAGCTATAAAAAAACAACAGCTACAAATTTCCCTTTGTTTTTTTTTTCTAGCCTGCTGTTTCCGTCTCTTGAAGTTTTCTTTCGTTTGCAACCGTGAAAGTCCGCTTTTCTTTTTCTGTGCTCTTTTTGCTGTTTTTCCAGGCTTGCAAGAAAACTATGAGGGAAGAAGCTGGTGCGATTTTGTTGGCTGAAATTAACCAATTGGAATGCCTTTTACCAGTTACCTTGGATATTTCATACAGATTTGGTGTTGTAGACAAGTTCAGCTTCAGTTTGTGTAAGAGGGCGCTCCTACTAATCAACCTTTGCATGCTAACGGAAATCGTCGTCCCACCTTTCATGCTTTTATATTTACCTGAGCTGTAGAGAATTTGAATGTACATCAAAGGAGAAAAAGCACAAAAAACACACACATGGGGAAAGGCCACCTACGAATGGTTCTCTCAGGTTATTGACTCTATTTCTACGCGATAGTGCCTTTCTAGGGGACCCTGGCGACAGCCTCGTTGGTTCTCTTTTACTTGTTTAACTGATTCGAGATGGCTTCGTCAGCCCAAATTATCACTGACGTCATTTTGTTGTTATTGGAAGCACACAGCTGATTTCAATTTCAACTGTACATGTAAAGATACACACACATATATGTTACAATTACCTTATTTGGAAGTCGACATGACACCTTTTTCGTGCTTTTTTGACACAATCCAACGCACGCACCAATTCACCCGTTCGACTACTTCTGACGGTGGAAGCAAACACGTGTACGTTTAAGCTGGAGGGTATACATATAGCACCAAGCCTGTGGTGATCGGAAATGGCAGAGTGAACGCTCAAACCACCGGCTTATTGTAGTTTCGGATGCGAATGCTAACATCATCAAGCGATAAACGACTGTGTACATCCAGACATCACATCTTGCATCACAAACTTTGTTGATAAGGCAAAACCCCTCCTCCCCTTTCCCCTTTGGGTTGAAGCTCACGTTTTCAAACAGGGATAGGCGAACAAACAGAGCAATTCAAGGCATTAAGAGACACAGAAGATATTATCACACAACAGCAGAGAAGATCAAAGACAGTCACAGAGTATGAGCGCGATTCAGCAGCCGGTGCCTCAGGAACAGACCAGATCTTCAACCAGGCTCTTGTCGTCACACCACAGCGTGTTGGAGATGCTACAGCGCGAAGATTCAAGCGACGGGAACATCACAAGTGAAGAGGCGACACAGTCCAGCATAGAGAACGATAGGGCCTTAGATCTGGCACCATGGCAGTTCATAGATAGCATGGAGCTGCCAAGACCAACGAGCTCGGTGCTCTCAAGTAGCGACACAGAGGAGGAATACGACCCAATACCCCCGGCCCGCGGGATGCCCTTACCGCCTTCACCTTCATCAACAACATCAACAACAGCGGCAACAGCAACCGCCACTGGGATGGCCGGTTCCGCTGTGTCAAGAAACCCCATGGGCAACAGCCGTGTAGATGATGAAACAACAATAGTGGTGAACTTGAACGAGTTGGCGCTTCACCAACGCACCGCGTTCGAACAGACACCTGTTGATGTTAGCCTTGTGCTCCCTGACTTTTCCATGGCCGCAGAAGATACGCCACATCAACAATACCAAGGTGTTGTTGATGTACAGCGTCGTTTACAAGACCGCGTGTTGATCATTGGTCATCGTAAAGTGAACCTTTATAAATCGTTGAGTCCAATACTCCGCGATCGGTTCACGTTGGACTCCACTGGTTCGAATTACAGGATTGTGGTTGTGATATTTGATGGGTTGACCAAGATTGGGAACATTTTGAACTTCATAAAGGCAAATGACGTGGAGAACAAGCTGTTTGTTCCAGTGGTTAGAAACATCAGCTATAAGATCATTGAAAGATTGTTAACACTATACAAAATCCAGCTTTTATGCATGCCAATCCAGTTGGATGATGAAGAGTCACTAAAAAATCTGTTAGATTTGATTAGTGATGATGTAATTCTTGAGGATTCGTTCAAAACCGTGGCACACAGTATGGTGGATGATAAAAGGGCACCTCGTTTGTTGACTGATGACTCTTCAAACCAGAGCATCTCAATGACCCATGATTTCGAATCGTACATGCAAAGATCCAAGAAATTACAAAGAAGGAAGAAGAAGAGGTTTACGTATTCTCTAGTTGGTATTGGTATCAGTGTTGGAATAGGTATAGGCGTCACTATTGCAATTGCAATGTCCTACTTCAGATCCTTTGATTCTACGAAGTCTGCAGTTTCAACAGTGGATACAAGCCCAACACCAAAGAGCCTTAGACAAACATGGAAATTGTTCTTCAGATCAGGAGAAGTTTTTACAAATGATGCCTTGAAAGGACACATCTTTCGTTTCAAGCAGCTGTTGATGAAGCTCTCCCAAACCTTGACACAGCAATCCTCACATTGTTCTAATGAGTTGAAATCCACTATAGGTGCCTTTTGGAACGATTCTCGTGACTCTGTGGATTATCTACAGCTTCTTGATATTTGAACAATTGCAGTCGGTAGTACAGCAAAGGTCATAGAGGGACATGAAGTGGGAATGGGAACAAGGTAATAGTGTGTTGGAGCAATCCAAATTAAACTAATTTTAACGGAAATATCTATAAATTTACTGGGAAACATACATTCGTTTTTGACTTACAAAGTGTAATGGTTAAAATTAATCAGAAGTAAAAGAAATCAGTATATATGAAAAGCCCTTTGTCATTGTAAATTGTAAACCCAAGTTGTCCAGCAGTATTCGTCGAGGTAAATCAATTGTCGTGTTTACCACACAAGTAGGCAAACCTCCAAGGGACATCAAGTTTGTTTAAACCCGCAATCTCGATAAATTTCAATCTGTCATCTTCCCTATTTAGTGCCTTCTCTAACGCCAAGGTGGAATCGACCCGAATGTTTACACTCTTCTTCTCATCAGTATCACCAAAGGCCTTCAACAATGAGGTCCATTGCCAATTTGGCTGGATGTCATTATATGGTCTTTCTGGTCCAAGGACGATTCTCTCAACCGAATAACCTTCGTTGTTCAACAACAAGACTGTTGGCTTGACGTTATATCTCGTTAGTGAGGAAAGTTCCTGGATGGTCATCTGAGATGACCCATCTCCTTCAATCAACAACACACGACGGTTAGAGTTGTCATCCTTTACTGCTAAGGATGCACCAAGAGTTGCAGGAAGGGCATAGCCTATGGAACCATAGAAATTTTGGGTGACAAAAGTTATATTCTGTGGGAATTTCAGGTCTGGGATGGCAAACAAGAAAGAGCACATCTCACAAACAACAACGTCATTTGGTCTAAGATATGTTTGCACAGTTTGAAACAAAGACTTCTGACTCACGTTAGCTGATTTGTCTAGCTCTGGCAAGTTTTGTGACAGTCTTGGAATGATTTCTTTCTTCTTTAGTAGTCTTGTTGAATCGAATTGTATCACCAATTCGTCGAATACCAATTCACCATCGACATATGTATATAGCTGGTTATCTATACGGACATAGTCTTTGCCAATCTCCATCACATTCTTGACATGCTGTGATGGGGACCAATTTCTAAAGTTATTCATTTCATTGTGGTTTACACCAAGGTGTAAAACAGCATCGAATTGATTAAGCACCTGCAATGAGCCCTCAGTGGACAATTCACCAGCAATGACACCATGGAAGTGTTCTTGATTTTCATCAATGACAGACTTACCCAAAAAAGTAGAGAAGCAGTGGAAGCCATTCTCCTTGATGAACTTGTTCAATTTGTGACGACGTGTCTTGAACCACTGGTCACCGACAATAGCAGTTTCAGTGGCGTATAGCCTTTCCAGGATAACACTGGCCAACTCCTTTGCCTGTTGCTTGTCGGATCTGTACGTTTTGAAGTTCAAGCGTTTCTTTGGATCTACAGAGATATCCATATTTGCCATGTTGACTGGAACAAAGAGGTAACCTGGTCTTGACTGTTTCGCAACCTGTTCAATCACATTATCAATCTGGGATTGGACTTGATCCAACTTTGTATCGTCGAGAGTCTCCGAGACACAGCAGAATGGTTCCACCATCTTTTCGTAGGTGAAATGGTCTTGGCTTCTATCCCAAGTGTTCTTATTTGGAATGAGGTGATGCACCCCAAGTGGCGTTGTTGATCTCTTCGAGATCGTTGAAGAGGTACCAACAATATGAATAACACCGGCACCTTCAGTAAATGCGCCAGAGATTGCGTTGATGGCACTCAACTCTCCAACACCGAACGTTGTAATCAATGCACCAACACCATTAACTCTCGCATACCCATCTGCCGCGTAACCAGCATTCAACTCGTTACAATTCCCTATCCAGTTCAAAGAAGGAACGTTATAGATGTGTTCCAACAAGGGTAGGTTAAAATCACCAGGAACACCAAACACAGAGTGGAAGTCTTTTATCTGTGAAAGTCTTTCAAAGATAAAAGTACCCAGCTTCACCTGATTCGTCTCTTTATCAACAGTCATGATGTGGTTGAGCTTTACTAATACCGGCAATATATATCATTCCAGTTTGGCAATACAGGGGTGGATGGAAGCTTCTTAAATAGTCCATGGCTAAGCAATCCACGGGCTGAAAACGAGTTTCTTCACCCCTTTCCGTCCATCTTCACGGGAACTAGCGGTATGTGTCGCTTCACAACGGTAGGGTAGAAGGAGTTGAAGTTGACAAGCTTGGACAGAAGCAGAACGTACTGCTTATGCAAAACATACATATGCTAGGAAGGCAATTGACGGATATCGCTGGCAAAGCGCGGAGCCAAAAAAAGACTTACAGTTTGTCTTTGCCCATAGCCGAGCCACGCAGAATGTATGTGTGTACGGGTGTTTCCCACTATTCCAGTGAGTCAGAGACTGTGTGGAAGGCGTAGCAAGGCGCCGTTTAACACCTTGTGAGCCTGCGTTGTGTGGTATTCAAGCTGTAGTTCTTGGGTTTAGATCGCCACGGTTCACAGTTGACAGTCTACAGCCAATGGTGCACATAGTTGACTTTATAAGCGCCATTACCCGTCGAGATGGCGTAGTCCGTACACGGCACGACATATTACAAACCATAGAACGGTGTATGGTGCGCTTGAAGCTCCAGCAGAAGCTGAGCGATTCCTCGTCATATGTATATTATTAATGATGGTAATACAGATACGAACGCCGCTTCGTTCTCCCTCCTTGCTTTTCTTTGATGTAAGTGCCATGCGTCTAAGTCTAACTTTGTTCCTCCATCTCTTCGTCTCCCTCATCATCGTCATCTTCTGGATATACGTACCCGTTTGCTGTGTTGATGGTCTCCAGACCGCGGTCGGCAAGCCTCTTCTGCAAAGAGCGCCTTTGTTGTTCTTGCCATCTGGCGAGTTTGGCATACTCGTGTATTTTGAAGCCAAACATCTTGGGAACGTAGCGCTCTGTTGGATGAGAAGGTTGCAAATGAGGGTACTGTTGGAAGAACATGGCAGGAAACGACGTTCCGAAGAAGGCACCGTCTATCATGGCGTGTCTAGAAGACTTTGGATTGTACAGGTCTTCGCATCTTGGACAGTAGAGCTTCACTGAGCATACTCCACAAATATCGCTGAGTCCCACAGGTAATAGATGCTGTAGCTGACAGTGGACCCTTGCGCAGTAGCCAAAGTCCGCCTTCTTGTACTTCTCCATCATCCTCTGTAAGCCTCTAGGCGTCAGAATGAAACGTGCGTGTACAAGGCCATAGAGCACACGGGCATTGGAATCGTAGATTTCTCTCAGCTCATCGGTTAGTTGACTCACATCAGTCTCGTCAATGATATAGTCAATCACTTGTGATATTCTCTCCACTTGTTCATTCAAGCCCGTCAAGTTGAACTTGTCAGTGATGTATTCAATGTCAATGTCACAGAAGTATTCATGGCCTTTGATACCTAAAAAGGTGTCGATCCAATACTCTGAACGTAACTCATCAGTTAGCATCTTGGAAACAGATTCAAACCAGAAAAAAACAAACATGATAAAGAAATCACTCACCTGAAAGCTCACTCCCTGAATCACTCGTGTACTGATCGTCTTCCATGATCACTACTTAATTTACCTCAGAAGGGGTTCCCGTTCTCTCGTTCTCTCAAATTATTTACAAACACCCCCCAACGCAAAAAAAACACAACAACCAGCATGAAAATTTGTAACAGTACCCGCGAATTTACCCTTTGCTACCCATTTTCATTGTTTTGTTTACACAAAAAAGCATACACAAAAGATCAACAAACACCACAGCTGAGCGGTTGGCTTCTTTTATAGCGGAATGAGACTGCTGAAGGTGCCTGGGAGTGTTCCTGTAACGGCGCTTGTGTATAGCGATGGCCTGCTCTTTGCCGCCCAGAGAGATGGTGTGGTTTCGGTATGGGACGCGAAGAAGCTGTGCGAAGTTGCTAACATGTCAAGTATCTCACAGGGAGAGAAGGACGAGCTGAAGCCGCTCTCGACGTTAGCGGTCCACGATGGCGTTGAAGTGACGTGTATCACAGTGCTAGGAGATGAAATAATCACCGGGGATGCTGAGGGGAAGGTGTACAAGACAAGGGTAACCGCCCAACACGAGCTGACAGGCGTCAAGTTGCTGATGGATCACAAGGGTAAACAGATCAACGACGTTACAAGATCAGGTCAACTTGTGCTATTTGGGTTGTTGAATCAGGTGGCAGCGTATGACATGAAAGAGGACAAGCAGTTACCATCGATTATGACTAGAACTGACATAAAGAGTGTGTCTGTAGACCCGACCGGCGTATACTTGGTTACTGTTGGTGCCAACAAGAACGTTTCACTGTACCAGATCCAAGTGTCGGATGGTGCTTTCCTCCACAAGAAGATAACAGTGGCATCTCAGTCGTTGACTTCGATCGTTGATGTTTGTCGTATCTCGTGGTCCCCATCCGGGGAACGGTTTGCATTGCCGAACACAAACCTCGATCCCAATGCAAAGACCATAGGAATGATCTCGAGATCAAACTGGAAATCTGATTTCTCGCTAATTGGCCAGAATGCAAACGTTGTGAGCTTCTGCTCAAAGGTGTTTACAACGGAAGACTCAAAGCATTACAATGTTATTGCATCATCCGGCGTGAACAAGGCCATCACAGTATGGAATACGTCGTTTCAAAGACCCCTCTTCACCGCAGCAGATGTTTCTTCAAAATTAATAACCGATATCCAGTGGTCAACAGATGGGCTATCAATGTTTGTTGCTGGTGATACTATCGTGGTGTTTGTATTCGAGACGGAGGAGCTGGGAAAACCGATAGACGAAGAAACGTTCAAGGGCTTAATTTCAAAGTTGAAAATCCCAGAGCCTTTGAAACCAAAGGAGGAAACATCAACACTCACACTTAAACCATTAAAATCAAACACTGTTATTGAGGAAATACCGAAAGATGTTGAAACCCCCGAACCTGCAAAATTAGAGTCAAAATCTCTCTCTCTCTTAAAAGGCGACCGCAAACGTATTGCACCTACTCTGATTTCTTCAAATGACAACAAGAAGGGTCCACTGCAGCCTCAGATTTCCAAGTCACCTACAGAGAATGGATCACAGAGGACGATGGAGTTTGACTTACCATCATTTAATGTTCCAAAAGACTTAAAACGCCACGAGGAATCAGAAACACCAGAATCAGACCAACCAGCAATTAAGAAAAGACGTGATTTGGAACCAATTGAATTCATCGGCAACATTGCTATTAACCCGTCAACTGCATTTTCCAAGATACGTATATCAACTCCAAAGATACGATCATCATTCGTACTGGAATCTCCAAATGATCCCACGCTGGCATTAGAGATAAAGAACGGCTCCGGGTCTGAGCAAAAGCCAACAAAAATTACACTTTTGAGGAACTATTCAAAACAAATATTTACAGATTTCATACCAAAGTTAGTATGTTTGGCTTCAGGAGGAGAAGGTGGATTTTGGGCAGTATCTACCGTGGATGGCGTCTTGTATATATATTCTGATTCAGGAAGAAGAATATTCCCACCGTTAGTTCTTGGTACACCACTGAGCTTTTTAGAGAGCAAGGGGAAATTCCTCTTAGCAGTGACATCATTGGGTGAGGTTTATACCTGGAATGTTCAGAGTAAGAAAGCACTCTTCGAACCAACATCACTGTATCCTTTATTAGCAAGATCAAACACAGAGCTGTTAACAAGGGCAGAGAATTTAACAATGTGCAGTATCTCATCGAGTGGAGTTCCGGTGGTTACCCTTTCCAACGGGAATGGCTATCTTTTTGACAAAGACTTGGAGACATGGACTTTAATTAGTGACTCTTGGTGGGCATTCGGTTCCCAGTATTGGGACTCCGGTGATGTGAAACCTACTGGATCATTGATATCTGTTTTGGAGAAGAAAACCAACGATGAAATTGTTAGAAGAGGGAGGGCCAAGTTCTTACAAAAGATGGCTAAAACCATGCTTATGAAGGAAGGGTATGAAAATTTGGAAAAGATAGTTTCTTTAGCACATTTGGAGAATCGGATTCTAATATCGTTGAGACTGGGGGAGAGCATAGAGTTCAAGACACATTTGATCATCTACTGTAAACGAATCAGTGAGATGGGATTCAAGGCAAGGCTGGCTGAAATCTTTGAAGAGTTATTAAGCCAAGAAGATATGGACACTTCAGAGTCCAATTCGAAGATACTGGACTTTGACAAACATGAACTACTAAAAGAACTCATATTTGCCTGTGCAGGTTTCAGGAATGTGCAAAGAATTCTTGTCCAATATGCTACAGCTATGAATATTTTGGACAGAGTGGTGTTCTGATTTTACGCAAGTATACCTCTGTATAGAGTATGGAGTTGATGCAAAGAGGTTAAAACCAACATCAGAATACCAAAACATGTACCGAATATACTTGGCATTGCGCAGTCTATGATTGATGCACAGGATTCAACTCGAAAAAGGCGTTAACGTTCCAACTTGAAGAATCAGACTATTGAGAGTTAGCGAGCCGCTTTTGGCTGATATCCCAAATGGGTACGTCTCTGTGCTCTAAGTGATTGGGATCAAATCGTGCCTTGTAAAGAAGATGGTGACAAGCAACAGGCGATGTAGTTAAACGATTACTCTTAGATATCATTTATAGAACTGTGCATAGCCTGCGTAACTTGGGTTGGCAGGACGTTGTTGCAAACACCCACGTTACATTTTGGACCGAGAATTTCTTTCACCATCAACATAACTATCAGGGTATCATTTTGTGCTTCAAATCTTGGCAATGTAAGAACAACAGCCCGTGGGCCATCCCTGTGAATCGTTATTTGCTCATACGAATGTCTTTGGGCGTGGGAGACGGATAGATTATATATAAAAGAGGTTGACCATCTGCTGGTGTTGTGTTCGCCCTAAGTTTGAATGTTTTACACATCATCGTTACTGCTAGAAAATGAAGTTTCAATTAATTGGATTGGCTGCATATGCCATGCTTGGTGTCTATGCACAAAATGATTCTTCGGTGGTTGAGTCTTTGACAAATTCCAGTTCATCATCAATCACTGATTCTTCCTCAGATTTATCCTCCACTGATGAAGCTTCTGTTCCTGACTCAATCACTAATTGTCATTACCATGGCACTGAACAGTATTGTGATGCTAACGGAACACATGGTGAGGTTGTTGGTGCTCCTACTGATTCAGAGGAAGGCCAATCCTCATATACCGGATGTCATACTCATTCAAGTGAGACTTACTGTCTAGATGATAATGGTGAGGAGGTTCAATTTGTTGCAGACGCAGCTGAAGCCGATGAGTCTGGTTCTGAGTCTGGTTCTGAGTCTACCTCAGAGTCTGCCTCAGAGTCTGCCTCAGAGTCTGGTTCTGAGTCCACTTCAGAGGTTGAGTCCACCTCAGAGTCTGCCTCAGAAGGTACTGAATCAACCCAAGCGGAAACATCATCTGCTGCCAATGATGGTGGAATAAAAGGTGTTGGCTCTGCACTAACTGCAGCTTTGGTTGGTATTCTCTTCTTGTGATTTATCAATGTACAAACGAGTATTTAACTTACCACCACTGGAAACCATAAGTTGGTAACGTACCATTCATATAGCTATTTACAAGGTTTATATTTATATGATCTAGTCTAGCCCAGAGTTCTTTCTAACCTCCTTCATAGTCTTCTCCGCTATTTCTTGAGCCCTTCTGTTTCCCTTCTGAACTATCGAATGAAGATACTGTGGGTCTTGGATGAGCCTATTGTACTCTTCTCTGGTCGGCTTAAACTCTTCAACAATCACCTCTGTGACGTAGTCCTTAAATGCCTTATGATCCTTCAGATTAGCAATGTCTTGCTCTACTTGTTCAATGGGTTTTCTTTGAACTCCACTGATGATGTTTATCATATTCGATACACCCGGTCTGTTGATAGGGTCATAGGAAAAATGATCGCTGATGGAGTCTGTCACTGCCTTCTTGATCTTTTTAGCAATTGCGTCAGGCTCTTCTGTGATATAAATGGTGCTAGCTTGGTCAGGGTCAGATTTTGACATCTTCTTTGATGGGTCCTTTAAACTGAGGATCTTTTTAGTAGGAGCAAGAATTGTCGTTGGCAACGGGAAAGTATTTTCAAACTTTTTATTGAATTGCTCAGCGATATGTCTACATAGTTCCAGATGTTGGGATTGGTCATCTCCAACCGGGACCTGTGTAGACTTGAACAGGAGGATATCAGCAGCCTGTAACACAGGATATGCAAACAGACCCAAGGACGCACTATCGGAGCCTTTCGACTTGCTCTTCCACTGGGTCATTCTTCCAAGGTATCCAATTCCTGAAACACAGGATAGGATCCAATTCAGTTCTGCATGCTGTGGAACACCACTTTGGTGATAGACAATGGCCTTATCGTGGTCAATACCAGTAGAGAGAATGCTAGCGATAGCCTCATATCTGAACTTCCTCAACTCATCAGCACTTTTGGGGATTGTCATCGCGTGGAGATCAGCAACACCATAAATAACAGTGCTATTTGCCGGTGCAACCTCACACAGATCCCTCCAGACACGAACAGCACCCAGGTAGTTCCCCAGGTGGAACTTCCCTGTTGGCTGGATTGCCGAGTAGATCGTCGAGTTATCGGCAATGTGAAGGGACTTTGGATCAAATTCCGTGTTCTTCACGGTCGAGGCACCTCTTACCAGCCCCTTTTTGATGGCACTACCCCGGAAACGTAACATCTTTAGCCCTATTTTGCTGGGTATTAAATAGTGATGAAGAGGAAGAAGTGAATTCTCGGTGTCTGGGTTTATTGTACACTTCCCAGCCTCGGCTGACGGCACCAATTCCGGGGGTAAACTTACCCCTCGTAATTGGATAACCTCATCTCGAACACTTTTCACTTCATACCGACTATCATTTTGAGCTTATCTAGAGCAGTTGGTTGCACAGTCGTGTTGCTTTGGTAGTTGGATGCTCAATAAGGTGATGGTACTTTCACCAACAACAAGGGCTGGCCTTGTACGTGGGTTTAGAACATGCTCTGGGAGGTATCAGGCTGTTGGGAAACCACTGGAGCAGCGAAGCCGGAAGGAACAGCAAGAGAACGTGCCTGTGGAACCAGATACAGCTACGAAGAGTGAGGATATCGAGGGTAATGAGGGGAAACCTTTGGAGTCAGCTGTTGAGAAAGTTCGTGCTGGGCTGGAAAGCGCTAGAAAGAAGGCCTTCCAGGAGTTACGAGGTGATGTTAGGATCAAATCTCTGAAAGAGATCTCTGAGGAGAATGACAAGCTGATGGTCTCACGGTACATCAGACCTCTGAGAAAATGGTCTTATGAGATAAAAGCCGACTCGCTGAATCACCTGAAACGGTCAGGTCTCGAGAGTGAGCAAATTAGCAGTGTCATGGACGGATATACAGCAGGGATCATGTCACAGGCTCTAGGTAAGCCAAAAGTGACAGTAACTGCGTCAGATCTGTTCGAACCTCTTGACGCTGGTGATGCTGTGGAACTATCAAGCTCTCTAAACCAGTCAGTGCTAGCGGTTATTGTATCGGTTCCCTTCAGCGATAACGATCCTCGTTATACAGTGATGACACGTCTTGGTGAGCTATTTTGGTTAGAGAAATCTGCATTCAAGTTCCGTATACCTCGTGTGATCCCTAAACCATGGCTCAAGGACATTGTTAAAAAGACCACTGATCCGTCAGCAGATTATGGAAGTATAAAAACGTCACCAAAGGGATTTGCGAGATATATGGTGAACCCTCTGGCAAGACAAATTATTTCACAACCGTTGATTGATATTACGAAGGCTGCTTGGGATAACATCCAACAAACTTCAAGAAAGCTGGAGATTATACACCGACTACTGGAGACAAATGGACCAAGACAGGTGTCCCTTCTGACACTTGTGAATGCTACAGCTGCTATTTCTCTGAAAGAATTTGAAAATCAGATTAATGAACAAGGGGTGATATTGGCGTATAAAAACCTTGCTCAGTCTCTTCAGCTATCTTGTGGTGTTGACTTTGGATCCGGCTTGTTAAAACCTCTCTTGGGTAAAGAGTATGGCAGTGTGAGTATCTCAAACGAATATGACATCGCATTGCTTTATTCGGTTGTCTTGACGCTAAGAAAACAAACAGCGTTATGGTCGACTCAAAATCAATCAAGAAGTACATTTGTTCCATTGTCTGTAACTGTCTTGCCGATGAAGTATAATTTGAGGATAACAGAGGTCTTAGAGGCACTGAGGAGTCCAGCTGGCGAAAGAATGATACACCAATTCAAACAATACATTGAAAGTGGGAATTATACTCCTCCTGGGAAAGAAGTCAAAGATTTGATGTTTCTGTTGAAGGAATATGCTGTTGGAAATATCTCAGATCCCATTAGTGAGACGGTTATCTGCCAGGTGATGAAAAGACTTTTCAGTACGAGAGTCACCAAGACACTGGTATGGGATACTCTTGTGAAAGTTGGCTATATAGACTCAACATTGGTTAATCCCCAACATTTTACAAACTCTTTGGCATTTCCAGGAAGGGTTGTTTCACCCAAAGCAGAGCTAGAGGAGGAATACTTCCAACTGTGTGAAGTTAATGAACGAAACGGTGCTGACCGTGCCCATAAAAGAATCGACATGTCCCATTTGAGAGTGTTTTGCATTGACAGTGAGACAGCACATGAAATCGATGATGGTGTGTCCATTGAGCATATTGGGAAGGAGAAAACTCGTCTTCATATCCATATTGCTGACCCAACTTCCTATCTTGAGGACGATTCTACTCTGATGAAAGTTGCATTTGAGAGAGCATTCACAACTTACCAACCAGAAACTATCAGTGCTATGTTCCCAAAGGGGATGAGTGACATGGCTGGTTTGGGCGTTGATGGAAAAGTCACTAGAGCTATGACTTTTTCAATCGACGTTGAAAGGGACTCGGGGGTTGTGGATTTCTCTTCTGCCCAGGTCAACGCAACGTTGGTATCGAAATTCCCCAAATACACATATGATGATGTTGATAGAACTCTTTCAGAAGCTTTCAATGTGGAAAATCAGGAGCACAATGACCTGAGGGAAATGAGCAACCTCAGTGTTTTGTTGAGAGCCAACAGAATTCAGGAAGGCGCTGTTGTCTATCCAGACACGTTGAGTGTCCAGGTGCGCGTTCATCCGCAGGGGAATGTAACGGACGGTGAGAAGCTAGACGGCGCTACTGACGACGAGGCAGTGTCATTCGAAGGTCAGAAATCCACCCAATCAGTAATATTAGTCACGGAGTTTATGATTCTGGCCAACAAGATAGCAGCCACAGTATTGAAGAACAATGGCTTACCAGGAGTCTTCAAGACCATGCCAGCACTTCCATTAGCTGGATCAGCCTCTGAAGTGGTTAAGAATTTGAACGAGCGTTCAAAGGAAGGTTGTATGAACTTGTCAGATCTTGTAAAGTCTTTCAAGTTTGTTACTCCAGCAGTGTATTCGCATCGTGCAGGACCCCATGTAATGCTAGGCGTTGAGCGTTATGCTCCTTCAACCTCGCCGCTAAGACGCTTTGGTGATGTTGTGAATCACATGCAATTCCATAGTCTTCTCAATGGAGAGAAGATGGTTTTCAACGACGAGCAAGTGCTTTCCATGGTGCTTCACATCGAAGCACGTAATGATATCTTGAAAAAGGCATCCCGTGGTTCCTTGACTTACTACTCAATGAAGGCTTTGAAAGACAGGATCAGCGAGGACGGCACTGTGGACGCTCAATTTATAGTGGTATCACCATCCATCGGGAACACGGCAAACGGTCTACTTCTCGAATATGGTGTCTTTGGCAAGATGACGCTGGTGGAAGGAAGACATCCACCAAGCATTGGTGATATTATTGAACGCTTTAGAGTACACGAACTAGACCCCGTGGGGCTCAATCTGGTTCTCGAAGAGATAGACTAGAGGAGGAACATAGTGTACATATACAGTTTGTAAATAGTAATTGGTTTTCTTTATGTAGTTGAAGGTCGTATGGCTAGTGTTCCCGTTCTCTGAGCCCTGTCGAGGCTCAGGACTTATTACTAACGCCAGTTTCAGACTCACGGGAAACGTCGTCTTCCTCTTTCAACATCTTGCGTATAGGTTGTCTGCTAAGTCGCATAAGAGGCGTGCATACGCATTTCAATCATGTACTTGTTGGTCTTGCATGATGGAAAGTCTCAACTAGCAGGAGAAAAGAAAATGACCCTGGCTGATATATTCCCCTAAAAATGGTCGATATTGGCTCTCCATGAGTCATAAATATAGACGTATGCTAAGGAATTTGGTATTTTTATCTGACTGGCCTAGGGGCTCGGCCGTAAAAGAGAGCCGAGAAGGGCTGTTAACACCAGGACGAAAGCTTGGCTTCGTCCTGTGGCATGCACAGGAATGTCTTCAGTAGAGATATTGGTAGCTGGGACTGCAAGTGGAATATATCGCTGCTGGCCAGCAGCAGCGTCCTTAACGAGTCAACGCATCAGAGACTAAGAAAAGCACAGCACGGTATGATAAAAGCAAAGCAAAGTGCAGCGTAACATCGTTTTGAGGTACCCTTCCACTTTAACATATTGTCGCATACTTTGCAATTTCACCGTCATGGCATCTGACGGCTGTGATAAATCAGCTGGAATTGACGTTGTGTAGACAGATACATGCATCACTGATGTCTAGTGAGTACTAAACAAATATCTGCGATGATTGAAGCACAAAATATTACTGCATTCTACATTCCAAACATCGAAGTTCGACGTGTGTTTGTAGATGAATGATCGTACATGTATTTTTGGGCTTATTATTATTATTCTCCATGTATCTATCAATTCTAAACCAGTCCAGTAAACCATACTCTGCTGACGACTTCAATGATGAGACAAGGGCGAAGAGAATATGAGTATTAACGGCGATGCTACCTGTTCATAGCCGTCTGAGTATCGTGGAGAGCTCGGAAAGAATCGGAATGGAACGTTTCGACACTCAAGACTTCCGAAGGCATGCAAGAATACGCAGTATACAGTTGAAACAAGCCATTTCAACCAGATTTTTACGAGACACAGTCATCCTGTGCATATAGCTCACACCCAAAAATTATACGTAGACAACGTATTCTAATACATAAACAATAGCTTCAATTTCTCGTATGAAAACTGCCCTACTTTGGCTTGATGTTGTTGTAACCTGGGAGTAGTTCGTGATCACTGAACACACCCACATCGTGATCTATGTGAACCTGAATGCAGTGAGTCAGGAGCCATTTGAACCCTTAAAACAAAAAAAAAGAAAGAAAGAAAGCAGCACTCAATCTGGCCGTCAACATGAGCATGATGGGCTTTGAGGACTTTGAATTCTAATGGGGATTCACGAGAACCGGACCTTCAAGTATATGCAGCACACATATGAATCGATTCTTGGTCAAGCCATCATGATAAAACCCAGGTTGACCCAAACCGTCAAAGCTTGAAGGTAGAGATTCAGCTGCTACAGTGTATCTCCGATGGGAACACGCAAAGTGTATAAATGCCACTGGGAATGGAATTCCCAGCAATATAACTGCGATTATTCCAATGATACAATAATAGGTGGCTCATTTGTAGTTATGTGCTGAGATCAGTGATAAGCACAACAACTTCAAAGTTCATATGTCTATGAGTTTAAGAACTCCGAATATTGATCTGACTACAGGACGGTAACATTTGGTTTGGTGATTCAATACGCCAATAACTACGCTACACAACGAGAACGTCACCGCGTCTGAGAATTACAGCACTGCGGCACGCTGTTGATCATTTTTTGTTGAGCATGCACCGCCGGCTGAAGATACTTTGTAGCCATTATGGATCCACTCAAGGACTATTTGTACGTTACAGTGATGTGTGCGGGAATAGGAGCCGTTGATCAGATGATCGTGTAGGCTTAAATCTCAGATTAAGCTTAACGCTAACTTATGTACACGACGAACATATTGGAGTTACGTGCAATACTGCGGAATTAACGTGAAGTCCTGACGCTAAATTTTACTTCGCTCGATCTGGCTTTCATGACATAATCACGCAATTAACTAAAAAGATACACAGCCTAGTATCAGTTCTTGTCCTTAAGCCTACATCGCAACCAACTGGTCAGGAACTGGACTCACTTCACTCCTTGAAAGCATTACACATCAGGAAACCTTACACTACGTACTAATTAAGCCAAGTTGCACATGCAACATTGGTGTGCTGGGAAGTACCGCAGCGACCGCATCGAGATGACAAAGTGTGATACCACATAAAGGAACAGCAGTTTGATTCTATAGCTGTTTCCAAGTTTGTCACACCACATGGTACAGTTTCAAGAATATGATATCGTTAGAAGTAATTCTTGATGTTGCCTTAATAATATGCCTAGCAATATCCACAGCTAAGCTGGTGGAGTTCCACATGCCACGTTGGCCCATTCACTCTGTCAAAGCCCTACACTTATGTTCAAACAAGTTGTAAAATAGCAACTATTTTGGGAATATGGAAGACATCTGAGGTCAAACCATATCGGAGATTTAGCTAGATCAGTAAAGCATTTTGCAGTATGTAATTAAAGACATCATGGACTTCTGTGAATCGACTAGATTTAGCACCGTGAATGTTGATTTTTGAAGATCTCAACGTAATGGCGTTATGACCTTTTTTATCATTGCATGTAAATAATATTGATACTGGAATCACGAATATCTACACTGGTGCTCGACAGGACGGTGCTTAGGAAGCTTCCTAAACTCATTTCCGAGTATGATTATGTTTCATATGCACCATCTACATGAGATCTCTATCGTATTCGTGCTTCGCCTGACAGACAAGCCACTGGTGCCCACAGGTCTCAAAAGCTAACAATTGACGTGGACTGTCGCTTGTAGACCATGAGCAGGATTTCAGAATCTCATTAAAAACAAAAAACACTCAACTGCATGTGTGTCTGTCTTTAGGCAGTGGGAATTATGCTGATTATCAGCGTATCTTTTAACTTAGGAGGAAGCTGGCTTCATTATTAAGTACTCCTTTTTGAACCACTTCATCACTCTACGACAACGTTCATGGATTGAATATTAGAATAACGTGCCTTATAGTTTGGGGGCTGTTGATTCACAGCTTAATAGAGAACCAGCTAATTTCTACACATCGGGCGTTCCCAAGCATGCATAGGATACCAACTTCCAAGTACAGAATTCAACGTAGCACATGCAGAATCTCATGCTCTGTCTGGGAGCTTAAAGTCAAGCTCAAATGTGTATGCACATACAATACATACGTACGGATGACTGAATGCAAGTCGGTATACATTTGCCTATGCTCATACCTGGAACACAGGTCTAAGATATTGAACATGGTAGCTGTTGTTTGCTTTAGGATAAAGATCAATCAGAACATATACTGTGTGTTGGTATATTGTTTCAAGAACAAGTTCATTTCCAGATGTGTTGATCTGGTGTTAAAATTGAAATGTCATATAGCATAATTGGATGCAGTTCATCATCTCTTCAGATGATTTGTAAGCGGGTTCAGTATTACGTGTTGACCTTAGATCTCACTTTCCAAACAACAATATATCGATCCAAAGGCGCATTAGACCACACATTGCAAACACATACTGTTAATGTGTGCTACTTTGAGTATGATATCATCCACAGCAACTGCGGCTTGATCCGTTCAATTTCACCTTGCTACTTCTGCTTGCTGGTGTATCTCAAATCGAATTTTAGAGAGGTACATTCTAACCAGGACCGAATCACTATCAATGAACACGGTTTGCCGTCGGGCTTGACGTCTTAGCAAAGGATACATCTATGCATACATCAGTAATTACGGCTGCAAGTATTGCTCGATCTTGGAAAGAAATTTTCAGTAATTCTTGATGAGACATGATACGATGTACATTCGAAGCATTTCATTAGAAGACGCGAAAGAGTCAAAAACAAAAGGAGCTGCTTAAAACTTACCACTCTCTTAAACGTTTGTTGTCGTATTACAACTTGTTTGTTTCCCAGACAACATTGACATCGTATCGAGAAAAGACGTAATAGAAATTACGTATTGGTACACACATATAGGAGTGAATCATGTGGATGCCAGGGACACGTTATATGCGCCTCTACAGACAAATTGAGCTTGCTAGTAGATTAGGGGCTTGGTCAGACTTTCCAAGCTTTTGCCCACGACTTGAGCTTACATATACTCACAATTTGTAAATGCGTTGACTGCCCCAATTGACGACATAGTCTACGTAATGAAACAAAATTATATAACGGCTTTAGAGCAACCCTAAGAAGACGATGTGAGCTTATTTCAAAGATGTAGTATTTGCATCGAAGCCGCACATCACCCATTAACACCTTACCAGTTGATTGGTTTCGGACGACATCCCGAATATCCAAAAAGAAGGTTTGCTCTTGCAATCTTCTTTTACACTCATGTGCATCGCACATCTTTGTAAGCTATGCATTCGTCTTCGCCATGGTACCGCTCGTGCACCTCGCCCGTGTTCTTCCTTACCCTATAAACGCCGCCAGACTCAGTCTAGTGAACCACCCTTACACACCTTCCCCGTTGCCCTGTATCGTACTTACTGGCAATCCTGAATGTCTTGATGCTCCATACCCAACTACAAGAATGGCTAACTGCTACAGTAAGAGCAGAAATGTACAGGTCTTTATGCAGGAGCTGCAACCTAAATTTCCTTATGCACAGACACTACATTGTAACGCATAGTTTTCTGTATAATATGCATTGTGACTTACGATCAACGCAGACTCAAACTTTAAAGGGAATCAGATATGACTTTTACATACATACAGCAATGACGATTCTGACGTCAAGAAACCCAAGAGGAAATGGATGTTGTGGGCAGAAAAAGTGCTTGCGCCTTGGAGTATTGATGGATCTGCAAGTTGCGTACAAGGTGTAGCCACCGATGTAAAACAGCACGGTATAGCCTGTCGCGTGTACACGGTTTCTTACAACACAAATGTAACCACAACTTGTACGGATGGCCCATGTTTACATTGTTGACAGCTGTATCGTTCTGGACGAGGACTAGATCTGAGTATTTAAGAAGGAGCACGTTGATGCACACACAGAGACGTGTACGCTGCCCTGGAGGGGATATTTTCTAGCTGTGATAGGAGACAGTACCTCCAAGCCATCGACTCTGATGGACACCCTATCCCAGACCGTATTTTTACAAGCACCAATTGTTCCTGTCACCACCATAATTCGGTGCAGATGAGTTATGTCCATGGCTTCTCAGCTTGACTATTTCATTTGCAATAGATGCCGGAGGCGTATGTATTAGAGCAAAAAGGAAAGAAGGAAAAACAGGACGTGATGGAACTGGCATGGCGCAGCAGGTAGATACATAAACAGAGTTTTCCCAGTGTAGTTGTCGGGGATGTGCATTGTCCTTCCAGATGCCTAGCGCCTTTTGCCAGCAGAAAAAGTAACAAAAGACTGGTGGGAATTGTTGTTTGAACAGTTGGAAGTTGTAGGCGTATAAAACCACTGCCATATCACCTCCATCTAGTTTTTCTTCCATGTGGTGGCAGCGATTACTGCCGTGCTCTTTATTAGACCAGCACTGGAAGAGCTACACAATTGATCACGGCTGCAAGAAAAAGCAAAGCCTCAGTCCCTCTAATTTCAGCAGCTTGACAGTTACGAGGTCTACCTAGCAATCACGCTCAATTTGCCTGGTGTTGCCCATCATTCCATCGTCTGCGCCTGGGTAATCTCTCGAGTTTTGAGCCAGAAATATTTTGCAAGAGGAGCTGTTCATTTCCACTAACTTGCTTTTCTACAGACGTGTCCTCTGGTCCTGTGCTTATTTGGCAGTCCATTCTGGTGTACACAGCCGGTGCCTTCTACTTCTTTAAGGTTTCAGAGGCCACAGCTGTTGGAGAAGCTTATAAAGGCCTGGGACATTAATACTCATCCGGGTCAGATCACGATTGCTCGACAGAAGGCAGGGAGGACTCGACAACACCATAGAACTAAGTGTGTGTGTTGGACGGTACGTCGACAGGACAGCAGGCTCTATCCGGTACTTTCTTCTGTATTTAGGGGGGAGGGAGATTGTCGTCGAATTGCTAGCTTCGCTGTAAGAACTCGAGTCACAGTGTACTATATGGTGGGATTATCATTGGCTCAATATTGATTCTTACTTTGAAATTTTGAGTGATTTGCTCCAATTGAATCCAAGGGAGTGAACAGAGTAGCCCAGACCCTTGATACTTTGTTTCAGGATACACAAGCATCAACAGTGCTGGGAGGGAAGACTTCAAGAACAATCACTCACTACTCACCAACATTCAGAGCCAGTTTTATACTACAAAAGGTTGGAAACCTTCCATCAAACCAATCTGGATTGTTCAAAGACATTGCTGCAAGAGATATCAAGCAATAAGACCCTCAAATCCAGCATAACTGTCACCGAAGAAGAGCTCAGTATAGGTTGGCGTGTGAAGCATAAGTCAACTGGAAACAAACAAGGTGTAATAATATCTACAAGGACAGAGACGACAGAATCACATACCATTGCATCATTACAAGGACACCATTGTCCAAGAACCCACACACAACGAAACCAGAGCATACTCTGCCAATTGTATTATAGTCCATCTACCCCTATTCTTCAGCATATAACCATGTGTGAGTATCGTTGAAAGGCCATTCAGAACACACTGGACTGTTTACTAACAAGACTCTATGCCTAGCACACCGATCGTCTTCAGGAGTCCATTTCCAATTGGACATTGTTCAACAACCAGTCAGAGCTAGAATGTGTGGTCTTGGAGACAAGGATCGTCGACAGATATCACCCCCACCATTCGTTAAAGTGAGTCCCTTCGACATCACCACTGGCAGACCACTGGACAGCACATCCATAGAGCTATCACAATTGGTGCTTGTCGTTGAGCTTTGGAGCCCAGACGAGACACAGGACTTGACTCTCAACCAGAACATACAGAACGTTGTTGACGGAGATCATCTGAACAACAGTACAAAACACTCGAACCAACCGGTCAGCTCGGACTCAGAAGAGTCCATGGGCGATGTACCCACGAGGAATCTCATTGGCTCAACAGTGCTCAATGCCTTTTCCCTGTTAAACGATAGGCATGAGCAAGGGATATGGTTCATTCTGGGAGACCTAAGCGTACGAATCGAAGGTGAGTTCAAACTGAAGCTGAACTTACTCGACTTATCCACAGACCGTTCGATCTCTGCGTTCAGCAATACCTTTAAGGTATACAGTGCAAAGAAATTCCCAGGTGTCGTGGACAGTATGCCATTAGGCCGTGTGTTTGCCAGTCAAGGTGTTAAAATTCCAATTAGACGGGAGATGAGGGATTAGAGAGACCCCTTCCATCTGCCATAATGTTGCTTATAATTCATTTCCGTGTGTGCCTTTGCTTTCCCATTTTGTTTATCTCTTTTCTAATGATGTACAGTATGTTTATGTTTATAGAATGTACTATTTATCTCCTATTTACAGCAGTTCGCATGGCTTCTAGCATGGCTTCTAGCACTTGATCATTCCATCTTGAACACCTGTTCTTGTTTCCATCCATTTTGCTCCAATAACCCACCCAATGGGCCCTGGCTCTCAAAGGGCTTTGCACCTGCAATGTGCTTGACGAATCCATCAGGCCCGCAGACCAATGCCAATGACGGTGGCTCCTTTGGCAGCTTTCTCGAGGCCTGTGCCTGCTCCAATGCTGACTTGTACTCCACTGTCGTGTCAATGGGCTTCAATTCCAAGTCCTTAGCAGGGTTCGGCACCCGTTTCACAAGTTTCTCATGATGGAACTTTGCCCTGTCGATCTTTTCCAACACGCTCAACAGGTGTGGGAATGGTACTTCAGAGTCTGTCTTGTGGGAATAGTACACATCAACGAACCCACGATATGGATTTCTGGTCAGAAGCATCTGTAAAGCTGGTGCGATTCCGGTTCCACCACAGAAGAACGCAACGTTTCTTGGTTGTTCTGGCCAATGGGGGTCCGCCAGCGTCTCAGACGGAACGTTCTTTACCCATGGCCTCTCCACGTTGTTGTTCTTTGTAATTGGGAACTTGAACTCTTCATAGGGCCCACGTAGCTCCAGCTCAGAGCCCAGAGGCTGACGGTAGATCCAACGCGCAACTTCGCCTTGAGAGTACTTCTTGATGTACAGCACAAGCTTGCCGTCTCTACTGTTGGCGTCCTGGATTCTCACCACGGGCTTCTTGGTGAACTCGGAGTCATACAGCTCCAAGGGCAGTGGCGTATACTTCCTAACAACCATGATCTGTGGTTGTTTGACCTCCACGGACCACAGCTGGTTACCGTTCCAGATCTGCTCAAACTTGGTGGTGTGTTTCCACTTCTGGAACTTGGGAGTCAGCTCAACCAAGTAGTGGTCGTCGTCAACGTCCAGCTTGTTTGTAATCACGAATGGGATGAATCTCTTCGTGGTGAGGTACTCCAATGGAGTGTCGTCCATGACAAACTGATACGCCAAATAGCCCCACGCCATGCCTCCCAGCCCTATGAATATGGGAAGAAACTTCCTCCAGCGAGGAGGGCCTCCGGAGCCACTGCCATGGTCAGCTGGAATCTCAAAGGATTCCCTCTTGTACGACTCCTGTGCCGTGAAAGTGCCAATAGCTTTGCTGGACTGGCTATACGGTATCTCAACATCAGGAACCGGTGGCGCCGACGCCCTCGGCACCTGTTCGCCAGACGAGGAGGACGGCACCGACGACACAAACCTCCTACCGGCAAGGCATAGCGTAGAAGCCCTCGTAGCCCTCAACATCCCTGCGTTCTCTGCTTCCTGAGATGAGCCCTTGTGCCCTGCCTAGCTGGCCTGGGTGTTAGTGAGGGCACCGTGTGAAAAAAAGCATAGGCCCGCGCAGCCAGCGCCAGTGAAAATTACCGGGGGGAGGGGGGCGGCGGCGGTTAGCCCTCAGCTACAACGTCGGCTTCTCCGCCTACAACGTCGGTTTCTCCGTCTACAACCACTGCGAGGAGCTCACTGACGTGCCTACTGACGAGCCAATTGGTGTTGAAGATATGTCCATTAGGCTTGTACGCTCGCTGGAAGCGCACACGGACAAAGTGTGGTCTGTGTCTGTGCACAACAGGCTGCCGCTACTGGCGACGGCGTCGTCCGATAAGAGTTGCAAGATCTACGACTTGACGAACGGGGAGCTCGTTGCCACGCTGGACGATACACACAAGAGAAGTGCTCGTTCCGTGGCATGGAAGCCTACTGGGCAGGAGCCGTCACTGGCGTGCGGGTCGTTCGACTCGACGATCTCCATCTGGGGGAAGGACTATGACGAATGGTCCCTGCTGGCTGTCATCGAGGGCCACGAGAACGAGGTTAAGGGCGTGGCGTGGTCTAAGGATGGATACTTTCTGGCGTCGTGCTCCAGGGATAAGAGCATCTGGATCTGGGAGGCAGATGACGATAATGAGGAGTTTGAGTGTATCAGCGTGCTGCAAGAGCATTCGCAGGACGTGAAGCACGTTGTGTGGAGTCAATATGAGGACCTGCTCGCGTCTTCGAGCTATGACGATACTATAAGGCTGTGGAAGGAGGACGATGACGACTGGTCATGTGTAGCACAGCTGACAGGACATGAGGGGACCGTGTGGTGCTCAGATTTCGAAAAGAGTGAAACCTCCACGAGACTGGTGAGTGGCAGCGATGACTGTACTGTTAGAGTCTGGCAAAGAACAGATGCCAACGATTCTGAGGAGACGTGGGAATTACAAGCCATCTTACCACAGTGCCATAAGAGGGCCGTGTACTCTGTGAGTTGGAGTCCGAGTGGGAGGATTGCGAGCGTTGGCTCTGATGGCCAGCTCGTTGTGTATGAGTACCAATCTGACCAATGGGAAATTACTCATGTTCAGAAGCTCAGCCACGGTGTCTATGAGGCAAATAGTGTCCAATGGTGTAAACCATATGCTGCTGATGATGACAATGGTACTACAACGGCCGAATGGCTAATCACCGGAGGTGATGACGGTAACGTCAACGTTTGGAGCATTTCATGATTCGTCATTTCTTACCCTCTTAAATAAAGATTCCCAACAGCACAACAGCCAGTATTACACATATTATAAGCAGTAGACACATGGTCCTTCTCCCTGATCTTCTCTGATATCTCAGAGCCTTTGTCAGTTGGCCAGCAGCGTCTTTGGTGGAGTTGGAAATGTCATAGATGTTAGATTCAATGTTGTCAACCATGGTGCCCTGTTCCTGAACAATGGTACCCAGGTCGTTGAAGATCTCGTTCAGCTCTTGTATCCCATGCTCAATATTCTGGATCTCTTCCTCACGCTCACGTATCAGGTTCTGCTGATAGACAAACTCCTCGTTGTTGATAACGTCCTGCTCCAGAACCATCTGGGACGACGCTTTCCCTGGTAACAGTGGCGAGCCGTCAGATTGCACCTGCTCATCCAACGCAGCTTGTGCCTCTGCATTGATAGATTTACTGAGACTTGTGAACTCATCCTGTGAATCTGCAAACTCTTGCATACAGTGCTTAGCTTCTCTCGTTATCTTATCCCTGGTAAACTGCTGTGCCGAGTTCAAATCACCGTCAATGTTCAGTTCCTTGACCAATTGGCCCAAGCTCTTAAACAACGAGCCTAACTGGTCCATGGAGCTCACACACTTCGCACTAACCTTCTCAGAGTTGGCCAGGTTCCTCTTTGTATGGAGAGACTCGAGCTGCTTGTGCAATGTGACAAGGTGGTTGTTCACCTCCAGGAGAACGTTAGAAGCCTCCTCTGCTGCTCTGTCAAACTCCGGCGAGTCGCTGTATGGCTTCTGCGATTCCAAATCAACGTCAAGGGCATTGAAGGACATCTTTGTCTGGCTGATTTACCCCTGGTGTACGAGCTTTTATTGACCAGTGAATGTTCAACTTGCTCCGATACGCCATACGAGTTTAAGAGCCACCTGGATTACGTAAGGGATTTTCAATTTTGCTTACGTCATGCATTACATCAGCAAATGATATTCATATTACATAAGCGCTGACGTAATCCAAGCCCCAATGGAAAAAAAAAAGAAATCCGCGATGAGCAGCACCGTCTAAAAATTTTCCCTTTCTCAGTTCGTTCTCTGAATATCAACATCGTTTGAAGCAGATCTCACCAGTCGAACAATCAGTGTACTAAGCATCAGAAGAAGACACCATGGCTGCACCAACTGCTCTCAAGAAAACTGCGGCTGAAAAGGCTGTCGAAGAATCTGTGGTGAACAGACTACCCGTTGCAGATGAAGATGAAGATGAAGTACTCTTGGACACCGCAGTTCAGGACGCAAATGAAGAAGAACAGATACCACAGTCGAAGAAGGAAGAACACAAGGGTGTTGTTCTCGATGAAGCCGGTAAGCCACGTTTCACGTCGGCCTCCAAGTCCGGCGAGCGCGTCAAGATTGCCTCCAGAAAGGTTGCGATCCCACCTCACAGAATGTCTCCATTGAAGAACGCATGGCCAAAGGTGTATCCACCTTTGGTTAGCCAGTTGAAATTACAGGTTAGAATGAACTTGAAGACCAGGACCGTGGAGCTGAGAACATGGAAGGAGACGACTGATCCAGGTGCCCTGCAAAAAGGTGCGGACTTCATCAAGGCATTCTCTCTGGGGTTCGACATTGACGATGCTATTGCGCTTTTAAGACTGGACGATTTGTACATTGAAACCTTTGAAGTTAAGGATGTTAAGACCTTGCAAGGTGATCATCTTAGTAGAGCAATTGGTCGTATTGCAGGTAAAGACGGTAAGACCAAGTTTGCCATTGAGAATGCTACCAGAACGAGAATTGTACTTGCAGACTCAAAGATCCACATTCTCGGTGGGTTTACACATATCAGAATGGCAAGAGAGGCTGTGGTGAGCTTGATCTTGGGTTCTCCTCCTGGTAAAGTGTATGGTAACCTACGTACGGTTGCATCTCGTATGAAGGAGCGTTATTGATCATGGTACATTAATATTTGGCGTTGGTATATAATAGTGGAGCTTGTGGTTTTAATATACTTTTCTATTTGCATTCTTGTGAACTACTTGCCGAGTTGATGATTGTAGAGACTAAAAAAGGGTCAATTGGATGCTACGATGATAAAGCCTCTTGTACCAACACCTGGTTATCTTTTGTTCATATTTAAAAAAATTGCAGCACGAGTCGTTTGGTTCTCTCTCCCTCTGCACCTCTTCATTTCAATTTCTGTCAAAGGATATATATAGAAAGGCATTGTCAAAGCAAAACAGGAATATATGAGTTCATGTCAAATGAAGGGGCATTCTTAAAGCAAAAGAGCACACAAAGCACACGCTGCTATCACGAGAATATTTACTTTCTGGCGTTGAATTGGTCCAACAAACCTTGACCCAATCTAGCTGGGGATGGTTGGACAACAACGTTAGCAGCCTCCAAGGCTCTAATCTTGTCTTGAGCACCACCCTTACCACCGGCAACGATGGCACCAGCGTGACCCATACGTCTACCTGGAGGAGAAGAGACACCGGCAATGAAGGAGACAACTGGCTTTGGAACCTCTCTGGTCAAGTTGTGCTGCTTGAGGAACTCAGCAGCCTCCTCCTCAGCAGAACCACCAATCTCACCAATCATGATGATACCCTCGGTCTCTGGGTCGTTCAAGAACAAAGTCAAGGCGTCGATGAAGTTGGTACCTGGGAATGGATCACCACCAATACCGATAACCAAGGATTGGCCCAATCCGGCCTTCGTGGTCTGGTCAACAGCCTCGTAGGTCAAGGTACCGGATCTGGAGACAATACCAATCTTACCTCTCTTGTGGATGCTTTGAGGCATGATACCAATCTTACACTGCTCTGGAGCAATGATACCTGGACAGTTTGGACCAACCAATCTGGTCTTGGACTGGGTCTTCAATATGTTGGCGATACGCAACATGTCGTGCTGTGGAATACCTTCGGAGATGGCGACGGCAAGCGAGATCTCGGCCTCGATAGCCTCCTCAATGGCCTTAGCAGCGATGGAAGGTGGGACAAAGATACCGGTGGCCGTGGCACCGGTCTGCTCAATGGCCTCACGGACAGAGCCGAACACTGGGCGGTCCAGGTGTGTGGTGCCGGCCTTCTTTGGGTTGGTACCACCGACAACCTGGGTGCCGTAGTCAATGGCATTCTGCGCGTGGAAGGTGGCCTGCTTACCGGTGAAACCTTGGTAAATAACCTTGGTGTCCTTGTTGATCTTGAGGTTCTTGATGGTGTCGGCGTACGAGCGACGGGCGGCGGTGGAGGCAAAACCTCTAACTTGTCTGAACATTGCTGGTTATTTTCGAGTCTGCGAAACAGAAAAGTATCCACTTGGTTGAAAGTGTATGACGAGAAGAAGAAGGAGAAGAAGAAGGAGAAGAAGAAGGAGAAGGAGAAGGGAAGAAAGAGGAAAAGAAATGAACAAAACACCCCTTGATTAAATTTCCAAAAAATTTCGAAAAGTTCATGATACGTCTACCACCGTACGGCGGTGCCCACGGTTTTCCCTCTGGGGCCTAACTACGCACTCGCAGCGAGCCAATTCTGCTCTTTTACGTGGGATAGGAGGGATGGCATGGGAGGGCTAGGCGGAACAGCGTGGGCAGGCTAGGCGGAACCCATACGCCCTAACGGGGACAATTTCAGAACCGGGGGGAAAGGAGAAAAAAATAATCGTGCTGGGGGCAGAAAACCTGGAGAAGCACAGGCAGAGACAGGCAGAGAAGAGCCCCAGCTAGGCGGCGCACCGTGTTCGTCTAACTCTGGTGCTGGTGCCAGTGCTGGTGCCGGAGTAGCGCAATTGGTCCAAGCTATTCAGCCCACGAGGGTGTAGCTGGTGTATTCTACTTGGGCGGCGCCCAAGTGCTCGTTGCCTCCTCTGCCAACACATCTCCCCCTATTTTAGCCAGGCTACAACGGCGAGGGGGAGAGACGCACAGTTAGGAGCGTTTCCTCCCTGCCCAGCTGCCCAGCTGCCCAGGGGTTTCCAGCGGTTCGCCCGCCCAGCCCAGACGGTGTTTCCCGCGGTCTGTGCGTGCGTGGGAGCTCTGCCCGACGTTTTTCTCGCCAGCCTCGGGCGCGCGAATAAGGACCAGGTTTACCCGGTGGGAGCGAACGTGGCTTTTTTGCGCTGTGGTACCGTTGTCAAATTTACTTCCAATGCTGTGGGTATGTGGGGGTGGTTTGGTGGTGGTGGTGGGCTCAATTGGCCAGAGTGGACAGGCATCACACAGCGAGCGATGTAGACGGAGCCGGAATGCAGCGATTTGATTGGCCCATTCCGGCAACGGGTCATTTGCCCACAGTGTACAAAAGGAAGCGTGGTCATCGGTCGCCGTGGAATCGAACAACTTTATCGTCTGGTTCCACTTTGATTTCGGCTTCTCCAGGTTTGTCACATCATCTTCCACCGTCCCCGTCGCCTCAGCCTCTCGTGCCATCGTCAATGGCTGTGGCCAGTTTTTTCCTCCCCGTCGTGGGCGTCTCTGCCTCCAATCGCGCTGTGCTGCGCGTGTCAAACGGTCAGAAGTGGCCAGGATCCGGTTTCTGTACGGGCACCGACGAACACGCAGCGTGGGCGCGCATTGGCGGAATTTGGCACGGACTGGGGCTCTTTAGGGAAGAACAGCATTTGCAGAGAGAGCAGGTTCGAGGAGGCCATTGGGCTGTTTTTATATTACGTCTACACCGTTGATGCTGCTACTCCACTTTACCCCTCTCAGCGGATTCTTTGACTGCGTACTGGCCCCTCTTTGTTTGAAAGTGTAGCAGATACCCACACTTTTGATTGCGATTGAGCCATCAGGTCATCTGTGCCCATAACTTCAAGGGCGATTCAGGATCAGCTGAACTACCCGACTTCTTTCGGATCCATTTTGACGAATGGTGCAATTTGTGTTCACTGACCTCGTAGGATAAACGGATCTCAGGGCTCCCCTAATCTCTCGCTCTACAGAATACTTGGTTCGGTGCTATGGAAACTTTGGCGGAAACAGCAGCATCGCAGCCATACATGGGCGCACAAGTTCCAGAGGACAATGGATGGTGGTTGTCTCCCACACCTGGGACGACAACCTCAAGGACTCCGAGTTCATTAGACGTGGAGGTCACACAGAGTGCACTCGCACCGTGGATACAGCGAAACCCGGCCCCCGTCCAGCTCCACACCGTAGAGTGTTGACATCCTGTGAGTGTTGGAGAAGTGGCTTGCACAGTCTGCACGGGCTGAATGGAGATAGAGACACCCGAACACCACGTTACTAATGGATTTCATAAGCAAAATAGATTATGTAAGCGGAACGAACTCTGCAAGTCAGGGTAACCTATATCTCACGCGATTCCGCTTTCGGTAACTAGGAACCACACCACTGAAATTGAAGAAAGGAGCCATGTGCCATTTTTACTCTCATTTTTATTCCCATCTCCACTTTCACGTCAGTCACCACGTTGTCTTATCTTCATGGTTAATTACCTTCAGCAGTGGTTGTTGTTGACTGTTTAACCGTTCAGAGAATAACCAAACACACACTGTCAATCTGCGATGTCACTCGAAGTTGGTGAGATTTACAACGAAATCAACTGTTCTTCGGACAGTTTGCACAACACTTTGGTGGCTAGTTGGACCAAGCTGAAGAAGCACTACATCGAGTCGAACAAGAAGGATGAAATCAAACAGGTCAACGAAGAGAAGAAGTAGTGTACTTCACCAGATGTGGCTGGCCAACAGCACGTGCGTCACGGTTCCATATAGTTCTCTTGAAGAAAGCAATGTGCCTTTGGCTCGGCTCATCTACACATCGAGCTCTCATCGAGCTCATCTGTCGTTCAGCTAGAACCACGCTGAATAATAGTTGAAGTGTATGGGCACACACACAACTTTATATACACTCGTATACGAATATTTTGGGTGGGAGGGTAACTTTATATAATAGCGGTTCGGTTTGAGGAATAGATTTGATACAAAAGACTTTAATACAATATCTGTCTAAATGTATTTGATGTAGTGGTTGCGCTGGCGACGGTTGTGGGCCCCTGTTTTCGCGAAATGTTGAGAGTTTAGAAATTACACAAAGTCGATCGAGCAAAACGTCAACATTGGAAAACACCGTACACTCACTGTTTGGGAATACGCCAGACATTGGGAAGATGAGCGATACACCGGTGCCTTCATCACCGACAGAGTCGCCGAGGGACTCGCCGGTGCCTTCTGCAAAGAAGAAACAGCAGTCCAATGCGAACTCAAGCGCTGCTAGTAAGAAGATCAGTGCCGAAGCATTGGAACGTCGTCGTGCTGGTCGTATTAAGGCTGCTGAGACCATGGCTGCGAAGATCAAGAAGTCCGGTATTGAAAGAAGAGACAACAAAGTGAAGTACTCAGTGTTTGAGAATGTGTCGGTGATCAACCAGAAGAACTACTTCACGGATTATCTCAAGAAGGATGATCAGGTTTACGTGTTGAGGGAGAGGAAGCTGTTGAGGCAGAGCGTGATGGCTGCAAACAAGGCCAACAAGCAGGGGACTTCCACTCCAGCGTTGGATGATGATGAGGAGGAGGACCAGGATGATGAAGAGGACTCTGTGATTGATGAACGTGCAGGTCAGCGTACCGTTGTGATCCACCCAGGTTCCAAGAACATTAGAATTGGACTAGCATCAGATGTGTATCCCAAGAGTTTCCCATTTGTATTGGGAATCCCGGGTAAACCCGAACCAAATCCGTTGACAACCCATGAATTAGATGAAACTGAGCAGGAGGAATACGATACAAATAGGAAATTGCTTACGAGGGATTTCAAAGAGAGAATGAAGTATTACAAGAGAAGAGTCATTCCAAATTCTAATGAAATCACTTCAAATTTCAACAAAAAGGTCAAACCAGAGATCATTCCAGAACACAATGACGTTCATAAAGTGGAATTTATCAAACCAGGTAAAGACACGAAATACCTTATCGGTGAAGATGCGTTGAGAATGGATTCCCCGGATTATAAGTTACGTTATCCGCTTTTGACTAACGGTCGGTTCAATGAAAATGCGTACAACTCTTTCCAGGAGAACATTGGTGAAATTCAACTATTCCTATCGCAAGTTTTGGAGAAATCTTTTGAAATAACAGCAGTTAAACAGTACAAGACAGTGCTAATAGTACCTGATCTCTACGATAGAATTTACGTCGAGTCGTTTATTGCGCTATTGTTACAAATGGGATTTCAAGGTGTCGCCGTTATTCAAGAGTCGCTTGCAGCCACTTATGGTGCTGGTGTTTCTTCTGCTTGTGTCATTGATATTGGTGCACAAACTACAAAGGTTTCGTGTATTGATGAAGGTCTGGTGATCCCAGATTCCCGTGCAGTGGTTCAGTATGGTGGTGATGACATTACCAGACTCTTCTACAAACTCCTCAAGGAAGCACAATTCCCTGCGTCTATGGATGAAAACTTTCCATTCGAATGGACAGAGATGGAACAACTAAAGGAAAAGTTTATCACTTTCCAAGATGCAAATATAACGGTCCAGCTGTATAACTTCATGAAACGTTATCCAAACAAGTTGAGTGAAAAATACGAATTCAAAGTTTTTGACGAGGTGATATTATCACCATTGGCTTTGTTCTTTCCCAAGTGTTTTAACAAGTTGAAAGACTGGAAAGACCACAGACTATCCAAATCACAATCTTTCGACATCTATACTTGTGAACCAGATAACCCCAAATCTCTGACCCAGTTGAACGTGCTTGATGAATCTTTGTATGCAGATGATGACGATAAGGAGGTTCTGGATAAGCTGATCCAACAGTTGAATCCAGATGCTGGTGCCGACTCTGACTATCCAACAATGGCACCATTGGAAAAGCTAATCATCCAGTCCATCACTAATGCATGTCGTTCACTGGAGGACTTCACCAAGTCCAAGGTGTTTTATTCAAACCTTTTGATTGTTGGCGGCTCTTCCAAGATCGAGGCCTTGGACTTTGTATTGACGGACCGCATAAACATCTGGAGACCAAAGCTACTGGCGTTACAACAGCTACCGGATTTCCTCAAACAAGTGGAACAACTCATCAACGACTTTAACAAAACCAACGAGATGAGCAAGCTAACCACCGAAGAGGAGATCGAGCCTTTACAGAAGAAGATTGATACCTTGGTGGAACGTGAACTGACCAAGTTCTTGGACAACGTCAACGCTTCTCTTTCACCTGTGGAAGTATTACCAGCACCTAGAGATATTGATCCGAGTGTATTGACTTGGAAAGGAGGCTCGGTCTTTGCAAGGTTGAAACTCATCGAAGAGCTTTGGGTCACAGAGACAGACTGGGACCTCCTGGGTAGCAGAGTTCTACAGCACAAGACACTATGGAACTATTAAGAGTACGTTATAGTACTTCTAATACTTGAGTCGCTCACCACTGTTGTGTAGTAAATCGTAGAACGAATGCGCCAAAAACACACTAATCGGGAAATTGCCAATAAAGGAAATACAGCACGCGCGTCTGTCACAAACGGCGAAAAAGAAACGAAACGCAAAAACCACAAAAGCGAAAGTTCGGGAATTGAATTATTTTTTTCGTTTTGCATTCTCATTGGCTGAAAAGACTAAGGTCAAAATTCTTTCAATTCTATTGTTCTCTCCAATAAACAGAAACCATCTTGTGAATATCCGTTCGATTTGGATTAGTTAGCTGCTACTTTTTGCTTGTTGCAGGTTCTATAGTGTGTGGTTTGCTTCAACAGTGAGCTGAAAGAACTAGCCTGTTACCCCGGGTGATATTGTGACATATTACACGAGCTATGATGATCTCACGGAGTGTCATGTGCTCTCTGAGGAGTTCAGTGAGCTCTGTTGCAAAGAAGAGGACCCATACGCTGGTGCAATGTAAGAGATTCAATAACCACATGGTTTTCAGAGACCTGAACTACATGAATAAGAGCCAGAGCTTGCCAGTCTTGAGCAAGCAATCGAAGCATTTGGTGTCAAAGTCCACGCTGTCGAGCACTGCACTTGTCACCAAGGAGTCTCTACTGTTGCAGGCTGATTCTACGTGGAAGAGAATGGCGATACGGTCGAAATGGGCTCTTATGAAGAACTACCGGCCGTTTAACGCGGATGAAGTGAGCGCCATCTTCTCGTGGGTGATATTGAGCCATATTGCTTGGATCATCTTAGGCACAACGACTTTTTTCTCGCTCTTGTTTCTTGGACTGAACTCACTGTTTGCGAAGGAGATGGTTGGTAACGTGATGGGTAAGATAATCATGTCTTACTACCCAGAGTTCAGCATTGCCTTTGAAGATGCCGTGGTTCCTGAGTGGGAAAAGGGAATGATTGATTTCAAGAAGGTAAGATTGTCCACAGTTGATAAAGAAGGATTGCAATTGGACTTAACATTCGACTCTATCAAGCTGACTCTAAGCTTCAAGAAATGGAAGGATTTGAAAGGAATTATTGAAGACGTTGAGATTCAAGGTCTTTCCGGAACTATCGATAGAACCAATATCAACGATGATACACCTGAAGTGGATTGGTTTGGCCATACAGAATACGAATTGAACAGTTTGAAGATAACCGACTCTTCGGTCGTGGTTATACAAAAGGAATCAAAACCTTTAAAGATTGCTCTATTTGATCTCGAGATGCAGAACGTCCGTGCCAATTGGTTGTTGTTGGACATGCTGAACGCAACAAACATATCAGGCACTGTGAACGATTCACTATTCACGTTCCATAAACGTCAACATCAACTGGCTTATGTCAACGACATTGCCGACGATCTGAACCCGTGGAAGAGAATCATGCGCCAAAAGTTGGATCCAGTTGATATTGAAAGCATTGGATTGATATCTGACAAATTCAACTGGCTAACCAGTGGTAAGATTGAGGTTATTGCTGATTTTATGCCACCAGAGATACCAGAGGGCTCTCACCATAACATGGATTCCAGATATTTGGTTGCAGATTTCAAGTTACAATTTTATGATCTCAAGACCAAGACACCATCAGAAGAGCCCTGTCTATCAACAGGGGAAAAGATCATCTCCATGGATGAATTGAAGCCATTATTGGCTTATGTAAATAGTAAAGAACATGGTGAGACTCTACCCCCATTATCATTCAGAATTGTGAAGAAAGTTGACGAATTGGAGAACGTTTCCACTTTGAAAGAGAGCAAACTGTTGGATTTGATTGCTACAGAGGTGTACATTGAGCTTCTAAAACATGTTCAAGAGTACGAGATTGAGCAAAGAAACAAAAGAATAGCAGCATGGTCACAAGCAGTGGCTTCACAGCTGGTTGTGGTTGGTCTTGGTGCCATTGCTTAAGACTGGAGGTTTAAAGACGTGATACATGATACATCTGTACGATCAACATTGCTATTTATTAGGCTATTAATTACGAATTTTATGATGCAAATTATTACACAATCAACGTAAATCATGAATAAATAAGTACTATATACGAGTGAGGGAGTATCATGTTCTCATGTCGCTAAAGGTATCACCACTGTCCACTTGTTCCTTTTCTTTCTCCTCTCTTTTTCTCTGTGCTTCTTCGTCACCTCTCTCCACCTTGATTTCGTCAATGTACAGGCTATATTCACCGAATTGGCCATCTGTGAGGCCAATTCCCAGGGTCTTGACCCTTGTACGGTCCATTGGTGCCTGGTGCTGGATGATACCACGGTTTGTGAGGACAAAGTCGTCAATTGGGATCGTAACCGTTTCCCATTCACCTGGTTTTGTCAGGAACAGACGATGCTGGTAGAGATCGGTAGCCACGGATGTCTGCGATTGGATATTGACAAAGTATTTACGATGGTCGCCTTTCACCCTGAGCACAACGTTGTGGAAGTTGTCCCAGTCCCAGAACTGGGACTGTGGGAACAGGAAACTGCCGTTTGAAGGCTGGTCCTTTGTGCGGAACATGGCATATCCACTGTATAGGAACTCGGGCTTGTTAGAAGGCGGGTCCAAGTTCAGCACACCATGGAAGTGGCCAACCCCGCCCTCCACATCGAGGTTCACGGTGCTGAACCCACCGAGCTCCTGGTCTGAGCGCGTGATCAAGCCAGAGAGCTGTTCTGGGTTCTTGAAGGAGATCAACGTCTGGACAGACTTCACAGGTTGTGGTCTCAGTGCTGCGAACGGATGTTAGTTTGGTGTCATAGCACGATTAACTGTAACAAACATACACCCGGTGATCCTCGATATGATTCCCTTAAACATTGTACCTCTGGATGGACTGATTGGGTAACAGGGTGATTGGTTATGAAGGGTTTGGGTATGAAGTGTATGAAGTGTATTTAGCGTATGGGGGTGTTTGCACTTATTCTCCCCCGGCGTGTGCTTAGGTAAGCAGGATGTGGCCCTACCAGTTCATTACACCCGGACACAACAGCTGGACACCACACCCGGACACCACAATTGCCAATTCCGGAATGTTCTGGAAAACCCCGGTGACACGAAACAAAGCGAAAAATACGAAGAGCAGCAGCAACACAGCGCACCTCGGGTTTATTTTGGGGGGAGAATAACAAATCCTCGTAGCAACCAACATCAAATGTTTTGTTTACATTGTTTTGCTCTCATTTCACCGCATTTCAAGCCATTTGCTCTGTATCGAGAACGAGTTGCTGTAGCTGCTGAACTGCTGGAAGTCATCTGAAGAAGGAGATTCTGCTGGTGTTGGCTTGTGAAGTTAGAACAGAGGAAGCGCTATTTGGTCTTTGACACTGGAGGCCCTTGCGTGTGATTGAGTATTGTTGTGCTACTTTTGAGAATACCGTTGTATCGAGGAGCTTTGTTCTATGTCGAACAACTACTACAACCAGCCGCCTCAGTTCACACAGGACGTTGAGTACGGCCATGGCGATGAGAAGCTCAACGTGCCTGAGCCGAACCCGCAGGGCTCGAGCTTTGACGAGGTGTTCAAGGTTGAGAAGCCGAAATGGCACGATTGGCCGTTCACGGTCTTCTTCTTAGCCACTGTTGGCGGGTTCATCGCTGTTGCGGTGCTTACGCTGAGAGCATATGCTCAAACTTATAGCGAGCAGGGAAGCGGAATCTACACCAATACAGACACCTTCACGTTGAACTCGAACACGGTGATTCTGTTTGTATTTGTAACCATTGTTTCCATCTGCATTGCGATGTTCACCTTGGTGATGGCTAGGTTCAATCCAAAGTTCTTCATCCAGCTGAGTATCATCTTTAACATCATCCTGGGTATTGGTACTGCAATCGCATACTTTGTGATGCACTATTATTCAGCAGCGATTGTGTTTTTGATCTTTACCGTCATATCTGCGTGGTGTTATTGGAGTCTGAGACACAGAATTCCATTCTCTGCGGAGGTGTTGGCCACGGTTATTGATGTCATGAAGAGCTACAAATCAACGCTTGTTGTCAGTACTCTTGGTGCCCTTGTATCGTGGGCTTTCTCCCTGTTGTTCTCCACTGTCATTGTTGCGACCTATATGAAGTACGATGACAAACTGAACAACCCAGGTTGCAACGTTGAAGGTGGAAGCTGTTCACAGGGTAAACTTATCGGTGTCTTGGTGTTTGTATTCTTTGCCGGTTATTACATCACCGAAGTGATTAGAAACGTTATCCACGTTACGATCTCTGGTGTCTATGGTACTTGGTACTACTTGTCAAGATCAGACCAAGGTGAGCCAAAATGGCCTGCATCTGGAGCTTTCAAACGTGCAATGACTTATTCGTTTGGTTCGATCTGCTTTGGCTCTCTGATCGTTACGTTTGTTGATCTCCTGAAGCAGGGCTTACAAATCCTTCGTGCAAATGTGGTGTCTGCTGGTGATACGTGCGCCCAGATTGGCTTTTTAATCCTGGACATCTTAATGGGCATCATTGAATGGTTGGCAAGGTTCTTTAACCAATACTCTTATTCCTTCATTGCACTTTACGGAGATGGTTACATTACTGCTGCCAAGGCAACGTGGAGATTGATTAGACAAAAGGGCATGGATGCCCTTGTCAATGAGTGCCTTGTCGGCACCGCCTTGGGATTCTACGCGTTGTTCAACGCCTACGTGTGCTCCCTCTTGGCCTATCTCTACGTGAAACTGACCAAGCCAGCATATAACGATGACGGTACGTTCTATGCGCCTATCGTTGCGTTCACTTTCCTCATCGCCATCCAAATCTCCAACATCGTCACACAACCTTTGAAATCCGGCACCTCCACCTTCTTCGTCGCATTGGCAAAGGACCCAGAGGTTTACCAGCAGAGCTATCCAAACAGGTTCCAGGTGATTGCTCAGACGTACCCGAACGTATTTGACAAGTTGAGAAGTCGCTGATTGGAGGAACGCCAACCTATATAACACACCCTAATTCTTAATTTTTAATCGATATCATAACTACAGCATCTCCAACTGGTAAGCACAAGCGCACAGTGGAGTGTACATCTACACAGCTCGCATCAGTGAAGACCAAGCACATGCCATCTCATGCTGTTGAGCTGAGAATTGTGACTGGAGACTGCGTTGACGAGAGGCGCGGTGTGTGGTGTTCGGATGTCCATCGTGTGTCCCCAACCGTGAAAATGCAGCCTCTGGTGGTGTCTGGATGTTTTTGCACCGCTCGGCCATCGACGACTCGCCCACGCCGGCAAGTTTTTGATCAAAGTGAAAAGTTATCTGTCTGCTTCAAACGGGGAGTCGCTGGCTAAACCTTTAGGAATCGTTGAGAATGGGTAGAGGACCGTAAGTACACCGACGAGGAAGGCATCAGTGCAAGGGTGGTGCTGTTGCTGGTGGAGAGGGAAGCTGCGGATGAAAAGAGGCATTCCACCAGCGCAGTGTGGCCGATGATGTTGACTATGCAATTGCCATTACTGACCGCTTGGTGTATAGAAAGAAGCATCTGAAGAGATTGGCAGCTCCATCACACTGGTTGCTGGACAAGCTGAGCGGTGTGTACGCACCACGTCCATCTGCTGGACCACACAAGCTTAGAGAGTCGTTGCCATTGATTGTGTTCTTGCGTAACCGTCTCAAATACGCCCTCAACGGCCGTGAGGTGAAGGCTATATTGATGCAGAGACACGTCAAAGTCGACAACAAGGTCAGAACCGACACCACGTTCCCAACCGGGTTCATGGACGTGATCACCTTGGAGGCCACCAACGAGAACTTCAGACTGGTGTACGACATCAAGGGAAGATTTGCTGTTCACAGAATCACAGACGACGAGGCCACCTACAAGCTCGCCAAGGTTAAGAAGGTGCAATTGGGCAAGAGAGGCATTCCTTACGTCGTTACCCATGACGGTAGAACAATTCGTTACCCGGACCCAAACATCAAGGTCAACGACACCGTCAAGATCGACTTGACCACGGGTAAGATCTCCGACTTCATCAAGTTCGATACCGGTAAGCTTGTGTACGTCATTGGTGGCCGTAACTTGGGCCGTATCGGAACCATTGTCCACCGTGAACGTCACGAGGGTGGCTTCGACCTCGTTCACATCAAGGACTCCCTTGACAACACCTTCGTCACCAGATTGGCAAACGTGTTTGTCATTGGCGAGCCTGGCAAGCCATGGATCTCATTGCCAAAGGGCAAGGGTGTTAAGCTCTCCATCTCCGAGGAACGTGATAGAAGAAGAGCTCAGCAATGAGCAGAAAAACAGCCCAAGCAGTTACAATTCGTTTTCTATATATAATGATGAATGATTCCATTTCCTGTCAAAGTTTTCTCACAACGTGCAAAGTAGTTTCGTAAGGTGGAAAACGTGCCCTGATGTATAGTTGCTGTGCTGCTTCCTTTACGCTCGGAAATAGCATCTCGAGGTGGAACTTTTCCCTCGAGACAACGTCCAATTGACACACCTTTCCGCAATTGATTCTTCACTAGGATCAAGAGGAGTGTATGCCATGGCTTCTAGGTACGTTCTGTGTCGCCAGCACCGTCTTGGTGCGCTCAATTGGCTTGTTTGCTAACCATTTGTGTGTAGATATAGAGTTGAGTGTGGGTATTAAATACGAAGGGCATCTCGAGCTTTGAGACGCGGTGGTGACTAACAGATCTCACAGACGCACTGAAGGAGCACCGTAGGGATGGCTTCATCGAGTGGATCAAAGGCTTGTTGGCTGTATGTGGTTTCTGGTTGTTGTACGTTGACGATACTGACAGTTTCCATAGGTTCCCTTCGTGCTGCACGCAGTGCAGAGTGATTCCCACGAGATCAACGACATCAAGACGACGAGCGACGCCAGAAGACGCTATGCTGAGATCTTCTTCGACGTTGAGAAGCTCATTGAGGACCAGATTCTTATGCAGAACCAGGGAAACCCTGGTGCTGGCCGTCTGAAGCAGCTTGTTCCGTCCATCTCGAGCTTCTTCACCAAATTACCCTTGGAGAAGGCTTTCTATATAGAGGATGACCGAAGATCGATCTCTGTTCGTCGCCTTGTTTGTCCAAGCTTCAACGACATCAGGCTTATCCTCAACACTGCACAGGCACTTGCACTGGCACAGGCCAGAGACCCACTTCAGCTCGTCACGTTTGACGGTGACGTTACACTCTACGAAGATGGCCATAGCCTAGTGCCAGATGCACAGGTCATTCCACGGCTATTGGCGTTGCTGAAGAAGGATCTCTACGTTGGTGTTGTAACTGCAGCTGGTTATAACGAACATAGTGGTGATAAGTACTACCAGAGACTCAAGGGTCTTGTCGATGCCATCAGGGACTCTGACAACCTAACAGATGAGCAGAAGGAGAGGTTCACTGTGATGGGTGGAGAGTCCAATTACCTGTTCAGATACAGTGTCTCTAAGAAGGGCCTGAACTGGATTGAGCCGGAGGAGTGGTTGCTGGAGGAGATGGCCAATTGGAACGAAACTGACATCTTGAACGTCCTTGACTTAGCCGAACAGCTCCTCAACGAGCTCATCAAGAGGCTATGCCTCCCAGCAACGGTTGTGAGAAAGTACAGAGGCGTCGGCCTAGTACCAAACCCTGGCTGTAAGCTGACTCGTGAACAGCTCGAAGAGACTGTTCTTGTTACAAGAAGAAGACTGGAGTCCAGCTCATCCGCACAGAGAATCAAATTCTGTGCCTTTGATGGAGGCTCTGATGTCTGGGTCGACATAGCATCGAAGGACCTTGGTGTGGCTTCCTTGCAACGCTACTTTGGAGGCATCTCACCAAAGAGAACACTACACATTGGTGATCAGTTTGCATCTGTAGGATCCAATGACTTCAAGGCAAGGCTATCGGGCTGTACCGTCTGGATCGCAAACCCGGAGGAGACCGTGACGATCCTGGACGATCTCATGAGGTACATTGACATGGAGGAGGCGTTCCGTTGATGTTCAAGCCATCAATTGGCGTATATAACCGTTCTGAATTGATCCATACAGGCCTCAAATGCACGCCCAAACCCTGGCATTTCCGCATTGGGAAGTCTACCCACGCTCTTATCAGCGCGGTGTTTTGTGTCAACCTCCGGAAGGCGTCGCTGTGCCAACCGTTGCGATGGCACCCAACCTCCCCCCTGGAAGTTAAACAATACACGCTCTTTTCCCCTGTACCAGGCCGTTGTAGAGGCTTCAATTGACCGAGAGAGACGATGTTTACGATGATATGTAATGCTATAAGGTGAGCTTGGTCGCGTGCTTTACCGTGTGGATTGTTACTAATCTCTCCAATCGCTGGAAACTAGCGTGACAGTGACGTTTGCCTTCCCTCTCCTGGCAACGTTCAAAGCGTTGAAGAGGAATGCGGACTTGAGGCCCTGGGTGATGTACTGGTCTGTTGTGTCGATGTATACGGTGATAGAGGGCTACTTGTACTTCCTGGTGCGGTTTGTTCCGTTCTACGGGCTGATGAAGGTGTACTTTGCCATCTGGCTAATCCTCCCACAGACCAAGGGCGCAGAGTATCTGTACTACAAGCATGTGGAGCCGTTCTTTGAGGCGAATGAGGCCAAGATTGATGAGTTCATCGACACGTACTCACCTGGAAGAGGATACCTGGTGTCGTTGTTGGTTACGAAGCGCAGCGCTGTTTCTGCCGACCCGCTGGCTAGCACTCAGCCTTCAACGACATATAATAACAGGTCGCTATTGGACGGGTTCGTTGATAGCTTCTCCACGAATGGAGAGCCATACAGGGGAAGAGATCTGCTGCAAGTGGGAACCACGCTTATCAAGTCAGCGGGAGTGTCATTTTTTAGTGATAACAGGGGAACTGGCTTGCCACACTCCACGCCTGTGAAGAAGAGCCCACACCACTCTACCACACCATCTCCTGATTTATCTGTACAGGAACCACTGGACTATGACATGGTCCAGAAGGAAGAGATCAACAGCATTTTGGAAACATCACAGGTATCGGGAAACCACACAACGCCTCCGCCGCCAGTGGCTCGCAGTGATAGCAGTTGGGGTAACTGGTGGTATGGCAAGCCCAAAAACGCATGATTGTTTGTATAGTCTCCTGAATGTGACGGTTCCTTTCCCTGTTTAGTTTGATAATGTGATAGCCCGATGCTTGTCGCTCAATCCCTGGTGATGAATCCACTGGATGTGGCAGCACATCGCAAGATCCATATCCAGTGCTTACTTATCTGTAATAGGCAGCGTAACCTTACATGACAACATGCACATGGATTATCCGTTACGTCGGACGATAATTGGCGGAACATCAGCTTGACGTTGCCGGAAAAATGACATTACTAATCGATGCTGACCCATTGGATCGCGTTAGCCCAGTTTCACGAAGCTGTGGTTGTTGTAGTTGTTGGTGGTGCGCTTACTCACTCCCCACAGTAGTTATTATGGGGTTAGTACCAATTCGGGTTAACGAGCCCTCTCAGATGCTTGACACAGTTCTCACGAGGAATTGGCAAAGAACCACATGACCATGGATGATGACAAAGCTGAAAAGTGTGGATGCGGAGTTGTACTGCTCATATATAAGTGCCTTCGAATCTAACACGAGGTGATGTGTCATGTTAAGTAGTGGAAGAGCATAGAAACACACACACATAAGCAACATGGCACCAAGCGTTACATCAGAGACTCAGGTTAACGATATCGTAGACAAGTACAGCAAGCTTGTCCTCAAGGGAGAAGGATCACCACAACTCGGACAGAGCATTCAGGTTAAGCTCACCAACGCTGATGGCTTGAAGGATGGCTTTGGCGATGATTACTCCTCTGAGCTGCCAGAGACAACTAAGCGCCGCTTCGAAAAGTACGGTATTGACATCTCCAAGGGCTATCCAAAGAGACCGGAGAAGTTGACATTGTTCTTGGACGAAGCTGAGAAGATCAGAAACGGGCCTGACCCAGACTACGTTGAGAGAGGTGTGAATGCTGATCCCGAGAAGAAGGCGCTCTTTGCAAAGGCCAAAGAGGTCAGACACCTGACAAAGTATGTCGGCACCGAGCTTGTTGGAGTGCAACTCAGCGAGTTGAACGAGAAGGAACTGGACGAGCTGGCTCTTCTGGTTTCTGAAAGAGTGGTTGTGTTCTTCAGAAACCAAGATCTGGCTCCGCAGAAGCAATTGGAGATTGGCCAGTTCTTTGGTAACAACGTGGAGAAGCATCCACTGGCTGGCCAAGTTCCACTTCCAGGTGTCGAGGGTCCAACTGGCTTGACCACGATTTGGGGTAAGTTCAACAGAAGAAACCGTGATGTGACCTTTAAGCAAAGAGGTGGTGCCATTTGGCATACCGATTTGGACCATGAGTTCCGTGGACCTTCCATCACGCACCTCCATTTGGATGCCATTCCAAAGTTCGGTGGTGATACCGCATGGACCTCTGGGTATGCTGCTTATGATAAGCTCTCTCCAGAGTTCCAGAAGTTCTTGGATGGTAAGGTGGCTGTCCACAGATCTCAGAACAAGTATTACGACAAGAACAATATTCTGGGTGGTCCGAAGCATATTGAAAGAGAACATCCACTGGTTGTTACTCATCCAGTGACTGGATGGAAGGCATTGTTCGTCAATAGAGGACACACCTTGAGAATCAAGGATTTGGAGCCAGAAGAATCCAGAGTCGTCTTAAACTATTTGTACGAAGTGTTGGAGAAGAACTTGGACATCCAAGTGAGATTCACATGGGCCAACGAAACCCAGGACCGTTCATTGGGAGCTTCAGCCATCTGGGATAACAGAATCAGTGCACATTATGCCATTGATGACTATGACGATGAAGAAGACCCAAGACACGGTACAAGAGTCACTTCGCTGGGTGCGCCTCCAGTCTTTGTTCCAGGTTCCAAGTCTCAAAGAGAATCCTTGGGATTGAAGCCTTGAAGACCAGTCCATAGCTTCTAGTTACAGTTGAAATTGATGTCTCCAGTTTATTCCATGCAACATTGTAGAAATGAATCCATCACCTGTATTGGCATTTTTTGTCTGTGTACTTATTTACAAGAGTATTTCATATTTATCTTCTTCACAAGGTGGCATTATAATCCCAAGTACTTGGTCACAAGGTCAACCTCATCAGCTCTATCAGCCTTCATTCTAGCCTTGTTCTTCTCGTTGAGCAATTGGCTCTTCAGCTTCTTTGGAATGAAAGGTTCTGGTTTGTGCTTGTAAGGACCAAGGATACCTCCAAATGCGGTCCCTTGTTTCAGTTTATCAGATCCAAATGCCTGCTTCTGTTCCGAGTACTTCTCCAACTCCTTGAAGAAGTCAACGTTCCATGCGTCTTTGTTCTCCGGCTCCTCTGGCCAGACAAATGGTTCAAGCATATCGATGGTCATCTTCTTGATTTGACCCGTTCTATAACGTGCCACCGCATTACCTGTTCTTGTGTATGGTGCATGGAGCAGCTGTGTGGTGATGTTGAAAGCCCTCAAGCCATAGACATGGTATAGGTAGTCCCTGAGGTCAAATCTGTTGAAACCCTTTGGTACGATGAACTTGGCCTGATAAGGTGTGTGTTTCGCGTTAGGACGCAGCAAGATCACTCTGGCAGTAGGGAAATACTGCTTATTCTCACCAACTCTGAAGTGGGCCTCACCTTTATCTATGGAAGCCTGGTTAAGCTTGAGAAGCTTCTCAGAATGCTTCGTCGTCACTTGGAACTTCTTCGCCTTGTTCACAAGATCCAGGTGCTTTGAAGGGCTCACGGCAGTGGCGAGCGATCTGCTCCCACTCTTCATGGCATCAGCCACTTGTGGAACGACTCTAGGCATTGCGCAAAGCGGTTGTTGAACTGTGTGTAGAACCTTTGGCAATGAGCTTTCAACAAGCTTCCAACGAGTTACACAGTGGACAAATTTTCCAATGTACACAAAAACCGGGCAGAATCTACGAGAAAAAAAAACATACACACCAGGAGAGTGTGGTGTTTGGGTGTGCCGGGTAACCGGTTCAATCGCGGTTTTCGTTTTTGTGGTTTTTTTTTTTCCCCCGTCAGCGAAAAATTAGCCGCCGACAATTGCAAAACAAATTGCAAAGGCAAAAAAAACCACAAAAGAGAATCTTCAAAATCAAAACAAAGGAACCACCACCTTGTCGGAAGACGTCATACAAAGGGTAAACACACAGGGCGGCACATCGTGTTTTTGTTTATATCTTCTGTTCTCCTTTGCTTCTTTTGATTTACTGCTCGGAGTTTCTTCGTATCTGTGTGGCTTGCCGTGTTCATAGAGGAGACATTCATTGACGTACTTTCACCGACACAGAGTAATATATATAGAGGTATACATCGTACCTCGTGATTATTTGTATCAGCCAGTGGTGTGATCAAGCAAAAGAGGAAGAGCTATCTGAAACAGAGATGTCTGACGTTGAGGAAGATCCATATGCGCTTGAGGAAGGTAACGAGATTACCGCCCAGGACTGTTGGGCGGTGATTTCCGCTTTCTTCAAGGAGAAGGGTTTGGTCTCCCAACAATTGGATTCGTTTGATGAGTTCATCCATACGTCTATCCAAGAGCTTGTGTGGGAGGACTCCACGCTGATTTTGGAACAACCTGCTCAACATATAACTGAGGCCGATAACGTCAATAGAAAGTATGAAATCTCATTCGGTAAGATCTTTTTATCAAGACCTACGATGACAGAATCCGATGGTACCACGACACAGATGTTCCCACAGGAGGCTAGACTCCGTAACCTGACGTATGCATCTCCGTTATTCGTTGAAATGGACAAGGTTACTTATGAGAAGCGCGATGATGAAAATGAATGGAGGGCGTTACCAGATGAAGTCAAAGAGGAACAGGTGGATAAGAAAGTTTACATTGGAAGAGTCCCAATCATGTTGAGATCCAAGTATTGTCTGTTGAGAGACTTGAACGAAACCGAATTGTACTCTTTGAAGGAGTGTCCATTCGATATGGGTGGTTACTTCGTCATTAACGGTTCTGAGAAGGTTTTAATCGCACAAGAACGTTCGGCTGCAAACATTGTCCAAGTGTTTAAGAAGTCGGCACCATCACCAATCTCACACGTTGCAGAGATTCGTTCCGCACTGGAAAAGGGTTCTAGACTGATTAGTTCCATGCAGATCAAGCTTTATGGTCGTGATGATAAAGGATCAGGCAGAACAATCAAGGCAACGTTACCTTACATCAAACAGGATATCCCAATCGTGATTGTGTTTAGAGCCTTGGGTATCGTTCCAGATGGTGATATCTTGGAACATATCTGTTATGATGAAAACGATTGGCAGATGTTCGAAATGTTGAAACCTTGTGTCGAGGAGGCATTTGTTATCCAGGACCGTGAAGTTGCCTTGGACTTTATCGGTCGTCGTGGTAATGCACTGGGTATCCGTAGAGAAAAACGTATTCAATACGCAAAGGACATTTTACAAAAGGAATTCTTGCCACATATTACCCAAAAGGAAGGCTTCGAATCAAGAAAAGCCTTCTTCCTGGGTTACATGGTGAACCGTTTATTGCTTTGTGCCCTGGATAGAAAACCACAAGATGACCGTGATCATTTCGGTAAGAAGAGATTAGACTTGGCGGGTCCTTTGTTGGCTAATCTTTTCAGAATTCTGTTTAGAAAATTGACTAGAGACATCTACCGTTATATGCAGAGATCTGTTGAGACTGGCGATGACTTCAACTTGAAATTAGCCGTTAAGGCAACGACCATCACATCGGGTCTTAAGTACTCCTTGGCAACTGGTAACTGGGGTGAACAAAAGAAGGCCATGAGCTCAAGAGCTGGTGTTTCACAAGTTTTGAACAGATATACCTATTCTTCTACACTTTCCCATTTGAGAAGAACTAATACACCAATTGGACGTGATGGTAAGTTGGCTAAACCACGTCAATTGCATAATACCCATTGGGGTCTTGTCTGTCCTGCTGAGACTCCTGAAGGTCAAGCGTGTGGTTTGGTGAAGAACTTGTCGCTCATGACATGTATCTCTGTTGGTTCTGGTTCCGATCCAATCTTATACTTCTTGGAGGAATGGGGTATGGAACCATTAGAGGAGTACGAACCACGTAAAGAGAGAGACTCCACAGCAACTAAGATCTTTGTCAATGGTGTCTGGCACGGTATTCACAGAGACCCAGCCAAGTTGACCGAAACAATGAGATCGCTAAGAAGAAATGGAGAAATGTCCCCAGAAGTTTCTATTATCAGAGATATCCGTGAAAAAGAATTCAAGGTGTTTACCGACGCTGGTAGAGTCTATAGACCACTTTTCATTGTTGAGGACAATTTGGAAACAGGTGAAAAGGAGTTGGCATTGAAGAAAGAGCACGTTAGTCGTCTTTTGGACTCAGAACAATACGAAAATGAACTCGAACCGGAGGAGTATGATGCTCACAACTTTACCCCTTACACATGGACCAACTTGTTGAGTGAAGGTATTGTGGAGTACGTGGACGCTGAAGAAGAGGAAACAATTATGATTGCTATGTCACCAGAGGATTTGATCCCAGACAACGATTTATCAACTGACACATCGAATCCAAGTGAACGTATCAACACTAAAACATCGTCACATACTTACACGCATTGTGAAATTCATCCTTCCATGATTCTTGGTGTTGCGGCATCTATCATTCCATTCCCAGATCATAACCAGTCCCCACGTAACACATACCAATCTGCCATGGGTAAGCAAGCCATGGGTGTGTTCTTAACCAACTATAGTGTCCGTATGGATACCATGGCTAATATTCTTTACTATCCACAGAAACCTTTGGCTACTACAAGATCAATGGAGTATTTGAAGTTTAGAGAATTACCAGCTGGTCAAAATGCTATTGTCGCCATTGCATGTTACTCTGGTTATAACCAAGAAGATTCCATGATCATGAATCAATCTAGTATCGACAGAGGTTTGTTCAGATCTTTATTCTTCAGATCATATATGGATCAGGAGAAGAGAGTTGGTATGTCTGTTGTGGAAGAGTTTGAGAAGCCAAACCGTTCAAATACATTAAGATTGAAACACGGTACATATGAAAAGTTGGACGATGATGGTTTGATTGCGCCAGGTGTTAGAGTTTCTGGTGAGGATATCATTATTGGTAAAACCACTCCAATTCCACCAGACACAGAGGAATTGGGTCAACGTACAGTATATCATACGAAACGTGATGCATCAACACCTTTGAGATCCACTGAAAATGGTATTGTTGATCAGGTGTTAATAACTACGAACCAAGAAGGTTTGAAGTTTGTTAAAGTTCGTATGAGAACAACCAAGGTTCCCCAAATTGGTGACAAGTTTGCATCCCGTCACGGTCAGAAGGGTACTATTGGTGTTACATATCGTCGTGAGGATATGCCATTTAGTGCAGAAGGTATTGTTCCGGATTTGATTATAAATCCGCATGCTATTCCATCTCGTATGACTGTTGCGCATTTGATTGAGTGTTTACTTTCAAAGGTTTCTGCCATTTCCGGTTTTGAAGGTGATGCATCACCTTTCTCTGTTGTCACTGTGGAACAGATCTCCAATCTACTTCGTGAGAATGGATATCAATCCAGAGGATTTGAAGTTATGTACAACGGTCACACAGGTAAGAAACTTATGGCACAGATTTTCTTTGGACCAACCTATTATCAACGTTTGAGACATATGGTTGATGATAAGATCCATGCTAGAGCTAGAGGTCCAGTGCAAATCTTGACCAGACAACCTGTAGAAGGTCGTTCGAGAGATGGTGGTTTACGTTTCGGTGAAATGGAACGTGATTGTATGATTGCGCATGGTGCAGCATCCTTCTTGAAGGAGAGATTGATGGAGGCTTCTGATGCATTTAGAGTACACATCTGTGGTGTCTGTGGTTTGATGTCGGTGATTGCAAAGCTCAAGCACAATCAGTTCGAATGTCGTGGGTGTAAGAACAAGATTGATATCTATCAGATCCACATTCCATATGCTGCAAAGTTATTATTCCAAGAGCTTATGGCCATGAACATTGCACCACGTCTATACACAGATCGTTCTGTTGCATTTTGAGACGTCTACAAAGATGAGACATCCCTCTTACTGACTGTATCATATGAAGATGATTGAATAAAGAGAAAAAATCACATACAATTCCGAATAAAAAAAGTTATTTTCATTTTTAATCTTTATGTACGTGCTCAGTATGAGTAAACACTTCTATTTACATGGCTGGAATCAACTTTTCTACTTTTGCGACTCCAACTCCTTAAGCTTCTGCACAACCAACGGTTGTTCATCAGCATATGCCACTATGTTCTGCTTGTATGGGTTCTCTGATCCATCAAACACCTTGAGTCTGGCCAATCTTGTCTTTCTATAAGAGTTCTTTGGAAGCATTCCACTAACGGCCTTCTTCAACAACTCCCCAAACCCTTTATCTTGTGCCATCTTCTTCATAGGGGTCAGCACCAGCGAGCCCGGCTTGGTCGAGTGTCTCCAGTACTCCTTATCCTCAAACTTGTTTCCTGTGATCTTCAGCTGAGCGCAGTTCGTGACAACAACGTAGTCACCTTGGTCCAATGTCTTGTCGAAGGTTGGCTTGTGCTTTCCAACCAGAGTGATCGCAATGCTCGACGCAAGACGCCCTAAAGTTCTATCGTCCTTGGCAACATCAACGTGGTGCCATACCCTAGCAACGCTGATACCGGTTCTACCAATTCTCTGCGACATCCTGGCCGGTGTTCTCTGTTGTCTGCCTCCGCTGTTCTCTCCTCTGCCCTCTGATGCCTCGTCTGTTGAAGAGAGCGAAAAAAAAGTGCCGCCGAGGGGCCTAAGATCACTGCACAAGTGTCACATACCGTGGCTGCATTTTTCTCAGCGGTTATGCAGAGAAAGCCCTTTTGGGTTAGCGAAGGGGAAAAAACGAAAAGCGTCGAAAACTTCAACGTAAACAACGTAAACAACGTCAACAAAGACACACCAACGGTTGCTTTCGACTGCTCTGTTTACCGACCCATCGCATTGTCCGAAGCCAGAAGCAATTGCATCCGTGACACTCCCCTTCATTCTCTCCTTATAGACACTCCAACTGTGCTTCTCGTTGTTCCCCCACCCGCCCACTTGCATTACAACGTTGTTTAGAAGCCACCACTCTATCATAACACACACACACTGCGCATAATGTTTTTCCTCAAAGATCTTTCGCTGACGGTAACGCTGCACCCATCGTTCTTCGGCCCACAGATGACACAGTTCTTACGGACAAAGCTTCTAAACGAGGTTGAAGGGTCTTGTACGGGTAAATTTGGCTATATCATGTGTGTGCTGGATTGTATGTCGATTGATATTGGTAAGGGCACGATCATCCCGGGCGACGGTTCAGCTGAGTTTGAGGTGAAGTACCGAGCTGTGGTGTGGAAGCCGTTCAAAGGTGAGGTTGTGGATGGTACGGTGTCACAGGTGAGCAAGCTGGGGTTCTTTGTTGATGTTGGTCCGCTGAGCGTGTTCGTGTCGACGCATTTGATCCCACCTGACATGTCTTTCAACCCTGCTGCCAATCCTCCAGCTTATCAGTCTGACGACCAAATCATTGAGAAGGGTAGCAGGGTGAGGCTTAAAATTGTTGGTACCAGAGCTGACGTGAATGCCATCTATGCAATTGGAAGTATAAAGGAGGATTATCTGGGTGCTCTGTGATTTCAACGAACCCATGTCTTATATACTGGATGTTTCTCCATAGAGAGAAGGAAAATTAAAGTGCAACAGAAACGTGCTTTCAAAAGCTAATGAACGATTTCCCATATTGAGGCCCTGTGCCGGTGTAGTGTTTTAGATGTCTGGTTGGAAATATCAAGGGCTGATGGTGAAGAGATGAATTTACATGATTGAAGGGTTTGTGGATGGTTTCCGAGTTGCTGGGCTGACGAGGCTAGTAGTTGCAACGTCAATTGCTTGGAGGTCCATCCGAGGTGTAGGCGTAGCTGCCACCCGTGATAGGCTTGGAACTGAAGAGGCAATCCAGTAGATTACGGTGATTACAGTCCGTCATAGTGTTGAAATCCTGTAATACACTATGGATTTGTCTCCTTCGTAAGTGCATTGACCCTATGTGTGTTGAGAGGCTACCTCGTAGCGAGAAACAACGAAGCAAATAAGTTAGGGTCACGAAAAGAATAGCGAGCTCATACTGCCCGTTCAGTTCATGGGTGCACCGAGAGACATGCTTCAACTCTCAGAGGACAGAAAACTATGGCTTAGACAAACATTCTGTTGGCACCTGTTGAAGTTGAAACAGAGAAGGAAAGAGAGTGAACATTGAATCAAATACATTGTTGACGGAATAACACGGAACAACACGGAGTTACACGGAAGTACACCGACTTCGGTGGAGATGAGCGCCTGGAGATAAACGGCGATAAACCGGAAAAACAAGGACTTACGTGAATATCTCGGCGATTGCAGCCCTAAATGGAACAACCGTGAGCCTTCGGCAATGTCTTCGAGGTGGACATCACCGTTCGTACGACGCAATTGTGATTCAAAGGGGGAGAATGGTGGGGGAAAACAGGTGTACACGTATGGTTTTAGAGGGATGTGCACCCAGCTAACTCCGACGTGTGGAGCCTGAAGCTGTGCTTATAAGAAGAGCGTGATTGAAGCCGTTGCTCGACATCATTGACGTTCTTGCCATCTCATCAGACACACGGATTCTATGTCTACTGAACTATCGAATCGATCTACTCCCGGAGAGAAGCAAGACCCTGAAAAGGAAGTCACAGCTGCTGTAGGCAACATCATCGAGATCCCAGATGGTGGCTACGGATGGTTTGTCTGCGCTGGTGTCTTCTTCTTGAATTTTGGAACATGGGCTGCCAATTCTGGTTACTCCATCTATTTGGCCAATTACCTGAAGAACGATAGGTTCTCCGACGCTGGAAGGCTGGATTACGCTGCAATTGGTGGACTGGCCTTTGGCTCAGGCCTAGTGATGGGCCCGTTGGTCAGGGTACTGCTGAGAGTCTCAGGCATTCGTACTGTGATTGCAGCAGGTGCACTTCTCCAGTTTACTGGCACCATTCTTGCTGCCTTCTCGACAAAGCTCTGGGAAGTTTACCTTACACAGGGTGTCATGATAGGAATCGGAATGGGGATGATATGTATACCGGGAACGACGCTCTTGGCTCAGTGGTTTAGAAAGAAGAGATCTACTGCACAGGCACTATCAGCTGCAGGCTCTGGCGTTGGTGGTGTTGTGTTCAATTTGGCAGTGGAATCCATGATCAAGCATTTGAGCCTGAGATGGGCATTGATAATACAATCGATCATATGTGCAGTGTGTAACGTCATAGGAGTTGTGTTGATCAGGCCAAGGGATAAGCATATCCAAATCTCGATGAAAGTCTGGGAATTCAAGATGTTCAGCTATCCAGGCTATTGGCTGATGTTGTTCTACATTTCCACAACACTCTTAGGATATGTTGTCATCCTCTACAGCATGTCCGACTTCACCATTTCACTTGGTTATTCGAGCCACCAGGGTTCAGTAGTTGCATGTATGGTTTCCGTTGGCATCATCTTTGGCCGTCCAGCAGTGGGCAAGCTGTGCGATATGTTTGGGACAATCACAGCTGGTATATTCGCACAGCTAGTGGTTGCTATATTCTGCTGGGCCATGTGGATCCCAGCAAGGAATCTGGCAACGGCAATTGTATTCTCACTGATAGCAGGAGGGCTAATGGGCACGATCTGGGTCTCATTGCCTGCCATCGGGGCCAGAGTGGTTGGGCTGAGAAAGCTGGACGTTGCCATGTCAATGGCATGGTGTTTCATTGGTGCCTTCGGCATGGTTTCACCAATTATTGGGCTCCAGCTAAGAAGCTCACCACCACAGGGTCAATCACACAGCCCCTTACAGTACAGAGATCCAGCAATATACTGTGGTATGGTTTATTTCGCAAGCTCCATGACTCTATGGGTTCTCAGAGGCTACCTCATCGCTAGGGATAAAGAGGCAAAGCAGCTGGGATCGCACGTCGACAACGAGGAAGCAGACCTTCCTGTGTCCATTTCCAATACTCTGAAGGGCATGTTCTCCCTGTCAGAAGAGAGAAAGGTGTAAGTGTATAATCCCATCAATGATGATGCATCGATGGCTTCTGTAAACTCCGTGTAATTCCCTGTAATTCCGTGTAATGCCGTGTAATTTCCTGTATCTCCCTGTATCTCCGGGTAATGCCGTGTAATTTCCTGTATCTCCCTGTATCTCCGGGTAACTCCGCGAGCACCTCCAGCTATCTATAGAAAAAGCATTTAGTACCGGGCTGTCTCATCTCTCTCTCATCGGACTCAATTGACAAGTTCCCCGGTAATGACGGTCACTATTCCTGTCTGGATCGACTGTGATCCAGGACACGATGACACCATTGCCCTGCTTTTGGCGTCCTTCCATCCGTGTTACAACTTGGTTGGTGTTTCGACAACGTATGGCAATGCCAGCTTGGAGAATACCACCAACAACGCATTGGCGATGATGACGGCCTTTGGAAGGACCGACGTCCCTGTGTACGTTGGTAGCTCCAAGCCATTGGAAAAGGAGCCTCATTATGCCCCGGGAATCCACGGTTCCAATGGACTTGGTGGCATAAGGATCCCCCAGCCAGCTGGTGCGACTGTGAATTCCGTTGGCGATGAGGAAGCAATGTTGGACGCGATGTATAGAGCTATCTGTGAACATGAAGGCCAATTGGCGTTGTGTGCCGTTGGTCCACTGACTAACGTTGCCAAACTGATTAAGAAGTACCCAGAAGCAAAGGCCAAGTTACACACGCTGAGTATAATGGGAGGAGGCATCCATGTGTATAACGTTAACCCTAACGAGGCCGAGTTCAACATCTATGACGACCCTCATGCTGCAAACATTGTACTGGAGGACCCGGAGCTGAAGCCCAAAGTGGTTGTCTGTCCACTGGACGTTACGCATAAGGTGCTGTGTGACGATTCTGTCCAGAAGAAGATCTTGAACGAACCAAACACCACTGCTTTTAGAACAATGATTTACGATCTCATCACCTTCTTCGCAAGCACCTACAAGGAGGCACAAGGCTTTGACAGAGGGCCTCCTATCCACGACCCCGTGGCTGTCTACGTGTTGATGCAAGTATATCACCTGCGTGACTGTGGTCTAAACTCCCAACAGCTGGAGATACACGTTGACGAGCATGGAGAGCACGAGGGTAAGATGATATCGGCAGCATGCGACGACACTGTCTCACGCGGTGGACCACGGGGAGTCTCAGTGGTGTTTGACATTGACGTTAGACAATTCTGGACAGACCTACTTGAGACCATCACCATTGCAGACGGTTGTATATCAGAACAGGCCAATTAGAACCACGGATGGTAAATTCTTGCATAGCATCAACGTGCTCGCAATGATGGCCACTCATCGGGTGAAATTGTTGAGAAATACAAGTAACGACACCTCATGCTAGAAGAGTAATGTTGAATGTAGCAGTAAAATATACGGATATGCGGTCTGCGACTAGTTCATGGCTATGTGATTGCCCACGTTTTCCCTTTCATTTCCCAATTAGTACATCAGTAGGTGCATCAACCGGGAATCTCAGGTGCCCTGTAGCAGATCGTCCATCTTTTGCCAATAAGAGCTGTGCTTCAAGTCCATGGCTAGGGCCAAAGGCTACTGACCCTCGATATTTAGCCTTTTGGATTTGCTGAAGGTTAAATGCTTGACACATCACTGCTTGGAGCATTGTGGGAAATATACGAAGCCGATGCCCTTGGCAACAGTTGATACAAAGGTGCTTCACCAACCGCAGACGTGCCTGAGACGTATGCACATGTATTCCGTGCAGTCCAAGGAGGATCTCAATCAAACGTGGAGATGTACGAGGGCAAATTGGGCCAATTGAACCCCGTTTGTTGAGGTGATCTTTAGGGGTTATACACGTGTGATCGGTGTTGCGTCTGTCCAGCGATCAATGCATTTGCTGTACGGACCAACGTTCTTGTTGCGAGTGATCGTGGCCACCAAGAGCGTGGCCACTCAGAATGTAGCCACCAAGAGCGTGGCCACCCAGAGCATGGCCACCCAGAGCATGGTCACTGCTCGAGGTATAAATATCGGGGTGGATGCTCCGCATTGTGTAGATGTCGTAGTCCTGGAGTGTCCAACAACATCAATCCTCTTGATTAGACACCGTGATGCAACTCTCTGCCCTCGTTACGCTCGCTTGTGCCTCCGCTGCTTCAGCTAAGAACATCCTCTTGACCAACGATGACGGTTGGTTAGCCACAGGTATTAGAGCTGCCTACAACGAGCTCACCAAGGCTGGCCACAACGTCTACCTGGTTGCGCCTGCTGAGCAGAGATCCGGCTACGGTGGTACCTTCATGTTCTCATACACCGACACCCTCTTCCACGACGATCAGTTCCACTACAAGAAGGCTGGTGACCCAGCCTGGGGCCACGAGGACTTTGACGACCACATCTGGTACTTCAACGCTACTCCAGCAGCCTGTGTCGCCTTTGCCTTTGACTATCTGTTGCCAAACTACTTCGCCAACACCAGCATTGACCTTGTTGTTGCTGGTCCAAACCAGGGAACCAACCCAGACGACTTCTATACCTTGTCTGGTACCATTGGAGCCACCTACAACGCCGTCTACAGAGGCTACCCAGCTGTTGCCTTCTCAGGTTCCAACACCAACAACTCCTTCTACAAGGACTCCTTGAACGAGGATCCAAACGACCCACAAAACATTTACGGCTCCAAGATGGTGGAGTTTGTCGACACCTTGTTCGAAGCACAAGGTGAGAACGAGGTGCTTTTGCCTATCGGAACCGGTCTCAACGTTAACTTCCCATTGGTCTCCACTGACTCCAAGACCGGGTGCCAAGATCCAAAGTTCACCTTCTCAAGATTGACTGGTGAGAAGGCCATCACCCTTGGCTTGAAGTACAACGAAACCAGTGGTTTGTTCAAGAGTGACGTCCTCTCAGCTCTTGGTGTTCAGATGGCTTACAACGGTGACGCTTCTTTGCCTTCCGAGGATCTTGTGCTGGATTCCTATGACTGCTACTCCCCAGTCTCCGTGTTCTCCGTCGACTACACTGCTCCTACTACCCCACAAGGTCAGGTCAAGGCTCTTCTTAACAAGATTTTGGTCGACTTGTGAGTGCCTACTGCTTCTACTTCGTCAACGTCCAGCCCTTCTCCCTTTTTCTTCTTTGTTGAACGGCTTCTCCAACGCAGAGTCGCCTCGAAGAGGTGACGCTGCTTATTCACCACTTTTATACCACAATTGAACGCAATTGCTGTACCAATCACTCGTAGAAAGCTATCGTAGAAAGCTATCGTAGCAAGCACTCATAGCAAGCACTCATAGCATCGCCAGGCTGGAGAGACAGACGCAGGGGAACAGGGAAGCCCCAAGGCGATGTGCGCTTAGCGGAACATTTTCCGTGCTTGTCTGGCAGAATAAGATGAAGCCACAGTTTTTTCTTCGCTGGTGATCAACAGTTAATTACAACTCTGCCAGCTTCCAATTGGTGTGAAGAGGCTCTGACTGTGAAACAGCATTGGACGATGGCACACCACGCTGATTATTCGTCCTTCTCGAGCTCTGATCGCGCAGAGACTCTGGGGCACTTGTTGGAGTCGTACAAGGCCCTCAGCGATGGCCAGGACAACTGGGTATGCAATCTGTCGAATGCCTCGTCTCTACTATGGCACGCTTACCATTCGCTAAACGTCAATGTCAATTGGACTGGGTTCTATGTTCTGGATCCCAAGGACCATGCGCAGCTGATTCTGGGTCCTTTCCAGGGGAAGGTTGCGTGCCAAACCATTAGTTTCGGTAAAGGTGTGTGTGGTACAGCAGCCAGCTCTAGAGAGACACAAGTGGTTGCCAATGTTGAAGAGTTCCCAGGGCATATCGCATGCGACGGGGAAACCAAGTCGGAGATTGTCGTTCCTCTGGTCAAGGAAGGTCAGACGATTGGTGTCATTGACCTTGACTGTCTCGATTTGGATGGATTTTCGGAGGTTGACAAGCAACTGCTTGAAGAGTTGGCAGAATTGATAGTGCGCACCAACAGCTGGGCTTAAGCTCCAGAGCATCCGTTTCTAACTTACCAAAAAAGCAGTCCATCCAGCCGCAAATCATTACAATGTACATAGAGAAAGGTGGTCATCTTGGCTGCTGTACAAGCTGTGCAACCAAAAGACGAAAAGCTCGAAACAAAAGGGGGAAATAGATGTATTGTTTAAGTTTAAAACTAGAATATCAACGCCTAACATTCACAATGGCTGTATTGCAAATCACAACCGGTATTTCCCGTCAATCCGTACAAATCCAGTCGCTGCTGCTTAGCTGCTGTTCTATCAACCTGTGTTACAGGCCAAGTTGCTCTTTTCATCATACACAACAACAATATGATGTAGCTGAAAAGAATTTGCTCTTTCCTTAGTCCTTGCCCTCAGCTTTGAAAGCAAAAAATTAACTCGTCTGTATATGCACCGCAATGGCAGAAGAGCAAATAAATATCTTAGTAGGGAGTTTAATGCGTGAATTAATCAGTCCATCAATCAATTGATTCACCGAGGATGTAAATCACCCTCTGTTCATATGATGGAGAATGAAACGTATGACCATCTTTGTTTCTTCACGGGCTTTCAGTATTGGTTCTGGTTGGCTTTTTAGGCTTTTGGTGTGCTGCACGGATTGCATAGCCGTCTGTGTATTTCTAACAATCTCTTTGTATACGGTCAATGTTGACACAACCGGCCAATTGGAGAGAGTTCAGTGGTATCCGGTAGTGTTATGCAATCTGGTGTTGGTTAGATAGCAGCGTGCCTGCTTCCAGCACGCCGTCACAGGTATAATTAGAGGTGGAATCCGCATCCAAAGAGCGTGGATGCAAGAGTGCGTTTAGTCTCACGAGTGCTGAACCAAGAAAGACGTACATGGTCTGTCGATATAGCAAGAAATAACCAATTAACCGTGATATAATGACAATTTCAGGTTTTGAACAGGTTGACAATTCAACGTACAGCAGGTTCCTGTCGATATATACGAGAACAATGGAGTATGACCTGTTATCACAGGAATCTAAAGGTGGATTCGATTTGGAGAACGTTTGGAACTTTATAATGCAGAAGGTATTGTATCAAATGACAAAGCCCTCAACCCAGGATGATGGCTCGTATTCGAAATACTTGGTACAGACTGCTGATTTCAACGATGAAGATATACCAGAGAGATGGCAAGACTGTGAGTACATCGTCATATATGAACATAGACTCCTCAATGAAAACCAGGTTCGTGGGTTGATTCTCGCAAGTTATGATGATGAAGAGGATAAATTTGCAGAATTCCACGAATGGTTTGCCAAAGTTGTTATACGTGATTCCAGACTTCACCTCAGCTATAGTGAATACCTTGGTAAAGTTGATATGGATTTGGCAGTTGCAACCACAGTGGCTGATTTCTTTAAAGAGAATCTGCTCAATACCACAGAACAGGATGAATGGGGTGATAAAGGACGTGATCACTTTATAGGGAAGTTGTCGTACTTCACTAAAAGAAACAAGACAATTGAAGCTGTGTTGCCTGCTTTCCCGTGTAAAAGTTCCAACTTGAACAAGGTGGCCGGGACAATTCCAGATCTGGGTGAAGAGATGGCTATCACAAGACTGATATCCTTCAACAGGGCCATCAAGTCTGTTTACAAGCCTGGAATGAAATTGTGGATTGTCAGTGATGGACATGTCTTTAGCGACTGTATTGGTGTTGACGATGATGTTGTGGACAATTACACCATCCAATTGAGGGATTTATATGAGAAGGTTGCATCAAAACTCGGCGTGCTTGATGAAAACCTCATTGGATTTGTCTCTTTGAAAGATATTTTCTTCCATAAAGGACTGCCATCGACGCCAGCACTGGTTGAAGAGGTTGAGCTTTGTCATTATACTGGTACAAAGATTTGCGACGAGTCTGAACTGTCACGTAAGATACTCATGGCTTCGTGTGATACAGATGCTGGCAAGCTTAGAAGGGACGTTGAACAGGAAGACCACCCAAGACTTCACCTTTATCGAGGTTTCACCAGATTTATGTGTGAGGACCTGCAATTCAATCCAGTGTGCAAGGCTCTTTCTAAAAGAGCATTCAAGAAGACTGTGTCTCGTGTTGCATTTGAGATGATTAAGAGAAACGATGCCTATTCCAATTTGGTTGAGCTTATGTTTCCGCATCATATGCGTCTTTCAATCCACGCCCATAACAATGGTGGTCCAAAGTTTGGTATCAAGATCATTGATCCATTGGAGTGCAGGGTGATTAAATGCTTCAACAGTTCTGAGACACCAGATTTTGAGGATTTGCTCCACATTCCAACACCATGGCATAATTGTATTGTTCAAGTGGACAACAATGATGTTTGCTATATGACAAAGTCTAAAGTTGTCTTTGAAGCCTTGGAGGCTGGCCATTACAATGGAGAGTGGGTCAGAAACGGTGATGGAAGTGGCTACTTCCATTTGAAGAAAATGTAAAGCACAATCAATAAAAGTTTCTAGTTAATCATTTTGTTCATCGCTGTACTTACACGTGTCTTTCCTCTGAGACTGAAACCATGCCTTTCAATGCGGTTTGCAAGCTCACTGGTAGTGTTAGCTCCTCGTTATCGACATGCGATCCAATTTCCTTTGCCTTATGATCCCTCGCTATTAGATAACCACGTAGAACCCACAATACAAAAGCACTTGCTAAAAAGCACACACCACAGTATATTGCCGGGTCTCTGTACTGTGTCGGATGGTAGAGCGAGCCATCCGGCGTTGTACCACGAAGCTCAATACCTATTATTGGAGATACCAATCCAAATGATCCAATCACTAACCACGCCATTGACATTGCCACGTCCAGTTTCCTTAACCCGACAACACGGACAGCAATTGAGGCAATGACAACCCATATTGACCCCATTAGTGAACCTTCTAGAAAGGCAAATGCAATTGCTGTCGCATAGTTTCTGGCAGGGATCCACATTGCAAGACACAGGATCCCTACAATTGAATGTGCAAATATACTTGTTGTAACCGGCCCAAACTTATCAGAAAGCCTTCCAACCAAAGGTCTACCAAATACTGCACCAGCTGATATCATACAGGCGACAATTGACCCTTGACGGGCTGAATATCCCAATGAAATGGTGAAATCTGCCATGTTATACAACAGCACAACGTAGCCTAGTTGCGTAGTTGCAATGTAGAGGAGGAATAGCCAATAAGTGGTGAAAGTGAGCATGTGATTATCCCAAATCTTCATGGATGTATTGATGTGTTTGGTTCTTGGTTTCACTAGTATTATTCCAATGGTATTGCACACGGCACACATTATCGATTGTATAATCAGTGCCCATCTCAAGCTTAGATTCTTTATCATCGCCTGGACGGACAAGTTGAAGACAACACCTCCGACACCAGAAGCAGCACTAGCAATGGCCTGGGCCAGAGATCTTCTATGCCTGAACCATTGTGCAATCAATGTGGTTGCTGGGATACAAATCATCCCCATTCCAATACCAATTAGTACACCTTGTGTGAGGTATATCTGCCAAAGCTGTGTTGAGAAAGCAGCAAGAATGGTTCCCAAGAATTGAAGACAGGCACCTATTGTTATTGTGAACTTCACACTGGTGTGTTTCAACACGATCCTAACCAAGGGCCCTAGAATCATGCCTGATCCGAATGCCAGTCCACCAACTGCTGCGTAGTCCAATTTCGAAGCGCCTTTGAACTTGTTATTGCTCAAATAGTTTGCCAAGTAGATGGAGTAGCCTGAGTTGGCAGCCCATGTGGCAAAATTGAAGAAGAATACGCCCATAACAACAAACCACCCATATCCACCATCTGGAACGTCGATTACCGCTGAAGTATTAACGTTGTCTGTGCTTAAAGGCTCATCTACCATGACAACTTTCTCATCTAAACCGTCTACCTTTTCAGGTTCGTTGATGGACGATGACACCACCGGTCCCAAGCTCTCATCACCACTCTTTGACATGCTACTGAGCGCTGATATCTTTCTTCTTCCTCGTTGAAGACTAAAACTCTTTCCAGCTGTGGTGGTTGTGATGATGACTAATGCGCATGGGAACAAAGAGCAAGAGAAAAAAGTCTGTAAACAGTAAAACCCCGACATTTGGCGGGACGTTTCTGTCTACTGTCGGTGTTAATTTTTTTCCCTTCTAGGAAGGGATTCTGGGGCGAGCTGGTTGGTCGTTCTAGGCAGACAGGATTGATGGCCAAAGGGCCACAGGCAGGAGCGTAGGCAGGAGCGTAGGCAGGAGCGTAGGCAGGGCCACAGGCAGGAGCGTAGGCAGGAGAATGCACTAAAACATCTTACACTGACTTCAAGGAAATGAAAACTTCTACATGTTAACTATTTATGCGTGCTCTCAGGTAAAAACACATCGTTACCTTGTTCCACTGCTCTCCGTGTATGGTAGACGATGTCATTCGACTCCCATGGATAAGCAATCCAAACATCACCAACCTGTCTTGCAGCGATATAGTTATCCTCGTTGTAAACATCTGGTGGCAGCTCAGCCTTCTTTGGCTTGTTCTTATTGTGGAGGACAAAGATACCGAACTTGGTTCCAGAATCTTCAACTTTGATGCCCCTTTCTTCACATTGCTTCGCCAAATCCTTCTTCAACTCTGACACGGCGTAGTGCAATGTGGTTCTTGTATCATCCACCTCGTCAACGATCAGGATCTTCTTGCCAATCAAGGTGAAGTCAGTCGACGTGTAATCCAACCATTGGGTGCGTACAACCTGTTTCCCCATGCTCTCCTGTTGAGTCGAGACACTGTCAACGTCTTCATATAGAGACAGCACAACGCTCATGATACGAACGTTTGGCTTACCAGGCTCCTTGAGGAAAGTACGCACAAATCTCGTTGGCACCAAACCTCCACCAGCAAGGCACACCAGGAGATCCGGGTTGAACTGTTTCAGCTTACCTTGGGACTCCTGGATAAGTTGGTGGATATGGTTGTACGAGATGTACATCTTGGACGCTTCGATGTCTTCTGAGTCCATTGTTGTAGAGTCTCAATTATGTACGAAAATGAAGGAGATCCTGGTTAGGAGAGACTAGGCTAATCCGATGGGGTCTGGGATAACCCATTCTTCAAAAAGGAGTCAAAGAAGTAGACAAAGCAAAGTTTTTTAGGAAAAAAGTTTAAAATTTATACTCTAACGACAAACAAGAAAAAATGTCCAGGATGTCCAAGCCGATGAGGTGTTCAGCTGTGCAGCGTGAAGAAACCCCTTCCCGTACCAAAACGCTACGCTGACTGCAGCGAGGGAAGAGAAACAATGACAGGACAGGAGAAGCAAAAAAATGACGTTGTCCCACCGCCGGTTGGGACAATCACGCCGCCGGCTTAATAAATTATCCATGAAAATCTGCCATTTTGTGCTGTTTAGAGACAGCAAAAGGTGGTGATTTCTTTAGAGGAGAATTAATGCACCCCTTGTGTGTCTTACTCAGATGAGACAAGACACTTGATGATGTGCTCTTCGGGGTTCAGCTTAATGTTTCCAGTTGTATCGACGTCACAATATTTCTTTCACTAATAGTAGGATGTATAGTGTTCCATTTGACGGTTTGATTTGTAGAATAGTTGATATGATAATAACAATAAGAATAATCTTCATAACAATATAATTCAGAAATATGAGAGAGGAAGGTTAAGTTCAAGGAATTTTATAAAGAGGAATATAATGGTTCAAGGAGTGCCTTTTAAACAATTGTAGAGAAGCATTCGAATCTTGATGATTCGTGCTTCATGTTGTTTGCACATCCTCTTTAGAATGTGATCACTGTGAAGTGTTTATATTAAATCACAGTTGCTATAATTCAGTGATAAACCCGGAAATCGAGTCCGAAGGTCCAATATCACAGTGGTAGAGACACACGCCCTCCCGCTGCGTGAACGACGCGTGGTGAGTGGACGGTCTACACTGGGCACATGATGAAGAGAATGTCTCGTCCCTTCCAGACTGAATGGTAGACAATATGATCCAGATAAGAAGCTTGTCAAATGTCCGTCATATGCTTCGTAAAATCTTCCCTGCGGCAAGGACTTTAACTTTTATGCTCGAATTGTCCATATCGGACACTTTTCCTGCCGCAAATCAACTCTGCTGACATTTTGCTGTGCCTTTCCTGTCCCTTCGGAGTTTGTCCCTTGGTTTTTTCTCGAAATCAAGCTCGACAAAAACCAACGATAGGACAATCCTGATAACTCTATTTATCCTTGCTTTCTCGCCAATGAACTTATCACTTGCATTGAGACAAAGACAGAGACAAATGGCATACGCACAAGAATTCTTGGACTTTTTAAACTCATCACCAACGCCTTATCATGCAGTCTCCTCTCTGAAAACGAGACTCAGTGACGCGGGCTTCAGAGAGCTCTCGGAGAGAACCTCGTGGAACGGGTTAGTTGAGCGTGGGAACAAGTACTTCGTCACGAGAAACGGCTCCTCCATCATTGCCTTTGCCGTTGGTGGTAAGTGGGCGCCAGGGAACCCGGTTTCCATTGTCGGTGCGCACACAGACTCGCCGTGCTTGAAGATTAAGCCTGTGTCAAAGAGATCAAATGAGGGCTTCATCCAGGTTGGCGTGGAACTGTACGGTGGTGGTATCTGGCACTCGTGGTTCGACTCAGACTTGTCGCTTGGAGGCCGTGTCATGGTGGCTCAAGGTGGGCAATTCGTCCCGAAGTTGATAAACATCCGTAAACCCTTGCTGAAGATTCCAACATTGGCTATCCACTTGGACAGAGACGTGAATACGAAGTTTGAATTCAACAAGGAGACGCAGCTCTTACCAATTGCCGGGTTAGAGAACGCAGCTTCTGTGACATCTGGTGGATGCTGTGGCGGTGACGGAGAACCAAAGATCTCACAGGAGGAGTTCAAGTCTTTGAAGTCGATCATTGAAAGACACAACGAGCAGTTGGTCCAATTGATTGCGAAGGAAGCTGGAGTGGACGTGTCACAGGTTGAAGACTTTGAGCTTCTTCTCTATGACCACAAGGAATCGTGTCTTGGTGGATTGAACGATGAATTCATTTTCAGTGCCAGATTGGACAATCTGACATCTTGTTTCACCGGTACAGAGGGGTTGATCGAGTCCTCTGAAGATCTAAGCCAGGAATCAGGCATTCGTCTTATTTCGTGCTTTGACCACGAGGAGATTGGCTCATCGTCAGCTCAAGGTGCGGACTCAAACTTCCTTCCAAACATCTTGGATAGAATCACCGGTTTGAGTGGCATTCCTGAGAAGGATACAAATGCAGCAATACATACAAAGATCCTGGAATCATCTGCCAAATCGTTCTTCCTATCATCCGATGTGGCCCACGGTGTTCACCCAAACTATGCCTCAAAATATGAATCAAACCATAAACCAAAATTAGGCGAAGGACCAGTTCTAAAGATCAATGCAAACCAACGTTATATGACTAACTCTCCGGGAGTTGTCCTGTTGAAGGAATGTGCTAAAAGGGCCAAAGTTCCATTACAACTATTTGTTGTTCAAAATGCTTCCCCATGTGGTTCCACTATCGGTCCAATCTTAGCTTCTAAAACGGGTATTAGAACTTTGGACATTGGTAATCCAATCTTGAGTATGCATTCTATCAGAGAAACTGGAAGTTCGTCCGATATTGAAAAGGCTGTTAAGCTCTTCAAGAGTTTCTACGACAACTTTTCAACTATCGAGCCAACCATCTTAGTCGATGGCATTTGAAACAGTGATTATATACTAAAGATTCTTCTTACGTTTGTCCTGTTTGGCCTTGAGCTTTGCAATCCTCTTCTTCAACTCTTCCTGTTCATCATCAACTGCTTCTTCCTCGGCCTGTAGTTTATTACCATGCACTTCCTCATCGCTATATCCACCTTCATCATCCATCTCATCGTCTTCTAAATCCTTTTCAACGAGGACCGTGTCGTCCTCTGATTCATCATCACTTGGTCCGTCAATGCTCATGTAACCATCTTCCAATTCACCTTCTTCTTCAATGTAATCATGCTCACCATCGTCTATTAGACCATGGTCATCCAATTCCTCGACGTATTCAACGTCACTATCGTCATACTCCTCATTGTACTGCTCCCCTGCAACATTCTTGTTATATCTTTGCAACTCTTCTTGTGCATACAGAACATCTAATTTACCTTGTAATTCCAACAGTCTAGGCAAGGTGTTTGCCCTTCTGTTCAGAGTAGAGTGTAGAGATGATAACGAGCTTGATAAGTTTGGAATGTTTATCAAAGAGCCACCATGGATGACCATGACCCATTTCACCCAAACATTCAATTGACCTTGACGATTTGTTTGACGTGCAATACGTTCTGCTAGTCTGTCCAGAAGTACAACTGCCAACGATGTATCCAATCTCTCAATGGTGTTTTTCAACACGGTTTCGTCTCTATTACTCAATACAGTCTCCAACAGCGTATGATCATTTGACCTTAAAGCCTGGGTCAGAACAACTGCAAGAGAACCAGCTGTTACACGTGTGTGCTTCTTCTTGGGTGCTGTCTCCAATGTTTGGGTCATTGCTAACTTTTCAGCCAGAGAAGGCCCGTCATCCTCTCTATACTCCAATTCTTCAACTTCCTTGTTATCCAAGAATCTCAAGTTATCACCTGAGGTGACTGTAGCGTTTGCCTCGTTATAATGCTTTGCAGCTGCAACGTCTCTACCGAAAAGTGAGTGGTCCTTTGCTAGAATCTTTGGTTTATCCTTCGTCAAGGTGTAGACATTGTCGTTGCTGTTGTCGATATCAAAGCTGTCGATGGTATCCAGTTGAATTCTTTCAAAGTATGGAATCAGGTTATCCTCCAACCAGGTGATTATCAAGGTGTTGCTGTTCTGTTCCAAAGCAGAGCTTTCGATAGTCAATTGTGATCCATTTGGACGTTGTAGTTTCACAGAACGGTTTGACTGTTTGGAAGGAGCTCCACCTCTTTTCTTCTTAGTAGAGTGGGTTCTCGTGAGCACGTTGTGGAACACTTCGACTATGCCGTCTTCAGTGACTGCACTCAATGTTTCATCTGCGTATGATATGGAGATAACGTTACTCTGGGTGACGAGGACAATAGGTGCCAATTCAGTGGAGTATACGTTGATGAAACGGTCACCCTGGGCAGCAGTGATAAACGTTGAGTTATCAATTGGCAAGACCGAGTGAATTGAAGAGATATGGCCTGGGAATGTCTTCACAACGTCATGAGTCTCGATATCCACTAGATGAATCGTATGTGATGCTAACAACAGATGTGGTTTCCCCTGATGAATCAACGTTGAGACCTTGTTAATTGACTCATGGAATTTGAACTTGTTGTGTGGGCTGCTCTCACCAGTCAGCAAGTTCCATTCTATAACGTTTTGTCCAGCATCAACGGACCAGCCTGTTCCAGTGATTGTAGAAATATGAAAGTCTCTGATGGACGATGAGTATGGATTCACCAACGTGGTTATCACTTCATTCTGCAAAGGTGAATATAGCAGGATAGAGCCTTTGTTCTCACCAATTGCCACCACCAAATTCTCGATATCTTGCTTCCCAGCTGACAGGGACCCCCATTCAATACAAGTGGCCTTGTGCGACTTGTCCAGAGTGAAGGCCTGGGCCAATAACGACGCAGACGACGTTGAATTGGTGGACTGGACACGAATCTTGTGCGTGTCCAGCGCAGTTATCGTGGACACGTAGTACTGTCCATTACCGTTGAAAGCGTTCAAACCAACCAGCGACATATTCACCAGGCAGTTCACTCCAATCTTAGCACTTTGGTTGAATCGCCATGAACTGGTTTCCGTTAAAACAGAAGCGGGCCTTGGACTAAAAATTTTCAAGCTCATCGGATGTGTCCCGTACCGGCTGTTGCGCGTACCAGGGATTTGTGTCCCCTCGGTTACCACGAACTATAAATGCTTAGGTAATCATTCTCCAATGGGGATTACCCTACCTCCTGGAACACAGATGGCTCTGCTTCTGTGGTTTCAAGTGTTTTGATGTTTTTTTTTTGCTGTTGTTGTTGTCTCCTACAACTTTTAAGCGGCTCCTTCGATGTAAACAAAGCACTTCACCGTCAACTGAAACCAATAAGAAACACCTAATTGATAACATGTCAGAATTCGCTAGTGGCAACGAGGAGCTAACGCTACCCAAAGGTGAGTTTGGGGTTTATTTGCTTGTTCTTTCCTCTTCAGATGTGATTCTAACGTCTTACTAAGCAACTGTTCAGAAGATCATATCCGAAGTGCTTCCCTCAGAGTTGACGTTCTCGAAGGAGGCCCGTGACGTTGTGATTGAATGCTGTATTGAGTTCATCATGATTCTTTCTGACCAGAGTAATGAGATTGCTGAAAAGGATGCGAAGAAGACGATAGCGTCGGATCATGTTATTGGTGCGCTTCGAGAGCTTGGGTTCCCAGAGTACATTGAGCCTATTGAGAAGGTGCTTGTTGAGCACAAAGAAGCGCAGAAGGGCCGTGAGAGAAAGAGTAACAAGTTCCAGAACTCTGGGTTCACAGAAGAGGAGCTTTTAAGGCAGCAGGAGGAGCTCTTTAGACAGTCGAGATCGAGGTTACAGAATCAAAAAGGTGATGGTGTTAAAGGCGAAGAGTGAAGGTGTTTCCGTATGGAATCAGAAGGGGGAACGTTCATTCTGGATTGTATATAGTGAGGTTTGCTTACTGAAATCCTGCTCTATCACGTTGTCTCTTTTTAACGCTTCAGTAATGTGCCATTTCCACATTGATGATCAGTTCCTTGTCACATTGAACCACGATTCCATCGGTCCCCACCAGTCTATTACTCGTGCTCACGGACCCCGTTAACGAAGAGTCCCAGTCGATAACGTCCCACTTCAGTCCCTTGGTCGTTAACCTGGTGTCTCCTGCTAATGGTAACAATCCACAGTTGTAAGATTGGAACGTAGTCTTGGTGTAATCAACGTAGTTCAACCCCTTGGGGATCGCAAAGATGAGGTTTGTTCTTGTTAAGAAGAAAATGGGTGAATCTGGGCTCAGCTGGATACGTTTCAACATCACACTGATGGACTGAATGGTATGGTCAAACCTTCCATCAATGGCACCAACCATCAACATCTGCGGACGAGAGGTCTTGTTCAACGAGGAGTGTAATGTCAAGAGTGAATCATAAGTGTCCAAGCTGCTAACATCGAACCTCTCTTGTGCATCAGCGTAGTGATAGTGCACTTCGACGAGATCAATGGCCTTCTGCATATCTGTAGCGTATTGCGTAGATTGCTTGATCACCTCAACACCTTTAGATTCATACCATTGCTTCACGTCTGGCTTCAAAGAGTCCAAGTCTCCAACGATGTAGTCAGGCACCAACGTTGGACTGATGTCATACAGCCTATTGGCGCCCCCATCGGCGCATATCTTCAAGCCATAGGCGTTCCACAAGGATATGAACACATCCCGTGGTATGGTGATCTCCTGGTTCAAGACTATCAGAGCACTATCAGCACCGATATTCGGACTGAATGCCCTGTGTAAGTGAGTCACGTGGCATTGGTCTGGTCTCGGTACGTCAATTGATTCCTCGTTCTCTATCACTTCGCCCATTGTGTGTTCCTTGCCGTAAATTTTGGAAGAGTGCTTGTAGCAGGTGATTGCGCTGAAAACCCGGCAAATTCCGCATAAACCCATCAACATCAACAACATCAACATCAACATCAACAGCGCCAGGGGGAGGAAGACAGCGATGAATGGAAATAACCCTGATAAGTACAAATACCGCATTGAGATCCAGCAGATGATGTTCGTCTCTGGTGAGACGCTTGATCCTCCAGTGCAAACAACGTCCCTGATTGAGGACATTGTCCGTTCGCAGGTTGTTGAGATCATCGTACAGGCCACGAGGACTGCCAACGCCAGAGGTTCCAAGTCCATCAGTGCGGAGGACGTGATCTTTCTGATTCGCAACGACGGTGCCAAGGTGAACAGGCTGAGAACGTACCTCTCTTGGAAAGACGTGAGAAAGAATGCTAAGGACCAGGAGAGTGGTGGTGTTGAAGGTGCTGACCTTATAGACGAGAGCTCATTAGCGACCACTGGGGCCAACGGAGGTGCTGGTGGTAAGAACTCTGCAGACATGATGAAGATGAAGAAGTCCAAGATCAGGCTACCTTGGGAATTGCAATTTATGTTCTCAGAGCAGCCTCTAGAGGACGAAAATGATGAGTTGAACGACGAAGAACGTGAGGCCACTTTGGCGTCCTTGAAGAGGTTGAAAATGGCTGATGATAGAACCAAGGGTATGACGAAGGATGAGTATGTGCACTGGTCTGAGTGTAGACAGGCCTCGTTCACTTTCAGAAAGGCGAAACGGTTTAGAGAATGGGCAGGATTTGCACATTTGGCAGACGGTAAGCCGAACGACGATGTTGTTGATATCCTGGGATTCTTGACGTTTGAAATAGTGTGTTCCTTGACTGAAGAGGCCCTCATAGTTAAGCAGGAGCAGCAGATGATTGCAAAGACCTCCACCACGATAAACACGACGAGTTTAGCCACACCGTCAAACGATAAGAAGAGAAAGCACCTGTTTGATGGTCCAGATGAGGCCATCCACCCATTATCCCCAGACCATATAATGGAAGCCTGGAGAAGATTACAGAGGATATCACCCAGTCACAAGTCCTTGAGGAACTACGGAGGTGGCAGACTGCTAAGCAGGACCAATGTTATATAGACACACACCTTGTTCCATTGCTTTATCGTTCTCTGTATGAATTATCAACTCTTTTCGGACTATGCTCCCTTTCCCTGTTATTCTCCTTATACACTTGGCCAGTTTGTCTATTTACAAGCTTTATAGGTAAATAAGTCTTGTCATTGAAGTCAGCAACATCATCTTCGCCTCCAAGGTCCTTAGCACCAAGCCCTAAGTATAGCGTTCTCCTCTTTGACGTTGTCTTCTTATCACCATCATCACTTCCTTTCCACCCCATTCCTCGGAGCATGGCAGCACCAAACTCTTCCACGGGTATTTCCTCGTACTCCTCTAGCGTTGTAGCCTCGCCAGTGATATTCTCAACCTCTTTCTTCATAGCAGGCTGAGATTCCCTATGCTGTGCACCATCATTCATGTTGATGCCGTACACCAGCTTCTTCTCCTCCGGCAACTTATTCTTCAACTGTTCGAGCTTCTTGATGTACGTGTTACCACAGCTAGGTATCACGAGCTCTTTACTAACCTCCACAGGCGGTCCCTCGGATTCTGTGTAGGCTTGACCTTCAGTATCAACAACATCAATCGCTATGGCCTTGTCGGTGTCTTCCTCGTCCTTTGAGCCAAACGCATTGGCCTTGGCTTGAGGCTTGTTGTGCTTCTTCAGAGAGAATCCAAGCTGCTTAGGCTGGCTCTTTGTATCCTTCTTCAGCGAGAATCCCTTCATCATCGGTGTGCTGAGCTAGTGCTCTACCGAGCCAAAGGGGAAAGCAGTGCGAGAACAAAACTTTTCCCCGCGGTGTAAACAAACATCAACACCTTCAGGAAGAAACACCAATTCCAGACAGGGAAGTCTCAGAAATGCTTAGTACTGGTGTGCTGATACGGCGGTGTACATGTTCGAAGCCTGTGATACTTCAAATAGCTCAGCATAGACACCTGACTAGCACGTTGTCGCTGTTGAACAAGGTGCCGGATAAGAACCCGGGTGTTGATAAAGCCAAAGGTGATGGTGATGGTGATGTTGGTGGTGAGGCCAGGGACAAACAGGCCGGTCCTGTGGATGAGTATCTCAATTCTCTAAGACCGAAACTGGATAAAGCGCACGCGCTGTACCAGTCCACCAGAAGGAAGACCCACCAGTTTGTTGATGCTGTTAAGCTGCACTATGCTAAGGCTAAGCAGTCCATCAAGGATGCTAATGTTAAGCTTGCACAACAGGAGAAGGAGCTTGCCACTTATGACTTCAACGAGGACTTCACGAGCGATCGGGTCAAAGCAGGTGAACATTCCAAAATTGAAGGGCTACCAAGTGAGCGTGAGAGGAGAAGGAAGTTATGGGCAAAGAAGCTTGATCTCTATATGGATTCCCTCCAAGAGACCATATTCACAGCGACGAGGGCTTTGAACGACGTTACGGGCTATTCCTCGATTCAGAAACTGAGACAGAGCATCGATGCCCTAGAGAAGGAGCTCGAAGCTTCGAAGCTGGCGTTCAAGGATGCCAAACAGGCTTACGATTCGGCAATTTCCAAGAGGTTGGAATCCCAGAGAGAGGTCAATGAGCTACTACAGCGGAAATCTACCTGGACGCCAGCTGACCTTGAGAGATTCACAACGCTGTATAGGGACGACCACATCAACTCTGCCAATGAAAAGGAGACAAAGATAGCGATGGATTTGGCAGAGCAGAGACAGGAGGAGCTCTACGACAAGCTATCCAATGCGATCTTGACCCGTTACCACGAGGAGCAGATTTGGTCTGACAAGATCAGAAGAACCTCAACATGGGGGACATTCGCATTGATGGGTGTGAACATCATCCTGTTCCTGGTGTTTCAGCTGGCCTTAGAACCTTGGAAGAGAAGAAGGCTGGTTGGCAATTTTGAATCAAAGGTCCAGCAAGTGTTGGACGAGAACTCCAAGAACCAAAACGAGAAACTGGACATTATGACTGAAAAGATGGAATCGTTAAAGCAGAGCGACATCCAAGGATTCCAGATGATTGAAGAAGGCATCTGTGAAGAGGTAACTGATGATATCGATGATCTATTCGTAACGCCACCAATCATCCAAGAACTACCACTACCATTGGAGCTACAGTGCAACAACTACCTGTATATGCTAAAGGCACTGTGGGATAAGATCGTGGAACCATTTAGAGAACCATGGCTGTTGATAACCAACAGGGAACTTGGTAGTTTGACGATCCAAAGGGAAGAATTGCTCTCTGTTTTAACTGTCTCACTGGTCCTTGGAACTATCCTTGGAATGGTGATATAGACACACGTGTAAATAGACATTTCTAGCATGATATATGTATAAATAACAACACGTAATAGGCCACCATGTATATATAGCAGTTGTAGTTGGATCTGGATAGATCACGTGCCATATCACGTGGCTACCTCGGAACTCCACACTCTTCCGGGAAGAGCATAGCGGTGGCGGCGAGGAAACAACAACACCAACAACAACACCAACAACACCACCACCATCAACACCAACTAGGCCTGTTTTATTTATCATTCAGGCAATGGAAGAACTCGGGATCCAGCCTTCACCGGCTCCAACGGCGGACAAGTCAAAGCTCGAATCGCTGTTCATATCGAACAACACCAACTTGAGCAATAACAACAGTAACAACACAGCATCAGATATATACCTCAAGTTGAAGAAGTTGGAGAAGGAGTATGAGCTCCTATGTCTTCAGGAGGACTACATCAAGGACGAGCAACGTCACTTGAAGAGAGAGCTGGTTAGGGCTCAGGAAGAGGTTAAAAGAATACAGTCTGTTCCGTTGGTTATAGGCCAGTTCTTGGAACCAATTGATCAAAACGTTGGTATAGTTTCATCGACAACTGGCTCGAACTACGTTGTGAGAATCCTATCGACGTTGGACAGAGAGCTACTGAAATCATCTGCTTCGGTAGCACTACACCGTCATTCAAATGCGCTAGTTGATATCTTGCCACCAGAGGCGGACTCGAGTATTGCCATCTTGGGTGACGGTGAAAAGCCAGATGTCACGTACGCTGACGTTGGAGGATTGGATATGCAAAAGCAGGAGATCAGGGAGGCTGTGGAGTTGCCATTGACACAGGCCGACCTCTACAAACAGATTGGTATTGATCCACCAAGAGGTGTGTTGCTCTATGGACCTCCAGGTACAGGTAAGACGATGTTGGTCAAGGCCGTTGCTAATAGCTCCACGGCATCCTTTATTAGAGTGAACGGTTCTGAATTTGTGCAAAAATACTTGGGTGAAGGTCCACGTATGGTGCGTGACGTTTTCAGACTCGCTAGAGAAAACTCACCTTCAATTATCTTTATCGATGAAATTGATGCCATCGCAACAAAACGTTTCGACGCCCAAACGGGTGCTGATCGTGAAGTGCAGCGTATTCTTTTGGAGTTGTTGAACCAAATGGATGGTTTTGACCAGACATCCTCTGTTAAAGTCATTATGGCTACAAATAGAGCTGATACTTTGGACCCTGCGTTGTTGAGACCAGGACGTTTGGATAGAAAGATTGAATTCCCATCTTTGAGAGATAGAAGAGAGCGTCGTCTCATCTTCTCCACCATTGCTTCTAAGATGTCCCTCTCTCCAGAGGTTGATCTCGACTCGTTGATTATTAGAAACGACCCACTTTCAGGTGCCGTTATCGCTGCAATCATGCAAGAGGCTGGTTTAAGAGCAGTGAGAAAGAACAGATATGTCATTCTACAAAGCGACTTGGAAGAAGCCTACAGCTCACAAGTGAAGACTGGCAGTGAAGTTGACAAGTTTGAATTCTACAAATGAGAATATAATGGAATGATTTGTGGAGTGTTCAAATACCATACACAACCTTGTAGATGTCAATACCTGGATGGAACGTTCTCAAATCTGAAATGTCAAAATGATCCATGTCCAAGTGCCATTTATAACTCCAAACGAGCTCGAGGTTGAGGTGTTCATTGTCAATGGATTCCAGAAGTGGTAGTGAAGAACGCGGTGTTATCAAAAGCGTATCCTGTAATTGTGCCAATGTAGACACGAGTTGATCAACTTCACATCCCATTAGATCAATCAGTAGATCTCCAAACTCGTATGGAGGCACTTGAGTTGCAATTGTCAAGTCCTCGTTCCCCAAGAGCCATGTTGGTGGTGAATATGTCCTCCACCAGACTTGCGAACCGTGGTAGCCCGTTTTATAAAGCTGATCCAATGACTCAATAACACCTCTTTGGTGTAGTGAACCCATAACTATACCCAGAGCTATGTTGAAGATACACCATAGAGTCATAATCAATTCGACAAACCTTGGTGTTTCGAAGTTTGTGAAGTCAATACAGATGCAGATGAGAGGTACCAGTGGTGTAAGGAACCTGAGTTCTTGATGTGGCACAATGGAAAGAAACAGCAGCCCTGAAAAGATTGACAGGTATGGTATGGAGGCCTTGTAATGGTTTCTAAAGAAGAATGGGATGATAGCCGGTCCAATGATCTGGGGGAGGTTCACCAAGATGTGTGTATACCTTGGGTGTAATCCATGTCTGGCAAGGTTCTCCACCTGAGAGTTGTATATCAGGTTGTTCAATGGAGTGATGACATACTCATCTGACTGGAATAGCACAGTGTCGAAGTATATCAACACCAATGATGTCACTATGGTTGATGCTATCAACAGCAGAAATGACAGCTTGAACCTTAGGAATCTCTTTATCAGGGTAAGCATTGGGAATATGAGAAACGATAGGAACGTTATCCTATTGAACGTACCAATGGCAATTAGAGCTCCCATCAGCAGAGAGACTCTGTAGTGTGGGTATTTGACTTTCGACTTCTCACTCTGTCTTAACAGATGGATCAGGCACAGTGTCAGCAGTAACACCTGGGTCTCGATGGAGTTTGAGAAAGTGTGCGATTGATACGTCCAAGTGATGTATGACGTAAATATGAAGAAAAGGGTCTTCGAAACCTCTTGTTTCGTCTCGCAGAGTATACTCGTGGCGATCTGCACCGTTATGAAGTAAGTTGTGACCAGTTGTAGACGAGCCATATACATCAATGCCAGAGGCCTAAAGTGTAGCCAGTGTTTGTTCAGCCATAGCAGGGGTCCATACACAAGGTAGAGTAGTGAAATACTTCTACTGGGGCTTGCTGGATCGAATTCCCACGGTATATTCGTAGAATAGTTCAACAATTGGTCTATATTGAAAGGTTAGTGTTTGCGTGGTGATAATTGAATCATTATACGTACGTGTTAGTACCTCTAGCGATTGGAAATGTTCATCCGGATGGATGTACGATGGCTCCAGCGCAAAGAACAGCACTGCTATGTAGCTCAAGTAGTGTACAACCTTCCAATTGACCATGGTGAACCCCCTGTCTTCTACCTTTAATTAGTAAAGGCATCAAGCTGAGCTGCGAGCGTGAAGAATCTCCAACTTTTGGGCCCGTTCCGAAAATCGGTAAGAAACACATATGCTTACGTAATCAAGATTCTTCTCTGCTTACGTAATCCCAATTACTCTCTGCTTATGTAATCCAAATATACTCCAAAGGGGAGGAATTTTTCACCACTGGGCGCTGTTTTCCTCGATGAAAAGTTTCTTTCTTCGAACCGGTTCCATCGAGGCAGAACAAACAACGAGGAGGGTTTACACGTGCTTTCTTCTCTATTACAAATGTCTCTTAGCATCAACCTTGGAAAGCTCGCTGCTGGGCTGAGCTTCCCACGTCTTCCTGAGATTAGAGTGACGATACCTAATCCGTTTGTATCCACAACAAGCACTTCGAACGCTGTGCAAGCTTCGCCAGACTTGCAAAGACGCTTACAGGAGTACTTGGAGAACAGACCTGTTGAGGAGTCGTTCTTCATTGACAATGGGCTGCTGAGAGCTGTTCCTAAGAAGAAAGTGACCTACAACAGAAAGAGACAGAGACAGTTGAAGCCAACCTTAAAACAGCTTCCATACCTCCACCACCTGAACCGTTGTCCATCGTGTGGACACACCAAAAGGGCAAACACCCTGTGCATGCACTGTGTGCTACAGATCAAGAACCTGTGGAAGCAAGATTCCAAGGGGGAGAGCGAGATCGTCGAGCAGGTGCTGGATCCAGTTGATAAGAAGGTGTTGTACCCAGGCAAGAAGCAGACCGAGTATGAGAAGGAGCTGGAGAAGAAGGAGTACGTTTTGCGCCGCTCAAGAAGCTTACCACTGTCTAGAAAATGAGTCCAAGCACTCGGCGAAGAAAGCATCTATAGGAGAGGCATATAGCTAACAACATGTATATAGCACTAGTGTTACACTTATTCACGCGTAGACGGGACTTGTACCACGCAAAATGACAGGAAAATGTTCATATTATACGGATTACACTGAAAAGATTAATGTATACGTCGTTACATGATAACGCAGCACTTGGAACCCTCGGTCTTCTCCTCCTTGGCAGGTTCTGAGGCTCTAGCAGCTTCGGCTGTCTTCTTAACACTCTGTGTAGCCTTCGTGGCCTCCTCCTTTACAGGCTCGGCAGACACAGCTGCCGTCGAGGTGGAAGGTGTTGAGATGTACTTCTTCACTATTCCGTAAAAGGTTTCACCTTGGATGAATGCGATTTTCTTTTCAAGCTCGGAGGGCTGTCTGGAGCCGTCGCTGCCTGCGTAGGCACCGGCACCCCATGGAGAGCCACCATGGGGCTCCTCCAAGTTCGTCAACTGGCCAAACGAGTTCTTGTAGCCCAATGGCACGTAGATCATACCGTGGTGGGAGAACAGCGACAGAGAGTTTCTGATCGTCACCTCTTGTCCACCGTTTGGAGAGCCCGTGGAGACAAAGAGACCGTATGGTTTACCGTGGAGCGCACCGCTGGCCCACAGGCCACCTGTAGCGCCCCAGAAGGACAGGAATTGCGCTGGCACGGTACCGAATCTCGTTGGAAGGCCAAACAGGAACGCATCGTACTGTTGCAAGGTGTCGACAGAAGCAACTGGGATGTCTGCTGGCTTTGCTGGCGCGTGGATGAGGGTCAGCACTTCCTCGTTCAGCGTCTCTGGCACCTGGAAGATGTCGGCCTCTCCGCCGGCCTGGACAATACCCTGTTGTACCTCTTTGGCCAATTGTGTGACGTGGCCGTAAGTCGAGTACTGGATGATAGCGATCTTAGCCATGGCGTCCTCTAGTCTGCTCGCTGCGTGGGATTTGGTACTATGCTGTGCCGACTAGTTTGGCGAAAGAAGAGGGATAACCCACAATTGATATAAAAGAATCGGGGCCCAAGCAGGACACACAACTCAAGACAAGACAAGCACGAAAAAAAACACCAGACAAGCTGCAAACTTGTCAGTTGCACCGCTAAATGGCTGTATAACCTGGTGCAATCACCGCCTGTGTCGATTATTAAACATGCAAGTCCAATTTGTAATGTCCTTAGTCATTGATTGCATGTCCCGCCAAACAGCGCACACCACCGCCTACGAGCTGAAACCCACAGCTACCGGGCTGCGCGCGCCATCATGCACAGTAAGCATTTGTAAGTAAATTTGTCAGAAAAGGATAAGCCCGCGCTGTTTGTCTGGACATGTCCCGAGCAGGATGACGAGATTTAGGTGGTGAATCTTACAATGCGTTCGTACACGGAGGGTGCTGCCTCACGCTGGGAGCCAATTGTCTGGGAGGACTTGGACAGAGTGGCTCGTGTGTGGTTTCCAGCGTGGGAAAAAGAAACCCACCGCAGCGGGAGAGGGAAAAGACACGAAGCGAGGGAAAGGACATTCTGTATAAATAGAAAACGGTTTGTCCCAACTTTTTTGTGTGTACTTGAGGGTTTGTCCTGTACTTCAATTCTCGTTCCTGATCATCTCAGATAGAGTTCTTCTATAACTATACACACCATGGCTCCAAAGGTTGCAATTATCATCTACAGTTTGTACCACCACGTTGCACAGCTGGCAGAGGCTGAGAAGGCCGGTGTTGAGGCCGCTGGCGGTGTCGCTGACATCTACCAAGTGCCAGAGACGCTCGATGATGCCACGTTGAAGCTCCTCCACGCGCCAGAAAGACCAAACTACCCAATTGCTACTCCAGACACATTGACCCAGTACGATGCCTTTTTGTTTGGTATTCCAACTAGATTCGGTAACTTCCCAGCACAGTGGAAGGCCTTCTGGGACTCCACCGGTGGCCTCTGGGCTAGTGGTGCGCTTTACGGTAAGATCGCCGGTGTCTTTGTCACCACCGGTACCCCAGGTGGTGGTCAAGAGGTTACCGTTTTGAACTCCCTTTCGGTGTTGGCCCACCACGGTATCATCTACGTGCCATTGGGTTACAAGAACACATTCGGAGAGTTGACAAACTTGGAGGAGCCACACGGTAGTTCTCCATGGGGTGCCGGTGCCTACGCCGGTGGTGACGGTTCAAGACAACCAAGCAAGTTGGAGTTGTCCATTGCCACTACCCAGGGTAAGGTGTTTTACGAGACTGCCCAAAAGTTCTAACAGTCTTATCCTTTAATATCAAGAGGTTATTTTCAATAAACGGTTTAATTGAATGATGAGAAATTGATAAGTATGTAGTTGGCTTAGTACATTAGTGGTTTAACCAATGGGGTGTTATGAGCCCCGAGCTATGGGAATGGACGGAGCCAAAATTGAAACTCGATCGAGAAAGTTTCAAACCTCATCTCTTCCACATCAAAAGGCTCAAGGACACACGGCCTTATAGAGAACCAGACGTAAAATGAGTGAAATACTAGACCAACTGCTCATGGAAGATGTATGTATTGCTCATGATAGCACGGCCGTTACTTAGCTTGGGTCTAACTCTCCGCTGGACTTGCGTTCCAACTAGATTGCCAAATACTGTCCCCAGCCATTTGTTCAATATCACCAGTGTATTTCACAGAACCATGAGAATCCAATGAACTGTTTGGAGAAACAGCAACAACTAGCATCGTGTATCAAGAAAGAGTGAGTTTGCAACTGTTGATTGTGGTAGAACAAGCATGCGTACTAACACACTGCGAAACAAAGTGTTCCAGCTTTCCAAAAGATCATGGTGCAGTGTAACGACATCATGATTAAATACCAGACGTGTCTGCAGTCAAACCTCGAGAAACAAAGCGTATGTCTACCGCTGTTGAAAGACATCAGGGAGTGTGCATCTGGCTGTGTTGACATGCACACCACCTCTATGAATGAGTTGAAATGAAGCACCCGTCCCCATGCCATGGACTCCATGCCATGGACTCCATGCAACTGATGGAGAGGGCATCCATTGCTGGAGGCACACACCCGGACACCGCGAAAACACCCAGACATCCCAAAAACCCGCTGAGAATGCCGAGGAAGTTGGCCAAATCACATTCCATAGTCGTTTCTTTCTCTTATCATTCCCTGTAGTTGGACACAACAAACAACAACAAAACGTACAGACAACATATGCCAAAACGCGGGAAACGAAGGACTAAAAAGGACAAAAAACGCTCCCCCTCCCCCCTCCAGCTGTTGAAGTTAACGGGCAAGCCGCTCACACTGCGTAGATTTCTCCCTCTATCTGGCGAGGTTTTTTTTAGTCTCTTCTCTCTCCAGTCGCAGTGCTTTTAAAAGGTTCAAAGGAGGAATAAGCTAAGGCCATCACAAAAATTTTTACCACCTCAGCCTTCCACGCCGGAACGACCAAAAAAACTAACCACGCTGAAACTCTAACCTGTTCAGATCACAAGACCAACTTCCGTTCAGTTCCAGTATCCATCGCTGAGTGTTGTTGTGTTGTTGTTCGCTGACACTCACTTGTCCCCCCCCCTTGATAGAGGATCTGCATCACATTCCGATAGTGCTAAGCTCATCGTCTCGCCAGTGGCATTGAAATACGATGGCCACGCACGGAACGGTTTCTCCAACGGTTCCAACGATTCTGTTGAACTCGAACAACAACTCATTCTCATCGCCTTCAACGGCGACACATTCTCGATCCCAGACGCCAACTTTGAGATCGGTATCGATTGACCCCAGAGGTAGAACATTGTCACCGCATTCGAAGGCAAATGGTGGCACATCGGCCCTTAGTCCTGGTAATACAGGGGGTACTTCAACTCCGAAAAGCAAAGCTCTGGAGAAGGAAGCAACCTACAGGGATATCTTTGTCACGATAAATGAAGGGACACTGAAGGCTAAGACACAGACACTCAAGCCATCGGTGTCGTTCGACACTGTTTCCGTGAGCTATTCCAAAGATGGCCGTGAGGATTTCCATTTATCTAGTGATGACGACGATGACGCCAATGACGAGTTTTCCCCGGAAGGTAGAGGAAGACCAAACTTCAGCAAGGATAGATCACCTTCACCGTTCAGTGGCGGCCGTTCACCTTCACCAGGTGGCAGTCTGTTCTCTCAGTGTGCCATTGAAAGATCGGCTGGTATACAGTTCGATTCCAGAGGCTTCAGAATCGATTACCCTTCCCACAGTGCGGTCACAAAGGACTCATACACACGTACTTCAGAGCATCCGGATTACATGGAGTATGTCAAGACGAACCTGGGGAGAACCCTACTGGTTTACATCTCAGGAAGAAGACATACGTGGGTGTGTTTGGATTATGTCATTGCCAAACTACTTCGAGATGGTGACCACCTTGTTGTGATTAGTAGGATTCCTTCGGCTTTCAAAGATGGCTTGGTCAAAGATCACCATTCTGGTGAAGTGGACTCAGCTCCGTTCAACGCCAAATCTCAAAGGATTCAAAAATACATCAAGTGTCTGCTAAAGGGCAACCCAATTGTGAAAATCACAGTGGACCTGTACTTGGCACGTACCACTATGGGTGTTATCAACGAGGCGATGCATATTTACTATCCTAGCATGATTTGCGTTGCTCAGAAGCCCAACTTCAGATTCTCACAGTCTTCTCATTCTTGGTCAACTTCAAGAATGTCCGCAAGGCTCTTTAAGAATTCACATATACCTTTGGCGATTGTATCTTCGATGAAGATGAACAAATTCGAAGTTGAGTTATTCAACAGTATATCTGAAAAGAACGATTGGCATTTAGAAAATGCCGAAGCGTTGAAGATTAAACTACAACTCCTCAATGCTTCTTCCACGCCGAGTGCGTCTTTTGTATCGCATTCTACAAAAGGCTACCAAAGCGATACGAGTGACATTGAATCTGACGATGATAACGAGAAAACCGATAGCTCCTCGATGACTAGTGATGATTCAAGTATTCTGTCCGATCCTGAAGATGAAGTTCAAAGGGTATTGAACGAATTCCAAGAGTCTTTAACATCTTATATGGATAAAAGTGACAAGTCCAAGATCAAGCCGACAACCTTTATCGATCGCTTGAACAAGTTGAGTGATGCCAGTGGTGTTTTAAGTGCTCAACTTGAAGAAATCTCTCAGAGTGAAAGAGGTGATGAGCTTGTTCGTACTGTTACCATGATGCCACAGATGGTGAAACAAAAATCGATGTTGGATGTGTTAGAAACAGATGCTGGTGTCTCCAATAAGATCAAATCGCAGCTCATGGGCAAAACATCTTCACAGCCGACTTCGATCAAGTTTGACAGTAATGCGTTGAGTCCTCGTGGCTCGAAGCACCTTTCGCCCTTGAGGAAAGTCCAAACCACACTGATTTCACCAAGTAGTTCACAGCGTCGTCATAGCGCACATGAACTGGAACCTATGAGATCGCATCAAGTGATGTCCAAGAGCTTTAGTGAAACCAAAGTCCCAACGATGAATGAAAAGAGCGATGAAGATGATAAAAAGGTGAAGCGCCGTGGATTTTTCAAGAAGATTTTTGGTAAATGATTCAACGATACCATTCACGTTGCAGCTGCTGAAGATGGCTTGGAGATCCACTGGTGATACGAGCTGAAATATCATGAGTGATTCACGTGAAAACCTTCTACATACATATTTTTATACGTCTTACACAACATGACGATCAGGAAAGTACTCAAAACTACATAGAATACAGCTTGCATACATATTTACAACATAGACGAGAAACAGCATTCCGGTAAATAACGATCTTTGTACTGTTGGCCTGAGCGGCAACTGTGTGACCTTCCCATTGCCATCACTTTTCTGTTGCCGGTTTTGAGGGAGTATGGGCACTCAGAAGAGGCACTGTAGAAATGTGTCAAAACGATGAAATCCGGGGAAGAAAGCACAATGTGGTGGCCACAACAAAAGAGATGATAAATCCACTCTCTGTTCTCTATATCTCTGGAAGGAGCTCCGCCTGGTTGGCGCCTGCAAACCCCCTGCCAAAGCCTGTCAAAGCCTAACAACGCCTGCGAAAGCCTCTTGGTGCCTCTTGCCTGGTAGCCGGTGATCAACAAAGATTTATCTCCTCGGGCCCGTTCCGGTGATTCTGCAGAGCACGGGCCGCTGATTGCCACGCTCAGAGTAACCAGCACCAGCCCAGACGAGCCTACGCGTGTAGGCTCCAGCCAAAGCCAAGTTACAATTGGAGGTGGGGAGCTATATATTGATGGACACTGTAGATATGAGGAGATCACCGCCGCGTCATGGAGTTAACCATCTGTGTGTGATGTTCCTTTAGAATGTCGTGTGTCCAACAGGGTTAGTGCTACATGTTCGACATTATAGAGAGCCCTGAGCTGCCCAATCCCTCCTTGCCCATCCTCTTCCTCCTCCACCGACACCCCTGTGACCCTAACATACGCGGGCGCACATGAAATAAAGGTGTGGAGGACCGGTATAAGGGGGTGTACACTCGACATCTGGGGGTGCTCGTTGTGGAGAGTTGAGTGGGCCTGCACGAAATAATTTGTGAGAATGCTTCTGAACCGGGACATGCGGTGGAGATATCTAGACCTCTCTCTGATTCTATTTGAAATTCTCCAATGTATATAACGCTCTAATTTCCATCTTTTTTTATTTTTCTGTGGCTTTTATCATCAACACGTCTATTTCTGCTAATCGCCCTGGGTGGAGGTGTGCTTATCTATCAACTGAATTCGTAATACACCATCTCAAAGAAGCGCACACGATATGTCATCCGCATACAGAAGATCTCTACTCACGCTACAAAGGCTTGCTCAAAGACAGTACACGACAGCAACGGCACACACTGTTGTCGAACCGGCAGTTGACGCTGTTTCGAAGAGCAGCAGTGCAAGCAGATTTGGCGGTGCAGTTGGGGGGTTCCTAGCTGGAATAAGCGTCACTTCGGGCGCTGTCTATTTCTACTTGGTGAACCAGTACAACAACAGCAACGAGCTGGTTGTGAGAGACGTTCTGTCGCTGGCCAGAAGTGTCCGTATCTTGGAGGAGCACGTCAGGGCACTGGAACAACAGGCTGGCACTACTCAGACTGTTGTAACGAAATGAAGACAGGAGAGGGAGAGAGCTGAGAAGGGCGCGGGCTAACCGGTCTCGCCGTTCATTATTTATACTATTTTATTCTTTATATATTAGCATTCAACAGAGCAAGGGTGAGGGTATCGGTTTCAACAGCAACCCCATCATGTCTGTAGAAATGGTTGATCAGTTGGTTCCTCGTGTATTGTGCTATCATCGCTTAGGGATTACGTCATCTGTAATGGAGTGTTTTTCCAGTTCCACGCACAACCACAGAAACGGGAAAAGGAAGACCGTTTTTTCCCGGTTTAACTCCCCAAGAACAAAAAAAAAGCTCAATGCCGCCATAGAAAAGGAAAAAATAAAGACGAAAACAACGGGAAAAAAAAACAAAGAACGTTGGCCCCGTTGCTGAGTAACACAAATTTTTACATTGAAAAAAAAACGCTAAATTTGGTTTTCTTTGAATTTGGATACAACAAGAAGAAACAATCCAGTGTACAAAACCAAAGAGGAAAACCACCAAAGAACTGAAGCTAGCTGAATCTCTGCTTGAAACACGTATAGATTGAAGGCTTCTTTTGTTAATCGTTGACAGATTTGGATACCAGCATCGCCTTATCTTCCATTCTAATCCATCCATTCGAACGCGCGTTTGTGGTTGGTGGCTATCTCGATTGATATTTCTATTGTTGTTTTCCCATTCATTCATTCCCACTAGTTCTCTGAAGGCTCTAATTTCTAGTCTGCTGTGAAATTGTGCAAAGTCTTTCCACTATGAGCATCCGTAGACCGTCGATGGCTGAGAGACGTTCGTCTATGACGCAGGAAGGCTCGTTGAGGCCCCCGGTGGTTCCCCATTTGGCAGGTTTGGAGAAACCGCTGCCGGAAACCGTTCCAGAGGCGTGCGACGTTGTTATCGCTGGTACCGGGTTGACTGAATCGATACTGGCGGCGGCTTTGGCGTGGCAGGGCTCGTCTGTTTTACACATCGATGCAAATGACTATTATGGCGACACCACGGCTACGTTGACTATCGATCAGCTGAAGACATGGGTGGAGAGGGTCAACAAGGGAGAAATAAAGGGCTACCAAGATGCCGTCTTGTACATTCCAAGAGGTAACGAGTTCAAATCTAAAGACTTTGGTATAGATTTGACCCCGAAGGTGCTGTTCTGTAAGAGTGACTTGTTATCATTGCTCGTTACTGCAAGGGTTTACAAATATTTGGAGTTCTTACCTCTGAGTTCGTTCCATTTCTTTGAGAATGACAATTTCGAAAAAATGACAAGCACCAAGCAGGACATCTTTACCAATCAGACTTTGTCTTTGGCAACAAAGAGATCGCTGATGAAGTTCATCAAGTTCTCGTTGGATTGGGAAAGCCATCCTGATGTTTGGAGTCCATATAAAGATGCGTCTATTGAGACCTTCTTACAGGAACAATTCAAGTTGGAAAAGGCTCAGATCTTTGAGTTAATCTTTTCCATCGGTCTATGTAACAATAACGAAACACACACACCAGAGGCATTGGCTAGAATAAAGAGATATTTGATCAGTTACGACGTTTATGGCAATTTTCCTGTGATGTATTCGAAGTATGGTGGAGCAGGTGAAATCTCACAGGGATTTTGCCGTAGCGCTGCTGTTGCTGGTGCAACTTACAAGTTGAACACCAAGTTGGTGTCATTTGACCCAAAGACCAAAATTGCACAGTTATCAGATAACTCATGTGTCAAGATTAACGAACAGATTATAATATCTCCATCACAGGCTCCAACGGATTCCAAATTCCTGTCCAAACAAAACTATGAAATTCAAAGACTCACTGTTATTGTGAAGAAAGACTGTACGCAATGGTTTCATGATAATGAATCCGCAGCAGTTGTTGTCTTCCCATCGGGCTCTTTGGAATCCAATAACAAACAAGCGGTTCAAGCCATCATAATGGGAGAAGGCAGTGGAATAACAGCAAAGGGCACCTGTGTTTGGTACATGAGTACCATTGAGACGGGCAAAAGAGGTCGTGATGATTTGGAGGCTGCGTTAAAAGCCATGGAGGGGTCTATTCTCAGAGAGAGTTCCGATTTGGATACGCAGGACTATTTCGACAACGCTAACGGCATGTTGAACTCTGTTAAGTTGGGGCAATCCTTCAAAGACTTTGTTCCAAAGGAGAAAATCCAATACATTTTGAAGTTTTACTATATTCAATTTACTTCAATACCGCACGCTGGTGTTGTGAATCCGAATCTCTATAGGAAGAACTCTGTTCACGTTGAAGATGACGTTGATGCTCCAGATAGAGGTGTTATTTACTCGTCTTTGCCCTCAAGTGAAATATCATACGACGGTATCGTTACAGCTTCGAAAATCCTCTACGAGAAGGTTGTGGGGTCTGATGATGACTTCTTCGACGTTGATTTCGAAGACGATGACGACGAAGGTTCTATAGCCAACAACTTGGAGTCTGCCATTGCAGAGGATGACGATGATGACGAACACATAGTTGAGCCTGGTGCTGCACCTGTGGAGTTTGCTGAAGATATGGAGTTATAATAGCTGTACTGAATACCCTTATAAATACTACTACTACTACTACTACTACTACTACTACTACTACTACTACTACTACTACTACTACTACTACTACTACTACTACTACTACTACTACTACTA